TAATATATATTATATAGAGAACTATAGAATATAGAAATACTAACCTAACTATAGAAATAAATTATAATTAACTTTATTACTAAACTACCTAAGTTAGAGAGATATAATATAATTATAGTAGTTATAGATTAATTAATAAAGTACTTATATATAATACTAATAACAGAAATAATTAATACTAAAGCTATAATATCTCTATTATTTAGATATATCTTTACAAACTATAAAATACCGGAAAAAATAATATTAGATAGAGATAAGCTTTTTATAAGTAATATATAGTAATTATTTATAGATATTATAGATATTAAGTATAGACTCTCTACTACCTATTATCCCTAAATAAATAGTTAGATAGAATAAATAAACTAAACCTTAGAGTAGTATCTAAGATACTATATAAACTACTAGTAAAATAACTAAGTAAAACTACTACTACTAGTATAATTTATATATAATAATATAATATATATAATAATAAAAGAGACTTTATTCTTTATAATCTATAGATATAATTCTATAATAATTAGAGAAATTATTAAAAAATAAATAAAAGTAGAAGTATTATAACTTCTAACTTTAAAAATAAAATAATTATACCTTTAATTAGTAAGAGATATTAAGTTTTTTAATCTATAGATAAAATAATACTATAATTAAGACTACTAAAAAAGACTAAATCTATAAAAGGAAAAGAAAGTATACTTTCTATATTAGAATATTAAAACTAAGTAACTAAGTATAAAGTTTAATAACTTAAAGTTAGGACTATTTATAATTAAAGAAAAAATTAGACTAGTAAATTATTACTTAAGATTCCTAAAAAGTATAAAATAAATATACTCTATATTCTATATATTATTACTAAAATCTATATTAGAAAATATACTAAATACTACTAATATTAAACTTAAAGAAACTAGTAAAGAGAAATATAAAGTTAAAACTGATCTATAAGATAGATAATATAACAATCAGTAATAACTATTTATAAAATAGAAAGAATACTCTACTTTAGAAAATATATAGAAATCTATTAGAAATCTAAAGAATTACTACTAACTAGTTTAATAATATTACTAGAAGATAAAAGAAATACTACTAGGAAGAAAGTAGAGAAAGTATTAAATTTAATATCTAGTAATAGATTAGATAATATAATTAGCTATATTAATATAAGATTCTTAGATATTACTATAAGAATTTAACAATTCTTATTAAAAATATACTAGTTACTCTTAAATATAGTATAAGAAGACCTAATCTTATACTCTTTTTATTTAGTTTTAATATATTTCTTCTTAAGATAATCTTTCTCTTTAGCTTTATAATACTTAAGTTCTTTAAGTTTAGTAATCTCTTTATAATTATAAGTAATAAAATTACTAATATAATTATAAAGTAGGACTTTATAATAATCTAAATATATTAAATATACTATAATCTTTTAACTAGTCTTAAGAGTAGTATAGTATTACTTAGTAATATTAACTTATATTTTTATTAATTTATACTATTTAGTATTAGAGTAAGATAGATAAGATATAATATACTTTACAGAATCACTACTATAAATATAATAGTTATACTTATTATCCAAACCTAATTTAATATATACTTACTTAAGTTAAATATAATATTTATAGGGAATAATAATATAAAAACTTTTCTCCTTAATATAGATTAGTAGGTTACCTTTTTAAATAGAAGATAGTTTAACTAAAGGTATTATAAAATAAAGAAATAAGAAGAGAAAAATAGAAAATAAGAAAAACAGAAAATAGTACTAGGGAAACTTATAAGTTTAAGAATCTTTAAAGACCAAAGGACTAAAAGAAGAGAATAATATTATAGAATATAGTAATACCCTATAGATTACAGAAATTAGTATAAATATTATAGAGAGATTAGGACTAACTAACTTAGTCTAAGAAAATAATATTAAGATTATATAATAATCTTCTATTATATAAGTAGAAGATATAAGGATTATAATTACTAGAGAACTTAATATTATATAATTAATAGAATAATATAAATAGATACTTATTAGGTAATAAGAGGAATTATATTAGGTAATATATTTAATATACACTAGGTAATAAGACCTAGTCTTATTAGATAATATAAGAAAGCTAGATATATAAGAATATTTAGTTATACTTATATATTTAGTTCTTTATAATTAATTAATCTAAATTACTACAGTATACTTTTTAGATTACTCTTTATATAGTTTTATCTCCTATAATAATATACTATAAGTAGAGGAGCTCTTTAGACTAATTTACTTAGTATACTACCTAGTACTTCCTTTAAAGTCACTCTACAGAATCTAAGTCTGTATAAGACTTAGTATAGTAACAGTACAATTATAAGTTTAGGCTTAAGGAGTATAAGTAATAGATATTACAAATAACCAACAACATAGAGAATAACTAGTAAGTTATTTACCCAGATCTAACCACTCACAGTGACCAGTTAGCTACACATAACAAGAAGCCCTTGAATAAAGGTAAGAAGAAAGAGAGAACTAAGAGATACTTCTTCTATATAATTTATCTATCCTATTCTACCTAGAGTAGATAATAATAGTTTTGTTAATTTAATAGTCTAGTAGAGATATAGACTTTTCTTATAGAGAATCTAGTATATTAGAATATCTTATTTAATTATTAGTAGAAAACTATTTATAAGTTAAATAATACTTATGATATAATCTATAACTATAGCTAGGAGTCCTTTTATAGTTTAGATACTACTAATAAATTCTCTAAGGAGAATATAATAGTAAATACTAAAGGATAGGCTAGAGATCTGTAACTAGTTAAGACTTGAGATAGTAATTAAAGAGTAGGAGAATTAATTAATAATATATATAAGTAGTAATAGAGACTAATTCTTGAAGAAACTTTAGAAATAAAGGAAATACTATATTAAGTTATCTATTCTAACTATTATATAAATTAGGTATAAATTAGGTATAAACCCCTAGTATAGCTAAGATAAGATTAGGTTACTAAAGGGAATATAAAGAGAGTTGATTACTTCTTACCAAAGCTTACCCTCTTTGATATAAGCCCTATAACATTATAATACTCTATACTCCTAGTAGGATTTCTTTAAATAGTACTATAGTAATTTCTATAACTAAGATTAGATTATTAGAGAGATCTTAATAAGTATTCTAGTAAGAGACTATCTTATAGTTTAGGTAATTAGAGAGAAAAGAATTAGAATTACACTTATTTATAATATATTAAAGGTTCCTACTTTATAAAGGAATTATATATAAATTAGATATAATTATAATCTAATACTACTCTATTATATCGTATTATTATCTATCTAGAATATTATTCTATATTCTCAGTTATTTATATTATTGTCTTATACTTATTAAGGAAGGCATAGTATCAAATTAGTTTCTGGCCTAATATTTTACAACTGAATATTAATTTACTGTGATAATCCTAGCTAATTGTATACTTTTAGTAAGATATATCAATTTGAAAAAGTCAAAATTCTAGTAGAAATAAACAAAATAGACTAGATCCTATCCTTGAGACTAAATTCTAGTAACAAGAGACTTTAGAATTCTAAATTTAAATAAAGTTTTTAATAATTTCTATAAAACCTAAGTAGATTTTTCCTTATAGATAAATTATTTCTTATAGATAAATCAAGTATAAATAATTTAGATAGTAAGTATTATAAGACCTAGAGGAATGATCAGAAGAAAATAGGGCATTCTAAATAGTTTAAGTAGTAGTATAATAGTAAAAGTTTAGAGGAGATTTTAATTCTAGAGTACTAGTAAAATCTAGGTTTACTGTTGAAAAAAATATTCAAGTCTCTATTATGTAGTGATATAATAGTAATAATAAGGATTAGATAGCTAGAAGGGCTTAAGGGAATAACTTAGTAGGTATCACCGATTGTATTTGACTCAAAAATAACTCCGAAGGGCTTTTTCTCAAAGGTACCTCTCTAACTCGCAAGTAGTTGTAAAGGTGCCTGATTGTGTTGATAACGCGGGAATCTCTGATTTTCTTAAAATCCCGAGCCCCGAGGCCTATATGGCAGTCAATCCAGTTCATAGCCCTCGCAGGACATTCGTTCATAGAAGGAATCTGACTGTGAGTGTAGAGTGACATCGTACTTAAATGATTTCTTTCTCATATTTTTAGGAAAGCCAAGCAGGTCGACAAAGAACGAAGAATGCTTGGTCTCACGGAAACTTACTACAGGCAGTTCTGCGCTCGGTTCGTGCCATTCTCACCCGCTTGCAGGATCGTGAAAATGAAAACATGGGACTATGCAGCATTATCGCAGGCCTGAACGCTCAACTTTTTGAGACCAAAAAGCTGATCAGAAATCGCCCCTACGAGCTCGGACACCTAAATGTTTAGGAGTCTGCGCGAAAGTCTATGAATGGAATATAAACGCGGGGTTGAATTGTTCAACCCACTGTGTCATCCCCAAATACGTGACTAGGTTTCAATTGTGCAGCCATTGGATATTGTAATTAAATTACTTTCACATGCGGCAAATATAGTCATTTCGAATAATTTACTCTCGAGCCAGAATGAGAGAGATATGTGACGATCATGATTTCCGACTGAAATCAATGTCTTAGAAAAATTCCAAGACAGATTAATTAGTGTTACCCCATGCAACTGAAAAGAGCGACAGCCTACTCCGTAGTCTCCCCCAACTTCTCTTAGTAGGAAACGACATACACAGCACAACACACCATGGAGGAAATTTTTCAGTCTTTGGCGGCAGAGGGAATCCAGCAGCTGCTAGTAATCTACCACAGCGGCGAATCCTAGCCGCGATAAGCCTATCAAGCAACATATCCTTGGATTTCTAGAACTGCCAACCGTACAGTAAAATCAAAATTCACTCCTAAGAGCTTAATCTCTATTCATGAAATTCTTCGACTGGTCTCCGGTGAGATTCTTTGTCATCCTTTGCCTTTTCTTCTCTCTTTTTCATCAGCCCTTGACGGAATTCTCAGTATACTCATCCGGGTCCCACGCTAAGACCCTGTCCTCCATCTCGTCAAGCTGCCTCGTCACTAGCCGTTCCATCTCAGCCTTTTGGTTCTCATTCAGCAGGTTCAGCCGCTCTTTCCATGCTTCGTTGGGATCATCGGTCTGCGTAAGCCCCCAAAAACGCCGATCAATCTTCTGCCAGTAGATTGCATCAAACGCAAAACTGTGCAAGATCGCATGCACCACCCAGAAGTCTCCCCAGCTCCGTTGCATCTGATCCGAGAGCCACCGCTGGCTGTGCTGAGTGTCCATATCTTCACAACGCCTCATTGCTGTGAGGAACGTCTTTAGGCGGCGATCGAACTCTTGGGCCCAGTCCTCGATACCTTTAGACCAGTATACAAGTTTCTCGATAAGGAGCCACCATGGTGGCGCTTATGAAAACTCCACTGGTCAAACTCCCAGTCTACCACACCGGCAATATTTTTTCATTGAGAAGAATATTGGCGGGCCGAAAATCATCACACCAGTTTGAATGGACCATTCTCATAACATGGCAGAGATAAGTTCTTGTCCCTGGCAAGCTTGTAAAATGGCCGTCTTGCAATGAAATCCCGACGGCAGTCTTCTGCAGACTGTACCGAATCATTTTTTTGATACTGTAGATGCTGGATACTAAGCTGTGCTAGGGTTTCAATGCATGAAGAGATTGTTTTGAAGGTGGTTTCTAGAGGAGGAAGTTTGATCGAGGTAGTGTCCCCAAACGCACCAGCTCATTCATATTCATTGATAATGGCCGGCCGCTCACTTCCTAGGAGAAATCATCCACCTGACCGAGGGACCCTATTTTAGGGAATTCTGGCTTGGAAAGCTGAAGGAGGATTTTGGATACTTGTGTGTATATAGTTTCAAGTTGATCATCGCAAATATTAGGGCCAAGGACTCCCCGCTCTTCATTTGGAAACCCTGGTATATTGAGAGCATCATACATAGTTGTTGTATGTTCAATATGACTTATAATAATGAAGGGCCTAGTTATAGAGGACTCTCCTTCTTTGTACCAGAATGAATAATGAATGGAAGTGGGATTGGTGATTGGTCTGAGACACATCGCATCACAGCAACTTCGTTCTTGATCTTTTACTCGGGAAAAAGAATAGCACCCGGATGTGAAAAAGGATATTGGTCGCGTTGTATGTATATGTCATTTGTAATGTGATATTGAAGACCCCCTCTGAAAAATCGTAAACTCTGGATCATCCCCAGAATCATGCCTCAGCATAAATTTCGCAATCGGTCTCTTGACGTCGATATCAAGAAACTGAAGCAATCAATTATCGGAGACATCGTCGTATTATTCCCATGCAACGTCGTCGTAACACCTCTGTGGCTCCATATTTTCAGACGCGTTGGCTGCTTCTTGTCGCGGGGCGATCTGCTTGGTGGACAGGGGGGGTCGTGAGAGAAGAGGGGTAAGGAATGTAGAGTGAGGTCACTTATTCGATCGGGTCGACATGATCGCTACTGTCAATAAGAGCGAGTCTGGCAGTCTAGAGATAAATCGAAATGAGAGACCGCTAGACCATGAGAAATCCGGAAAGTCGTGTTGAGAGGGAACGTGAGGGCAAAGCAAGTATCTAAACGAACGTATCGTCGCGTGGTTTGGTCCAATCACAATCACAATCACATAACCATCGCACAACTCAGAAATTACAATGGTAAAACTCAAAGCGAGAATGACTCTTAGCCAAAAAAAAAAAACGGCCAGTTCATCCACCATCAACATTTTATGTCAGTAGCATACGGGAGCTTTAAATTTCGACCCGTCACATTGACTACTTTGCTGGGGCGAGGCACGGTGCTTCTTAATGCCAATCCTAGGGGTATTTGGTATGACAGCCCCTGAAGTGCTTCCATAGCGTCACTGATTGGTCCAACTCCACTCATCAGCCATTATCTCTCGTCGAAGAAAAATTGGAGCGAAATAATTCAACAGGCCATGGCTACTCAATATATACAGGGCAAGGTACAGTGAGGTCGCGTTTTGCCAGAGAGCTCCGAGTCCAAGGCTCAACATCTTTTACTGTGACCTCTTCCACTCTAGATTTAATACTAGTATCGTATACTACCTCACTCAATTCATCTTGATTGGTTCTCCATTACGGACAGCTACGTACAATCCTTCTTCTAAGACTTGCCACTGTGTACACTTCCAAAATGGGGTAACCAGATTCAAGTTGAAGAGCCCCACTCTCTCTCACAGATCAGCAAGGACCTCAGCCAATTGATATAATTCACGTCCGAGGTCACCGTTCTCTTGATATCTCTCTGAAAGGGTCGAATAGTACTGTCATTGTGAGGTATTTTTACGTACAGCGAAGAATTAGCTACATGCGAATCGAAATGTCCACCTTGACGCTAATTTCATCTGGAATATGATTTGTATCAAGGCGGAAAGATAAAAAGCTGAGATCAGACTGCTCTAGCCATAGATGATCCGTGTACCTGCGCTTATCCTGTTGCCTTTATAGTGCTGATCACCAGTGCTGATCACCCCTCCCTCCATCAAGGCCCTCCAATAATTAGTAACAATCCCAGCGGGCATATAAATAAATTGACCAGTACACCTCAACACGTACAGACAGGGCATCACGCTCGATATCCCACCAATACTTGTGGCTTTGGTAGGAATATTTCCCATATTGAGTTCGCAAATTCTAAGCGAATTGGAAAGTATGGTTTGATTTACGTCAGTTGGCATGTTTTATTCTGTTGTTCGCTTGAGAGCGAGTGCATCCTGCAATATACTTGAACATCAATTCAATTTAATTAACGGAATATTCTGGTAGTGAATTATTGAATTACACTTAGACCCTAGACAGCTAAGTGTCTTGAAGCGCATATTAAAATAGAGGAAGTTGGCAGAAGGGTAAATCAACGCTAAGATGATGGACCGTTTTTGGAGGAATCAATCAGCATCCATGTATTACTGCGTCCATCTTTACCCAACTGGGTTATTTGGATGTTTTCATCCGTAGTCAAGGAAGCGACTCAATTTAGGATCCACCTCGTATATTCGTAATTTTCAGAGTATAAAAACTCCAAAACAGGATCGCAGAGATTGTCTATCTGCAAAAACGCATGTTCGGAAATTTAGAATCTGCTCGAAATTTTCCTTGGTCTTATTCTTGATGTTCTTCCCTCTTGTCTGCTAAACTGAATTCGCTCATTGAGATTGACTTCTTCCAGACCCTGCCGCCGGAGCAGCTGCTAATGTATACCGCAAATTTTGTTTCAGCGTTCCAATTATTGCCTCAAGTTCGTGCACTAGTTCTGGTACTTTTCCTGGCTCCGAAACCTCGCCCGCAGGAACCACTAAATTGTGCAGATCTCGTGCAATCATTTCAATTTGCTCGTTTAGTTGGTTCCTGAGAGTATCAAAAGGCCTTTTTAAAGATGAGAGATACGACGACTGTACTGAATCCGCGTAATTTCTGTATAGTTGTGTTTTTGTCAGATGACTGCGCATGATGTCCTTGCGTCTCTGATGGCTTCCCGCTCCTAGCATAGAAACATTCTTGGTCAGTCCATGGTTTTGATATAGCTCGCGTCGAGCGTGATATAAAATTACCTGATTCTCGGCTGCAATTATTGTACGCCTCAAGCATGAGGTCTGCAATCAATGAACTGTTGTTAAAGCCATTGAGGGTATGATCTTTGGTAGATCTGAAAATGGTTTAGCCAGTTAATTTCGCAAGGAAATATTTTGTACTGCGCTTACTCTGTCTCTTGATGTGCTTGTGCAAGGGCGTTTTCAAAAATATAGGTAATGTATCCCTTTCTGTGGTTTAAAACAGAAAACAAATTTTCAATTGCCTGGGGAGCAACCTGGGAATATTCTGGAGTTTATTTAAAGTCAGCAAAACAGAACACATCCCAGCAAGAAGTGTAAATAATGCGGGGCTTGATCAGAGAGAATCTTGCCTTGAAGTGTGTCAGAGACAATCTGAAAAGATGTCGAGATGTCACTGCGCAGTGTATCCATCTGAAACATCAACCAATCTTCGAGAGTCTTCCATCTTGGGTCTAACGCAGGCCGTGCTTTCTCCATCAGTTCATTGTTCCAGCAACGAGGTCCCTCATCTTTGATCTTATGGTTGCCGTTCTTCCGGCAGAATGCGGCATAACTTGCCCAATGAAGCTTGAGGACATTATTCTCAGCATGCAAACAAGTAACTGGTTTCCGATTTAACATACCGTTTCCCATATCTGGCTGACTGCAAGAAACTCTTTCTTTAGTTCGATTTGATGAGAAGGGCCTAATCAAATATTAGAGACACTAAATACTAGATAACAACGGTTGAAATGAGCTCACGAAGCTGATTCATTACTTGAGTCTCAAATTGAGAGCGCAATCCACTCTGCACGAGAGCCAGATGTCCCCGGCCCAAGATAAAACTCTATCACCGTTAACTGTCTTGTGCTGCAAAATCTTGCAATCAAGCAGCAAATAATGCAGACATACCTCGCGTAGTCTTTGTTCTACCTGTTCCAATGCGCTTCGGAGCTCATGGGCTCCTGCGGGGCTCACTGAATCACGACCTGTCAAAGTCCACTGATGAATGGAATCTAGCAGAGCAGGTACTTGCTTTTCGATAAAGACCAAAGCGGAGTCCATCCTTCCCTCTGCTGGAACGGATCGACAATATGAACGAAGCTCCCGAACTCCGCTGAGGCTTCTGTATTCCTCTGCCAATCTGTGCGGAGGATTTCCATAAAGCTCATTACCAACACAAAATACCTCAACATCCTTGGATTGATTCTTTTGATTGTTGCATATTGCCTTTGTCAGGTCTCTCTTTGTTGAGTCATTTCGTTGGTTCATAAGAAGAGCTCGTCGCCTGGCCATGAAAGTTAGAATCCTTCAAGGTACCTTAGTTTTGAATTGAATGATGAATGACACGCACTCGTAGTGAAGTTTTTGTATACTATCCCTGTGAAATGGTCAGTCGGCTGTTGAATATTGAGTTAACTTACTTGCTTACTCCAAGGAATCTAGAATAGCACGATCTGCTATTCTGTGGCTCTGTGATTCTTGCAATTGGCGCTCTACGCGCCTAAACTTGCTCTCCAGCTTGTTGACTTTTGCGTTCATATCCTTTATGCGTATGGCATGAGGACCAGTGCCGCGAGCAGACTCTTCCGGTGAGATTTCCTATTAAGAAAGGTCAAAAAGTCTCCAATTCTGTCAACAATGGGTAAAGAATTACATCAGCCCTTGTGCAAACCACTCGTATACGTTTGCTTCCTCCAATCTTCTTTATCGTATCAAAAATCGATTGGTTCGAAACACATCGAAGAATTCCAGTCACAATGAACACCTCATCGCAGCTTCTAGCAAGATACCGTTCCGTGGCTCGCACCCTGGCATGATTCATATCGCGCAATCCTATCAACAGTGAGTCAAATTATTTTAGAGGAACACACAGAGAGTATTACCTGGTAGGTCCGCGAGCACTAGACCGGTCTTCAGCACAGGAAGCTCAAGGAATACTCTGCAGATCCATTAGAATTTTCTTTTTTGCTGGAATGGGTACCACAAACCTAATCAACTTGATAAAAGGCCACAGGGCAGGCACATCACTGTCCTCTGGGCTATCAGTCAAACTGTCCAGTTTATCCTTACAGCTCTCCATGTCATCTGCGAAGGCAGTATATTGTAGCGAGCTCAAACCCCCGGGCCGGAACGACAGTCGATTCAAGGCCAAAGCTTTCAATTCTTGCAGAATCTCAATTTCGATTTCTGCTCCTGGGCGCGAGAGGAATTCAATTGTCAAATCTGACCGGTCACTGAAAATTGCCTCAAGGGTTTCATGCGACCTTTTGCCCATTGCTTCGTACTCCGCCCAGTCTTCGCCGCCGATAAGACTCCGCTCAGTCGGAATTGAAGCTCGTCGAATGCTTCGCAGAAGCTCTTCGAGGAGACTATTGACTTCGTTCTCATCCATAAATTCGGCTTCTATTGTATAGGCGCGTGGATGCTTTTCATCCACATATCGATACTCCATAGGGACGGAAGTACATGCGCCCCCTGCACCACTCTATATAAATGTGTCAGAAATATGCGGCCACCCTAAGACATAGAAAGGAATGATTACCGAGCGTGCGAGACCTCTCTGATTGAGTATAGAGTTGATGACGGAGCTTTTGCCTATTGGATGATCAGAAATGTCCCCATTGAGATATGAAAGGGAGAGAGTACAAACCGGCTCCAGTTTCACCAATGAATCCAACGATGCGTGTTTCTTGGTCCTTGTACTCACTGAGCTGTTTGGCCTCAAGGTGAATTTTATGCAACTTAGTGCCTGGGTCTTGCGACAATTGACACGCGGAAATCACGCGCGAAAGTTCCTGGACCTGTACTTTGACGGCATTAAAGTTCCTCTGGAAATTTTGATCGTCGATAGGGTCCGGAAAAAAGAGATCATCTTCAATTCTATTCGAACTATACATATCTTCGTCCACAGGTGAGATAATCGAAAAGTCCGTATCCCGTGACATGCTACGACTTGGCAGGACGCTAAGTCGCGGGTTTGGGGCTCTGGGAGCCGTACTGGGCTCCGCGGAGGGGCCTGTGCCTCTGGAGAGACCAGAACCCGAGGAGGTTATATCACTATTAGGTGGTTCACCAAAGAGGGAAGTGGGTTGAGCTTGATAGTCATGGTGAGAAGGGCCTAGTGATGACGATCTTGTCTGGTCTAGATAAGTGGTTTCGACATCGGGACTTCTGCTCGGTTGAGGCGTGAAGAATCTCGTGTCGTTACCGGCTGGCCCTTCAAAGACACTGCCTGATGTAGTCTGACTAGAGGAACCTGGTGTGGCCGGTCTAATTGGAACATTTGTGAACATTCCGACATTGGGCCTGCTGCTCAGCGGAGGCGGAGGCGTGACATATCTAGTTTCGCTCGTTTGTGGCGTGCCAAAGATGTTCGAAGACGTAGTTTGGCTATGTTGGCCAGGAGAATGCGATGATGAAGCTTGGGGAGTGAAGCTGGAACCAAAGATGCTGCTGCTTGGGTCGGGCGAAGGAGTGAAGAATCTCGTGCCGGCACCGGATGATCCACCAAAAATACTACCTGATACTGGCTGCCTAGTATTTTTGGAGGAACCTGGTGTGGAGGATCTGGCTCTGGTTGGGACAGTTGTGTGTAACTTCACGTTGGGTCGAGACCCTAAGCAGACGCTGTTCAGGCTTGGTGGGGGGGGCTAGAGATTCCGATTCCGCTCGTTTGTGGTCTATCAAAAAGACCAGTGACTGGGCTTTCAGTGGCGTTCTCGAAAAGACCGGATGAAGTCGATCTTCCTGGAATAGTAGAGGACGTTCGGACATTGGCGCTGGTCCTAAAGAGACTGCTGCTTTGGGAAGATGAAGGGGCGAAGATTCCCCCGTCTGTAGTATGCGGTGCATCAAATACACTGGTAGAAGCAGCTTGGCTCCTGGTAGTATTGGAGAATACTCCTGGTGGCGGTGACCGAGCTGAAACCGATGTGGATGTTTGGACGTTGGAGCTAGACCCGAGGGTATAGTTGCTCAGGGGTTGCGAGGTGGTAAAAAAGGTTGAGCTGCCGGGAGGTGGTTCTGACAAGATGCTACCGGGCGTCTGACTATGATTGTTAAAAGAAGCCGGCGAGGATGATCTAGATTGAACAAATGAAGGTGTTCGGGCATCAGGTCTGGACTCGAAGAGGCTGCTGCCTTGGGAAGGTGAGGGGGGTGAAGTTTCTTTCGGGCGAAGGGCCCGGAGAGAAAGTGAAATTGAAATCAGACGATGGGACTCTCATCTTGCATGATCTTCGATCTGATCTGGTTTCTGCGATAATAGTTTTCCAGCGGAACTTAAAAATGGACGGCCCGGCCCGGCTTATAAGACACACAGGCTCTGAAGTGGGACTCGGGGGCGCAGCATTCCTTATGATGGCTGGCTGTTTCACTCATTCCTAGATGCAGGCTACTATCTGCAAGTCGATGTCTAGTCTGCCTTGCCATGTACACTAATTCAAGCTAGCGTCAAAGCCGCTGTTTTATCGGCGCTTATGCATACCATACCCCGGGTGTAGCGAATAAAGAACGACTCCGATACCCATACCAGATGTGTGATCCTAAAATGCGAGTATGTTACAAATTACCCGAAATTATCTTCTAATGATGGGATCCTGTACGTAGAAGACCATGTTATCTTTGTTATGGCCCCCACGTAGCTCGACTCGATGGTGCGCTAGCGTGCTTCATGATCCCTGCCCTAGTACCATATGCCTGCTTTAGTACCCAATCAAATATATCATATAGTGGATATTTGGTGCTAAGTCTGCACGGTATTTTTGCCGCGCAGAACCCCTCACGAACAGGTAGTTCGCTAATATCGAATGGTTTTTGATATCATTTAGCGCCGAAAAATATCAGCCAAGCGTGCTGCACAGAGGCTTTGTATCCCAGGGCTGATTTTAGAAGATGCCCGTTGAAGTATTAGTCTGACGTAGATTTTAAGCAGAAGCAAAAAGAAAAAAGAAAGATCGGTTACAGATGTTAATGCTTTCACTTTCAGGATCTTCTTACTGCATAAATAGACGTTCTATGTTTGAGATGAAAGCGGTAGGGCTGATAACCTGTTTTTCCTACAAGCCGGGTAACAACTCCTAAAGATACAAGAAAATATTAATAATAGTATCACAGAAGTTGTGGACAGAATATCCGCTAATCTTCACACTATCAAAGTATTATACAGAAATTGGCGAAACTGACGATGATTACAGGTCTTTGCTGGCGGAACTTTACTCTCACTCCATGACGGTAATTGATTTTAGGCATCAATCACCCACCAAAAACGCCCCTGGGAGGAGAGCCATCGACCATGTCGTATAGCTGCCTCATTTCATTACCATCCCCCATATTCACCCAAAGAAATCACAGTGTCTGTGTCCAATATTTCATCTATCCAGGAAAGGTGTCTAACGAATCCATGATCGGAAATGCTTCAAGAACCTTTATAAATCGTAATACATCATCATTTTCGGTGTTCCCCACTGGTGTATCCTTGAGTGTTTGAAGAGATTCCTCGTCAATGATAAGACATACTTGATATTTGTTAAAGTTGTTATGTTTTTCTTGGCCATTGACCCAAGCCTTAAATGAGTGCGAACTATCCTAAGAGAAGCAGGCATCAATGTATTTGATAGTGTGAGGGAAAGCAGTATAAGATTCAGTAGTGTAGGTAGTACGATCAATAACATATCCCCGTCTGGAAAGTCGTAAAGTCTATTCTCAAGTCTGTTCACACTGTGAATTGAATGGAGTGTATGCGGCATCAGGATTGTTTGAGTTGAGGTATGTGAGGGAAGAAGAGACAAACATACGAAGGAATTTTGGAGCCCCCCGACGTCGGGGCTGGAAAGCTGTCTTAAACGAACCGAGTTAGCCAGCACAGTCCGGTCCTACCAGGCAATTCAATGGTTTCTCTGGAACCTTGGATGAATCTACAATTGCCCCTTGGGATACTATCTAATAAATTCTATAGAACTAGCTCTAACGAAGCGAGATTGGTAGAATACATGGTAGTTCTACCTATCCCTCCAATCCCGTACAGTACATACCCCAACGGTATGGGGTACTTTGCACCAAGGTACATAGAATATAGTTCATGCAAGTCCCTAATTGGGTAGAGCGGAAGAATAGAAATGCCGGAGATGTGGGACTGTCACGTTACTTTTGAATCACACCCCACTCAGTTCACTTTATAGTCAACGGTCCTAAAACACATTTCCCTCTTGTCAATAACTCAGAATTGTACCAACAACAATCTACCTGACCAAATTATTGTTTTCTTTGTTGTGCACCGCTTCGCTTTATCATGGCAGGCACCAATGAGAATGACCTCGATATATCGCAGGTATGTTCGCCTAGGTTGATCTTCAATCCGGAATGTCTTTTTCTGGATAATAGCAATCGTAGTCCCACCAGCCCCATCAAGACAATACTGACAACCGATGAATTTACAGGCACTAGCGGAACTTGCAAAGTACATTATTCTAAAATAACCACCTAGACAATAATTCCGTCTGACAGCATATAGAGGAGAAATGACGGCGTCCGCGCTAGAGCAGCACCTTAGCGCTATCGAGAGTAAAGTCGATGAACTTCTTGCGGGAATTCCGGACGGGGAACAAGACCAAGGCCAAGACACAAAAGGCCAGGAGCCCGGAGAAAAAGAAAACAGAGGCGACAGCACCAATTCAACACAGAGCCGTTAGTTGAACAGCACATCCATATGGAATTGACCGTCGGATCCCTTTTCAACAACGCCTTTCTCAGTGATGATTCCATCGATCAAATTCGCAGGCGTGATATCAAAAGCAGGGTTCCAGACGTTAATCCCCGGTGCGGCGGTGCAGACAGTCTCCAGGTCCAGGGCCGCACTACCACTGGCAACATCCTGCTGACGAGGTCCCTTGATACTGGTAACTTCGTTAGACGGGCGTTGTTCGATGACAATGTCCTCGCCGGACTTTGTTGCCAAGTCGATAGTTGTGAGTGGAGCTGCGACGAGGAATTTCACGCCGTGGTGTTTTGCTAGAACTGCGAGGCCATAGGTACCGATCTTGTTGGCGGTGTCTCCATTCGCGGCGACTCGGTCTGCGCCCACAACAATGGCATTCACACCTACACTGGAATCTGCGAGTAGGGCTGCGGCCATGGAATCCGTAATTAGGGTAGCGGGGATTTTGTCATGCACGAGCTCAAACGCCGTCAGACGGGAACCTTGGTTGTACGGCCTTGTCTCTGTGCAGTACGCGTGTCGTAGAACGTTTTGGGATGACAGTGACCGGATAACGCCTAGAGCTGTACCGTATCCTGAGGTGGCAAGAGAGCTAGTACTTTTGGTAAGTCCCCCATCGTAGTAGAAGAGTAATCAGCATGCATGGGTTACTTACCCAGTGTTGCAGTGTGTCAAAACGGCCACGTTCGGGGTGTTTGGCTTCGCAGCATGCTTCATAATCCACTCAGCACCGTTGTGGCCGATCTGCTGGTTGTCTTGTAGATCTTTGCCCAGCATCTCTTCAGCAGCACCGATGAATGCCTTTGTAACATCCTGTCCAGTGCTACCAGGCCGAGCTGCAGATTCCGCCGTAATGACCTCCAGTTTGCGAGCCGCATCGCTCAGGTTAACAGCAGTGGGCCGACTCGTCAGCAAGTAGGCCAACTTCTTGTTGATATAATCCTGAGCATCGGCCGGCGCAGTAGGGATCTTTCCCGCGGCGTCAAGAGCGAACAATTCCGAGCAGAGCGCAAGCATTGCGACAATTGCAATGGCCGGGGCACCGCGCACCTTCATCGATTTGATTGCTTCCCAGCCATCCTCGCTATTCTGGATAGGAATGTATTTTTCAACGAATGGCAGTTGCAATTGATCCAGGATCTCCAGGTGGCCCTGGTTGTATCTGATGGCCTGCAACATGATGGTAAGCCTGTGAATGTGGTCTGTGATTCACTGGAAAAGTGTTCTGTTCCCAAGGCGTTTCTTATTGCCGTTTTTCCGAAGAAGATAGTATATTTCTGTATATCTTGATATCTCCCTGTCGTCGTGAGATGGAAAAAAGATCATCTCCACGTGGTGGGGGGCATCGAAGGCTTACCTAACCGACTTTGCCCCTCACCTGAACAATTCTGCCGCAACGATATCTTTTGGGAGATTACATATACGAGATAGAAGTCGGGCTGCAGGGTCTCAGAAAATTTGCATTTCTACTTTTATATTAGAGGCGAAGGGTCAAAAATCGTAAACGAGACCAAACTAGGAGCGTCTCAGAGTCATTCGATTCGTAAGAGTTATGGTCCGGTACTCCGCATTCATCATTTCAATCGATGAACTCAGGACACTCATGAATTGAGCCTCCAAGGACGTGAGAAAAAGCCTGTCCACCCCAGTCGTATTCATTGTGCTATGCTCCGAACAAAAACGCCAAAATCAAAGAGGATCATAGGTGACATGTTTTGTAGTCGAGTTTGGAGAACTGGTTCCAACTCAAGCCATGTCGGTGGTATCGTGAGAAAAAGCTTTAGTCCGGCAAAAGAAGAGGAATCGAAAACTGAATCGAGTACCGAGTGTTGGTGTCGGTGCCTGCGACCTAGGTAGGAGGATATAGTGCACACAAGGGCCGCAGAAACGCGAGGGCATTCGATGGCTGTTCAGTTCGCGGAGATGTAGAGCACTGAATTGGATTAAAAGTTAGCTCGGCCATACATAAAGACGCATGCAATGAGAGGAGGAATCAAACGAACCATTGTTTCCCCGCACAAAGGCATCGCCGTAATTGCGACGAAGCTTGCCATTCACGAACTCCTCGGTCTTTTCGAGAGCGATGTTCATGTAACCGTCAACGGACTGCAGTTCGCCTAGAAAGGGGTTAGAATAAGAGCATTCATCAACAGCGGGAAAGTTGTGTTACCCTTGTAGACGACGCCGGAGTTTAGCTTCACAATGACTGGGGCTCCGATGATCTCACTCAAGAAGGCGGATGGGTCCTTTCCCTCTGAAGAAGAGCCGTTCTCCATGATGTCGTGTGAGAGTGCCGAGCTTGCTTTAGCTGTTAAATATTGGAAGGTTGAGTTTGCGCGATGCAATGAAGGAGAAATTGGCTTGAGGGGAGATCGGAGATTGAATGCGGATTGAAGGGTGTCGGCATTGGTGGTTTCAACGTCACGTGGATGCGGAGAGAAAGAGCGCGGTTGCTGCCTGAGGCCCATTTTGTCGAGTTCCAAATGACTACCCTCCCATCCTTTGTCAATGAACTGAGCTCTTGTTTCTCCATGCAGGAGCCGTAACAAACGGTGTCTCGCATGACACTTTCTGGCAGAAATGAAAAGTTTTTTTAAGAAACCTGAATGGGCTTCCCAGACTACAGACACAAACTCGGACTTCTACCGCCGCTCTGGTCAGACGTACTCGGACATTATTGCGGCCAACCGGAGGACCAGAAGCTCGTCAGATACGCCTGGCCCTGGTGAAGCTACCACCGAGGAAGTCAGACCTTCACAGAGGCGTCGAATTTCCGAAGAGCCTGAAGAAGAAGAGAGTGTGGAGGAACCGGTTCAGATCCCCGCGCATTCCGAGGCCAGAGAACAAGAGACACCCTCTTCGCCTCAACACCAACCCACTCAATCCGATGATCCAGGTGTCAAAGAGAATGAATCGCCAAGAATAACACAAAAGGCGCATTCAGATGAAAACCGAAATTCACCCGTGGTTGGTCGAACAGTTCAGAGTGCCCCGGATCATCCGATTGATCTTGATCACCAAGAGGCCAAAGAAAAGCCAACCCCAAATCCAAAGTCACAGCGCAGTCCCGACACAGACCAAGGCCGCCAGTCTTCGGCGCTGCCGACAACTCCAGTCCCAGCCTCAGCTGAGGATCCCATCGTGCAAATTCTTATTACCTCTGAGATTCCAAATTCGAAGTCATTGATGGTGCATCGCAGAATGTCCCAGGGGCTGAAAGACGTGCGCTTGGAATGGTGTAGGCGCCAAGCTATTTCTACCGAGCTCCAATCCTCTGTTTACTTCACATGGCGAGGCCGGCGTCTTTTCGACGTTACAACATGCAAGAGTCTCGGAGTGAAACCCAATAAGAACACTACTAGTTCTACTAGTGGACTTTTGGGCATTGGGGACGACCCTGTCTCAAAGGAGGAAGAACAAGAAAAACTCCAAATCCATGTGGTAGCAACTACCGATAACACCGATCTACTTCGCCGACCTGGACCTGTCACAACGTCTGGTTCTGGCGCGGGAATCATAAACCCCAACACATCAAACACTGAAGACGCCTCGCCCAATCCAGAGGACCAGCAAAATCAACTGCTGAAGCTGATATTACGAAGTGCCGACCTCGACGATCTTAAGATCAAAGCCAGGCCAAAGACACTCGTGTCCAAATTGATCTCGGCATTTCGCGATAAACACGGAATTGCCATGGACCAAGATCTATTGATTCATTTTGACGGAGACCGATTGGATCCCGACACCCAGCTCCAGGAACATGATATTGACGACCTAGATATGTTGGAGATTCAGGTCAAGCCGCGAGACTAGGCACCATGACTTATGGTGAATTCCTCGGGGGTCATCAAATAAGCCTTCTACTCTTAGAAGCTGGAACTGCTTTGTGCCCTAAGTCGGATAATGACGAGATACCCAACCACGACTTCAGCAATATATCCCCGCCATAGTATGACTCCGAGACAGGTCAAATGCAATAATATGAAAATCTACATGAGTTTTTCTGCGATGCTCATTAGCTAAGCGTTGGAATCTACGACTTACGGAATATAATCCTTACAATTAAAACGCGAATACTACTAGTATACTACGCCCAATGTTCTTTCACACATCGTACTCATTCCATTCTTATACTTAAACCTTTAGGTTCCCATTTAGGGTATTCAGTGGCAGCGGGGTACTATTCTTATCGATAAGAAATCAAGATCACATGACACTATAGTCCGTGGGGCGTGAACTTCTTTTTTTCCGCCCATCAAACCCAACATCAAATTAAAACAGCCAATCCAGATCCAATCAATCACAGTCATGAAAGTCATCACAGCCAACTTCGTGACCTGCGCCGTCAAGGAGTGCAAGACCACCGCCACCTCCTTCCCTCTACACTTCCACGACGCCGAACTCGAGCTCCAAGAAGTCGACTTCCAGCCCGAATTTATCCGCAACGTCATTCCTCGCATTGATTGGGAGGGTCTGCGAACTACTGCGAACGAGGTACGAAACCTTGGGGGAAGTGCATTGCATTGCGTTGCATTGTGCGCGTGCGCGTGGGTGTGGATGTGGGTAGTGCTGACTTATTGCTCGATGTAGTTGGGATTCCCCAGTCTCCCAGAAACCAAGCCAGAAGGCGACGAGCTCACCAACGAACAAACGCTAAAGGACCTGCATCGCCTTCTGCTAGAGACCCAGGTTATGGAGGGCAAGTTGGTTTGCGGAACGTGTGGGCATGCATATGCGATTAAGGAGGGTATTGCCAATTTCTTGCTCCCGAGTCACTTGGGTAAGTTCCGAATTGAATTCCGCTCTTGGGGGAGGTGAAACTTCCATTCCTGTATGCTGATGGTTTCACACAAGTCTGAACGTGATCCGATACAATTAGTCGTTTGAAACGATGCAAAAAAAAAAGAAACAGAAAAAGAAAAAGCGAAGGCATCGCCTTTGCTTTCCCCTCCTACTCAATCGATACCCCACTTGAATTCCTCGAAGAAACGCCAATTCGCTGCTCAGCCAGCACTTTCAATTACACATACAGACCACAGTTACAATGGCCAAGGCCAAGGCCAGGCCAGGCCAATGCGCGCAAAGCAAAGCAAAGAAAAAAATAGAAAGGAAGCTCTGAAATTTTGGTATTATACATGTTGTAGCGCTTGAAATCATGACGACCTTCATTGTTACAGGCCCCGGATGAAATGCTCCGACCATCCGATCAAAAACGCCAACCTCCCAGAACGAGAACGCCACGAGATGAAAGATGCATCGAATATTCCCCTTGTCCTCCTTAGTTGAGGAATCCTTTGCAGCCAGTTGAACCACATAAACACGGGATACGATCATCACTACCCCACTCCCTTTCGAACTTGTAATCGTATGTGAGCTCCTCATCTAGACAGAAAAAGAATTAGCAATGTTCCCGCAAGATCGTTGTCGATGTAAGTGTATAGCTGTAGGTGTAGCTGTAGGTGTACTGTACATACCTCTCTCGATGTCTCTGAGCGCGTAAATCACAATACGTTTACTGCCATCGACCTTGATGATCTTGGCGGTACAATTGGGCGTGCAGCTATGATTGATGAACCGCGCGATTCCACCCCTCTTCGTCGCATCAATGACCGTATTCTCATCAATTCGGAACAGATAACTGCTGCCAATCCCACTCTTGAGATATCGTCGTTCTCGCATATCGGCAACTTGCTGCCGAACCTTTTCACCAACATACTCGATAATCATGTCATTGGCCGTGATATTCTCCTCGGCGTACAGGCCCCAGTTATGGATAGCAGAGCGCGCGAATCGAACAGGCTTCTTCCGTTTCTTAAGCTGGTTGAAGCGAAGAACATCGCCCTCACCACTGGACGTGGGAAGCGCCTGCTTCTGAGCATTAATGTCGGCAATGAGGCGGCGGTTGTTGACGCGGGTTGATCGCGAAGTCGATTTGGAGATCGTCTTTGCTGCTGCGATTCTGGCGGCTTCGGCCGCTGCGGCTTGCGGGTCGGCTTTGGCCATTGCCTCGCGTTCTTCGCGGGCTTTCTGGACCTTGATGCGGTGGGGAAGGTATTTCGATTTCTCCGAGTTGAGGATTCTTTTGCGGCCTTCGGTTCGCGCGGCGCCTGTGCTGTTGGGTACGTAGTAGCCCGCGATGCCGATCGAAGTGTGTATCGGGCCGCTTGTGCCGTGGTTGAGGGCCTTGATCTCTTTCTGTCGCCAGGCCCATGCTGCCAGACTTTCGATCTGGGATGCGGTTTGGTCGAGCAGGATTTGTCGGAGGAAACGGAGATCTTCGTCGTCTTTCACCAGGTGCTGCCAGCCATCCAAATCCAAGATCATAGTCTCGTCATCTTCAACTGTGGCACGTGGTTCGTCTTGGGATACGCCCCACTGAACCTCCGCCTTTGGTATATCGATAGCAGTGGGTTCTTCTTCTTCCACGGACACGTCGTCAAGCAGAACGTCTTTAACAGATGCACGCTCGGCAAGCTCGTCCTGCGGCAATTGATCAAATGAGGTAGTCTCATCCCGAGCGAGTGAGGAGTCGATGGATGGGGCAGCCTCGATATGTTTAGTACGAAGCGTCTCATCCCCTGACTCCATACCGAATAGCTCGTCATCTTGTCTTTGGCGCTTTCTCGCATCATGTTCATCAGTCAATCGTTTCCTCTTACGTCCAGGCGAGAGCGTCTCGACATCAGGAACAGAAGTATCTTCCGTAGGGGTGACATTTTTCGAGGCATCAGATTGGTATTCCTCCTCTTGATCCGACTCGGAATCCTCATCAGAACTTGCTCGACTTGGGGGCCGGCTACTCCTCTCCTCGGTATATCGAGTGAGAGGGGTACGCTGATCATCATCCGAATCGTCATCATCATGCATTTGTTGCAGGCGATGATAAAGAGGACGGATTTCCCTCTTTCGCAGAGGTTGGCGCCTTCTCTCATCCGTAAAGGCAGTGCCCGCACGGTCCGAGCCATGGGATTTGCGGATACGCGGAAGATCAAGGACATTAATGCCCGATGATCGGTGTTGATCTCGGGACTTTGAAATTTCAGATCCGGAGTCTTGGCCACCGAGCGTAGTGTCACCAGCCCCAATGCGGAACATGGGACGTTTGGTACCCTCGGGCCCGGGGATTCCCAGCTTCTCTCGCCTCGCTGCATGCTTTTCTGGATCAAGATAGTCGTATAATGTCGGTGCAGCGATCCGTGATTTGACATCTTCCAGCAATTTGTCTCTCAGATCACGGATAATAATAGAAAGAACTTCTCGGCAGGGGTCTAAGTCAAAAGCACGCTGCTTTTTCTCCTCTTCAATATCCAACTCAGCCTCTTTTCGGGCCCGGTCCTGTTTGGCCTTGGCCTTTTGCTCGGCCCGGAGCCGCTCGGGGCTTGGACTGCGCACGTAGTTGGGGTTGCCAAAAACTTGACTTTCCATGTTCATAATATAGGTAAAGAGAGGCTGCATATGACACAACCGGAAGCAGCGTGATGCTTCTTCTTCGCCTCGCCGTGAATTGTCGAAAATAATGTAATAGCCAGTCTTGTCGCAACGAATCACCTTGTAGTCGAAAAATTTGAGACGTTTCTTAAGGTGCGGAATCGTGGTTCCGAGGACAGGAACATAGCAATGGGCGATGAAGATGTAGGGTTCCCGTTTAAGTTGAGGCAATACTGGGGCCTCTTCGATTAGCGATTGCTGCACCACAGGAGATCGAACAGTGGCTCTTGGTCCTTCTGGCACAACGAGTCCAGGACGCAGAGATGACTTCCCTGAAGGACCCTTTGGCGCGGAAGGTGGTGGCTCGTTCTTTTTCGCCAGGGCTTCGACTTTGGCATCCACCGTTGTCGATGTGCTTCTGGAAGCCAGCCTCTGTGACTCGATGGTTTTCAAAGCCATGCGCTCGGAGACAATCCCATCGCGATCCAGTTCAACGCGGATCCTCTTCGTTCCGATCCGTTGTTCCTTCTTGCATTCGAAATATGCCCGCCTTGCCGAACTCGAAGCCGAGACCGGACCCGCGCCACGAAAAGAAGTCGTATCTTTATATTTGATGGAACAGATCCCCAGGAATCGGCCCGTGATGGGATCTGTGCGGTTCTTAATCTCCGCTATGTCACCGAAGCTGGAAAAGAGCGCAGTGATCGGAGCGACTGGCGTGAGGGGGTCGAAGCCCGTGACAACGACCTGAATGGGCGGACCCGGTCCAATGCTTGTCGCTGCATCATACGGCCAAGGCTTGAGGTAGTAGGGGGCGGGTCGATATTTAGCTTTTTGCTTGCAGCCGGAGCCACGGGTGTAGTTGGCGATGGCTAGGCGTGGGTCCGGAGGTCTGGCTTGGCCATTGACGAGGATATCGGTATATTCAGGTTTCTTCTTTCTCTCCTTCGAGCCCCGCTTATCTAGATCCGGGTCGTAGATTGCTTTGGAGACCTTGACCACATGATCTTGGCGAGTTTGCGATTGCGGAGTGGGCGGGGTGTGAATTGGGGTCATGGAGGATTTGGACGGTTCCAATGAGCGATCGCCATGATTATCCGGCGATCCATCTGCAGCCATTTTCGACTGCGGGCTGGTGACTTTCCGAGGCGGGGACGGTTCTGCATTTGTGAGGGGTGTCAAGGTATCAATGTGGGGATGGGTGGTCGCCGAGGCTGGGAGAAGGCCCGCGAGGTGAGATTCTTGAGGTAATGCATGTTCGGAGTTGGTCGCGCTTGGTTCTGACTCTGTTTGAACATTCACTTCCTCCCTAGCAGGGACCGACGAAGTTATAGCGGCCGGAGCGGCGGCAGATGTGGAAGTGGATATAGAGGATGCGGCGAGGGCCGGTAAAGCGGTGGTGTCGGTAGAGTCGCCATCCACATCTCTGTCTCGCCGGTCATGTCCTGCCTTGACGCGCTTACGTTGCAAAACCGAAGGAGCCGTGGGGAAGAAGTCTGCAAAGCCGGCCGAGGCGCGTGACATGGTGAGAGGTGGCTACACGCCCGAAACGACCGCGCGATCACCAGACAGCATCCTTGACCACAAGATTGTTATTGCGAGCTCATATGACCGGGAGAAGCGTCCCAGCGCAGCAAGCGGCGATAATTGGGACGAGGAGATGAAAATGGAGAAAGGGGTAACAAAGGAGCCGCGCAGGATGCAATTCGCGCGGTCTTGTCAAAAGGTTTTTGCAGGGCAGCGCGCGCGACTGAAGGGGGAGGCGGTGAGGTAGAGTGGGGGAGTTGACCGCCTTGATGAGGTAATGAGGTTTAGCTGTAAGGCAGTAAGGCATTAAGGCAGTAAGGTGTCGACCCGACTAATATTATCTGACTAAGACTGGATGTCATCTTTTTGCCTCAGGCATCCAGGCACAAAACAAACAATGCAAATACGGAAAAAAAATAAAGAGACAAAGCGGTCGGTCTAATTTGCTGTCCGTGGATCTCTCTCTCGGACTAAAGATCCCTTTTACGCTTCTTTCATTGTAGCACTAGTCTGCATGATGAGGCAATGTTGAAAGAAAGAATGACAGGGAAAGAATGACTAGGAAAAAAAAAAAAAAAAAAAACAAGGTTTGACCATTGCCATGCAGAAATCCATCGCCATCTCCGAAAGGGGTGGCTTAGCAGGGCAAAAATAGCATCAATGGTGCCTCCATTATGGGGGAGGGGGGGCAATAGCCGGGTGGAATGGGTCAATGTCTCTGATAGTAAAAATAAACATATCAATTTGCCGTTCCCCTGGAAGCGAATTCGGTTCCTGAGTTCAAGTTTGACCAGCAGTCTACTACTAAGTACTCCGTACCTAGGTACCTCATGACATTCATGATAAAATCCGAAACATATTCCAAGTTTTCTGTACCTGGGTTTGGAAAGAGGGGTTCACGTTTCGATAGGGTTCCACTCAATTGATGATTTTATTGTTATTGTTATGATTATTGTTATGATACATAGAAAACAAAACAAAAAAAAAAAGAATCACGGAACACGGAGTTCCCATAAATTCTCAATTTTCTCCGATTCACTCACTTATTTCTCACTAGCCTTACTCAGAAGTGGGGAGCTGAAGGGGATTTCCATGGGAAGTACCAATGGAGTACCATCTGAGACATGTGCATTGGCCCGGCAGCTTCCCTGTGGATTGAGGGGAGCTAATAATATCGCCCCTCCCTTCTTGCCCTTCTTGCTCTTCCCCCCTCTATAAATACGATTCAGCCTCTGCTGTTGTCTTTCTGAAACTCTCTCCCCCTCCTCCTTCAACTCTTCTCTCTTCATCACTTTCTCCTCCCCCATTAAATCAATTACCAACCTAATTTATCCCCTTTTATAATCCTCTTTGTTTTTTTGCCCATCATGTGGTATGTGGCAATCTCTCCTTCTCTCTCTTTTCCCCACTTTGCGGTGTGATGATGGCTAACCTTGCAATCTCAGTGGAATCTTTGGCTACATCAACTACCTGGTCGAGCGGGACCGCCAGTTCATCATTGACACACTTCTCAATGGTGAGTGAAGGATTTCTTTGATAGTTGGCTTTTCTCCATCTTGACTCCCCCCCGCTAACGTGTTCTCTTTCCTCCCCCTCTAGGTCTGTCCCGACTGGAATACCGCGGCTACGATTCCGCTGGTATGGCCGTGGATGGTGACAAGAAGAACGAAGTCCAAGCTTTCAAGGAGGTTGGCAAGGTCGCTAAGCTGAGGGAACTCATTGCCGAGAGCAAGCCCGATATGACCAAGAGCTTCGAGTCCCACGCTGGTATCTCTCACACTCGTTGGGCTACCCACGGCACACCTACTCGTCAGAACTGCCACCCCCACCGGTATGTGATTACTAGCAGAAAGCTCAAGTCATATTGTATTGTTACTAACAAAAGCCATTTACACAGATCTGATGCCAACTGGGAGTTCGCTGTCGTCCACAACGGTATTATCACCAACTACAAGGAATTGAAAGCCCTTCTGGAGTCCAAGGGCTTCCGCTTCGAGACTGAGACCGATACTGAGTGCATTGCCAAGCTCGCCAAGTACCTCTACGATCAACACCCAGACATCGAATTCACTGTCCTGGCCAAGGCTGTGATCAAGGAGCTCGAGGGTGCTTTCGGTCTGCTGCTCAAGTCCGTCCACTACCCCCATGAGGTTATCGCCGCCCGCAAGGGTTCCCCCGCTGGTCATCGGTGTGCGTACCTCCAAGAAGATGAAGGTTGACTTTGTCGATGTCGAGTACTCCGAAGAGGGTGCTCTTCCTGCGGAGCAGGCCTCCCAGAACGCTGCCATCAAGAAGTCCTCTGCTAGCCTTCTGGCTCCCCCTGACAAGTCCCTGCTGCACCGCTCCCAGTCCCGGGCTTTCCTTTCCGATGACGGTATTCCTCAGCCGGCTGAGTTCTTCCTGTCTTCCGACCCCTCGGCCATTGTCGAGCACACCAAGAAGGTTCTCTACCTGGAGGATGATGACATTGCTCACATCCACGAGGGTCAGCTGAACATCCACCGTCTGACCAAGGATGACGGTACCTCCAACGTCCGTACCATCCAGACCATTGAGCTGGAGCTGCAGGAGATCATGAAGGGCAAGTTCGACCACTTCATGCAGAAGGAGATTTTCGAGCAACCCGAGTCCGTTGTCAACACCATGCGTGGTCGTCTCGATGCTGTCAACAAGAAGGTTACCCTGGGTGGTCTTCGCCAGTACATCTCCACTATCCGTCGCTGCCGTCGTATCATCTTCATTGCCTGCGGTACTAGCTACCACTCTTGCATGGCTGTCCGTGGTGTCTTCGAGGAGTTGACTGAGATCCCCATCGCTGTCGAGCTGGCCTCGGATTTCCTGGACCGACAGGCACCTGTCTTCCGTGATGACACCTGTGTCTTCGTCTCCCAGTCTGGTGAGACTGCCGACTCCCTGATGGCCCTCCGCTACTGCCTGGAGCGCGGTGCCCTCACCGTCGGTGTGGTCAACGTCGTTGGATCTTCTATCTCCCTCCTGACCCACTGTGGTGTCCACATCAACGCCGGTCCCGAGATCGGTGTCGCCTCTACCAAGGCTTATACCTCGCAATTCGTTGCCATGGTCATGTTCGCTCTTTCTCTTAGCGAGGACCGAGCCTCCAAGGCCAAGCGCCGCGAGGAGATCATGGAGGGTCTCGCCAAGATCTCAGAGCAATTCCGTGAGATTCTCAAGCTGAACGAATCCATCAAGGACATGTGCGCCAAGTTCTTCAAGGACCAGAAGTCCCTGCTGCTCCTTGGCCGTGGTGCTCAGTTCCCCACTGCTCTGGAGGGTGCCCTGAAGATCAAGGAGATCTCATACCTTCACTGCGAGGCCGTTATGTCTGGTGAGCTGAAGCACGGTGTTCTGGCCCTCGTTGACGAGAACCTGCCTATCATCATGATCCTCACCCGTGACAACCTCTTCACCAAGTCCCTGAACGCATACCAGCAGGGTGAGTAAACCATTCCTCTAACCAAGTCAAGCCATATTTTCCCAAGAATCACCAGCTAACATTTTATTTCCAGTCATTGCTCGTGGTGGCCGTCCCATTGTCATCTGCAACCCCGAGGACCCCGAGTTCTCCTCCGCGCAGACCGAGAAGATCGCCGTCCCCAAGACCGTTGACTGCCTCCAGGGTCTGTTGAACGTTATTCCCCTGCAGCTGGTTTCCTACTGGCTCGCCGTCGGCGAGGGTCTCAACGTCGATTTCCCTCGTAACCTGGCCAAGTCGGTTACTGTCGAATAAACATGGGTAGAAAGAGGGCTTCCTCTGGAGTAAACGACTGCGATGATCTTGATATCTTTAGGTGTTTCTTAGCTTTGCTGTCTTATTCCAAATTCAAATTTCTTTTTGTTCTCTCAATCCAGTCCAGCATGAAGTATCATCAAGTAATCCATGTGTAATCCAAGTGTAATCTGTGAAATTCCATCCCTGTCCTCCGTGGCCACTCTCCATTTTGCCGTATTCGGCCACACCCTCCGCCTTCCCCCACCAAATGCGGGACGGATGTTTTCTTCCCCCTTGTACATTGTAACCAACTCTCCGCCCCATTCCATCCCGGGCAAACAACAATCCCATTCTCAATCTCACTCTGATCTAAATATACACCCACATCCACAATGACACCCATCAAAGGTCCCGGAGCAGCCCAATCCCACGACGGTACGCACCTTCCAACGTCATCCCCCCCCCCGCACCGCACCGCATCGCACCACCTAACAGCCCGACCTAGGAACCGGCCTCCGCGTCGCAATCATCCACGCAAGATGGAATGAGCAAATCATTGAGGCTCTCGTCTCCGGCGCAAAGAAGCAACTCCTCGCCGCCGGCGTGACGGAAGAGAACATCACCGTCGAAACCGTTCCCGGCAGTTACGAATTGCCCATCGGTGTTCAGCGGTAAGTTCAAGCTCGCCACGCCAGCCATATATACCTAGCTACCTCTGTATATATATATAATACTTCGCTAACTCACCCCAGCCTCTACGCAGCATCCCAAGTCCAAGCCTCAGCCGGTGAAGGCATCAGCGCCTCGGACCTCCTCTCATCCAGCACGACAGACCTTAAGACGACCGCGACGACCGCGCCGAAGAAAGCCTTCGACGCCATCATCGCCATTGGCGTGCTGATCAAGGGCGCGACGATGCATTTCGAGTATATCGCTGACGCGGTTAGTCACGGGCTTATGCGGGTGCAGCTTGATTCGGGCGTTCCGGTTATCTTTGGCCTTTTGACTGTTCTTACTGAGGAGCAGGGTCTTGAGCGGGCGGGGTTGGGAAGCAGTGGGATGCATAATCATGGTGAGGATTGGGGGAGTGCGGCTGTTGAGTTGGGTGTTAAGAGGAGGGAGTGGTTGGAGGGGAAGATTAACTAGACTAGATTAATCTAGGTCTAGATCCAGATCTAGAGTTCAATTGAAGAAAACCCGCTTGGGGTAAGAAAGAAACGGGGTGAAGCTTGACAAGCTTGTTGTGTATTGTTTACGCAGCAGAAATCATAAAAATAACCTTAGCGCAAGATTCTTATCTATTACGCGATATCTACCTTACTCCTCCATCTTCTCCTCTTCGTCCTCGTCCTCGCCCTCCAAGGCCCTTCTCGCAGCCTTCTCCGCCTCCTCGCGCAATTCCTTGGGGACTTCCTCATGGCGGCCCTTAGTCGGACCATCAACCGAGGAAATCCATGACATCTCGAGCTCGAATTCCTTGTCCTTGCTATCCTCGTGCGCGACGTAGATGATCCGAGCTGCTTCCTTCACGCCGTCCGCGAGTGAGAGGTTGCCGGAGCTTAGGTCGAGTTTTTCCAGTTCGGCTTTCGCGGCTTGTCGGCCTTTACCGGTTGCTGCGCCGTAATAGCCCTAGATTAGATGCCGCGTTAGTATCGAATCGAATCAAATCAATTGGCGTCAACCAAGTTCCCGCACCACGTAGGGTGTCAGGGTTGAGCTAGCTGGGATAAGGTGCTGCCTACCCAATAGAGTCCACTGGGCTCAATCATGTATAGTCCCGGACCACCACCCTTAGCACCCTCGACCTTGCCGCCAGAACCAGAGGCCGGCCCGGTGCCGACCTGGCCGTCGACTGCTAGTTCTGCCTCGCTGTCCCAGCCGCCGACGATGGCGGTTGTGCCGAATGGTCGTACGCTTGAGTAGAGTGTGTAGGCTTGTACGTAGCCGCCGAGGCGGTTGGCGAGTGCGGAGGTCGGGATGGGTCCCTTGTAGACGCCTCTCCAGGAGGAAGCTTCGTCTCGGGCTCTGGAAACGAAATGGCGGCCGTCGGGGACGAGGCCAGCAGAAACCTGTAAGAAAATGGGGAGTTAGAAAGCAGTCGCATGGACAAGCAAGGCTCTCGGGTGTGGGATTGGATTGGATTGGATTGCCAGGGCCGTCCCGATTCGATTCGATTCGACTCGACTTCCGGGATGGGGTCGATAGGTGAGCTTACAATTCCGACATGACGATCGACGGTCGCGATTCTCTTATTAGCGCCGGGCTTCAGGAGCTTGCTCGTGATGATCTTTTCCACTGCCAACACAACACCGTCCTTGCATCGGATGCCGACAGCTGTGCCTCCGTTCTCGACAGCCTTCACGGCGTATTCAACCTATGCAGTCCCCATCGTCAGCTAGGAAGCTTCCCTCGAGCTTGGGAAAACCTGGCGTGTAGGTTCGCTTACCTGGAAATTGCGGCCATCGGGCGAAAAGACCGAGTTGGAAAGGTCGTAGCCCGTACCAATTGACGTCTATGTACCAGCCTCATTAGTCTCGGAACGCGAGAACACCGAATCAAACCAGAAAAGAACAGGGACAGACCATGATCGTAATGTATGAAATGTGAAAGAGCTCCTAAATTGTATTGGACGCTAGGTGGGAAACAAATGGAGCTTGGAGGAAGGAGGTCGCGATGATGGAAGATAGCTCTCACTCTCTCTCTCTCTTCCGCTCTCCAGCCAGCAGCCAGCTTGCGTCACGGGGTTAATCATGTGACCATATCAGACAAGCGCGGCCCAACGGGGAAATGGTCACTTTCTTAGGCATCTAGCGGGGATCGGGGGGGTAAATGGAGGGGGGGGTTTATTTTTTTTTATAAATCCTGATTCTTGTTTTCTCTTGCGCACATTCAGATTCCCGCTTTTGCATCTATTCACAGCAGGACTGTGTTTCCCCGGTATTTGGAATCTGTACTATTTACATCTATCTATTCTCATCTCCTCCTACGATACCCTACCCTATCCTTCAACATTCGATCGTGTATTCTTTTTTCTTTCTCCTTTCGGAAATACACAAAACAGAGACCGCCATGTCTTCTTCGATCTTACACCAGTGTCCCTCCTGCGGCCATATTTCAGATATCTCTCAGTCCCTGGCTGCATTTATCGAGAACCCTCACTGTACCCAGGTAGTCTTGTCTTGTCTCCTGACTTACTCCAAACCCCCATGACCAGGACACAACAGCCTGACGAGGCCCATCTCTGTTTTAGTGCGGAATGTCAGCGTCAGAAAGCAGCAGCAAGATCCAAGATGAGTTGGCAATGCTATTCGACCGCCAAATGACCATGAGCATGACACCCACACACGACGAAGCAATCCCGATATCCCAACCGAACCAGAACCAGAACCAAAACCTCACCTACAGCATAACACAGCACTACAATCACTCAGCGCACGTAGCCTCATCAGCCCCAACAACCTCAACCCTACAAGCAACCAACCAAGCAGACTCACTGGCGCCGGTGCAAGATATCCACGCCGTCCTCCGGCACAACGGCCTAGACCCCGCTACCTTTTCCGTGGGCCAGCTCGAACTATTCCGGAACGCGGACGCAGCGCAGCAACAGCGTTTAATCCAGACTTGGCAGTTCTATAGCACGCCGCACTCGTCTCCGTTGCAGGATATGGACATGAATGACGACGCAATGGCGGAGTTTGTCGAGTATCATGGCGAGCAGGCGGAGCCGTATATGAGTTCTGGGTATGGAGTGGAAGCGGTGGAAAATGCTTCGCCGGTGGAACCTTCGACTGGAAAGCCGTATGACTCTTCTACGGATCCAGTGTATAGGGGGGCGCAGGAGTGGTGGGAGATGCCAAGGACTAGTAGTATGGAGTCGCAGTATGGGTTATTCGAGGAGCGGAGTCGGCATTACTCGAACTCGGACTCGACATGGCAGCCGCAGGTGGGACGGTGCTTCCACTGAACTGGTTGGTCATGACCAGGAGGGGGGGGGGGGATTCAATGATAGCGTTGGTTTGTTAATCACGGCTTTAGCTACAGTTTGTTTTAACTTTTACTCGATCTTAGGCAACGGAAGTACAGCACAGCATACATAGTACAGTACAAGAGCTAGACGAGTTGTCATTACTGAAGGACAGAGGGAAGAATCGCATCAAATTGACCACATGGATCATGAATTCTGTAAGTTTTCATAGATACGTAGATCGACATAAGTCAAAATCATAACAAATGCACTACACTGCACAGCACAGGCAGAGAGTAATAAACAAGAGTAGAAGAGAAGAGAATAGAATAGTGGCGCCACAGCCAAAAGGATAAATGAGCGTGCGCCATGGCCAGATCACGTATTCGCCTAACCCTCAAGTTCCCTTGAAGTCGCGTATCGAAACATGGGCCGTCGAACTAGCCCATTCCAGCACTGGGGCTGACTGAATGACATCGCCGCGGAAACTTGTGTTGTATTGACTGCGAAACCGGGTCAGTATGGAGTAAATCGATTGAATGGAAGAAGACGTACAATTTACTCCTCATCATCGAGATCAGCCATGGCATCGGCAAGAGCCTCAGCAGAGCGCTTAACCTCGTCAACGGCCTCGGCAGCACGCTTAACCTTGTAGCAGCCCTGGCCGGGGTGGCCACACCACTTCTGAAGAGCAGCGGGGTGAGCCTCGGCCATAGCTTCGGCGAGAGCGTCGGCGGAACGCTTAACGTCGCCAGTGACATCGGCGGTGCGCTTCATCATGTAGCAGCCCTGACCGGGGTGACCACACCACTTCTGAAGACCGCGAGCAGCGACGGCCTGGGTGGAGCAAGCGACCATAATGGCGAGAGCGACGGAGTAGAACTTCATCTTGATGGATTGGTGGAAAAAGAATTGAAGTGGGTGGATTGGAAAGAATGGATAGATCGAAAGCCGGGCGAAGATGGGATTTTTGCTGGAGATGGATGCGATGAAGAAGATGTAGATGTGCTGGATGACAGCCGGTATTTATATACGCATCGTTGGATGGTAGAGCTGAAGCTTTAGACTCATGGTTGAAGTTTAGCTCAAAGGAGCTATTGAGGTCTGAATTGGGATGATGTGCCAGCAATTGGGATATGTGGTAGTGGGTTGATGAAAGAGTGTTTGCCTGAGCTGGCTTTGAGAGCCTGCTCAAGTTAATGGTTTGCGTATTGAGAAATCATCCATGATTGGGGGATAGGCGTGAATACACTGTGTTAATAGTGAAGGCATTGGAGATGGCGTTTCAAAAGTTCTAGAGTTGTCGAGGGGAGTAATTGAGGAGGTGGACTCTTTGACGGGAAGTCCACGTGTTGTGGAGGTAGCTGCAGGTGTTGACCGGAAACGGGACTCAATAGGGAGGGAAGAGGGTGTCAATAGGTATTATATGTATTGGTGGTATTGAGTGGTACTGATAGGGTACTGACGAGGTAAATATCGAAATATACTATGCTAATAAATATACTATACTATGTTATAGTAAATCTGTCATAATATAGTCAATATACTAGTATACTATACTATACTCCTACGGAGTATACTACGAGTAGATAAGATCGGGCCGGCGCTAACCAGAGTCGCGCGATGCCGAGTCCTCCGGGCCTTTTCTATCCGGTTTTTCCTGCCGCCCCATTTCTCCTCCCCTGCACTCCCCTCCAAACCACCCACTTCAAGGACTTACGGACCACAGTCAAAGAACCTGAAAATGTTCTCCAGAACGGCCCAGCCCGCCCGGGTATGTGAAATCCTTTCTCTACGAGCTCTGCTCCTCCCGGTCGCGTCGCGATTGTAACTGACCTCTTCAGACCCTGCTTCGCAGCGCCTCCGTGGCCCCTACCGCCGGTCGCTCCATTGCTGCGAGATGTATGCTATGCCATTGACCCCCGAGAATACTCTTTGGATTTGAATTCGAATTTTTTGTGGCTAATATCTTGCGACCCAGCCTTCGCCACCGTCCAGTCCGATATCTTCAAGCCTACCAAGTATGGTGGCAAGTACACCGTGACCCTCATTCCCGGTACGTTCGACCAACGCTTCTTCTTTTCCTTCTAAATCGACTCAATAATTACCATTGATCATTGTTGGAGTACGACTGCATGGGCTGGCGAACCGGTCGCTGATATTTTGCTGTTTTAGGTGACGGAATCGGTGCCGAAGTCGCCGAATCGGTCAAGACCATCTTCAAGGCCGACAACGTCCCCATCGAGTGGGAGCAGGTCGATGTTTCCGGTGTCGACACCGGCAACAAGCACTCGGAGGAGCTGTTCAGAGAGTCTCTCGCCTCCCTCAAGCGCAACAAACTCGGTCTGAAGGGTATCCTTCACACCCCCGTCGAGCGCTCGGGCCACCAGTCTTTCAACGTCGCCCTCCGCCAGGAGCTCGACATCTACGCCTCGATCTCCCTGATCAAGAACATCCCCGGCTACAACACCCGCCACAAGGATGTCGACATGTGCATCATCCGTGAGAACACCGAGGGTGAGTACTCCGGTCTGGAGCACCAGTCCGTCCAGGGCGTCGTCGAGTCCCTGAAGATTATCACTCGCGCCAAGTCCGAGCGCATTGCCAAGTTCGCCTTCAGCTTCGCCCTCGCCAACAACCGCAAGAAGGTCACCTGTATCCACAAGGCCAACATCATGAAGCTGGCCGACGGTCTCTTCCGCAGCACCTTCCACAAGGTCGCGGAGAACTACCCCACCCTGGAGGTGAATGATATGATTGTCGACAACGCCTCCATGCAGGCTGTCTCCCGTCCCCAGCAATTCGATGTGCTGGTCATGCCTAACCTTTACGGTGGCATTCTGTCCAACGTTGGTGCTGCCCTTGTCGGTGGTCCCGGTGTTGTTCCTGGCTGCAACATGGGCCGTGACGTTGCTGTCTTCGAGCCTGGTTGCCGTCACGTCGGTCTGGATATCAAGGGTAAGGACCAGGCTAACCCCAGCGCCATGATCCTTTCTGGATCCATGCTGCTCCGCCACCTTGGTCTGGATGACCACGCCAACCGCATCTCCAAGGCGGTCTACGATGTTATCGGAGAGGGGTAAGTTTGCTGCATTGCCGAGTCGCTGCTTCTTTTTCCCATGACCCAATGCTAACAATCCCACAGACAGACACGGACCCGCGACATGGGTGGTCAGGCTACCACTCACGAGTTCACACGCGCTGTCCTCGACAAGATGGAGGCTGCTCTGTAAATTTGAACATCGTCACTTCCCATCACCACCATCCCACCCACTACCGCTACGACTGACGGTGGCTCCGGTTTATCTTGACCTTCCCGCAGTTGATCATGATCCTGCAGGAACCGGGTAGACCGGTGCAATCCTCAATTATGTATTATCTCCCTTTCTCTATTTGACTCGCGATGTCCCTTGGCAAGTTACAGCAATAGACAACTTTTTGCATTGATGAACAACTATCCGTATTTTGTAAATGTAAATGTAACTGTAATTTGATATGCCGCCCAGTCCAGGGCAGCCCAGTAAATAAAATCATATAAGGTCTTAAGTGGCATTGTCATGACATTCCCCGTAGAACAGAGCAGAGCAGAGCCACCAGGCCCAATTGAATTTTGTAGGGGTATCGTGTGTTGGTAAGTGAAAGTGAAAGTGAAAGCGAAAGGGCAAAAGGACATCGAAAGGAACTTCCAGCAGAGCAGAGCATAGCCCCAAAGTCCCCATGTCCATGTCCATGTTTTCTCAAAAAACAATCCGTCTCTTCCGACCCGTATACTTCGAATTAAGCTTCACAACCTTCCCCTTCTTCTCCTGCTGATCCTTCTTCTTCATAATCCACGCCCGATCGCCCTTCCTCGGCGCCCTGCCCTTATTAATCTCCGCCGCCTTCCTCCTCGCGTCCAAAACACTAACATCATCCATCCCATTGACAACGCCAGTAATATCCCCCTGCAACCCACCCCCACCAACAGTAAGAACAAGGTAAAGCTTCGCATTCTTAGTCCCGGGGTCATCTTCAAGCATACCAGCGCCAAACCCAGCCTTGATAGCCGCCTGGCTAATCATACTCCGCTGAATATCATTTTTAGGATAAAACTGGCAAACCGCCCGACCCCCCCGTCTAAGCGACGCATAAAGGCCCTCGAAAAACCGCTTCAAACGGCCTTCCGGACTCACGTCTGAAGTCTCGGCGTTACACAGCCACTGGATTGCAGAGATGGAGATCGCGGCGTCAAATGAGCCGGGTCGGAAGGGTACGCCTTGTCCGATGTCGGCGAGGAATAGGTCGCCCTCGACTTCGCGCTGTAGTGCGACGTCGAGCATGGAGGGCGAAACGTCCATTCCGACCCATGTGTGCGGTCCGCCGTGTTCGGGCTCTTCTTGCGAGAGGATTTCGCCGCTTAGACCTGAGCCGCAGCCGATGTCTAGGATGAAGGAGGGTGATTTCAGGTCTAGGAGTTCGAGGGCTCGGTGGGTCATGTCTGCTTGGATGTTCCGGATTCGGGAGGAGGTTGTGTATTTGCGGGATTCATTGTCGTTGTAGAAGAGGTCTGGTGGGCTGGAGGGAGTTAGCTTTTTCCCTCTCGTTTCTTTGCGTGGAGCATTGCGTCTAGATCGTACAGGATATCTTCGGGGCGCGACATGGCTGCGTTTTGTGTGTGTGTTTAGCTGTGTGAAAATGGAATTGGATAAGATCTTGAAATTCCCAGGATCTTTTTTTTTGCGATTGGAGTGGGGGGGCGGTGGCCTCAGGCAGAAATTGTACCCGAAAGCGTCATCATTGATGAACTTCATAAAGTCAAGGTGTCCTCCTTCTACAACCCACCCAATTCCCTCCATCCCGCCATTTCTTTCACCATGTGGATTCTACCACTGGTAGGGTATCTCGGGGTAATAGTAGGATTTTCATTCCTAACCCTCGCCATCGGTCCGTCACTCTAATCCCATCCAGTCTCTCTCTCTTTCCAGTATCTACTATTTACTAACACCACTCCAGCATCGGGCCTCTACTATCTCTCCGAACTAGTCGAAGAACACACAGTCCTAGCCCGAAAACTCCTAACCCGCCTAATCTACGCCATAATCACCGTCCAAGTGCTGCTGACTTTAATCGACGGATTCCCACTCTTCCTCTCCGCCCTCGCCATCGGCTCACACCTCGTCTACGCCAGCAATCTGCGCCGCTTCCCAATCGTCAAACTATCCGACCCCCTCTTCCTCCTATCCTGCATCCTGGTCCTTCTAAACCACTGGCTATGGTTCCGCCACTTCTCCAAGCCGCCAACCCCGTCGCCCAGCCGCGCGGGTGATAGTAACTGGCGCCAGCCGTACTCGGTCAGTTACGCGGATATGCCTTCGTTCTCCGAGGTGGCGAGTTACTTCGGGCTGTGTGTGTGGTTAGTTCCGTTTGCGCTGTTCGTCAGTTTGAGTGCTGGCGAGAATGTCTTGCCGAGCATGGGGTCGGAATATGCGACTGCTACTGCTAGTGCGAGTGCTAGTGCGCCCAGGGGCGCTGGAGGAATGGGTCACAGTCGTGGATTCTCGGATGGGAGGTCTAAGAATAAGGGGATGGCTAAGGCTTTGGTTGATAATGCTTCGGATTGGGTGAGGGAGAGTGGGGAGGTTATGGGGTTTTGGAGGGGTGATCAGTCGAAGAGGTTTTGAGTGCGCCTTTTTACACTTTGCTGCAGACTCGGAGTATCTATTTGTCTGATGATGTGAAATGAGCCTGAAGTACCCCAGGTATAAAGTATACATATGTCCAGTTCAGATACATGTCAACGAAAGTAAATGATTTAGTCAAGCTCTTTTCCTGGGCTGTGCTGTACTGTAGCTACGAACGATGACGGTGGGAAATCTGAGCCGTGAAGAGTGGTATAGATTCAAGTTCCAGAAAGATGTCAAAAATAACTTGAAAATGAAGAGAGACCTGTAGGAAGAAAAAGAAGGTGGATAGAAAAAAGAAAACTTCATCAAAAAGCGGCAAAAGAAAAGAAGAAAAGAAACGAAGAAGAAAAAGAAGAAAAAAGGGAGTGAAGAAAAGAAAAGAAAAAGGGGGTATAACGATAAATCAAATAGAGATTTCCAACGTCAACATAGGCCATATTGCAACCTCATCCTAATTACCATTATCATTAAAAAAAAGGCATTTCCCTCACGACTTGTTGCTTGTTGCATTGCCTTGCAATGCCAATCGGTGGGTACAAAAAATCATCTCATTCCGCGTGCAAATCGTGAATAAATCAATGGGAGGGGGAGGGCAAGTATAGCTCGGAATATAGAGAGGAACGGCCGAAGCAAGCCAGTGCTCGAAAATGTGGAATATGGCGAGGCAAATTTTGCCCATGTAGAGTATGCGTGTCATTTATCTGCCCTGCTGGTGTGTGTAATCATCAGGTGCGTCTAGGCATCACTGGTCAGTAAAAGCGAAAAGGAAACACCATCAAGTAGACGTACAGTTTTCCATAAATAGCATCGAGCTTTCACGTCTTTTTGTCTTGGCTGAACGCGTGTCATCGGGGCTAGATAACATTCCGTTCAACGAAGAAAATGGAGCATCAGCCCCGGCCCCGGCCCCGGCAGCATGTTGGTTGTAAATGTCCGGTCCAGGTCCAGATCTGGATGCTTGCTGATGCTGATGCTGATGCTGATGTTGATGCTGATCGTAGCTTGGCTGCATAGAGATGAAGCCCGTATCATTGGGATTGTGAGCTCGGGACGGATCATAACCGCCCTGCTGTGCCTGTGCATGCTGTACATCGCCCGCACCCGGGCCTCTGAACGAGGTCTGGTTATAAGAAGGGGTAGGTATATCCGAGAACATCTGATGACGGGGAGAGCGGACATCATCCGCAGATAAACTGTTGTCAACAGTCAACTCTACAGACGGAACGGACGTAGCTCCGGCGTCACCGAAGATACTTTCGAAATCGGTGAGGAACATGGAGAAAACGGGGGCCGGGATATTGAGCGTAGGAGCGAAGACGATTCCGACATTTCGAACTGTCATCTTGTTCACGTCGGAGTTGTTGACGATTTCAATCAGGAATAGCGATAGAGCGCGGAGCAGGGACAGATTCGGGCGCGGGAGTCGATGGATCAGTGCGTTGAATGCGTAGATCTTCTTCTGCTTGTCGTCGAGTTCAAGGACACGGAGGAAATCCAGGTGCAGTTCACGAGTAAGAACAGTCGTCGGAAGTTCGCGGAGATATTGCTTGAACAGAGAAGCAACAGCATGGACATCGTAATACTGATCCCCGGTCAAAAAGTCCACATCACCCTCATTATTGAATCGTTCTTTCAAGCCCTTGATAACAACATTCGATCCGCTGAGCCGGAAAATACCTTCCTCCAGAGCGGCATCCTTGGCAGTCAAATATTCAATGCAGCGATAGACGACCGCAGGTAATTCAGACTCCATCACGCCGCGCGGTGGACACTCTGCCACGGCTTCTGCCAACGGAATACCAAACACGGCCCGGACGGGTTCCTTGTTCTCAGCTTGGGCGATGCTTGCCGCCGTGCCATCAGCATCAACTTGCGCGGCTAGGTCGAAAGAAGACCTTGTCCGGAAACCCCAGATACTGCGTTTCTTCTCCTTCGTTGATGTTTTTGGCTTGTTTCCCCATGCTCCGACGTCCTGGATGATGGAGCCGTTCGTTGGACCGGAGATTATTTTCGGAGACTGTGGCGGCGCGTCGATGACTTGGTTCAGATCGCGGAAGTCTGTTGACAAGGCGGCTGGGATGCGAGGTGAACGAGGGGCGTGGTCAAGAGAGGAGCCAAGGATAGGAGGGTCGGCCGCTACAGCATCATCGAAGCTGAATCCTTGAACAGGGCCCCGGGGGTCCTGCTCTGGACTTTCAACACCTCTGCCGGGACGCTTATTTCCCGGCCCATTATTGGGGTTGGCCTTGGACTGGCCCTGGACTCCTGTAGCAGCGGGTTGTTTCGCTGACGTCTGAGACTGGTGCTTTGAATGGCCATTGCCACGACTGTCATTGTCTGAGGAAGGGCTTTCAACATACTCCATCAACGCATCGACCCATCGATCACGGTCCTCGTCACTCTCAGCGCAAAGAACATGGCGAACAAGCGCGGAGGAGTCCTTCTTCTTCGGCTCCAGGATAAGGAATGCGTGGCGATATTGGTTTTCCGCGTCTTCCTCGCTGCCCGGCGGAGACTGGTTCTGACTGCTGGAGTGCTGGGACTGTTTTCCAATCTGCGCATGGTGAAGCTTGATAGTGCCCATGTGTGGACCACCCGGAGATTCAAAGTATTTCAATTCGGGTCCGTGGAGAGTAAAATAGCGAGCTTTCCAGCCGCCAAAATTCTTGCCCCGTTTGGTCAGATAACCCTCTTTTCGGGGCTTGCCATCCAGACCTCGAGACATGTCAGGCGGAGGCGTCGATTGTCCCTGGCCCTTGAGTAGATTGGTCTCGTCGTCACGGGGCTCAATGGCATCATTTGTCAAGAATTTACAGATAACCAATGCGGCTTTCTCGTCCATGGGCGTATCCAAAAGGCTCTCAAAATACAGATTCAAAGCAGCTCGTCGCGCGTCAATCTTTGCGGGGGAATGACCGCTGAAAATCGAGCGGTCTGGCAGCTTTCCGGAGAAATTTGCTAGTTGGCGGACCTGTTGGTCCAGCTGCGGGAGAGATGCAGTCACCTTTTCAACTCGCCACAATTCCGACATCTCAGAGCGAGATATTACGCTCAAGGTGAAGACTGGCTCTTCATCGAGTGGTTTGGAGGCCATATAGCTCATCCGGGAAGGTCGAAGTCGAGAAGATGACACTCGGACTTGAATCACAGGAAGCGCATTGGGCGGCAAGAGAAGACCGGGATATTCGTCGGACACTAGTCCCTGGTATATGGTGCTTTCGGGGAATTGGAGAGATCGAGGACTGTCGATTCTGACTGTGGGGTCGATCATTGGGATCGGACCCCCAGGCCTTCCAGTCTGTGGTGCCATATCGCCTGGCTGGAAAGGTGCAGGGTAATTGACTCCTCGCGGGGAAAGAGGAAGACCAGAATGGTTAAATCCGGCAGTCATGGGACTGGCCATATCTCTAGGCATTCGTGGCAGAGGTGAACCGATGGGTCGGTCTTCTGGTCGAGGGCTCATAGGTAGACCGGGGCTCTTGGGCATAGAAGCACCCGGTCGTCCATTTGGATGGTTGATTCGGGAGTTCAGGATTGAACCCATGGGCGGAGGACCGCCAACAGTTGGCGGTGATCTCGTTGCAAGGTCACGAGAAGCGGTTGCCGGGCTCGCAGATTTACCAGTTCCTTGTTGCTTGCTCGAGGCCGCAACTCCATACCCAGCTCCTCCTACGACCTCAGTATCCAGATCCTTATCCAAAGCGTCTTCTCGATCCCGATCGTCCTCCTCGCGGGTCTTCCTCCTTCCGCGCTCGTCGCTTAGTCTTTCAGCTTCTCCGGGCTCGCCGTAATCCGAATCCGAATCGGATTCCGCAAGTTCTACTCGAGCGTCTCCCGATCGAAGAGGAAGATTCAAAGGTGCGGGGGGTGGTTTGCGATTTGGCTGGGGAACTCTTTGCGCCTCACTGGTGATTGGGGAAGACGCTTCTCTTGAAGCGGCAAATCCCGCGTCTGCGGAGCGTGGGACAATAGTAGATTGACTTCCTGTCGAGCCCTTCAGTGCAGCGTCAACCTGACCGGCAGGTGAATTCTCATTATTGGGCAAGATAGCAGTTCGTGGAACCGAGGTCTCGGCAGAGGATGGAACTGGCGGGGTAGAAGACTCCTGAAGCTCCTGAAACTTCTTCTTGTATCTTTCCTTCTCCTTGAATGCGCGCTCGAGGTCCTTATTCAGGCCCAAGATCAACGTTCGTTGTTTGTCGACCAATTTCCACAATTGCGAGTTCTGGGACGCGGCTTGGTGCTTTTCCTTGAGGAGGTGCACAATGACCGCCTCCGCAGAGCCAGCAGCATTAATTAGATTCCCAATATCCGTGGGACTGAGGGAGCTCGCGTCAAATGTCGACTTTTGAGACGCGGAGGACAAGGAGGAGATGGCGGAGTCGATCGAGGAGGTGCGCGGCATGACACGGTGAGGAGTTGGGCGTTCCCCAGTCGCCGAGAGCATGGAGCTCACAGAAGAGGATGCGGAACGATCGGGCTCGGCCACGCCAGGCGGTTTCGCAACATTACCGTCACCGGGCCTGACGGAAATATCTGACAGACCCATGCTTGTCATGATGTCCGGCGAAGGGGAGGAGGTATGGGGAGGATTCGATGGTGGCGCAGGGAATGGCGCATTAGCTATACGGGAAATGGGTGAGCGGTTGGAGAAGGGAGACGGGTTCGCGGTAGATCGAGGAGAGAGAGGGCTCTGGGAGATAGGCGACTCGTTGTGGTGAAGGTAAGATTGTGGATGTGATTGTGATTGTGATTGTGATTTCGGAAGAGAGCTGGTATGCAGCGGCGACGGTGAGATATGGCGAGAACCAGGAGGTCCGGGGCGCGCAGCCACCTCCGACCGCGATCCCAAGTAATCCCGAGGGATAATCCCGCTATTCAAAGGTGGTGGGTGTTTGGGAGGCTGGTTCAAGTTTCTGGGTGAGAAGTCTTCCTCGCCTCTCTGCGACATGATTCAGGGATCATCACCTGAGGGTTCTCGTGGGGGGGCAGGGAGTGGGCGTAGTGGAAGAGGTGGGCTAGGCGGGTCCTCGGAAGGTTCAAGAGAAAGGGGGGCTTGTTTCACCCGAGATAGGTACCAGAACAGTACGGCTTTGTTCTTCAAGTTCCGATGGCGGGGGAGGAGAGTGGCAGAAGATCAACTTGAAATTGGAAAAGGGGGGGTGAGGTTCCTGTGAATCTCATTTAGTCTCGAGTTCGTTGGTGGAGCCACGACGATCCTTAGTGACAGGTAAAACCGGAAACGAGGAAATGAGTTGATCCACTTGGGTTGAGTCCTTGAATACGGATTGATTGGGTGTTTCTGAAATTTGATCAATCTAGTGGCTGTGATTGCAGGGAGGATATACACCTGGGCAACATTCTAGCAGAGGACAGGCACCCAGGTATATGTGGGTGTATAGTATACTACCCATGCAACTACTTCAAGCTCCACTGACACGAGCTAGACTAAGATCCACAAGGATGTACTACAGGGGTACATACTACCTAGTTAGGTAGTACGTATAGTTATATTTTGCACAGTCCCAACACAAAGACCTACGAGGTACAGTAGTACTGGATTTCTAAACAATAATAAAGGTCCGCATCACAATCCTTGATAGGACATCAATATGAATTCCAAATAGTGATCCTGCACATCATATAAGTGAGGACAGTGACTGTTATAATACATCGCATCCCGATGAAGCTTGAGGAGAGATAAAACGAGCAATGGGATCAGAATCAGTATCAGAATCAAAATCAAAGAATTCAAGTTTGCTCGCCAACTCCGCCAAATGCAAAAAGAAAAGTAGGCTATGATACAGAACCTCCAAACGCCAGGAAGATGGCCCTTGAAAACGGGTAGGGTAAAAAGGGCATCAGGAATGTAAAAATCATGCGATGTTGCCAGCCATCCCCATGAAGAGGGCTTGAGCAGCCAGCTGAAGGGACCAAAAGCCGACCTTCTTGAATCGCCTTTTGCGTGCTTCGTCATCTACCACGTCACGAGCGAATGCATCATAGGTCTGCAGGCGAGGATATTAGTTCAAAGGAATTCACATCATATCAATAGAGTGCGGATTGTAACTTACTGCAGCAGACAAGTCATCCATCAAGGCGCTGTCAAAGATAGTCCAGCTTCCATCAAAGTCGCCGACACGCTTGACCAGCCGACAATTAATGGGAATAAAGGTGCGCTTCGAATTGATGTATGCGACGATGGGTCGAATGAGCGCATTATTGATGTAGGAAAGGTCACGGGTGAAGATGGGAACCACGGCCCGGACATTGTTAAGATGAACTCGCAAGTCCATGGCTAATAATCGTTTATCGGAATCAGACATGGTTTCTGGGTCAGCGTGTAGTCGCTGCGACACTGGCTCGGAAAATTGGTTCGAGGTAACGGTTGCTTCGAGGCGATCGTAAAAGTCGGTCATGACTTTCGCCAGGCTCTCGTCGCTGTCGGCGGGGAACATTATATCGGCCACAATGTCCACTGTGCCTTCGTGGATCCAGGAAAAGGGGCCTTGTACGCCACGGTTCAGATGGTCGATGTTGAGCGCATCAACGCGTATCCGACTATGTTTCTTCCATGGGCTAGGCTTTCCGTCCTCTCCGTTGCCATCCTCTAAACGGGCTCCTGTGAAACCGTGGGTTTGACGCGGGTGAATGGTGAAGAGGGAGTTGTCAAATGATCCGGACATCATGTTGGCCGACATGAAGTCGTAGAATAGCCACTGTTTGCGCAACTGGGGGAGATCGCAGGAGAAGATGCTAACAGAGAACGGGCGGAAGTTATCGGGTTGATAGACCGAGACTAGAACATCGTGCATCTTGAACGAGTCAATCTCAAAGTCACCGGGGTTATGATCGTGTCGGTATGATTTGGGATCGAGGTCTTCTTCCGGCCAGTAGACATGTCGACGGTCGACAACTCCGCGAATTCCCTTCACTTCCACGTCACGGAGTGGGCCCTTCCCATTCAGCCATTTTGTAAACGATAGAGTGACGTTAACAGTCTCAATGGAAAGGTCGAATTGTGTGTAGTTGGTATCCTCATCCTCTGTCACGGTTTTTTCTTCAGGTAATGGTTCACCTCGGGCTGCGGCTTCAGCCGCAGCGGCAGCAGTCTGCGGAGAACCCTTGCTAACATGCCCGGTGCCTTGACCGGGTCGTCTTGAAACAAAAACGTTCTTGAATGTAATGACGCCACCGCGCCATTTCGGTACGATAGCAGACTCGAAAACAACCTTGGCCCCGGATGATTTGGTGAGATGGTTACCTACCCAGCCAGCTAGTGTTTCTGTTCATCACAGTCTAGTTAGTAGACCGCGTAGGGACGGGATGATTTTCGAGAAATGGACATACCTTGTGCGAACACTGTGTTGATAGCAAGAATGAGAAGAGAGAAAAAGGTGGTTGTTCCCACGACGACCCATACAATATGACCGAGAAGAACCCACGAAAAGAGCGCGGCTATCTCGTCCAAACTGAACGGCCGTACGCTTCTGATCGAGAACCACTTAAACCGTACTTTCAGCCGAGACCAGAAACCTGTAGCTGCAGCTAACAGTTCTTCCTTAGTCGGGCGATGAAGATGCGGCATATGCGGAAGCCGGTCCATTAAGTGGCGATTTGAGGGCGCGAAGTGAGGTGGGGGTTGAGGCGACGAGGAAGGATGGGAGGGAATATTGTCGGTCTTTTTGATAGTCGTTTGTTTATGGTCATCAGAGTAATTATGGGATTCATCGGTGGTTGAATCTTTTGGGTCTTTTCCGCGAGGTTGGTCGTTGGGCGTATTGTGCACAGTCCGCCTCCAAACATATTGCGCCGCTAATTTTTTCGAGGGAAGAATGCAGGCTGCACTTGACTCGGCAGCAGCAGATTTAGGAGAGATACCGAGAACAAAAAAGCCTCCAGATGCGAATCGTCTGGTTAGGTAGGTGGGTTTCGCAGCCGGTGTTGATAGCCGTCGGGCGAAAAAAGAATCGAATGTCGACTCTGACGCGATGCGTGGGCGTATGCGACCCAAGAAGGGAGTTGCTGACCCCCATATATGGGAGTACAGCCGACGTCCGATATTGGCGGACATCTTTCCCATCACATCCTGGGAATGAGTGGGGAATGGAGAAGAGTACGGAGTAAGAATAGCAGACAAGCTCTGGAGATGACTGGATCAGGGAAGAGCATGATTTCATGGTTTGCACTGTTTGCATCCGTAAAATCTCTCGGCCCACACTTTTTTTCTTTTCGGGAGGGGCGATTAATTTCTACGATAACAGACCACTCTCATTTTTAACATCTTAATCCACACAATCGACATTATGCCTGCCCCAACTGCTCTTCTTCAGGAAGCTCAAGGGCTTCCCTCTTCCCCTGCTGTTGGTACGTGTGATAAAGGCACCAGGTCCTAGGCCATGGTTTAATATCAGATCGCGCTAACACTCCCACCCACAGCCATGGAGGACGATGAAGTCTTGATTGACGCCCAAGCGACCCCCGAGGTGGACTCTTCCAACGCTGTGGCCGACTCAACCGCCGACAGTGAAATGCGCATCGACGAAGAGGGACGCCCTGTCTTCACCCCCGCCAAGGATACCAACACCGCATACCGCATTGAGAACCGCAAGGTCCCCGTTCCTCCTCACCGCATGACCCCTCTCAAGGCCAACTGGACCAAGATCTGCCCTCCCATCGTCGAGCACCTGAAGCTGCAAGTGCGCATGAACATCAAGAGCCGATCCGTCGAGCTGCGAACTTCCAAATTCACCACCGACACGGGAGCCCTGCAAAAGGGCGCCGACTTCATCCGCGCCTTCACTTATGGATTCGATATCGACGACGCTATCGCTCTGCTCCGTTTGGATGATCTCTACATGGAGACGTTCGAGATCAAGGATGTGAAGACGCTTAACGGGGAGCATTTGGGCCGTGCGATTGGTCGTATTGCTGGAAAGGACGGCAAGACCAAGTTTGCTATTGAGAACGCTAGTCGCACTCGTGTTGTGCTTGCTGACGCGAAAATTCACATTCTTGGTGGTTTCAAGAATATTCACATTGCGCGCGAAGCTATTGTTAGCCTGATTCTGGGTAGCCCTCCGGTAAGTTATACCCTTGCACGAGCCATATGGTCAATTTTTCCTAACCTCTCAAATAGGGCAAGGTCTATGGCAACCTTCGGACAGTTGCTTCTCGTATGAAGGAACGTTTCTGATTTCAACGACTTTAAAACAAAATCCTGGCATGGTACCGGCGTTCAGGAGCATCCCAATTGGGGGTTTCTTTTTTTCCCTTTTTTTCCCTTTTTATACATATTCACAGCTACTACGAACCTGAGATGGGAAGGTATGACGACATCAAGATATCAATCAGTACAAAAAGTACAGAAAAGAATTTCATTTTACATGTCTTAAACATAAAAAACTGGTCATTCCAAAGGGGTTGTGGTTGTAAATTCTCGTATTAGAAGGCTAGCGTAAAAGCCAACACCCGCTCTAATCCTTCTTCAGCGGGTGGAAAACTTCCTCAATACCATCCTTGGTCGCAATCAACATTTGCAAGTGATCGCCAACCTCGATATGGCGCTCGACGGCACTCGTGAACGCATCTCGGACGAGCTGCTTGACGTGGTCTTGCGGCAGAGGCTCGGCCTTCTTAGCTTGAAGCGCATGTCCCTCCCCACTACCGGGAATGTATTGATTCTTGAAGTTGACTTGGTTGTCCAGGAACGGCATGATCAAGCTCGCCGCCGCACCGGCAGCACGGCACTGTTCCCTCTCGTACGAGCCGACGGGGTCGTAGCTGTACAGAGCTCCCTTGCCTTCCTCATCCAGACCAGCCAGAATGGCGGTCACATAGTAGGGGAAGAAGCGCTTTCCGTATAGAATCGTTGACAGACGCTGTGCGCAGGCAGACACAGACATGGGCTTGCCGTGTTGGTACTTGTACATCTTCACGACTGAGTCCAATCGTTCTTTGAGGGCGTTGCCGTCTGCGGCGAAGCCGACGACGGACAGAATGATGTGTGCTCCTTCGCCGGTCTCTTCGTCGCCACCGATCTTGAACACTTTCGGCACCATGCGGGAGTTGATATTGTAGCCGGATGTCGAACGAGTGTCACCGGCGAGAATGGCGAAATCGGAACCTGTGATTCCTAGGGTCGAGCCGCCGTTATCGGTGTATCTGTAGCAGGTCCATTAGCTCATGTTCCATCATATGTAGCTTGAAGGCTTGATTTCATACGGGTAGAATCCATGTTGCTTGACAGGAGCAGCTGCGGACTGAGAGAAGGAGTATCCGACGGTTTGGCCGCCAGTTGAGTGATCCAACATCGATGCCATGGTGGAATCTGAGTGGCTTGGTGAAGATTTAGAGGAGTGGTTTCGGCGTAAGAAGATTGAAGGGGGGAAAGAGGGCGGTTGGAGGTCGTGGGTCAATTCGTTGATGGAATGGAAGCAACGAGGTCAGGTCCGCTCTGTCTGACGCGGTGCTGTAGCTGCCTTTCAGGATTACGTAACTTTTCCAGCTCCGTCGTCAACGGGCAACCCGAGCTTCAATGAACATTTACCTCGACTGCTGTACACACCTGTCCCGGAAATTTCCTTTATTAATCTCAGCATCTTTTCAGCATACTGCTCACTGCTATATGTACTGATTATAACCGACCTTGGGAACACATTTGGCCCTATACAAGCATCATGCTCGATCTCGGTGCATACGACAGCAGCAGCGAGGAAGAAGATACACAAGCACCCCTCCAATCAAAGGTTTGAATCTCCGAGTCGCATAATTGAGATATCGCTAATTTCATACGCAGCAGACTACAACTCAACAGCCCATTGCCCCGGCGCAGATCGATCAGACAGACAAAGGTGATTCCAATATTCTAGCCCAGTTTACCTTTGAGATGGCATTACCGTACTGACCAGCATTGACAATAGCCCAGCTGTCTGAATTGAATGCGCAAAAGCAAGAACAACAGCCTATTCCCGAAAGCAAATCTCCAAGTGGTCCCGTTCTCGGTCCTGCATCGGGACCAGCACCGCCACCCCTCGACAGCGCGCAATTGCCAAACAACCAACCCAGTGGTCCCTCTTCACCATACTCAACATCCCGAGCTCTGGTCCAAGACCTCACCCTTCCCCCTGTACCCAACATGGATATCCCACCTTCACCTCCAGGCTCTCCGAATCCCGCAGCAAATGCCAAGTTCGAGCACTTCCTCTCTCTCAAGAAACAAGGCGTCCACTTCAATTCGAAACTAGCCAGCTCGTCTTCTCTCAAGAACCCCAGCCTTCTAAAGAAGATGATGGAACATGCCGGCATCAACGAACAATCGCAATATAACACGTCGCTATCAACAGAGCTGTGGGATCCTTCCAGTCTGCCCGAGTGGGGCTTTAAAGAGGAGCTCCTCAGAGTGCAGCAAGATGCTCGGCAGAAATTAGACGAAAAGAATGCGGCTGGTCAAAGGTCATCTGTTGAGTTTGTTTCTGGATCAGGCGCGAAATGAATGAATGAAGTCACCTGTGAGAAGGTGTCGTTTGTGACGGCCACCTTTCTCTATGGTACTCTATGATTCGAATACCTCTCGCCTGGGAAACACCGAGTATGCCAACGCATGCAGACTTGGAAGCAAGCGAAGTAATCCGGTCCAGCCAAATGTCTAGGGACACAATGGTAGACAGGACATACGTTGACTAACTTTATGCGGAACTGAATGGGGACATTGATTCATCCTTGCGACAATGGCTGGCTACATGACCAAAGAAGCATACGTGCTATTTGCAGTTGCAGTTGCAGAGCCCAAGAAAGTGGCAATGGTAATGGTATATTACGAAATACATGATATTCAAGACGGAGACCTCCCGCAGACATGATTCGATTTGAATCAGCCTCCTCCACCGCCACCACCACCGCCAGCGGCACCATTATTACGCCGCCTCGCTCTCTCATATAGACCCAGACAAGAATTCACGACCATGATATCAAATCCCTCCCCATAATCCGCCTTAACCTCAAGAACCCCACACTTAGAGAACGAAATCTCGCTATTAAACACAGCCACAACCTGGCCCGACCTCTCATCAACGAGTTTAAAATTGCGCATACTCATCTTCAAAGGCGCAGATCCCCCCCACCGCCTCGTTATGCGTTCTTTTCCAGAGAAATGCCCTTCTCTCGTTGTATCCCGCCCGCGTCTTGTCCGAGACCGTCATCTCGAATCGATATCTCGAGTGTAGGACCGGGGCGGAGTCCCGGGTCATGTCTTCCCATTGCACGGTGTTTACGTCGTTGGGGTCTCCCAGGGCTAATTTGAAACTGCCGGAGAATTTGACGAATTTGCATGCTGCTACTGTTGGCGCGGTATCGCTGGTCCCTGCGTGCAGGGTCAGCTCGGGCTTTTTGAAGCCGAAGACGGAGATGTTTCCGTAGAATAGGAGGTGTTCGTCGGGGGATTTTATTTCGTAGTGTCGGTGGAAAGCGGGCCGGGAGATATGGTATAAGCGTGAGGGTGGTTGTCCTCCCAAGTCTTGTTGGGGGTGCGAATATGGTGCCGGTATTGGGTTTGATGCCGTCATGGCTGATATGTGATGGGATGTAGGGAATAGCTATACTGCAGGAGGAGAGAAAAGAAAAGAAAAGAAAAGAAAGCTTTAACCAGGGGGAATGCCCATATAATTACGTTTTGTTCTACTCCGTCGTGACCATGGTTTCTCTCATGATCGTCAGGCGGATTAAGCTTGGAGGCTGAGCACCCTTGGGGGCCCTACCCGGGCTGGCGAATACGAAGATCTCCGGAAAGAGTAACTCTTTGAGAACTGCCACAATTGGGCTAATGTATACATCCAGATAAAGTCTAGAAATGTAGTAGAATAATATTAAGTCACTATTACATCTATTCATTATATACTATAGAACAAACTGGACAAGATATAGTAACATTATTGTAAACGCGCGCGTAGTAACAACCGCTGATTAGTCATACAGAGAGCTCCGTCAGCTCGCCTGCCTGCGCGCGCTCAAGCCGGAGCTCCATTCATCGTCATCGTCCAATCTCCCCATTCTCGTCCTTCTCTTCATTTTTTCTAAACCATCTCCTAAATCTTACCACCCACCACACCAATCCACAATGAACCACTTTCCGGAAGCCTGGGGCCGAGTTAGTTCAGCTGCTTTCCCCTCCCACTCCGCCCATTTGACTAACCCGTAACAGCCCAGGGACGATGTCTACGGCGCCTACAACCCTTCATATCTTCAAACGACCGGGCCCAAGGCTCACACTTCATCTCCAGCCGTGACAGGAACCTCCGTGCTGGGCGTCAAGTTCAACGGCGGTGTCGTTCTGGCCACCGATAACCTCGGTGTGTTGACCCGCAAGGCCTCGTTGGCCATTGCCATTTAACCCCCGAAAGCGAAGCACGTACTAATCTCACATTCTCATTTTCTATCGTAGCATCCTACGGCTCCCTCGCCCGCTTCACAGACGTTAAGCGTCTCCGAATCTTCGGCTCGAACGCCATCGTCGGCTTCGGCGGCGACGTCTCCGACATGCAATACATCGACCGCCTCCTCGAATCGATCGACATCCGCGAGAACTACTCCCACAACGGCAACATGCTCAATGCCAAGAACCTACACACCTACCTCTCGAAAGTGTTCTACAAGCGGCGCTCCGAGTTCAACCCGCTGTGGAACCACGTTCTGGTCGCGGGCTACGACGCCGAGGGCGAGCCGTTCCTGAGCTCGGCGGATCTGCTGGGCACGACGTTCTCGGCGCCGCACCTGGCTACGGGATTTGGCGCGCATCTTGCTGTGCCTATCTTGCGTCGCTTGTTTCCCGAGGAGATGCCGCTTGAGGAGGTTAGCAAGGAGGCGGCTATTGATGCGTTGAAGCAGTGTCTCAAGGTGCTGTATTACCGTGATGCGCGGAGTATGGATAAGTACTCGATAGCGGTTATTACTAAGGAGGGTATTGAGATCAAGGAGGATGAGGTTATTGAGGGTCAGAGCTGGGCTTTTGCTGAGAGGGTTAAGGGCTATGGGGCTCAGACTAAGTAGATTCTCATGATGCTATGCCAATTGTTTTGTTCTCTATCTACACCTTAGTTTCCTCTACGAAGAACCCAATGGAATTGGACCAAATTGACGATATAAGTTTAAAGAGTTAAACATAAACATTTATTTTCATCATAGATATCTATATACAGTCCTGGCAATTGCCCTGGGGTTACTCCGACTTAGTTAGAGCTTAGGAGCAGGCTTATCAAAAACAACGCGGTTGGAGCAGGAACCCACGCCCTCCAGCGAAACCTCGACATGATCACCATCCTTCAGCCAGAGATTAGGCTTGCGGCCCATACCAACACCTTGTGGACTGCCGTAAAAGCGTTAGCATACCATGATCAAACCAAGCAAAGAAATAGAACAAAGCACAGGACGGGATGGTATGGGATGGGATGGGATAATTAACTCACGTCCCAGTAAAGATCAAGTCACCCGGCAAAAGCGTAGTCCCCTGCGACAAGAACGCAATAGTCTCCGCCACGCCAAAGATCATATCCCGAGTCGACGAGCACTGCACCTGCCTCCCATTAAGCGACGTCGAAATTTGCAACGCATTCGGATCAGCAATCAGGCTTGTCGAAACAATACCCGGACCCCACGGCGCCCACCCATCAAACCCCTTCCCCAACCCCCACTGCCCTCCCCCACGCTTAATCTGCCACTCGCGGTGCGAGACATCATTACCAACCGCGTATCCGAGAACGTACTCCAGAGCGCGGGACTGAGGCACATTCTTCGCCTCTTTGCCGATGACGATGACGAGCTCGCACTCGTAGTCTCAGACCCTCGCCTTCCTGGGCGAGCTGGGAGACGGGGATGTCATCGTTGGGCCCGGAGATGGCTGTCACGGGCTTGAAGAATAGGACTGGATACTTTGGGATCGGCAGGTTAGATTCTTTGGCGTGTTGCTCGTAGTTTAGGCCTAGGCAGCGGACGGTACCGATGTCTTGCCGGGCTAGTGGGGAGAGCAGGGTGCGGATTTCTGCGATTTGGTCGGTGATGATATACTGGGCGAAGATGTCGCCTTTGATTACTTTTGCTTGGGTTGCGTGGGCGATGTTTGTTGTGCCTGATGGGAGAATGGCGTCGCCGTAGTAGACTTGGCCGTCTTTGGCTAGGAAGTGAATCAGGCGCTGTGGGGGATTATATTAGTATTCCAATGTTTTGGAAGCAATCGGGGGGTATAAGCGTGGTACGTACTGAGAAGGAAGACATATTTGTGAGAGAGGTGGTGGTGTGGTAATAATAATATTGAAGAATAAGAGTCTAAAAGTATGTGAAAGGTGGGAAGGGAGATAGATATGTCCTTTTTTTTGGGAGTGAAGTCCAACTTGACATCCAAATCCAAGGTTGTGAATGGTGGACTCCACTCGGCCGGAAAGCTATCCCCCCCGGCGGAAAACGGAGGAGCTCCCCCCCGACCCATTGACGATTCCAACATCCCATCCCACTGAAGCTACTATCTGCAAATGGCCCGGCTCTCCGGTCTCCAACGGGAGGTTCTTTCTCTGTACCGATCATGTCTGCGTGAGATCCGCAACAAGCCCGCTGTGGGTGTCGTCCTTGTTACTTTTTCCCCCACTGCACACTTTTCTAATCTCCCTTCTGCAGGATTCTCACAATAACTTCAAACGATATGCACGGTATGTCTTCTACCTAGTATTCTTGATCCCTTCTCCCCTTACCCTATCCTGCTCTACCCTACCACCACCATCCTTTCCCGTGGCCCCTCTCGGTTTATCCCGGCTCGATTCTAAGCGGTTCAGTGCGGAATTCCAAAAACATCTCTCGGTGAATAAGAAGGACTTTAGTACGGTCGAATATCTCTTGCGCAAAGGCCACCGCCAGCTGGAGATGTACGCTTCCCCGGGAATTCGTAACATCAGCTAAGCAGCTGAGTGGCTGACTCTTCTTCCCCCCTTCCGTGGGGTTCTCGTGGGTTTGCCTCTTCTGTCTACCCCAGACCCCGTTCCTCAATTAACCCGTTGCTTTTAGGTCCTGGTAAGAGTTGTACGCTCTGGTTGTTTCCGAGAACGCCCGGTTTGATATGTGTCAAGGACTCGAGAGTGATGAGATAGCTAAAGTCCACATGAGATAGATATATGCTTGATCGATCGTTTCGGACGGCCCCGACCTACGGCAACTGGAACAGGGGAAGTTTGGAAAATGTACTAGTAACAATTTGTAAATTAGAAGTCTCGGGAGTATCCCCATACTCCATGTATATTACGTTATTATCTGGATTGTTAGTCAATCATATCTCAACTCTGCAAGATTTAGTTTACATAGTTTACATGTACCCAGAAACTTCCAGATTCAGCGATGACCAATGGAGGTAGCTTATTCAGACAAGGTTCATGTACCTTTCCAAGCTACTGTATTAATAATAATATTCAGCAATCACAATAAAATGGCTAGAAAGCAGTACTACTGTACATACTGTAGTAGAATGAAGTTGCCACCTTATAAATTTCCCCAGATGTTAATCGAGGCTTGGAGAAGTTGGTGGAACGGGCGACCCGCTTCTGGACGATTCTGCCATGACAAAGTAGAGTCTCAGTCACAACGATTCACAGTACTATATATAAGAGAGAAGAATAGTCTGAAATTCAAACCATTCAAAAAAAGAAAACATCTGATTCCAAACAAACATCTATTCCAAACAATCAGTCAAAATGGCCTTCATCCAGTGCCCTCGCACCAGCTTCTCCCCTCTTTTCCGCCTTCTCGACGATTACGAGGCCCACCGCTCCGAGCCGCGCCCCACCGCAGCTACTCCAAGCTTTACCCCATCCTTCGATGTCCGCGAAGCTTCAGAGGGCTACTACCTGGACGGTGAACTCCCAGGCGTAGACCAAACCGCCATAGAAATAGAATTCAGCGACCCGCAAACTCTCACCGTGAAGGGCCACACTGAACGAAACTACCAACCTCAGCCTCACCAAGCTGAGCACGAGACTGAGCATACCTCCTCTCCACGCCAGCATCAAGCTACAGTCGAAGACGAAGACGAAGCTGACTCAGACTCAACCTCAAACTCCGATGACAAACGCACCTCACAGAAGCAGAAGCTTCATGCAGAGCCAGCAAAGCAGCAGAAGACGCAGACTGAGCCCGACTTCCACTTCTGGGCGTCGGAGCGGTCAATCGGCGAGTTCCAGCGCACATTTACATTTCCCACGCGCGTGGATCAGGACGGTGTGCGTGCTAGTTTGAAGAATGGGATTTTGTCGGTTTATGTGCCCAAGAATGCGGCGCCGAAGACTAAGAAGATCCGTATTTTGTGATTGACATCAACGCCAACACCTGCGTATATATATATTCCGACACTACCTAGGTAGCATCTTCAAGTGCTCCAATCGGCACCTGGAGCCCTGGGGGTGGAACTGGAGGGACTCGGACTTGGACCCGAGGGAATGGAGCCGAATCGGCATTTGATTTGACATTTTTGCATCGGGGCTGGGCGCGTCGGGTTTATTTTGCTTTTTTTTTTCCCTGCATGGCTTGTATTATGATGTGATTTTTGGACATTTCTTTTCGGGTTATTGTGCAAACGAATGATCTAGATCTAATTGAATAATTTGAAATTGAACCTTTTTGCAATACCTTGTTACTACTAGTACCTAGTAGTACTAGGTATATCTATTAATGTTAAATACCGTATACGACCTCCGGGGTCATAACAGTACTCCATCATGCCCACCTGGGCAGTGTAGTAGTAGGCAGTACTAAACCCGGAGTAACTTGAAACCAAACCACTACTAGTAGGTAGTAGGTAGGTAAGCAATTCCTACTTAGAAGCCCTCCTAGTCACGAGGTCAAAATCAAAGCCGAATTTCTCCCCAATGACATAATGTGATCCATCTGCCAAAAAAAAAAAAACGCACCCTCGACGAACATGATCACCGCCAAGCCTAGAAAGCCTAAAAAGCGCCATCATCTGACAAAAAAAAAAGTCGCATACCTAGCTAGTTATGCACCTCCTTACATTCCGCAGTGACTGTGGCTGGGTAAGGGGAAGAAAAGAATTCCGGTGAGTGAGAGTGCCACATGGGTCCTGCAGGGATCGAGACTAGACTCGATGGGCTAATGCAGCTAGTATGCAACGGGGTCAAGCCAAACGAACTTCAACGAAGCGAAGCGATGAAACCGAGCTGAGCCGAGCTGAGGGCTAGGGAAGGAAAGGGAAGTGGGAGAATGGGGTTATTTCAATAGTTTCAATTCATTGCCACAACGCCCGTGTACAACGCCGTAGATACTAATAGGGGGAAATAAGAGTAAGTTAAGTTCAGTTCTGTTCAAACGAGGGTATCCTGTATCCGTGGTCATGGCCATGACCTAAACCAAAGTAGACTCCATAATGACCGTAAATGACTGGAATATAAACGCCAAAAAGAGTAGGGAAGGGGAAAAGAAAATAAGAAATGAAAAGCCAAAATAATGTCAAATCAGAACGCCAAGGACTTTTGTAGATTATCCCGAAGTAAACAAGCCATCCCCCCGAAAAAAAGAGTGGAAAACCGGAAGAGAGGAAGGAAAGGCCAAAGGAAAAAAAGAGAAAGCAAAAAAAAGAATGGTAAACTCCGTTCGTTCACGTCACGTCACATTACTAAATTGAAGGAAGTGCATAAGGGGAAGTCGTGATATGAACATCATGAAGAGAAGGGCGCGTCTTGGTTAACTTTCGGCGCCGAAAGTCTTGACTGCGGCTTCGGGGCCGGCCACGGTGAGTCTGAGTCTGGGGCTCATCAGTCGGAATGGGCATTTCCATCTCTTCGTACGCACCAGTCTCAGACTGGAGATGATCGGGCGAGAGAATCGTGGGTAATTTGGGGATTTCGATGGTTGAGTCGTGGCGCCAGCCTCGGCTGTTGTTACTATGCAAGCTTTTGCTTCGGGACCTGGAGCGGGTGGAGATGGTTTTTGTTGCGTAGCTGCCGGCTTGTTGGTGGTAGGTGCTTAGAGTTTCTAGGGTTGCTGTTGAGCTTGAATCGTGCAGGACGTTTAGGGTGCTTGTTGAGAATGTGTCGCCGTAAAGGGGGCCGCGGGTGGCAAGGGTTTGTTCGTCTTGTGAGACGAATGAGGATGATGAGCTTGATATGAAGGATTGGTAGGAGGCGTGTGGTGCAGGGCCGGGGCCGGGGCTGGGCCCGGTCTGTACAGGGTAAGGGTACTCTGAATTTCGAGGAGCGCAGAGCGTCGATCGACGGACTCGGGATCCGGAAGATTGACTAGATGGCGCACTGGAATCGTACCAGCGAGTTGAGTTGGGGTACAGCTGAGAGAAATTGCCCGGTTTGGACTCTTGGAGACTGGCATTTCTTTGGAGGTTCTCGCTGCGGAGATCTTGTTGCTCATTGGCACTGCTCATACCAACACTTCTTGTGCTGTCTGCAGTGCAAGAGCCGGATGTTTGGGAATCGAATGAGGCCCGTGTTCGACTTCGATAAACAGAATGCACGGATGTTGCTGAGCTGTAGCCGCTATCGGTCTTGTTGAGGGATCTGGATGTGCTGCGATTGATGGTGGCGGTGTTCTTCTCGGACTGGTCATGGCCACGGCCCTCGTCGCACATGCCGATTCCCTCGTCCTCCGCTTCAATGGGGAAGACGGATTTGTGTCGAGGTTGTACGGTGATAATTGGTGATTTTTCGAATGAGAATGGACTCCCTGGGACGTCGTCGGATTTTTGCAAGTCTGGAATGGCGGGAATCTGAAGGGGAGTTCCTTTAGAGCGCATGGTTTCCAGGCGATCTAGAGGAGCCGCGCTAGTTCCGACAAGTTGAGCGGTTTTACCAAGTGGGACTCGCTCACTCGGACAGGGTGATGCAGAGCCGTTGACAACTCGCAGGGATCCCAGTTTAAGCGCCCCAAGTTGGGTATATCGGGGGTCTGTGGGACTGGTTGGTCTGATTGATAACGAAACAGGGAGTGAAGATCGTTGCAGCGGAGGTAGTGGCCATTGTAGCGTATTTGAATCCGAGGAGTCCTCACCGGCGCACTCTGGCTCTCCTATCGGTGACGGAAATCGTCGTGTCGCGGCGGCAGTTGAGCGTCGAGTTGCAATACCAGGTCGTGTCAGGAGAGACCGCCGACGTGTCAGCGAGAAACGTTGGTTGCCAACTGTGAAATGCGTATTTGATGAGGTTGCTTCGTGAGCTTTATCCCCATAGATCGCACTCCGATGTCTCTGAAGCGGCGTCTGAAATGAATTCGCTCTCTTTGGCCTTCCCAGATCCAACGATTGCTTTGATGAGGTAGCTAAACTTTCCGTTTGACATGAGGCTCTTCTTACAGAGGGACTGGCGGAGAGAGAGCCAGATCGAGGCGAGAGAGGCGAGAGAGGCGAGAGAGGCGAAATAGGCTCAACATCTTGAGCCTTTAAATGCTGAGAGCGAGAGACATCAACCGAGTGTCTCGTCACATTCCACTTCACTGAGCTTTCGGGTTTAGACTCCGTTAAAGCAGGAAGAGACTCTCGTTTTCTGGCAGATTTATTCTTGACATCCTTGGAGATGTTTGAACCAACCCAGGGATTCTGCCATCCAATCAACCCAGAAGCTAGCTCCGGACCATCCGTATCGATAGGAGGAAGTTGAGGAGCATTCAAAGTGGAGAGTTTCTTCGTCAAGGGTTTTGATAGTCGGTTTACACGGCGAGTCTCATCCTTCGTAGGGCTGGAGAATGAATTGCCCATGGCTTCGCTTCACAGGCGCCACAGGCTGAAGATGAGATCAAGTTTTCCCCACACTCTCAAGGGGAAAACACGCGCAGTATGGGGTGGAGAAGCAGTAGGGTAATATAAGTTGGGGTGTCAATCAGAGCCGGAGATGGCGGGAGGTATATCTGTGGACCAAGAAGTCTACCACTGACGGGTGATGGGTGCAGTACGCCCCAGATTAGATCGAATCCTTGGTAAACTGACGTCAAGCCACGCCTTGATTGCTTCGCGATCGATCCGGGCCCCAGGCTGGTACCACGGCTGTGTTGAGAATCTGCGGTGCGATTGGCGGCTGAGATGATCTCCGTGCGGAGATGATGGAGGAAGTATAGTGTTTCAGGTTTCAGATTGGAGGAGACCACGGGACTCGGTTGGACCGGGGATCACGATGTGTGAGGTGTGAGAGTTGAGGTAACGTCAAAAAGAAACCAATTGAGGGAGAGGAAGATATTCACAATACTCCAGGGTCTCTTTTCCAAACGGAGTGTTCCAGCACCCACCTGAGGTCTACACCGGGATAAACCAATGTCGTTACCTGGTCATGTATAAACAATTTTGATACAGTCAACTTGAACTGATCCTCAGGGAATAATAATCATAAAACAAAACAAGAAATCACAATGGACAATCAAAAAGGAAAATAGAATTTAAAAAAAAAAAACAAGGAAACTGGGAAGAGATGAGGGGAAGGATGCCAGAGCGGGTTTAGGGGCGGGGGAAGAGTGGGCAAACAAAGGATACATAAGTGTAGTGGAGAGCAACGACGCATCAGCCCATTTACTCTCTGTGTTTGAGGCCAGACGAATGCGTTGGTGAGTTGCCAAAAGTCGGGGAAAGAGACTTGTGGCCATGACAATGTAGCTGCATGCGGAACAGGGACTCCCCCTTAAGAAAAATAAATTGAAAAAAAAAATGGAATAAAATAAGATAAAATAATAATAATAAAAAATAAAGAAAGAAAAAGGAAGAGCGATCTTGACGTGAGATTTCGCGATGGCAGGCCAGCAGAGAGTTCTAGCCGCAAGCGGGCTGTACCTGGAAGTGCCGTAAGTATAAGATACTTCTCCACAATATGGTCCATCCACATTCCCCAAAAGTACCAAATACTTCTACCCACCTCTGACCTCTCCCATTTCTCTCCCCACCTCCGCTGCATCCAAACCGGATGTGACATCCCATTTTATCGCCGATCCAACACAATCGACTTGTCCCTTTCCCGTCTCTCCCTATTGGATCTGCAACGGCCACCCTTTCCCAATTTCGGCTAGATCTGATCTTCTGATATTCCGAGAACGTCCAGGCACGCGTGGCCTTGGGGATGAAGGGCAACATCCACAGCCCATCAATCCCAGCTGTAGCTCCCAGCTTCAGCTCCAATCTGAGTCGTGTATGACTGCATCCGTCCAGAGCGTGGAGGACAGCTGACAGAAGCGAGAGTGGGTCATGGCTTGTGGCTTGTCGACCTTTCCTTTCCTCACCGCGCTTGAGTTCGCGCACGCATGTCGAGTGTTGGCCGATCGAGCCTGCAACTTGGACTGCACCACCGGCCTAGAGGGCCTAGAGGGAGGAGGCTGGTCTTCTATTCGACTTGTCACACAGGTATCCCTGCCTTATATTCCTTAGCCACTCCCTTCTTTCTCTCCCCCATTTACCTTTTGCCGTGCAGGAGGCGCTCAATCTATTACTTTTGCTACATATTTTAACGGGAATATGTTCTGGAGCGTGAATAATAATTGTATTTGGATATACTAGAATGCGATCGGCCTCAAAATAACGCGACGGGTGGATGTCCACAGAGCCGACCTGGACACTAAACTTGAAAGTGTGGATCCGAGTCTACAGGACGCTTCGGCACTAGAAGATGAGGAGGATCCGGTCCGCCCCAAAGTTTTTCCCTTGCTATCCAAGGGATACCGCTTAATACTTCACTGCAGGAAGCCCTGGTCCGTACCGACGGCCATCCCAAACTACACATAGAGTATGAGATCCTGCTCTCCCCCACATACCAAGTTCCCGTCCTGTACTTTGTGCTCCACTGGGACGACCAGGGACCCATCGGTTTAGATGCAGTCTACCGGTACCTCGTCCCGGAGCCGTATAGAAAGCAATTGAAGAATGTGGGGGTGATGGGTGGGATCAGCTTCGGCGTAGGTGGCATCTTCTCCCCTCCCTTCTCCTCCCTTCCCCTCGCAGCAGAAAACGAAACGAAAAGGTCGATTTAATGATGTTGAATGGCTCATGTCTCGTAGTATCATCCGGAATCTGGCGCTCCGGCCTTCTTTGTTCACCCGTGCAACACGGCGGATGCCATGGGAAGGATTGCAGATGCACGGACGGTAACCCCAGAGACGTATCTTCTCCTCTGGCTCGGACTGGTGGGCCAGTGTGTGAGCCTACACGTCCCACGCGAGCTCGTCTTGTCCCAGGATGGTGCTAGGTCATTGTGAGGCAAATTGCACAGACATGCCAAGCAAATAATTTGACCCCCGCGAGCTTCGGTCCCCTTCCCACGGGCCACTTCCAATGGCCTTGGAAAGGGCGCCATTACTCTTCATCGGATGAGGCTTCCATTGGCACATCGCTGTCTTCATCCATCGGGGCTTCTCCCTCGTCGCTTTCTTCTTCGCGGGCGCGCTTCACTCCCTGGTTCTCGCCGTTCACGTTCGGTCGTGCGGGGATCGCACCAGGGGGTCCACTGAAGATGGACTTTTGCAGGTCGGTGGAAACAACTGGTTGCTCTGTGACAGGAGCGACATATGTACCGCGAAGCTTGGCGAGAACATCGGACGTGCCTTTCGCATAGACAATTTTCTAGAATCAATTGTGAGCTGGAAAGTTCCAAACCATCTTATTGAGTGACGTACCATCTGTTTGCCGAAGAAATCAAACCCTTGAAGGGCGCGGAGTGCTTGTGTGCTAGCTTGAACGTCCTTGAATACAATGTGGGCTTGGCCGCGCATTTTGCTCGTCTTCATGGCCACCACGTCGAGGACGGTACCGTAGGTGGAAAACAAGGTGTACAGCGAGGAGCGCAGGTCATGCTTGCGAAGCTTGTCGGGGAGGTTGGTGCAGTAAAGACTAAAGAAGCTGTTAATGTCCCATACCAGCTCAATGGCGATCAAAGAAGGATAAAGCTCACGTTTGGTTGGGATGGCCGGCCGCTTTGGCGTCGGCGCCTTTTGATGGCGCATTCTGGGAGGACATATTGTGGTATCGAGATAAAGAGCGCGTCGTTTCGTCGCTCAGAGAAAACGCTGACAGACAAATGCAAGGGAAAAGGGGGAGGATTGAAGCTCTAGACGTGCCGCATGGGGTCAGTCTTCGAACCCGAGAAAAGACAGCGAATCACGTGTCCATGATATTACCTCAGCAATGCTGCGGCGTCATCGCGCCCAGCTTCCCCCCGACTGCCCGCCTACCTCCCCCTCATTGTTCTATCTATCGACGGTAGAGAGCTCCTCCTGTCGTATCTTCATCATGGCTGCTCCTCAAGTTCACCACCTCTTCCACGCTCCAATTGCCGACCACTCTTTCTCATCCGATAGACAGACACTCGCTGTCGCTCGGGAGAACAATGTGGAGCTGTACCAATCATCAGGCAACAAGTTCACGCTGAGCGATGAGCTGAAGGGCCACGAGAAGACTGTGACGAGTGTTGATATCGCTCCCAACAGCGGTCGCATTGTCACCTGCTCGCAGGGTATGCATAAGACCACCAAAATCACTCGATTGAACTTGAACTAATGCAATCTACTTCGATAAACAGACCGCAACGCCTACGTCTGGGAGCAAACCCCCTCCGGCTGGAAGCCTACCCTAGTCCTCCTGCGCATCAACCGTGCCGCCACATTCGTCCGGTGGTCCCCCTCTGAGCAGAAATTCGCCGTTGGCTCTGGAGCCCGCGTTATTGCCGTCTGCTACTTCGAAGAGGAGAACGATTGGTGGATCTCGAAGCATTTGAAGAAGCCCATTCGCAGTACCATCACGACTCTCGCATGGCATCCGAACTCAGTGCTGCTGGCTGCCGGATCCACCGACTCCCACGCCCGTGTTTTTTCTAGCTTTATCAAGGGTATCGACACCCGTCCGGAGCCGAGCGCCTGGGGCGAGCGCCTCCCCTTCAACACTATCTGTGGTGAATTCCTGAACGATTCCGCTGGCTGGATTCAGGGCGTCAGCTTCTCCCCGAGTGGTAATGCTCTTGCCTTCACCGGCCACGATAGTAGTGTCACTGTCGTGTACCCGAGTGCGCCGGAGCAGCCCCCTCGTGCAATGCTGAACATCTCTACCCGCCTCTTGCCTCTGAACAGTCTTATCTGGAACGGCGAGAACGAGATCATTGCTGCTGGTCATGTAAATATTCTTCTCATTTCCCCAACATTGTCATACATACACTAACCCCGACGATAGGACTGCGAACCATTCCGCTTCCGCGGTGACGAAAGCGGTTGGCAATTGGCCGGATCTCTCGAGAACAAGGATGGTGATGGCGCTGGTGGTGCTCGCGAGGAATCGGCCCTGAACATGTTCCGCCAGATGGATCTCAAGGGCCAGGCGCAATCGAACACCAAGCTCAAGTCCACCCACCAGAACACCGTGAATGCTGTTCGTGTCTTCCAGGAGAATGACGGCCAGGTGTCTTCTTTCAGCAGTAAGGCTTTCCGTTATACTTTGCAGAGTCAACTGTTTACTAACAACCATCCCAGCGAGTGGTGTCGATGGTCGTGTTGTGATCTGGTCCACTTGAGCAGTGTATGCTTATGGCAAAGTAACTCTCTAGAATATAAACACCTCTATGAAATGCAAAGCGAATCATCCTGGACTTTATGTTCTGTTCAGACAAACTTAATAGTAGAGTAGTGCCCGCGGAGGTGTCAATTTGGCACCATTGGGAGTAGCACCAACCAAATATTATGGAAAGCAAGGTTAAGAGGGGTAAAATAGTATGTACTGTCACCAAATCCCCCGAATGGTCTAATGGTATTGGCCTTGACCAGCCCGGGGGGGGGAGGGGGACAGACGAGGAGGCTTTGAAGAGACGCAGTGGGACCGGTGCGTGCCTACCTCTTGTTTTTGCCATTTTTTCTTTCTCTCCAGGTCGGTCTCAGAGTCAAATCCAGGCCAGGGCAATCTTTGATTTTATTTCGTTCCCTTCCCTTTTGTTTCAAAGTTTGTTTGCTGTTATTGTTGCCTGTGTTGCCTAGTCCACCGTGCCTTCTCTGTGTATCCGTTTGCATAGTCCCGTGGCTGCCCCACATGACGCGATGACTAATCTTCCCCGGATTCTCCAACTCCAAGTCCGTTCCTTGGGACTTGTCGCACGACGACACCCCTCTCCGCAATTGCGATAAAATGTCTCCCTGGAGACGGCTTGTATCTACCTGCCTTGCATTCTCGCTGTGGGGCACTTCACTGGCACATGGTGAGACGAAACATATCTCCAACGAGTTATTTGACTCTTTAGAGGAGTTATCTCGTCTAGTAGATATCTCCTACTGCGTGGGCACATCCGGCGTGCAGAAGCCATTCAAGTGCCTCAGCCACTGCGAGGAATTTCCAAATCTCGAACTAATAACGGTGAGTGTGAAGCGCGTAGCAAAAGCCTGACAGCGACAGTGACTCATGCTAATGTTCTGACAGACCTGGAGCACAGGTGTGCTTCTCTCCGATTCCTGCGGCTACGTGGCACTCTCGCACGCGCCAGGACAAAAACGCATTGTCGTTGCTTTCCGCGGCACATACTCGATCACAAATACGATTATCGACTTATCCGCCGTTCCACAAGAGTACGTGCCCTACCCGGGAAACGGCGACGAAGAAGGCGAACAACAAGACGCGAGGCAGCCAGAGAAATGTCAGAACTGCACCGTTCACGCTGGATTCATGTCTTCATGGCGTAATACCCGCGAAACAGTCCTGCCGCACATTGCAGACGCGCTCGCTAAGAATCCAGATTATGACGTAACCCTTGTCGGCCACTCGCTGGGCGGAGCCGTGGCCGCACTAGCCGCACTGGAGATGCAAGCAATGGGCTGGAACCCGCAAGTGACGACATTTGGAGAACCGATGGTTGGCAACGCTGGATTTGCAGACTTTCTCGATAAACAGTTCGGACAGGGCAATTATAGCGAGTCAAATGCAAGCCGCGATCCTGAGCACCGGCAGTTCCGCCGCGTGACGCATATTGATGATCCGATCCCTTTACTGCCTCTGAGTGAATGGGGGTATGCGCCTCATGCGGGTGAGATTTTTATTTCGCGCCCTGAGTTACCGCCCACTGCTGAGGATATACATATTTGTATTGGAAGTCAGGATCCGAGATGTATTGCGGGCTCTGATTCGCCGGAGTCTCTGCAGGATGTATGGCGAGACATCAATATTCCCGTGGATGTCCAGGATGACACGCCCAGCGGAGACGAAGACCCATGTGTGGAAGAAAATGAGGAATCTTTACAGGGTGTGGACCACCAGGTTGTTCTTGGGAAACAGAGAGGCGCAGGGTCGTCGAAATGTACACCTGCCGATGATGATGAAAATGCGCCCTTGTTTCCTCGAAGCTGGTCGCTGATTCCGGCGAGATATCGCCTTTGGGAACTTTTCTTTGCGCATAGGGATTATTTCTGGCGTATTGGGTTGTGTTTTCCTGGGGGAGATCCGACAGGGTGAGATATGTATGAGCATTTATGATTGGCTTTATTTTGGTTCTGGGCGTGTCTAGATTGGAAATGGGCCCTGGAGGTGGTTTCTACTTCATATATATACTACTTTTCTGACATTCAACTTAAATTTAGCACTTGATGATTTTTTGCGACGAACTTGAAGTTTGTGAGTTATAAATGCACTACTAGTAGACTTTTGCAACGAGAATAGGTTTGATTCGCATTCTCATTATATGCCAGTGATCTCCCATAAAAACTTCACCTCCAGGCTTGAGCGGCAGTGCTTAGGGGTGACTTCCCTTAATTTCCTCCTTTAAAGTAACGTCTTCCCCCCAAGAGAGATTTCCGTCGAATGCCTTGACGTCAACATTTCCTGGTCGTGCAGGATCAAAGTCCAGACGATCTGGAATCTTCAACCCCGACGGAAAATGATACCGGTTAAACCAGACTGAAACACCATCTCGATACAACCAAGGGTCTTCGGTTCGTTGCTGCCACTCCTCGAGATCTGATCTTAATTTAGCCAACAGCGGACCATGTTGTGGATCTCCCGCCAGGTTGTTAACCTCCAGCGGATCATTCACAAGGTCATAAAGCTCCTCCGGTCCACGAAAAAAATAATCCTTTAACTTTCGCTGTCCAATCTTGATTTCACTCTCGTTTGAATTGCGTATATCCTCCCAAGAAAGAGATCCATATATATCAGATGCGAAAGGGAAGTCCAAGCGCCAAGCCAAGTTTCTGTGGTATTTGTACCGCCTGTCGCGGATGAATCGCGTTGGCCAATAGTTTGTGACTTCGTGGAAAGTATGCGATCCAAAGACTCTATCACGAGCGATATCAGACTCATCTGCCGAAGAGCCAATGATTTCAAGAAGGGATTGACCTATGCGCTTCTTGAAGGGGTCGTGTGTAGCTGGATGGCCGACGAAATCTAATATTGTTGGCAGGATATCGACGTAGGATACCATCGCAGAACTTGCAGCAGATGCCCGCTTTGGATGTCGAATAATCAGCGGTAACCGAACCCCAGCATCGTACAGTGTTGTCTTTGAATTGATGAACGGGGGACCATTGTCACTCAAGAATATGACAAGAGTTGATTCTGCAAGATTGGAATCGTCCAGTGCTTTGAGCACCAGTCCAATGCCCTGATCAAGCCGGTGGATAGAGTTGTAATACTCCGCCAGCTCGATGCGAGTTCCGGGCGTATCGTTGACGAATGGAGGAACATCGACATCACCCGGTTGATACCTTCCCTCGCTGATTCTCGGGTCATACTGGCCAGTATTACCGAATCCTTGCCTAGTCCGATCACGATGGGGATCCTGATAACCAACCGTAAGAAAAAAAGGTCTACCATCCCCGTCAACCTCTTCAAAGAAAGACCGCGCTTGATCCGCAATCACCGCTACATCACGAGTGACACTTTCCTCCCTGACCTCCCAGGGATAAACCGCTTCCGGACCAACGTGAATCTTCCCAATAATTCCAGTCCGATGTCCAGTCTGGTTCAAAAGCCCCGGGGCAGTCTCAACATGATCAAACGTCACAAAATGATGCCGATGGCTCGCTAGCCCATACTGCCCATTTTGATGCGTATGCAAGCCTGTATAAATAACAGACCGACTGCCGCTACAGGATGCAGTGCTGGCAAAGGCGTAGTCAAAGCGAGTCCCCTGCGAAGCGAGATTGTCGATGTTAGGCGTTTTGATTCCTTTCGCTCCGTAGCAGCTTAGCTGTTTCCCCAAATCATCCGCAATCAGGACCAAGACGTTTTTACGTTCTGCCATTTTTATCTGGTGATCGATTTGAGTTGGAGTCTGTGCATAAGCTTCAAGATGGGGAAAACGGGCTAGTGCAACTAGTAGGGATATCAACACCTTACGGGGGACTTGGGGTGTTATCCGAATTAAAGAAAACAGCTCCACAAATCGCGCATGTTAATAAAGCTCTTTGCTTAAATTTCCACCAACGGGGTCATTAAGGGAGTGCGCAATCCGGTTGGATTATGGTCAAACCCTTAAAGCTGACCGGTGTTGCGGATGATGCCTTCGGGCCCCGCATTATCGTGATTGAATGCAACATGATAGTGATCGCTAAGCTGGAATCCATCAAGGGCAATGAGACTTTGGAAAATTGATCCGAGAAATAAATGAAGACTTCTTAAACTAGTTCGGATGACTTGGCAAGTCCTAAAAAGTCGTCATTCATTTAGGGAAATTGAGGGTTGTTGTCAGACCGACTAGCTAGTGAATATTGAGAAACGTGATTATTGATAGGCCATTTGCATTGTGCTGATACAACTTAAGATTATTACGTTATGTAGTAGATATGTTCATGACGCATGTTAACGGTAAATAGGCAACATTGGAAGGTATGCCGCAGATTGAGGTATAAAATAACCGTGAGACAGCATGAGGTTTTAGTTGAAATGTCATTTTCAAGTTCAACTCTTCGAAAATTACTTTTGCGACGATGCGTCTCTTTACACACCTACTTCTCCTGAAAGTAGCCCTTGGCCAACTTATTGGACCAGTAGGGCCTACCACGGATCTGGAAGAAAAGACAATCGAATGCAACATTCTCAATTACGGCGCAATTGCAGACAACTCGACAGATATATCAAACTCTGTCGAGGACACATTCACAGAATGCGTCACCAAGCATCCTGGTAGTCGTTTGATTATACCCAGAGGGGAACTATCTTCTGAATAGAAGCGTAGTTCTTAGTAACGGAACAAACTGGGCCCTCCAGTTGGATGGATTGATAACTGCTGCGTATGGCGGTGATTGGTCCGTTGAACGTGAGTTAATTTTGCAGGGATCGGCTGGTGTTGAATTGATCAATTCCACCATTAATGGAGAAGGTGACCAACGATTTCTGCTAGATGTTTTGGTAATTGTCAATGGTTAGTATGAGCGAAGCATTCCACTCCTTTCCAATACGAAGCACGGGTGATTAATTTCCTTTTTGCAGCTGTTGATTTTGAATTTTATTCCTCTACTGGGCTCGGAGCCATTCAAGGGCAAGGTTATCTTTACAGAAATGCCAATAAGTAAGCCTAATCCCGGCGAAAATTGCTCTCCATTCTGTCGCTGACTTAAAATCTCAATTACAGCACAGAGCGCCCGCGACTTGTCAGATTGATTTCGCCAATCAACGCAACTGTACATGACTTGATCTTGGTTGACAGCCCGAAATTCCATATTATACTCGACTTTGCACTGAACGTGGAGGTTTACCATCTCACTATACGGGGTGCAAATCTCGGAAGCTATGATGGAATCGACGCCATTGGAACGAATTACTACATCCATGACAATGAAGTTTGTACACCTCGCCCTCTAATACGGCCTCTTCAGATAGCAATTTTCTCTCCTTGGCCCTTGCAGCTAACAAGCTATCTAGGTGACAAACCGGGACGAATGCGTTTCGATCAAAAGCCCATCACACCATGCGCTGGTCGAAAATCTGGTCTGCAACCAGGCTGGCTCGGGTATCTCAATCGGAAGTCTGAACGTCTCTGCTGAGATATCCAACATAGTAGGTCTCCCGAACTATGAAAACCCACGGAACTACGTCTACTGACCGGCTGAATAGGAAGCCAGAAACATAAGCATTATCCAAGGAAACAATATTGCCTTCATCAAGACATACCCCGGTGGATCAGGATATGTGACAAATATCACGTTCTCCAACTTTCGTTCTCTCGGTAGTCTTTATGGCTTGGATATTAACCAATATTGGCAAAACACCTTCCAGCCAGATACTGGTGCTGTGGCTTTAAGCAACCTCGTATTCCGCAATTTCTCCGGTAAGTTCGTATATCCGAGGAGTATTAATTGAAGAAGACTGACGAAATATACTACAAAACAGGCTCGGTCGCCGATGGATCAAAACGGCCCCCGTTATATCTCATCGCAAATGACCTGACATTTGCCCTTAACGTCACTGTCGAAGACTTCACCATATGGACAGAATCGGGAACTCAGATCGTCAACAAGATTAACAATGTTTTTGGAATTGGCGATGACAGCTACGGCGCCAACAATGGTATCAAAAGTTTATCGGGGACAGAGTCGCCATCTACGTACACGAGCAGCTATACAGTGACTGCAACGCCGACTAATTGGGAAGCCCCAACCACCCCATCGTGGGCTGCGCCGAGCACTGGATATGGTAGTAAGTTTTCAGACTTCTGTTTCTGCCATTTCTTTAAGGGTTACCTAACGTCATGCAGCCTCTACTCCGATCCCGGTTTATCAGCCTGCTCCTCTTTGGCGTCCAGGTGGAATCGACTACGACCTGCATTACTGGGGAACATTTTGATCCTATCAATTCACCTGGTTAACTCTCATGTATTTTTTATTTGATTGGATGGAAAATCGCATGTAAAATCGAGTGTATAGCTTCAAGGGTGATCTATAATGGGTGAATCACTTTTGTACTCTTCGTACGATCAATAAGATAGATTTTACTGAAAATTTTCACCAATAGCCGATGTATCCCTAGGACTTATAGATCATATTGGAAGAGAGAGAGAGAGAGATAGAGAAAGAAGGAGGTGATTTCAGGAGTCCAGCTGAATTATCAAAGTAATATTAGAAAGAAACCTTTTTGTGAAAGACGGTATACAACTTGAGGATATGCTATGTTTGGCCATGTTCCTCTCGGCCAGCATTGCCTGGTCCACTTATTTCCTTTTGGCAATAACGGACTTGATACAGTTCTCTATAATGACTCTTGATACAAGTACTTTTTAGCCGAGAAGACGTCTGGATACCAAGGATAACCCACCTAATACTAAGCTCGCCATGCTTCCGAGGAGAAATGCTTATTCTAAATTAACCGAATCCATCCTATCTCCCGACCTCAGGGATCGGAATTTGTCCACCAATAAGCTGGAAACTACTAGAAAAGCTAGAAGTCTCGGCTATGGATATAATAAATTGCCCAGATTTGCGGGAGTATCATTGGGCTATAATAAGTTGACGCCACCCGCGCTTACATGGCGAAACTGATAAGTACCCTGATTTCATTCACCTGGCGTCAAAGACGTCCAAGGCTATGAACGCTTAACTAGAATAGTTTTTAGTAAATCGAAATAGGCTAGTTTGTGAGATAGAAAGAATATGGAATGTGCACAGGGAAGGATTGTAGGTCATATGCAGGGAATGGTATCATTAAGCGCCAAGAGCACGACTTGGCCATCTGGAGGTATTGCCCATGTTTATGGATGTCGCCAACGAATGACAAAAAATCATATATATCTGAATTATAGACCCTGAAAAGAAGAGAATCAAAAACTTTGATATTCATTCACATTGAACATGGCCGAGACAAAATCGACTCATGTCGTGGTCAAGGGCGGATCGTCTGAAACCGACGACCTCGTGGAGCCATTTCACCAAGAGGAACAAAAATCTCTTTACAAAACTCTTTTCCAGCGCCGAGAAGCTTATGATTTGGACAGCATTGCAACAGTTCGGAGTGTCTTTGACGACCCGCAAATTGCAAGGTTTTACCAACCGCATCCCGACTACGAAAATCTTGCTCACTTCGATCCAAGCGTGAGATGGACTTATCGAGAAGAAAGAACCGTCAGACGCAAGACTGATTGGAAAATTCTCCTTTGGATCCTGGTCATGTTTTTCGGCTTGAACATTGACCGCGGTAACCTGGGAAATGCCGCAGCGGACAACCTACTCGGTGACTTGCATATTACGACCAATGATTACAATAATGCGCAAAACATGTATAGGATTGGGTTTCTGATCGCAGAAATTCCATCCCAGATGATTGGCAAAAGACTTGGCCCCGACCGATGGATACCCTTCCAGATCATTGCCTGGAGTATAGCCTCAGGCGGCCAATTCTTCATGCAAAACCGAGCTGGCTTTTTCGCATGTCGCTTTCTCCTTGGACTTTTTATGGGTGGCTTCATTCCGGACAGCATTTTGTATCTGTCTTACTTCTACACCAAGTCAGAAATGCCATTTCGCCTGGCATTGTTCTGGTTTGTGGACTCTATTTCTGGCGTGATTGCATCTTTCATTGCTTATGGCGTCTTGCACTTGAGGGGGGTCGATGGCCGTGAGGGATGGAGATGGCTTTTCCTAATCGAGGCCCTCATTAGTCTTGCGATAGGATTCTTGAGCTTTCTCTTTCTCGTTCCTGGGCCTACGCAAACGAAGACTTGGTGGAATCCCAAGGGCTATTTCACCGAACGCGAAGAGAAGATCATCGTCAATCGAGTTCTCAGAGACGATCCATCGAAGGGAGACATGCACAACCGCCAAGCACTTTCCCTCGGTATGCTGTGGCAGAGCTTGAAAGATTATGATCTTTGGCCGATTTATATCATTGGCATTCTTTTCGAGATTCCTACTGGACCACCGAAGACCTACCTCACTCTTTCTCTCAAGGCGATCGGATTCGACACATTCCAAACAACATTACTGTCAATTCCAGTAACTGTATTTGCAGCTGTCAATCTCCTCTGGGTTACGGAATTGACGGAAAGATTCAGAAAGATTTCCGTGATTGGTCTATTGACTCAGTTGTGGTCTTTACCTCTTCTCGTCATTCTCTATACATCGGCTGGGGATTTGTCACGCTGGGGCCTTTATGCAGTAACATTTGTTCTTCTTGGATGGCCCTCGCCCCATGCTGCTCATGTTGGGTGGTGCTCTCGTTTGAGTAACGCTGTTCGAACAAGGACAGTAAGTGCTGCGTTGTACAACATCACCATCCAACTTTCCGGTATCGCTTCTTCCAACATTTATCGTGAGGATGATAAACCTCTTTATCGCCGCGGAAACAGCCAATTGATTGCTATTAATGTTGCCACTATCGCCGCCTATGCTCTCGCCAACGCATACTACTCCCGCCGTAACCAGTGGAAAAAGAGCCGATGGGAAAAGATGAGCTCGGAGGAGAAGGCTGTCTACTTGGAAACAACAACTGACCAAGGAAACAAGCGGCTGGATTTTGTTTTTGATCACTAGTTTGAATGTTATCAAAACATTTTGAAAATAGACAGGGACTGGGGGATGATGATTCGACATAGCAGACAGGGGAAGGCATGTGATTTTACTAGCGAGCTACTTCTTATGGTAGTAGTAATGCAACATATTCAGGGAAATGAGTATTTGAGATGAATAAATATTATGCTAGTACACCAAAACTCAAGTTTGTTACTTTCCATCGTAAACTTCATGGCGATAGGTTCTACCGACGTGATCATCTCTCAACCTTCGTTGACCAGGACCATAAATTCTCTCACGCATGGTACCCCCTTCATTCTGCGGCGAGTATATACCCCGTTCTCTCAACTCTGGTACCAGAAGCTCAACAACATCTTCAAATGTCCCCGGCGTCTGCACATACCCAATGTTGAACCCATCCAAATCCGCAACCTGAACCCACTCCTCAAGAAAATCCGCAACAAAACTAGCCGTGCCCACGGGAACAGGGCCCGAACCTCCAATCGATATGTGCTTCCCGATATTTCTCGGCGTCCAAACTGGGACATCGGGATTCTGATACGAAAGCGTATGAATTGATGAGTGAACACGCGCATCAACATGCACATCAGACGGTGTGATAGGCGTGTCCAAATCAAATCGACTGAGATCGATCCCATTTCCTCCAGAGAAAAATGCAAGTCCGGCCTCCTCACTGGCATTGGATAGTGCTTCGCGGTATTTGGCTTGTGCCTCCTCCTCCGTTCGACCAAGGATCGGAGTTAGAATGGCAAATACTTTCACCGATCGGGGATCTCGTCCTGCCTTTTCGGCTGCGGCTCGGATTTCTTTAACCCGTGGCGCGAGGACATTCGGGGATGGCGCTGATACAAATATTCCTTCTGCGTGCTTTGCACCGAAGGCTATCCCCGCCGGTGATGTACCGGCCTGAAAGAGGAAAGGAGTGCGTTGAGGCGATGGGTCGAGAATGTGAGGCCCATCGACGTGGAATTTTGCCCCGTGATGGTGGACATATTTTATCCGGCTGGGATCGGTATAGATGCCTGTTTCTGCATCCTCTTTCAAGGCGTCTTCGCCCCAACTACCTTCCCAGAGTCTGCGAGTGTTAGTTTTGTCAGAACCGATGTCTTTGAGGCGAGGGACTCAGGCTTGAATAGGACCAATGTTGCGTACTTATATAAAACAGTGAGATATTCGTCGGCAATCTCATAGCGCTTGTCATGCTCTACGAGTGGCAGTCCTACCTAAAGACGTACTATACATCAGCACAATAATAAAGAAAATGGTGATGCATTTAGACTCACGGCTTTAGCAGCGGATTCTTTCCAAGAGGTCACTATATTCCATCCAAATCGGCCACCTGTAAGATGATCAAGGGTTGAAAAGCGCTTAGCCACAACATAAGGCGCCTCGTATGAAGTCGAAGTTGTAATAGCGAAACCGAGATTCTTGGTAACTGAAGCCATGGCCGAAATGGGCTGTTCATTTCAAGTCGTATAAGATTAGTTATCTGGTACGCCAAATGGGAGATTGTAGCATTTTGCTGCTTAATTTGGAATTCTGTAATTTTGGTTTTACCTATCTGGGTACTTAAAACTTACTATGACAGGATCTCCCATTGGATACTGAGCTGCATTACGAATTGCTGGCTCCGCGCTCCCTTTGTACGTGTCGTATAGTCCGAAGGTATCGGCAAGGAATAGTGCATTAAAATCTCCCTTTTCGAGAATTTGGGCCAGGTTTGTCCAGTAAGATAGGTCACGACGTTTCGTCGCTGATCGGTCGGTCGGGTTCTTCCATTGTCCAAAGGATAAATGGCCAACGGTGAACATGTCGAAGCCATTGAGATAGATTCTTCGTTTTTCAGGTGTGGATTCGGTGGCCATTTTGTCAGGTTCTAGAGTGACTAGGTGATTTCGTTTTCACATACGATATCTTTTGCAAAGCTCGAGATGAAGGGATATGGCCTCAGAATTTCAGCGCGGGCGATGTGTCTCATTTCTAGAATCGATTAGATGAGACCCCCCTCACTTCACAGCTACTATCATTATCACGCAAAATCACGATCGTTAGGTGCAGATTAGCGTGGATCTATGTGGGAGATAAAAGCTATGAAGTTTGGCATGCAGCTATACCTCGGAAGAATGCCGAATAACCACACTTGTCATCAAATCGCGTCATCTCCAAAAAACTGCCGAAGCAGAGATTAGATTCTAGGGTAGAATACTGTTTGGAGTACTGTAGGAGCCGCAATTATCTGATTGAACTCGGACAAAATCTTATCAAGCCCTTCTATGGTGATATTTTATCTGCCGCTCGCGCAATGTGCGGACTTTCGTTCGGCGAAGTCTGGAGCAAGGACTATACTCATTCAATTGTATGATGCCATTCTAACAACTATTGTGCCAGTGTCTCAAATGATATCAAGAAATACAGAGTAAATCAAAGCAGTAGCGCAGGACAAAAAAGTATCTGTTGTTAAATTAGAAAGCTCCAGTCGCCTGCTCTGGGAAATTTGGGTAGGAGAATCATCGCTATTTCACAGAATCAAAATGTCCGGTTTTATTTCCAAATTGGAAAAGGCAACTAGGTGGCTACCGGAAGGGATTTCTACCGAAGAACGGAGTCTTGTTCACAAACTAGACCTGCTCATCCTCCCTTATGCTTGTCTGTCGTTTTTCGTCAAATATCTTGACGTTTCAGCTCTGAGTAGGTGAATGGTGATATTATATTCCCTGAATATGAGCTGATAATTTTTTGCCAACAGCCAATGCTTATGTCTCTGGAATGAAGGAGGACCTCGATCTATATGGTAATAGGTTAAATTATATCAATGCAGCTTGTAAGTACTTCGAGCTACGTTTTATGGTAGCTTTTATCTCCGCTATACCCAAGCAAAAATATTTACCCCAGACTAATGCTCCCAATGCTATGTATAGATGAGGTTGGATATGTCATTTTCCAGATTCCCAGCAACCTTGTGCTCATCAAGTACCCGTAGGCGTCACCAATCACTTTTATAAAGAAGAAAATATGAACTAATTTTATTTATAGAGCACAGTACTATCTTCCAGCAGCGGAATTATTTTGGGGAATGTTCACGCTAGGAACCGCATTTGTGAAAAGCTATGAGCAACTTGTGGTCATGCGCTTTTTCGTCGGGCTGAGTGCAACATCCTGCTATGTTGGTTTAGTCCATGTCGTCAACTCGTGAGTAATCGGAGCTTGAAACTTCTACCACAGAGCCATTCTAAGAGAAATTAAATAGGTGGTATAAAAAGAGAGAGCTCGGAAGACGAAATGCTCTGTTTTGGATTGCTAACCCATTAGGCCAAATGGTTGCTGGGTATCTTCAGGCGGCGGCTTATACAAATCTGAACAATCACCATGGGCTTCAAGGTTGGAGGTAGAGACATTGAAATAAAATCAACTCTATCAGACATTGATTAACTTTTAACAGATGGCTTTTCATCATTTGTACTGTCATCACGATACCGGTCGCAATTTTGTGAGCTTTTCTTCCCGAGGTTGACAGGCGAAAACAAGCGGCAGAGGCTAATCCCATTTATCAGAGGCTTTTTTATCTTTCCTGATATGCCCGATCGTACCAAATCAAGATATCTCAACGAGGAAGAAAAAGCCCTGGCCAGAAAAAGACTGGTCGATGAAGGGTTCAGACCGTCGACTGGCTTGAAAAAGGATCTTTTCAAGCGGGTCCTCGCCTCATGGCGTTTCTATGCGTTCGTTTCGACTTTGGTGATATTTTGCCAAATGACCTATGCAGAGGCCACGCCTTTTATCCTCTGGCTCGACTCTCAGCCTGACAAATACCCGATCGCTTTAGTGAACAACTTATCTACTGTGACAAACGGTGCTGCGGCTGCTGGGGCCTTGATAATGAGTTTCTACTCTGACATTCGCGGGTCAAGACTGGAGCCGATTATTCTATCGGGTGTTCTTTGCATATTCACAAACCTGGTTCTTTCAATCTGGAATATTCCAGATGGCCTCAAGTTCTTTGCTTATATTTCAGTCGGGTGGTCGTATGGAACAATCCCAGTGCTCATAACGTGGACGGCAGAAGGCTTGGCAAATGACTTGGAGCTCAGAGCTGTTTCATTTGCTACATACAATACCATCGCGGAGATATGTGGCTTAGTGATACCGCTTGTGGCATGGCCAGTATCTAAAGCGCCAGGATTTCGAGGTGGTTTTATTTGGGTATGTGACGGACTCCTCGGAAATATTTTACGTTTACTGATGGTCTATTTAAATGCAGGCAACTAGTATAAGTTTCCTTTATCTTTTGACAGTTTCATTCACCATATTCAAGTTAAGGCATTCCAGGAAGAACGAAGACAACTCGGAGCTGCAAAATGGCATAGATTCCGAAGATGTGGACTCGGAGGTCAGAATCAGCACGATTGGGATTGAAACAACCGTCGCCACAGCGAAGGATGCGATTGTATGATCTCGAAGTGATTAGGGTTCATTGGTCGTTTAGAAATAATGATTGTGCATCTCACGCTGATTAATGTTGGAGGTACGCTACTGGCAGGAAGTAGACGTGGAGGAGAAGGCTTATCTGTGAAGCCTCACCTTCCATAGTTTTCTCTTCCTCATACTCAGTATGTGGTATCAATGCACTTGAATACCTTCAACCAGGCTTCTATTACATTCATTGGTTTCTTTCTACGCCACCTTATCTTTCCCCTCTATCTCACTTGCTATGGACCTGAACATGGCAGAACCACTTACCTGTCCTTTCCATCTCTTTGGGAATCTTTGGCTTGAAGATCCCACAAATTTTCTCGGGACATTTGACGCATCAAACATGTATACAAATATGGCTCTCATCAGATTCTTCGATCGGAGCCGGAAGGGTGGCAGCTCTTTTACTGGTACCTGTCTCTTTCTATCCATCCTTTTTGACGGAGTCCCAACTGACCAAAAATAGCCCCACTGGGACAGACGAAATGGAACCTGGGGTCAGCCTTTGCGAAATCCAACGACCGGGAAATAGCTCTTTGGAACAAGCGAGGGGTAGAAAGGTCAACCCGAGACCTTATGCCACCAAATGGCTCCAAGAGTCTTTGATTGTATGTCACCTTAATCCTACTTACTACGTCGCAGAACCCAGAGATCGGCTTGTCGACAACCCTACCAGTCCAACGATAAGAATACTAAATAAAAGTGGCTTCTCATCGGGCAATACATTCTTGTTTGATCAGATATACCGAAGAGGGCGATCAGAGGATCTTATATCATGATCTTGTACGTGAGCTTCGACAAAACATGGCCGCTATTGTCGGGATTTGCTATGGTGGAGATGCCTGGAAAGAGATGAAAAGAGAGCTAGGCTCCCGACTGATCCAACTCCCCCTCTGGAGCGAGCTTGAATCCGTCAAGCTGTAATACGAGGTTGATGATGACCATCAACATATAAGGAGGTTTATCCTTTACGTTCGGCACCCACAATTCTTTGTTAGGTCTGGTTTTCATAAAATTAGCCCCCAAGCTCGGAAGGACTATGGAATTTCTCAAGATCTAGCTTTAACGCTAGAAAGGCGTCTAGCTGGCCATGGGAAAGATTTCACCGTCCATTATTTCCAAACTTGTTCCCAAATCATCGCTTCCACTTGCTACATTAACTTACTCTGTGATAAACCTCATACATACGACCATAGGGTGTGGAGAACAGGGCTTCCCGTCCGCTCAGCCGTACTTAAGCCACACGCCGGCAGGTTAGTAGTATGGTGGGTGACCACATGCGAATCCCTGCTGTTGTATGTTTTATTTTTTGTATTCCCGCTCTCGTTACCTTACAAGCTCAGTCCCTCAACAGTGTCCGCCCGGCTATCCCTCAACCTAGAATAGATGACGTGGCACTCAGCTTGACCTGTCGCCTCTCGCCCCCTGTCTTAGCATATTTCAGGGTCAAAGCTAACGCGACGTATGAGTAAAGAAATATTCTTCCCTGAACCTAGTGTGACTTACTTTACTCCATGTTACCTTCTCGTTCCTCGAGTTGTGGGGGGTAACTAGAAGGTCCTAATACATAAACCCCATAGCTTGAACCGAAGGCTATTGCAACTAGGAGTAGTACGTATTTCATCATTGTCACCTCACTTCGGCGTACCCAAGGGATGGGCCAAAACAACCCCTTAAAACCCCAGTCGTACGTACCACTGTAATTCAGGACACTACACCTCTCGTACTGCATAGTATATGATGCTATTTCTAATTAGGCTAGGGTATGTCTGAATACGTATTAGAGGTATCAACCAACCAAGACCCAATTACTAAGCCTCACTAATCCCTATTGAGAAAGATATTCTGTATGCTTGGCATTAGGCTATGTATTACACGTTACGCGCCGATCTACGACCATGGTGGGATTGTATTCAATCGTAATCTGTTACATCCGATCCTCTTGATAAATAAGGCAACGCCGCCGCATTATGCTCCCGAACTTACATCCACACGTATAAATCTTCTTTTCCGTGGAAAATACCTCGAGAACCCAACTTCCATGGCTTCACACCACATAACCTCGAATTTTGGCAACTACAATTCCGGCATCCAAGCAGATAAACTTGAGGTTGGGGGTGATATAAATTTCCACGTCTCAGAGGGTATGTTAATAGAAAGTCTGGTCAAATCATCATGACTAACGGCCTCTTGTCCTGCTAGGGAAAACAGAAGACGATCGGAATCAAGAATGTCTGCGGGATCTACAAGCTCTACTGGTTACTGATCCCCGGGACGATATAACCCGTATCAAGCGGGTTAAAGGAGGACTGCTCAAAGAGGCTTACTGCTGGGTTCTCGACAACGCAGACTACCAACAATGGCGCGACGACCTCAACAACCGGCTCCTATGGGTCAAGGGCGACCCTGGAAAGGGCAAAACAATGCTGCTTTGCGGGCTGATTGATGAGCTAACCAGCTCGACGTCCGACACTACCCTTTTTTCATATTTCTTTTGCGAAGCATCGGATACTGCACGTAATGGTGCTCTTGCGGTCCTGCGTGGCCTCATATACCTCCTTGTGATCGGACAGCCATCTCTTGTCTTTCATGTGCGGACGCGATACGACCAAAGAGGAAGTCAACTCTTCTCCGATGGAAACGCATGGGATGCTCTTTCGAACATCTTCTGTAATATCCTGAGAGACCCAAACTTAAAAGGAGCATTTGTGATCGTTGATGCCCTTGATGAGTGTATTGAAGATCAACGTTTGCTACTCGATCTCATTTGCCAAATCTCCTCGGTGCATCCACAAGTGAAATGGATTGTATCAAGCCGGAACGAACCAGAAATTGAGGATCAGCTTTTCTCTGCGACAGAAATGAGACTATCATTGGAACTGAACGAACAATCTGTATGGGATGCTGTCGCTGTGTTTATCCGTTACAGAGTCCAGAAGTTAGCTGCGAAGAAAGGATACAATGATGACCTTCAGGATGCTGTTTTGAATCATCTACTTTCAAATTCTCAAGGGACTTTTCTTTGGGTCAGCTTGGTTTGCACCGAGCTCCAGTCAAAAGCTGCATGGAAAGCTCGATCATTATTGAATACATTCCCACCTGGGCTTACACCTTTGTATGCAAGTATGATGAATCGCTTGTGCAGATCGGAGGATTCGGAGCTTTGCAAACAGATCTTGAGGACTATGTTGTTAGTGCACCGGCCCATTACCCTAGACGAATTTCCCACATTGGTCGATTTACCAGAGGACATTGGAGACGAACATGAATTCTTCGAGCAAATTATCGGAGGCTGTTACTCATTTTTAGTACTTCGCCAGCGCACTATTTTCTTTGTGCATTTGTCCGCCAAAGATTTCTTAATGGTACATAGACCCAACGATTTGTTTGATGTGGGGATAGAAAACGAGCACTACTCAATCTTTCAGCGGTCCCTCCAAGCCCTGCAGCGACTGAAATACGACATATACCGCTTGAAGATACCTTCTCTTCCCATCAACGAAGTGAGCCCGCCTGACACAGACCCATTAGCTCCATTAAAATACTCTTGCCTATATTGGGTCGATCATCTGCAGATCTGTCATGCGAGCGGAATGGCACAAGATGATTTTCAGGAAACTGGATCAGTCAGCTTGTTTTTCAACGAGAGTCTTCTTCACTGGCTCGAGTCCCTCAGCCTAATGCGTAGCGTCTCCCAGGGAATAGCGGCAATGTGCAGGCTTGGTGACTTATTAAAAGTACGGCCCAATCCCCTGATCAAACATAACATTTTAACATCGAGAATTAGAATGATGGGATGGGCGACAACCGCACCGAAACACTCCTGGGACAAAAAGTCGATGATGCAATTAGATTTACTCGACAGCATCACTTTGCAATCGAGAAATGGCCACTTCAAGTATATTGCTCATCACTACTTTTTACCCCCACTCAAAGCAAGACCAGATTGCAACACCAGAGCCAGATACCCAAGTGGATTCTTGGGGTCCATGGAATGGATATTGATTGGGACTCATGTATCTTCACTCTCCAGGGACATGGAGAAGGCGTTAATTCAATAGCATGGTCACAAGATGGACTCTATGTCGCATCCGGATCCACTGATAAGACAGTCAAACTGTGGGACACTTCCACCGGACAGTGCATATCAAGTATTTATGGGCATGAGGAAGGCATAACTTCGATAGCGTGGTCGCCGGATGGAACTCGACTTGCATCAGGGTCCTCGGACGGCGCAATCAAGATCTGGGACACAGCTACCAGAGAATGTGTAGCATTTTCCAAAGAAACATCCGCTATAGAATGTGTCACATGGTTACAAAATCAAAATCGACTAGCAACATGGTCAGTGAAAAAGAATTTCATGATTTGCGATCCATCACCCGAAAGGCCGCTATGTGACCCCGATTCCGGTTTATGCACATGTCCCAGTTTCTGCGCATATAACCTTGACGCTTCATTTTCCTGGACAGAAGATATGATTCGAGTTGCTAGATGGGAACGTGATGAAAGTATCTTAATCAGTGACCCAGTAACCGACGAAAGTATGTTCACGCTCATGCCAGTCAATCGTCGTATCTGGAACAAGCTTTCAAGTCTGTACTTGTCCAAAGATGGAACTCGACTCGCAATAAAGGAGACGGATTCCAGAATCAGTATTTGGGATACAAGAGCTGGAGATCTTCTACACGTTCTACATAAGCCGGGTGGTAATCTGACAGATATTATCTGGTCGTACGACAATGGCGGACTTGCAACGATTGGTTTGAACGAAGGGCTTCGAATTTGGGACGTGACCACCGAAACATGCTTATCGATTCACACTGGACACACCGGATTTGTGAGATCACTTGCCTGGTCGCGGGATGGGGCTTGGCTTGCAGGATCGTCTGAATACTTAGTTCGTATCTGGAACTCATCCTCTGGAAAATGCACATCTACTCTCAAGGGGCATACCGAAGACATAAATTCGGTCGAATGGTCACCAGACGGGACAAAGATTGCTTCAGGATCAAATGATACTAACGTCAAGATATGGGATGCAACCCGGCCATCTGCCCCAACTTTGCAACAACATGGCGATTCGGTTAATGTGATTTCCTGGTCACCAGACAGAGCCCGATTGATATCCGGATCTGATGATTGCGAAGTCCGGATTTGGGACACGGCTTCTGGGGATTGTACATTAATCCTCGAGGCGAAGAACTGGGCACTTTCTGTCGCTGAATGGTCTCATAAGAGCGATTACATCGCAACAACCTTCACTTATAGCCGATGGAGACATAAGATTGCTAAAGATCGATCACCACTCTGCGACGGTATTGCCACACGCAAACACATGAGTGAATGGAGACACAAAGGACAGCAAGTCGACTCCGATGGATGGAATTGTGACGCATGGGTCTGGTGCCCAGATACTGGACGGTTTGAATTTTGTATCGATGCGAAAGGAGGTCCAATCACTGCAATCGCGTGGTCTGGCGATGATAGCCGCTTGGCAGCAAGCTCATGGGGTTCTTCTATTCAGGTCTGGGGAATTTCCAACAGGCAGTGTATTTGGAGCTTTGATTTCGCGCATTGCAACAAACACATGAGTTCAGTTTCCTGGTCACCAGATGAGAGTCGAATTGCTACAGGATGGGAAGGAAATACAATTAAAGTCTTGGATCTTGCCATGAAACAGATTATCTGTATACTGCAGCATCCAGGCGATGACAGCAATATTTTATCGACTACTTGGTCGCATGATGGACACAGACTCGCATCCGGATCAACAGACAACACTGTGAGAATTTGGGATACTGTCTCTGTTCAATGCATAACAGGATTTCATGTCCCTTCACCCAGAAACCTTCAATTCAGTCCATTCAATTCGAATGACCTTGATACCCCAATTGGAACCTTCAAATTGGATGCCATCGTCTCGGCCAGCTCTTCTTCTCATAGCTTGAACATTTCACCAGCGCAGCCGTTTTACGGTTCTCGAGGCGAGTGGATAACTTTCGGGGGCAGAAACGTCATTTGGGTTCCATCGGCATATCGACCGAGTGCCTGGGCTCGATCTGGATTATCCCTTGCCATTGGAACTTGCTTGGGGCAGGTCCTAATTTTGCATTTCCAGGAAAACGGTGGGCCTCTGTTTACCAAAGACCTGCTGGATTGTGTGCCAGACTGCCGCGTTCTGCAAGACGATGTCACAGGGGGTTCGACGGATCAACGACGATGCCACCAAGCTTTTCGAGTGACAAAATACGAAGAACAAAAAGATCCCTATCGCCAAAGCGTCGTCGAAGCTTTTAATCAAGCAACTCTTGGGAACCCTGCATACATTCGTTGGTGGAACAACACACGCAGTGACGTTCTATGGATAGTAGCTGACTCGGGCCGTGGAAAATCCGGATTTGCTCGATCAATCGTCGAGGACTACATACCCACCTCAAGCCCGACGGTGACGGTTTGTTATTTCTTTTTTGAGGAGAGCGATGAACAGAACAACCTTGCTTCCGCACTATGTGCAATTCTTCACCAGCTTTTCGACCAGAGGCCTCATTTAATTCATCATGCATCTTCGACTTGGGAAAACAATGGAAAGCGAATTCGACGGAAAGTTGACGAGCTTTGGGAGATATTGATGGCGGCAGCATTCAGTGATGTATCTCTCAAAATTATCTGTGTAATTGATGCTCTTAACGAATGCCGTCAGGATGATCAAGGGCGTCTGATCACAAAGCTCAAGCACTTCCACGACAATTCGCTATTTTTCACAAAGGGAACTTGGTTGAAATTCCTGGTGACCAGTCGCTCCTGTGGTCATATCCAGGATCAATACCAAGTCATCAAAGAGTCATTCCCCCTTATAGACTTCCAGGATAAAAGAAACGACGAGGACGACCGGGGCGAGGAGGGAGAGGGGGGGAGATCAATCCTTTCACCACAACAGGGTCATTCAGGAGCTGTTAACCTCCAGGGTTAGCCTCGATGATGGAAATGACCAACACATCTGTACACCAAGTTCTGTCTGTGGAGAAGGCCACGAGGAAATTTTACAAATGATTCTAGACCCTGGAGCTGACGTCGATGCTCAACTCACACACTACTACGCTGCACTACAAGCTGCTTGTGAATGGGGACATGGCCATTCTGTGCAGTTGTTGCTAGAGCGCGGGGCCAATACGAATACAGAGGGTGAAATTTATGACAAATTGCTACGGACTGCTTGTTTCAATGGAGATGAAAAGGTCTTACGGTGCCTCTTAAGTCACAGGACGGAGATTCTGGCTGTTATCAATTCTGGCTCTTCAACAATGACCAGACCCGCTGAAAATGGCCACCGCACAGTGATAAACCCTCATGTCTCGAATAGAGCGGATATTCAGATAGTTGGTGGTCGAGGTTACCCGCCAATCATTATATCCTCGTGTTTTGGTCATCTTCAGATGGTAGAACTACTTCTTGAAAAGGGGGCTAGCGTCAATTCAATCAACAAAAGAGGTCATACGCCTCTGCATTATGCCTCTGAATACGGCTATTCTAACCTGGTCAATCTACTCCTCACACGACCGGATATTGTTATCGATGTTCAAGATGACACTGGAAGGACACCTTTTTTCCTTGCTGCGGCCAGGGGGCATGTCGAAATATTACAGATACTTCTACGACATAATGCCTTTCCGAATTTCAAAGACCGCTATCAAATGACACCCTTGTGCGCCGCTATCCGAAACGCACATGAGAAAACTATCAATTTTCTGCTTCCATTGACCGGAGCTCCAATTGACCCGGAAGACAACCTTGGCTACAAGCTAATGTGGTGGGCGAGCAGAAGTGAACGCAGAAGTGTAGTTGAGCTCGTGCGCCAATGGGTTCAACAAATGGCCATTGCTTTCTACGAAGTTGGCCGTGACACAGAATATTCTTCAACTGAAACTCGCCAGTCCTCTAGGTCCTGTGATGTGTGTACTGGAATGATCTCTCATGGCCTTGCCTACTATACCTGCAATACTTGTTTCAATTTTGACATTTGTCTGGCCTGTCAATCTTTCGGTCTTCTATGCTTAAGTTCTTCTCATGATTGGACTCTTAATTGAGATTTTCACAGTACCCGAAATGACAACTATAATTTCAATAGCTGCTCTAGGCCCAATCTATTCTGTCTTCTCTTGTTTAGAATTTTAACAGTTTCATTTACATTCTTCCCAGACAGTAATCTCCTGAGATGTGCAGCTTTCGTCATGTCGTCGTCCTCCTTTTCTCATTACTAATATTGATTAATAGATAGTTGCTTTTTGGTTTCAGATAAGTGAGAAGGTGACTTAGTAATGGATCAATAGTACTAGTAGCTTGGTGAAGATGGCCTGGTGAACAACAGTGAAGACTATTCATTTCATCTCTTATGTTCTTTCCAGTACTTTCTTAATCTTTCCTTGCCAGAATTTACAAATGCGACTTTTGTATGTTACTTCCGGCCCTTCAGGTGAAGGGGCGCTTCGCTAGTGCAGTGAGCTTAGGACAAATCGTGGGCGCTAGGTGACCACCGCCATGCAATATATGTTGTATGTTTTTATTTTTTCGTGTGTGAGAAATCAACTTACTAGGGAACAGAAAGAACAATGTAAGGCAAACAACCGGAAATTCCTTCAGGCTGTGAGAAGGGTCTTCACAGACAAGTATCAGGAAAAGCATCGTCGGAAAAGTGAGAAAATCCAAGAAATGACTAGAATACTTCACTCTTTCGCAAGACCTCTACAGCCAATGATCGAGCTCAAGCTCAAACAGGAAATACCGCAAGATCAGCCGGTGAGCTAATCGAAATACTTGGTTTCGGCAAGCCAAAGGTCAGTGATTTGCAGAAAAAACTTCGACAAGAGAGAGCTTATGGCCTGGCAAATACCATTTTGTCTTTCCAGAGGGTCTATCATGACCTTGTTGATAGTGAGCTTCTGCAATTAGTTATTCGGTGACTCGAACACCCCCCAAGTACGACACCGGAAGAGTTTAGCTGGGGAGACCTTCCAGGCCAGCTTACTGAGTGGATACAAGCCCGGGCAGGTCCTAGATTAAATAGCAAATCTATATCGAATCGAGATACGCTGGAAACAGTCTTTCAACTTTTGAGCTGGAGAAAAGGAGCAGATCGCGAAAGTTTGCTTCCTTTGACTGCATACTCTATCACTTCCCTTGCAGTCACTGTAATAATACAATATCTCAAAGAAATTTTGAGGCCAGGGAGGCAAATAAGACGAAGTAGGACAGTTCCTGGGAGCACTGACAAAGTAATCCAAAGAAAGTGCTCGGTATGCCAAAAACTTTTTCTGGATGATGCTTTCCCGCGTTTTTCAAAAGGATATACCAGGCAAATATGTCATCACGGAGCATGAGAGAGCAACTTGTTGTTGGATAGAATGTTGAGGGAGAAATGTATCTCTTGTCCCTACGAATCCTTGACAGCCTTGGAGGACTACATACGTTCAAACGGACAAGAGCTTAGTTCCATAATTTTCAGGGCTCTCAGTTGAAGGTGGAAGACTCCAGGATACTCTCTCATATGGGTCATATATACCACCTAAATTCTTTATTACCAGGGGCTAGGTGGAATCTCCCAAATATTAGGGTGAACATAGATTTCCAACCCAGAAAGCTGTATCATGACGTTGTTTGGACTTATTAATACTAGTATGTATGTATGGTTGTACGGTTTTAGATGCTTTCAAAACCAAATATCTTATGGAGGAAATATACAAAGAACGAGCAGTAACCCCCCCCCCCCCCCAAAAAGTCCAAATCCCCGCAGTCGTCTAGATATGCGAGGTTGTCATAAATTGCACCCATCACGGAGCCCTACATACGTAGTTAAACCTTCCCTCAGGCTGAGGTCCGCCTCCCAACTTCATAGACCGTTCTTCCGTCAGGCAGGGCAAAATAAATGCTCAACAGTAGTCAAAGCTTTGACAAAATTTCCATGTCCTTGGAAGGACAGATGAGACTACAGATTGATAAACTCAATGACGAGAGACCTGCAGCTCATCAACCATCGAGAAATGTGGACGGGTGAAAGGATATTTATACGAGAATGAAACTGGAAATAGTGGAACAATCTATAAATCTACCTAGACAGCTCATGAAGTCATATGCTCTCTGTAGAATGTTTCTATACAATTTCGAATTCGATGGTTCCCCATCCTTCATATGTGCAAGACCACTGTCCAGGTCCCTGAATCAGAACCGCCTCTAAGCAACTTCCCGGCATAATGAGCTGCCCTGCCTTGAACTCGATGCCATACTTCGATAAAGTGTTGATCAGCCACGCAGTTGCTGCTAATGGGTTTCCAAGAATGTTTTTTGTGTTTCCCTCCATCACCTGTTGGCCGTTGCACTTCAAGTAGCCACGAGTGTTGCTAAGATTGAGGTCGGAGATCTTGCGCGGGGTGCCACCAAGAATAATAGCTCCAGTAGATCCATTGTCGGCCAGGGTATCGGGGAGATCAATAGCCCAGTTCTTGACACGAGAGTCAATGATCTCAATAGCAGGGAGGGCATAGTCGATCGCGCTGATGACATCGGCGACAGTGACATTAGGGCCTTTGAGATCACTCTTCAGTACAAATGCGGGCTCCAATTCAACATATGGCTTGATGAATTTCTCACGAGGGATGGAAGTACCCTCGTAAAGGAAAGAGCTTGCATGTAGAAATCCGTAGTCAGGGTGGTCGAGGCCAAAGGCGGTTTGCATCACTTTCGCGATATTTCCGAGCTTATATCCAACCAATCGGTCGCCATTTTGAACAGCGTGAAGGGAATTGAGCTCCTGAATTTTGAAACCGTCGTCGGCATTCAGGCTGGGCCAAGTCTTTGATGGAGGGTCGATAGGCTTTCCTTCAGCCCGAGCGGTGCGAAGCGCAACCGCGACATCGTTTAGGTCAAATGCGGACATGGTAGAAAATATGTAATACAGAAGAGAATTAGATAGATGAATGTCGTAGAAACTTGGTATCGTAATAGAAGGAAAGTTATTAGGAAGCACGGTATACTTATAAAAGATTTTGAAACCGCGTTGTGCTATCTTCGTGCGAGTCCATGGCTCGGGTATCTCGCCAGAGGATTCCGAATAAGCGGGGGGGTTCGTACAATGGATGTCGCTTTACCCACTCCAAATCACAATGACCTTCCTTATTCCATAACCATGAGAAATGAGCCGAGATAAAGCGGATGTTCTTAAGGCGTCGGATCAGAAGCCGAACCCCAGCCGAACTTACTCGTCGGCTCATCTAGAGCAAACCCTCAACATTCTCGGTGCCTGGCTCCACTCTCGCCTTCACCCGAGCGAGGTGAAAATCTAGGAGATAAACATCATATTTTTGAGATAACGCCTTCGGATGTACCCCAGGGCACGGTTCAGATTGAATCCACATGGCCATGAGGGGAGGAAGAGTCCAGGGCCGTCTCGGGATCTGGTGGAGTTGTCCGTAGTGAGAATCACACGACCTTCTTTCTGCTAATCGCTCGGCTTCGATGCGGAGAACCACAACTTTTCAAATTATATAAACTTCACTTGCATTTTTCAGGTAGCAATTCTTCTATCAGACACAAGCATACCAATCAATCTTCCCTCTTCCCTATTCTATACTCTACCAAACACATACACAATGGCACCTTCAGCAATCTCCTATGAAGACGTTGAGCCGCCAGTCGTCATTGGTCCTTCGACCAAGAAGGCTATGCGCCCCTCCAATCAGCTACCCCAGTCTTTGATCGACGGCGCAAAGGTTGAAAAGCGCGAGGCCTTTGACCCTGCCAAGCATTTGAACTTCCAGCCTCCGAAGTCTATCACAACTATGGAGCAGATTGGACTCAAGGGACATGGCATTTCACCTCACGCGGCCACTGAGCCTTTCCCTCTCTTTACTCAAGAGGCCATCGCCCAGATTCGGGCTGAGATTTTCGACGAGAAGGTCCTCGAAGAGTGCCAGTATTCTTCCACATTCAACAAGAACATGGTACGAGGTATGGGCGCAGCGTGAGTACCTCATCGATGTCGTGCTACAGGCTTCTGGCTAACTGTTTCAGACGCGCTCCTTTCACATACAGTGCCTGGAAGTCTCCCGAGGTGCTAGCCAGAATTTCAGAAGTGGCAGGCATCGACCTGGTACCCTCTATCGACTTCGAAATAGCAAACATCAACATCTCGATTCGGGATGAGAATGCAAATGTGGAGCAGACTGTGAATCTGGTGCAAAGTGATGAGGATCTTCCTGCTGTTGCTTGGCACTACGACAGTTTCCCATTTGTGTGTGTGACTATGCTTTCTGATTGCACTGGCATGGTTGGCGGAGAGACCGCATTGAGAGCCCCTAGCGGAGAAATTAAGAAGGTTCGCGGGCCAGCTATGGTGAGTTAAACCTCCTTGAATATAGCCGGGTTAGGCAGTATTTCTGACTTGCCACTTCGTATAGGGAACCGCTGTTGTTATGCAAGGACGCTATATCGAGCACCAGGCTCTGAAGGCCCTCGGTGGCCGTGAGCGCATCAGTATGGTTACTTGCTTCCGGGCAAAGTCGCCCCTAGTCAAGGACGAGACCGTTTTGGTGGGAGTGCGAGGAATTAGCAACATCTCTGAGCTATACACTCAGTACACCCAGTACCGTCTAGAGGTTCTGGAAGAGCGAATTCGCCACCAATTGAAGCAGGAGCGAGAGCGTGAGATTGCCAAGCGACCTTTCAACATTCCGGAGATCAAACGATTTCTTACCAACCAGAAGCTGTTCATTGAGTCCATGCTTACTGAAATCCAGGAGGTGGATTAGAATGACCATATTAAAAACGTTTACAATTGCACAAATTTGGACTTGAAGAGGGCATTGAAATTGTTCGTAGAATGTGCAAGATTTTATCAAATTTAATTCAAATGTTAGATTTCTTTTACTTGCTTTCGCTTAATTAATTTCCCATTGTTGTTTCTTCTACCAAGTATTGACATCTTGCTTGCCTCTTATTCTGTGATACTGAGTATACCATGTGTGTCGCTCAAAGCATCGGGATCGTAGACTTAGTCTTGCAGAAACCGCTAATGAACCATGCGATCTATTAGCTCTTACACATAATCCAGATTATACATACATGCCCTATTGTAATACAGTATGCGTCATAATGCGCACTACCGATAGTAACTAGTTAGTACGGAATAGTTAGTGTGGGGAAATGGAGAAGGTCCTAGCTTGCCCATCAGCCGAGATCACGTAAATAGGCTGGGGGTCTCGGGCCCGGTCCGAGGCCTTTCGCTAATATATCGGGTTCATCCGACCACGATTGCCATGCGGATCCTCACAGAGGGCAGTAAACCTAATTCATGCCAATTTGCGGGGTCCCCAGAAATCCTCCCTGGTGATAAAATTACAACCCCTCTTATTGGGCACCGCCATTTTCCCCAATGCCCTGCCTCTATATAAGATCAACTTGTTCGCCAAGGAGAAAATAAATCGCACCTCAATTCGATTGATTGCACCATGAAAAATACTATGAAAAAGTCGGATGCATTGGATGCGTCGGACGCGTCAAACGACAAACCAGACACGCAGCAACTTGAAGTCACCACTTACGATGATGTATTCGGAGAAATTACAGATGACGGTCCCAACTTTCGCAATGTCAGTAGAAGCATTCATCAAGTTGTACATTACAACTGCTAACTAGTCCGAGTCGTAGGTTGGATTTACAGGAACCGTCATCCTCATGATGAAAACTCAAATCGGCCTTGGTGTCCTTGCTATTCCGTCTGCCTTGGATGTTTTGGGCATGATCCCAGGCATTATTTGTCTTCTTACCATCGCCTGTATAACTACTTGGTCTGGATATATTATCGGAGACTTTAAGATCAATCATCCCGGAGTCTATAGCATTGATGATGCCGGTGGAATCATGTTTGGCTTGCCAGGACGAGTTGTCCTCTCGGTTGGATTCTGCTTGTGTACGGTTCCCTCATGATGTGGTTTTGGTTGAATGAGACCAACAGATAAGGCAGTCACTTACCGCATACAGATTACATCTTCAACAGTGGTTCGGCTATTCTAAGTCTTTCTATCGGGTTGAATGCTGTCTCGACCCATGCCACTTGCACTGCAGCTTTCGTCGCAATTGCTGCGATCTTCGGGTGTGCTTTCAGCAGTATCCGAACTCTAGGCAAGATTACTTGGCTGGCATGGGTTGGACTGCCATGCATTCTCACTGCTAGTATGTTTCAAATTACTTGACTCCTGAAGCTGCCGACTAATGTGCTTTAGTCCTGATTGTTACAATTGCGGTCGGCATCAACGGTGGCCCTGCATCTGCATCAAGTAATGATTGGGTTTCTGATTGGGAGGTTACCACCAAGCCTACTTTTCCAAAAGCGATTGCAGCAGTGTCAAATCTCCTGTTCGCCTTCTCCGGAACACCCGGTAAGATTTACTTAGCGAGACTCAAGTTTTCCGCAATCGCGAAATGCCTTTTGTTTTAGGGCCACTTTTACTAACTCGAGTTTCGAACTCCAGGCTTTTTCTCCATCGTGTCCGAAATGCGTGACCCACGTCAATATGGCAAAGCCGTGCTTGCCTGTCAAGCCGGGGTTACCATTGTCTACGCAGTCATTGGCTGCCTCATCTACTACTATTGTGGTACTCATGTGTCTTCACCAGCCCTTGGCTCGGCTGGTGGTACTGTGAAGATCATCAGCTATGCATTTGCTATACCCGGACTACTTGTGACCATGACAATTGTCACCCATGTAAGCTGAAGCCTTGGGGGAAACATGCAACCCATTTCTGACGTAACTTCGCACATAGATTCCTGCCAAATTTATCTTCGTCCACCTCCTTCGAGGCTCGAAGCACCTTACCAGCAACAGTCTCACACATTGGGCTACATGGATCGGCTGTACCTCCGGCATCACCGTCATCGCTTATATTATTGCAAGCACCATTCCAGTATTTGATGATCTTGTTTCCCTCATTGGTGCTTTACTTGGCCCTGTCATGTGTCTGCAGCCAATGGGAGCTATGTGGCTGTACGACAACTGGGGTAAGGGCAAAGTTGAGAAAAAGAAAACTTGGCTGTCAATGGTTATATGGAGCAGTTTCGTGATTGCCATTGGGTGTTTCTTGATGGTGGCAGGAACCTATGGCTCAGTCATGAGTATTGTTTCTGCGTATGCCAGTAGTGGGGGTTCTGCCGCATTCTCTTGTGCTGATAATTCGAATTCGACCTAGTCGAAAGAGAAGTCAATGAACGAATAGCATTGTGTTCCTCGTACAGACTTATGGGTACTGATTGTGGATAGCATGGCTACTGTGTATGCAGTTTCAGAGAACGGTGCTGTAGATAGGAGGTGACGGATGTGTGAAAATGGAAAAGTTAAAGTACTGCCTATATTTGGCAGTGAAAACCCTGGTCTTCCGTCAACTTCCATGGCAGCTCCGTCTATATGCATACTTAGGTAGCTCAGTACATACGATAAGCATCAAACACATTACGCGGCAAATCTAGCTATTGAAAATTTTGAGATTATTCATCTAGCAGCAAAGCAAGGATGTGAACAGGCAAATAGTCAATAAAGCCTCAAACACAGGCCTTGGGGCAAAATGCATACCTACGAGTGCCACCATTCACGGATGAAATTTCGATTCCCAGGTAGTTCCAAATCTACTTTGCCTTGCTTACTCGCACACTTTCAAAACTCCGATTGGAAATGTACAACACTACACAAGTGGGATGGTTTCACATTGACAGAATCTCGGTACCCAAAAGAGCCGGTAATCCAAAATCCAAAACTAGTCTATATAGCGCGGGGGGTAAGTTTACAAACTAAAGCATGTTATCCGCATTCCGGGCGCTGGCTCGGTGAGTCTCCGAGTTGCCACAGTCCGAGCCGATATTCATCCTCCGGCTCGGACTCGGGCAAGGGTAAACCTTCAACCTTTAGCCCCCAAAGTCAATCCCATCGGCAATCCCTACTATTGACCCATGCGTCATGTATTACCCAAAACGGGTAATGATCCCACTTTCGTGATTGTTGGGCAATCTGACCTTAATTCAACCCGAGCCAAGACTGAGGGACCCCAATTGTGGAGCCGAGGTTTACCCCGGGAGGTCGGCTTCGAACCCGAGGGAGCTACCCCAGTCTGATTCTACACTCTGTCCGGGGAAAAAGCAGAATGGACCTAAAGCGCAAACATCCAGTCCCACCAGACATCTGATTGTTTTTTTTTGTTTTTTTTGTTTTGGTTTCAAACACATTTTTGTCTCCTCGAGTGACGTCTCCCTTTCCCAATTCTGTGAATCCGAATTTACAAATCCAAGCAACATCTCTATTATGCTCGATCTCGTTGTCATTGGAGCTGGCTTTAGTGGCCTCCAGGCCGCGTATTCTGCCAAGCAGGCCGGTCTCTCAGTTGCTGTTGTTGAAGCTCGCGACCGCGTCGGCGGAAAGATATGGAGCGTGCCGTTGGCTTCAGAACGAGGCTGTGCCGAGCTAGGTGGCGCCTGGATCAATGATAGTCTGCAGCCGCGTGTTTGGAAGTACGCTCAGCACTTTGGCTTGAAGGTTGTGAAGCAGCGTCTAGAAGGGACTGCTATCATGCAAGAAAGTGAGAATGAAAGATTCGAGTTTCCTTTCGGTGTCGCTCCGGAGGTTAGCACATTTGATTTCTACTCTGGCTATTACACATGCTAACTTGAACTTGGATGTGTTTCTAGTGGAGCGTTGAGGAGAAAGATAATCTTGGGCTCATTCGGGACCATTTTCAAGCCGAATCCCTCCGTCCTGGCTTGCCGTCCGCGGAGGTAGACAGCCTAACCTTGGATGCATACGTCCGACAGCTGGGCGCTCTACCAAAGGTTATCAAGATGGTTAACATCTGGTCTCGGGTCATGCACGGCTTAGAATCAACAGAGCAATCTGCTGCATGGTTTATTGACTATTGCCGCCGTAACAAAAGCTTTCTCGCCATTCGAGCCGATGATTCTACCGGTGGTCAATACCTCAGATTCCAAGATGGTATGCTTTGAATCAGTGCGCGTTTCCACAATTGCTAACCTAACCAACCTGTAGGGGCACAATCAATCGCCAAGGAGCTTTCCAAAATAATTGGTTCATGTTCTATCCACCTCTCCTCACCAGTAGCTTCAATGAACGACCACGGATCGCACGTTGAGATTGTCACTAGAAACGGAAAAAGAATTCCCGCTAGGAAGTGCATCATGTCTGTTCCCAGCACCATGTACAAAGAGTTTAAGTTCAGTCCCCCTTTACCTCCTGCCGTCCGAGAGGTAACAAACGGAACAATTCTTGGAGACTACAACAAAGCTATTGTGTGTTATGACAAGCCCTGGTGGCGGAGCGAAGGGTTCAACGGATATTTCGCCAGTTTCTCCGGGCCAATCACGCTGGGACGGGATACCAGCGTTGATGAAAAGAGTCACTACTCTTTGACCTGTTTTGTGAATGGAGCACCAGGACGAGAATGGAGTAAGCTCCGTCCTCATGAGCGTCGATCAATAGTGTTGAAACAGCTATTCCAAATTTTCGACAAAAAGCCCGAAGTTTTCCGTCCGATCGAGGTTTTCGATCAAATATGGCAACATGAGGAGTTTAGTAGAGGCGCGTTGGCCCCTGTTCATGCACTAGGGCATCTTACCAAGTACGCATCGGTATATGGCCAGCCCGTGGGCAATATTCATTTCGTCGGCACAGAGTATAGCACCGAGTGGAAGGGTTATATGGAAGGTGCACTCTGTTCTGGAGAGAAGGGGGCCCAACAAGTAATCGATTGCTTGAACTACATCCCTGCAAAGATATGATTCATTGCAACCTCATCCTGGCCTCTTTCATCGAATTTTTTCAACGAGCGCGTGTTCATAAAGCCAATATGATATCCTCTACCGAGGTGTGTGCGCAGTCACTTTTAGGCTACATTTAAACAATAATATTGGCATGTCTCAACTTGAACTTGAAAAGAGCGATATCTCACTGGCAAGGAAATGTAGTGATTCCACTTGATTGAATGACGAAAGCCTGGAAATACTCGCTGTTTGATATATTATATCCCTATCCGAGATCTAACAAACTGCTTTCCGCTCCACCAATCTGCTCAATAATAGATAAAAACTCATACGATGAGATTCCAACATCATCTAAGATCTCAAGACCGTGAGTGACATGCGAGGGCGAAAGGTAACTCTGCATGGCTTGTTCCTGCGCATGAGTATCTAATGCCATATACTCAGCTGACGAATGATCCAAATGATCAATATTAGAGCGGTGGGCGTTCACGATATTGTCAGCATCATCCGGGGTCGCAAGGTACAATTCCTGCAACCCGTATCGCTCAATCCGGATGGCCAGCTCGCGAAAAAGACCTTCCAGATGCGTCAGATCTGTTTTTCGCGCGGCTGCTAGCATGTTTCCTTTTGAGATCATCTCGTCGAGGATTGCGTGGGCTTCTTGACCGTCGTATCTTTGGCCTTCTGTTGCGTGGGGGAATAGGGTATTTGCCATCATGAGATGTAGGGCAGCGCCGTATGTGACTTCCATCTCAAATGGGAGAAATACCTCTGAAGTTTGGTTAGGACATTGCGTAAGAAAGGGGTTGTGAGGAATTGAGGGGAAGTCACTTACCAAGAAGGCTATCCTCATCTCTCAATATTTGTAGAGTTTTGATTGCGGACTTGATGCCTGTGGATATCAAGGCTTTTGTTGGAGCCAAAAAGCTTTCCCAATCATCTTGCCGGTGTTCCAGCCATTCCAGTCGTCCCTTGAGGACAGAAAGCAAAAGAGGCCGTGTCGCTACCACCACGCACTGCCCATAGTGTCGACATGTCAGAATTAGTTCCCAAACTGGAAGGAGTGTTGCTTGGTGATGTTTACCTGGTGATAGAGCAGTATAATATACCGTGTGCCTTTTGACATTGCCTCCACCGAGCTAGAGCTTTTTGGTGAAACAATATCTTCAATTTCCCGGGCGTAGAGGGTCATTTTCTGTAGAATCATCCTCGTCTTTTCTAGAAATGTCCCCAGCTCTGTTTTCTCGTTTTTGTAAATTGCTTGATTATTGATGTTAGTTTTTGCTCAGCATCAGAGACCTTCGGGGCCTTACAACTCAATATGGACGTGAATAAATATGACAGCTTGACGTGGAGGCACAGTGTAGCGTCATGTGGCGAGCCCTCCATCGCCTGAGTCATAACGGTGGTTATATCCTCGTCTCTAATGGCCATGGGAAGGCCAAGTGAGGAGGATATATGCCTATCCAACACGTAGAGTGTCCACCAAAGGTGGCGACAGTGCTTCACAGTTTTTGTCCCCAGCTCGGCTTCAGGAAGCTCCGTGTGCAGACCGTCAAGCTGAGCGATCCTAATGGCTTGGCCAATCTGCGCCCCGTCAATTTGAAGTGGTCAATAGATAGGAAATGTAGGATATGTTCTTACATATACGTTTGCTAGCTCACGATGATCACAAGAATAAAGGTAGAGTCCAGCAAGAGCAATGGTCTGCACGGCTTGTATACCTTGAGTCCATAGAACGTTGTAGTCTGGCAAGAGAGCCATGGCGCGTAAGAAATACTTTGAGCCTGGTGGTTCGCCATTTTTGCGAAACCGGAGGAGGAAAGCATTTCCAAATGCAAGGACCAACAAATATTGCACGAACCAAAGACGATCTTCTGTCGCCTTTTTGAGCGAGTTTCCACAGTAGAATTCATTCAAATGAGCCCTGAATTCATCTTCGTCGAAGAAATGGTACTGTTGGTCAAGATGGTGCTTGACCGTGTTGAATAAATAATGAGCGTCGTCAATCGAAGGGAGACCACTGATATCGGGGGGGATCCTCGAGTGAAGCGGATTTCCAACTCAGTGGGTACACTTCCTGATTCGAAGAGCTAGGAAGCTTATACGAGGGATCGAGATCGAGATTCTTAACCATCATGAGTGACAGTCGTGTCGTCAAAGACCATAAAGAAGTTGGGGCCAGCCAGCCTATCTCCAAATTAGCGATGATGTCCCTTTGTTGATTGACACATTGTGCATACTCCAACCGATTTTACCTTTGTAGACAGCATTAACAGTCGTAGAAGGCAGAGTGAATGGATTGGTCCAAACACTTCGTTCTTGGTCCCCTAAGTGATCTGGAGGTAAGAATTTCTTATGAGGCTCCGTGCTAGCTAGAAATAGGTTGAGCTCAAACGGAATTCTCGGACAGAATTCGATAGGGTATGCTTACCAGAATGAGCGGTGTTGAAATCAACGGTAGAGTCAAAGGCCAAGGCAGCGGAACGCTTTTCTCCTGCTGATGGTTCTCGATGCCGTGGAATAGGCTGGGGCTGGAGCTGAGGTTGAGGCTGAGGTGGGGATTGAGATTGAGATTGAGATTGAGGTCGAGCCTCAGTTTGCCTTGCTTGAGAGAGCAATTTTTGAAGGTAGCTGAGCAAAATATTAATTACCCGTCAATCCCTTTTACAAGACACTTGTACAAATTTACGAACCTTTCATCGATTACGACCTTGTTGGCGTCTGCGAATTGACAGGCCACTCCTCGCCGCTGGCAGTTGGCACATGGTTCCTTGCCCGAGCATTTGATCTTACTCTGTCGACAAGCGATACACCTAGATGATTGTTAATATTTTGATCCATATGGATGTTTGAACTTAGTATCCCATACGCGTTTGGGGTTCGTTTCGACTTAGGTGCCCCTTCTGCGCCCTGGTGTGACTCCATCGCGTGAAGCTAGATCACCTGGGCAGGGATATAGCAATGAAACAGGGTGAATTCGACTGAGGAGGTCTCATCGGTGTCTTTCATTCTCATTTCCTTACGCGGTGGGTAATCGAGGTTGGGAACGAGGGGGGCAAATCTTTCCCCTCACACTCAAAAAATTACGGGAACATTGGCTGGGGAAGTCTATGTTCCCCACCATCACAATCTGGTCGAGTCATTTTCTAACATCAAACACCCGAAGTCGGCAAATCTTCTAATTGTAGTAAGCTTCAGCGACCATGTCACGAGGCAAATCCAGTGGTGTCATAGTATAACCTTCTAAGAATGAAGCAAAATGGAAAATATGGGAAGAAATCTACTTGACAGAGGGTAATTGGCACAACCTTTGAGAGGAGACATTTGATGCGAAAGCCTACTTTAAGCTTCGATATATATGAGCTTGAATTTCTGGCCAACGCGCACAAACAGGGGATCAGGGATCGGGTGTGCAGCCGGAAATGTTGATGTGTCACTTTGCGCAGTCTCCCGAGATCGGAGCTCGGAAAGAAGCCGAGACTATCTGAGACTATCCGAGATGGTGCGGGGAAACATCGGGAAACACGGAACCGCCTCTATAGAACCCTGGTCGGAACTGGAGACTCTTTGGGGTCCATCTGTCTTATGTTTCCCCTTTTTGCTTCTGTGGTTCAAGAACTATCAACACCCGTAAGCTGTCATAAACTGCTCAGGTTGTGTAAATTTTTCTAATTGGGATTAGCATCCCCAGGGCAATCCTTAGAGTTTCCTTATAAAAGCCGAAGCTGCCTAGGTAACTACTTCTATGTAATTATAGAATGATACAATTGCCTTAAGGAGGAGAAATAAAGCTGGTAGATCATTGACTTGGATTAATTTCTATAGATATTTTCGTCTATCCATCCATCCCCCAGGGCATTTTCCATTTTCCTCGTTGTCGTTATATACAATCTATGCTCATGGGCTGTCATTTCCATCCATTCTTTCAAAACTTAGACGAGTACACGGTGTTGATCCCGCCGGTCACAATCATCTTAATGTTGACATAGTCGTCAATGCCGTACTTGCTGCCTTCGCGACCCATGCCAGAGTGCTTGACACCACCAAATCTAGTATCGTTGAGTTAGCGCAATCACTTAAAGAGAAGGATTTCCCTTACGGTGCAGCAGAGTCAGAGATAACACCAGTGTTAATGGCCACCATTCCAAATTCCAATCGCTCAGAAATACGATGGGCCTTACCCAGGTCGCTGGTCATAAGGTAGGACGCAAGACCGACCTCGCAGTTGTTTGCGCGGTCAACTACTTCATCCTCCGTAGTGAACTTTGACAGGGCTGCGACGGGGCCGAAGGTCTCTTCAGTGCCAACCTGCATAGAATCGTCGGTGTTGCCCAAGATGGTGATTTCGTGGAAGTTCTTTCCAAGAGATGTCAAGCTCTTGCCACCGAGAAGCACGGAGGCACCCTTGCCGACAGCGTCCTGGATATGTTCTTGTGTCTTACCCACGCCGTTAGTCAGAGGGCCGTGAGTGACGGCGGCATTTTGACCACTGGCATCTCCAACCTGCGCCTTCTTCATCTCCTCGACGAATCGCTGGGTGAACTTCTCATAGATACCTTCCTGGACGAAAAATCTGTTCGCACATACGCAAGTCTGGCCAGTAACCTTGAACTTGCTAATAACAGCAGCAGTCACCGCGGTCTCGAGATCGGCATCATCAAAAACGATAAAAGGAGCGTTACCACCAAGCTCGAGACTGAGTTTCTTGAGCGTGTTACTGGACTGCTGCATAAGAAGCTTGCCAACCCGTGTTGATCCCGTGAACGAGATCTTCTTGACGATATCTGACTCGCAAAGGGCCAATCCTAGAGAAGGGGTGTTTTCCAATGCAGTCACAACGTTGAAGACACCCTTGGGAACGCCCGCGCGCTCGCCAAGAGCGGCCAGAGCGTTTGAAGAGAAAGGCGTCAGACCATCTGATTTCATCACCACGGTGCATCCTGCAGCCAGGGCAGCGGCCACCTTGCGCGCTCCCATGGCCATGGGGAAGTTCCACGGAGTGATCAAGCCACAGACACCGATCGGCTCCTTGATGACCTGTGTACGGCTAGAGGGGTTGCTGTGAGGAATGACATCTCCGTAGATACGCGGCGCCTCCTCGGAGAACCATTCGAAGAATCCGGAAGAGAAGAGCGCCTCTCCTTCGGCGTCGCCCTTGGCCTTGCCGTTCTCTGCTGTGATAATCTTGCCAATATCCTCCTTGTTCTCAACAATAAGCTCGAAGAATTTGCGCAAGATGCGGCTGCGCTGGCGTCCTGACTGAGCGCGCCATGTGGGGAAGGCCTTCGCAGCGGCTTCGATGGCAGCGTTGATGTCCTCGGTGTTTGATTCAGGAGCTGTTCCCACGAGTTCCTCGGTGGCAGGGTTATAAACTTTGAAGGTCTTGTTTGATACTGAAGGAACCCATTGGCCGTTGATGTATGATTTCTCAACAAAAAGACTAGGGTCCTTCAAGCTTGCGCTGAATGCGGGGGCCATCTTGAAACGTCGGTTTTTGTCGAAGGGTAAGGTACTATATCGATTGAGGACAATGAGAAGTTCAAAAGTTATTTGGGTTTGCTTCGGCCCTTAAGCTCGCGAAAACCAAAGTATTTAACCCAATCCATCGTGGCAGGCTTCATGACGTTTGAATGGTTGAGGGGAAGCTTCTCGGGTTCTTCTCGGGTTCTCATCCGAGCGCTAACCGAAGGGCTTTGAGGCTCCACACGGGGTCAAAACCTCGGGAATATCAGACTGTGAGGAGTGGGGGTGTCAGCATTGTCAGGGGATGCTATGGAGAAGGAAGCTGGGGCCCAAACTGGTGATCAGATGAAGAGAGCTAAGGACGAAACTATCTAGGAAAGGGCAGCCAGAGATGCCTGAGGCACTAACTAGCTCTCCACAGGCATAGTGGGTAGCCCTGAGCCAAGGTATTGGTAAAAATTCTTGAGGATGTTGGAATAATAGATGCATGAAAAGATGATACCTAGGTATGGTAGGTAGGCGGAGGAATACAAAGAAGAAGGTATCTCAACAGAAGGAACGGCATCCATATATGCCTGAGGCACGCCAGTCTCAACAAAAACGACAGAGTAGGTCGATATGATGATGTATATGCAGGATCTCAACCTTTGGCTATCTGAACACTCTATCCTGTCTATTTAGAAAGGGTGCTGTATGTGTATTACCGCGAGCTACAGTAGAAGACCAGGTTTCTACTTTCTCACCTTCGGGTAGGTATCTACCAGTGCTAACTTTCTCAGTAACTAATAGTATACCTCGGTATCTGATCGGGTAGATCCTACTAGCAGAAGCAAACTATATTCTATACTAGCCATATCTACCGTACCACACCTCGTCGCCAAAAACCGAAGTATGTATAAACTAGTACTACTATATTTTAATTAAGACCGACCCCGTGGTAATACATATACAGCACCTTTGCTAAATAGACAGGATAGAGCGTTCAGATAGCCAAAGGAGGTGTCCACTTAGTAGTGCTCAAGTTGTTACTATACTGCTAGTACTAGTAGTTGCTAAAAATTTTCGAACTTCAACTACCAATAGCTTCAAGTTTCCAAGACTCTAAATGGTATTTTTCAAGGTTGGAAATACCTGTTTTCCTGGTAGGAAAGAAGGAAAACCGCCAGCGTCGACTTCAATCTAGAGGACCCAGCCTTAAATTTGCGCTCCGTATACACTTCAAGTAATGTCTTTCGGGAATTTCTACTATACTCTCCTGGATTAAATTATATTGAGCATTAGGTACAGTCAAGAAAGCTAGCCTCAAGTCCGAATCGAGTCGCGCTTACAGCCGCTGTCCAAAGTAGAGCGAATTGAATCTAGGAGCTTATAAATCAGCGAGAGCTAGTACAAGATCGAAGAGTTACTTACATTAGACAGAGGTGGAAAGTCTGTACCGATTTAGTTGGAGCTCTTCCCTAGCAGGCCGCTGACTTGGTTTGTAACATCTTCGACGGTGGGACCCAAGCTAAGCGGATCCGAGCTGGCCTCCTGGCGTTTGAGGATCGAGCCGACGAGGCCGGTGACTTGGTTCGTGACATCTTCGATGGTGGGGCCTAAGGAAAGGGGATCGGAACTGGCTTCCTGGCGTTTGAGGATGGAGCCGACGAGGCCGGTGACTTGGTTCGTGATGTCCTCGACAGTTGGGCCCAGGCTAAGCGGATCCGAGCTGGCCTCCTGGCGTTTAGCAGGGGCAGGGGCAGCGAGGGAGATGCTAGCCAAAGAGGCGACGAGAATAGGAACGAAACGCATGGTGCTTTGATTGATATGTATATCGACAAAGGTAAGATTCAGAGATATAACTTGGAGTGAAGGAACGATAGAAAAGCCCGAGAATTTAGGAAAACAGTAGATCGTATGGCAACAAAGCTGGCGGCCTGCCTCCTATTTATCTTCAGCCATCGCGAATATACGGGGTGCGAGGAATTGGGATGCGAATGAAGGCGCAATAACTATTGTGGTTTATCTCATTATTGATCGTCGTGCTGAACAGAGAGTTTGGTGGTATAAATCGAGATCAAGTTTTCATACTAAGCGAGAAAAAGAAAATCTCAAAGGTAGACGCCAAGGACCACGTTCATCATATTTGTCTTCATTCATTCGATCGAGTTCAACGTGATTATAAGCTTTAAGCACGCCAAAAGGGTCCGGCCCACTCACATTCCGGGGAGATAATGCCCCAACCCCCCTGAATGGTAGCAGACCTCCGATGTTCCTGGCTATTGATGCATGCTCGCGAATTTAGTTTGCGCTTGGCTGGTACTAGGTGCCTCTCGTCGAAGTTGGCGTTGATCATCGCGATTGATGATTTTACCCTAGTCGAATCGACCCATTCGGCCAATGGCGGGTAGAGCCAAGACAAGGCGCGTGATGAATTAAAGTGACGCCATGCGAAGGGTTATACACAAATGAGCGAGGTCTGGAATACGAAAGGCCGACAGCATTTCCCCTGCATGAATACGGGATTGGAGAGTACATATTCAACTCCCTGTACTCGTAAAATCCGTGGTATCGAGGATGTTTTCATGTTCAAGTTGGCGCTATCGTACAACGCAAACCTAAGGATTGGAATATGATTGGCTTTATCGAAGGGGGCAGATTCCCACTAGCAGAATATCCAGTGTGATGATCTCGCCAGACTGCTCATTATCCATGCAGAAGGCGGCATCATGATCTACGCAGACTCGGACTTGGTTGTGTACCTAACCTCGGCTGATTCGATAAGTGCAGGTGCTTATACTACCAGTAACGCACCTGGTCATTGATACGATTGAAACAAGAAAGAGATATGTTGGCTGGGAGGAGATAAATAAAAGAACACTATAGAACAAACTCATAACAAATTAGCACGTCGTATAAGAGCTTGAAGGGGTCGCTACCTCCTCTTTGAGCTCTTTCCAACTTTGTTGTTGCTTCAATCAGCTGATATACGATTCTCCTTCCCTCCCAATTGCTCTTCAGCTTCATCCTTTTTACTCGTTCGCACGCAATCATCCCTCTCTGTTCGTCGCTCAGTATCGTCTACCTAGCCCCCTCTTGCCCAGTCACATACAAAGAAGTTATTTTTCCAACCGTCTTCTGTTTTTTTTTTCTGGAACTACGCTGCTACCGTGCGCTTCCACACAGCCTATAGAATACTTTCGAGAATATGAATCTCAGGTTCAACGAACCACGTGCTACAGCGGGGAGCGACGCCGCTACATCAACGCCTCCTCGGAGCTCTACCAGAAAACGAGTTCTTAACTCGAAATACTGACGACCTAGTCCCACTGGTTTTACAATCTTCGTTACTTGCTGCGATGCTGCGAAGGCTGAATGCGATCCGTTGAGAATATGACCACGAAAATACACGAGATCCTTGACACCAGCGGATTTTCGAAGAATACTGCTTGGTTCCGTTCGATGTCATGGGAACTACACTATCAACAAGCTCCAGTATAGCCGGTCGACTAATCTTGTCATGAAGCACATGGAAGATGCGCAGGAAATAGCACCGCCAACTGAATTTTCTCACTACGATGAGCCCGGATGGCGGTCGTTTGAACTATGAGGGTATGCTTCAGAATAGACAGTTGCGTCGAAAGTTCCCGTCGATAATCACCGATTTGGACACCGGCACCCCATGGACAGACAAAGTCCATCATTGTCCTTGGCCCTGTCCCTGGCCCTAGTAGTATAACGGAGTCGGACGATCAGTTCAGTTCCAACCAACATCGACTGTCGAAATATGCGAAGAGTCCAAAGGGTATTGTTGCGATGCGTGCAGCGCTGAAGGCAATTGTCTTATTCTATCGGATTTCAGCGGTATCACTGTCTGGCGGTGTGTCGGTGTGTCGCTGTAGAGACATCAGAACAAGGCGGATAGAAAATATTCCCACCAGATACCAGTTCGATCGTGTTATTTATTATGCAGAAATTATGACCCAAAAGCCGGCAGTAAACCAGGGGCAGTGGTTTAGAAAATAGCTTCAGTCTGCTCCTTCGTCGTACGTGGTGAAAATTCTTTAGGAAATGAGAATGTGTCCCGAGGGTAATAACTAGTACTAGTAATACATCGAATTCAGGTTGGTGAGTGCTAGCATGCCTAGGTGCCAATTGTAGTATAGGTTGGTAAATATTATACAACCTCTCGGTATCTTCCCAGTGTTCTACTAGTACCGAGCGATATAACTTGAATTAGTACCCTCAACAACCACGGAGCCGTACTAGTAGAATCAGGATTAAGCAATATATATAGGTACCTACTAGTAGTGGAGTAGTGTCCACCGAGGGCTGGAATATGAAGCCTTGGTCTTCAAGTTCAACTTGAAGTTGATAAAGCTTGGAAGCTTGGCAGAAACAATGGTCGATTGCCGCCATGGAATGCTGTAATTACATTGATAGAAGTGCTAGCAGTATTATATTCCAAGGTTCAAGTTCCAATCTAACTTGTTGGAATGGAATATCCAGCGTACTGACATCGCCAGAGAGCTTGCTCGTCATGTGTAGATAAGAAGGCAGCATATACGCAGACTTTAATGAGCGCCTAACGTCAAGTCAACAAATTCAATAAATACTAGTGCTCATACGAACATATGGACACGATCCGAATGAGAAAGAGATATGTTGACTCGGATCGAAGGTGATAAACAACAAGAACGCTGTAAATAAACTCGTAAAATTCATATCATATCCTATAAAACAAAAACAAAAATAAAACATGGGAAGATAAAGCTCATAACCAGCACAAGCACCAGCAATGACAATGACAATGACAATGAACCAAGACATCCAATAAAGACAAAAGCACCACCGCACACTACCTCCCAGCCTCCAAACTCGGCACAATAACCGGCCCAAACTTAACAACACTAGCATAAGCCCCATCCCCCTGAACCATAAAGTCCGCGGCAAGACTCAACTTCCCCCCCCGGAACAAGATGCTGCTGCGCCAGCCCAGCCCCAGGCCCACCCTGCGCAACATCAGGATCATAAGCCACAATCGCAACATAATTCCTCCGCCCCATGAGTTTCTTATACTCGCGATTCTGCCCATTAACGTCTGTCTGGAAGATCTCCATCATATCCTCCTTCGTATCCGTGGGCGCGCTACTCGAGCGGTGCCCGTTCGCAGGCACGTAGAGCGGTTTACCGTGGCTGTGGAGGAGTTTAATCACATAGCTTGGCGGTGGAGTATTAACGACCGGCGACGCGATGAGCTGATACATCGTCTTGTGATCGGACGGATTAGCAGGATCATGGACTAATCCCGCGCCCGCGACATTGACTGCGCCGGAGAGAAACGTCATGCGTATACTTTTTTGATGTGCGATTCCTTGCAGGGTGCGGATTAGATATGTTCGTTCTAGATCTTTGGATTCGTGGGTCCATTGGTCGCGGAGTTCGTCCATGAGGTCGAATTCGCCGAATGGGGAGAGGATGCCGCCCATTAGGCCTGATTTGCCGACGGCGCGTTTGACGGAGTCGAAGCCTGATCCGACGAATTCTTTTGCGCCGACGACGCCGGCGACGCTGCTGGTTACTTTGCCTAGGAGGTTGTATGTTCCTGTTACGGCGCGTTTGCCGGTTGTTACGGTTTGCGCGATGTGTTCGGCAGTCTCGAGGCGTGGGTAGATGAGCGGCATGGAGATCATCCAGAGACAGTGTTGAACGCTTGGTGGGAGCATTGCTATCTTTGGGAAGAGGCCTTGATAGGTTGGGCCTGCCATTACTTGGTGGGGGTTTCGCTCTGAGCGGCAGTCTGGGCCGACGACGACGACGCCGGGACCGAGGTATTTGACGAAGTGCCAGCCTGTGCCGGTTATGGTGAAGAGGTCGATGTCTGTGTTTACGTTGCGGAGGATGTCGAGGGTTGTGTGGTGTTGGAAGAGGAGGTACATTTCGATTCCGATGCGGCCGATGTTTTTGAACATGTTGGAGAATTGCATGTGTTCGGGGTATGAGCCGAAGCCGTCGAAACTGTGCGAATGTTAGCCAATGTTTCATCACTCACTCACTCACTGGCAGAGGGGATGATCCCGGGGGAGGGGGGTGGACATACATATCATGATCATCAATCTGACAAACATAAGGGATCTGCGCAAAGCTCTCCCTCAAATACGGCTGGTCAAAATGACTGGTATAATAATGGAAATAAGCATGCGAAACATCCTGCTGATTCGCCGCCGTCCACGGCGCATTTTTCCTCGCCTCCTTCCCACTAATCGCCAACCACTGCTTGAGACAAGGAATCTCCTTCCACATGCGATCAGCATAGATCTGTCCGCCAAGACAAAGCTGCGCATGGAATCCTCCAATCTCATTATGCTTTGTCATGATGTCCTTCCACATAAAGCCCACACCACCCAGTCTCGCGCGCTCATTCGCGTTGACGTTTAACGAGAAGTCGTTGCCTGAGGTGGAGATGAAGCGCCAGTTTGTTTCGTGTCGGCCTGCGACTAGAAATTCGTAGCGCGTGCAGCCTAGGTGGGAGGTTATGGCGTATGTCCATTTTGCTGAGCCGGCGTCGTCCATTTGGATTTCGATTTCGTATTTGTAGAAGGTCCAGCGCTGGTGGGCGGCGATGTTGATGGCTTTGAGTTGTTTTGGGTTCGGGGATAGGTCGACGCTTTGATGACAGTGGATGGTGGGTGGTTGGGCTGCGTCTGTGACGAGTAGGATGGAGCCCAGCCATAATCCACGCTCGAGGTCCATGTTCGTGTAGCGGAGGTAGGGGCCAAAGTAGACGCCGTTTGTGGGGGCGGTTTTGTACAGATCCATGCCGCTGCTCGGAGGCGGGCCTGAGAATCCTGTCATTGGGGACTGGAGGCTTTCGAAGCCAGGGGTCATGGGTGCACCAGGAGAGGCGAGCGGCTTTCCAAATGCCGAAAGGCCTGGGGAAGTCAGAGGGTGGCTGCTGTACACGCTGCCTACGGGCGACAGCGGGGTCTCGTTGAGGTTCAATGGCGTAGGACCTTTCGGGAATTCCCACTGCGTGGACTGGGTTGGAAGATGGATGTAGTAATACTGGCCTGAGTTCGGATCCATGTGCGCAATCCAGCCCTCTGGCAGTGGTGGGGGAGAAGCTGGAGGAAGACCGCTCGGGGCAGGGGAGGCAATTTGTGCCACAGTTGCTTGGGAATACGCAGACTGGACAGGGCCATTGGGAGCGGAATTGTGAGGTGACTGGCCCATATTCTGCTGTTGTCTGGGGTCATTCGCGAAGGCGGGATGGTCTTGTGTTGAAGACGGTGCGGGAGAGGCAGATGTGCCTACAGCGGCGGCAGTAACAGCGGCAGCAGCTCCAATAGTAGAGGGATGAGGTTGGTTTGCTGTAGCTGTTGCTGCTGCTGGGTGCCCAGCGGCGGCAGCACCTGCCCCAGCGCCTGGCTTTTCATTCGGATATCCATTCGAGGCGCCAGAAACACTCGAGTAAGCTGGGGGAGGTTCTTCGCTAATGCGCATGCGATCCATATCGTTCTCCAAGGCATTTGCATTTGTGCCTCTCGGCGGCAGTTGCTGTTGCTGTTGCTGCTGCTGCGGCGAAACAGCTTGAGCTCCTTGGGCCGGAGACGGGCTTCCATACTGACCCGGATGAGCCTGCAATGGACTCCCATACTGACTCGGGTGTGTTGGAGGCGGACTCCCATATTGCCCCGGATGCTGCGCTTGCGCCGGTGCTTGGCCCTGTCCCTGTCCCTGCCCACCACTAACAACCTCATCCCCCTGATAAACCGTCGGCGGACCATGAGGCTGCGAACCAGGCTGCTCAGTCGGAGTCCAAGGCCTCACCGGCGCACCGGCCTGATGAAAAGTAGGCTGCTGACCAACATACTGATCAGCTCGTCTCTGCGCCGCAGCATTCTGATTATGATTCTGCGACTGGATCCCGGATAAAGTGGACGTGCCTGCGATACCGGCCGCAGCGAAACGGGACTCGATGTCCGAGGCCGAGGACTGGCCTGGTCCGACGATGGGCGTTTCTGGGGGCGGGGGTGAGCCACGTTGGGCGCGGGTTGTTGATGTTGATGCTGTTGAGCTGATGCGGTTTATTCCACTTCCACTTCCGCCTCCGCCTCCGGACTGGGGTGGTTGGAGGGATGAGGGTGGGCGTGGGGTGGAGCTTTGTGGGGGTGGGTAGTATTGTTGACGGTAGTCGTATGGTTGATTCTGATTCTGGCTCTGTTGGCCCGGCGCATCCGAGGACTGGGGCGGGGGACGAGGATAGACGAGCGCATCTGGTCCTGCGATGGGTGATTCTGGCGGGGCAGCGCCTCTTCGTTCAGCGAGTGTTGCGACTCTGGGCTGGCCATCGCGGGGACGCAAAGCCGGGGGATAATCTGCGGGGCTCATGGAGCCAGAACCAGAACCGGATCCAGCCGGTGGTGGCGAGGTGTATCTTTCATATCTATCGGCTGGACGACTATCGTTGGAACTCGAGCTGCGCATGGGACGAGGACGGTCGTCGGGGTATGGGAGTGGTGCGGGGGGAGGGGATGTTGATGCCGAGGGGGGAGGTCGAGTCTCTTTTATTGATTCGGAGGGGTTCGACTTGTCCCTGTGCCTGTGCCTGGGACTGATGTGGGTTGGGTCGGGAGTTGAGGAAGAGTTCCTCATCCGGGTGAATACCACGGCTATCACCGTCCATAATGGCGAACTGGCGACAGACGAAACGTGAAGAGAAGTTGCAGAATGCGAGAGAGTCAAACTGGGCTGAAACTGCGAGTGCGTTAGGTCTACCCAATCACTCGGAGCTAAGCGCGCAGTGGCAGTGGCAGCGATCGGATGGCTGTTCTGCGAGGGGCGGAGACTAACAAAAGTAGAGTGGGGGGGGGGATGCACTGAATAGGGGGGGATCAGGCAGCGATCTGAGATAAAAATAAATCGGGCTGTGAGTAAGTCAGAACACGAGTATAGAGTAAAAGGTAAAAAGTAAAAGTAAAAGTAAAAACCTTGGAAGTACCTAGGTAAAAAAGCCAGGATAAAGGGGGGGAAGAAGAGAAGAGATACTGTTAGGCGCCAAGTTAGACCCCGCAGTGTGTGATGAGTTGATGTGATATTGATGCCTATTGTGATAGCTTGCCATTGGTGAATACACTCTACACTAATATAGTATGAGTGGAGTGTAGTTAGTATAGGCGCTAAATACAGTTCCTCTGTTTACATGACTTCCCTAGTAATAGCTCAGTTCAGTTCTGTCCATGGCACATTACAATTCGTTTCTATACATACACACATCATATCTCATACTAGAACCACAGAGAGACTGGGCCAAACAAAAAAAAAAAACAACAACACACATGTAAACAAATGCCATCCAGCGCCAATCCAATCAATCCAATCCAGTCCAATCCAATATTCATATTCATACTCATACTCCAAGACACCCAAACCCAGCTGATACCAGCCCTCCTAAAACCCAAAATTAACCATCTGCAAACCCTCCTTAACCATAAGATCCGCCCAATCCACATCCAAAGTATGCCCAACCCGCATAAGCCTCTCCAGCTGCCTCTCATAAACAGTCTGCAAGATAGCCCGCGTAGTAGCCGCATTGCGCCCCAACCCATCCTCCTCATCCTCCATCCCCGTCATCAACTCCATAGCCATCATCTTCAACCCGCTCGCCGAAGCCGTCGCCCCAGCCAGAAACAGCGGGAAAACGAGGAAATGCCGATCCGCGCGTCTCGTCTGCGTCGTGCGCTCGGCGATTAGCAGGATTTCTGACGCGTGGTGGTCTATTTCGCTGTCTGGGCTGAAGTCGCAGTCGCTTTCGAGGCGTTGGCCTGGCCACATACTGCTGTATGAAAAGAGTTGGGCTGCGTGGAAGAGCGCGAGGGATTGTTGGAGGATTTCTGATGAGCGGAGCGGTAGGGCGGTGCGGTTGGCGGACCAGAATGATACGTCTGGGGTGTCCCAGAGGGAGGAGAGGGATGTGCGGATGGAGGCGATTTCCGCGGCGCGCGCGTTGAAGTCTGCGAACGGGAGGGTGGATTTTTCGTGGCGGAGTTGGGTGGCTAGGAAGCCGAGGCGGGCGGTTAGTTTGAATGTTGAGGTGTAGAGGCGCATGAGGGTTGGGAGGGAGTCGTGTTCGTCGGCATAGATTATGCTGTAGCCTTCCGGGGTGGAGGGGTAGAGGAGGCTTTCTGGGGAGGGGAGCATTTGGTTGTCTAGGATGGCGCGGATGAATTCGCCTGTTCCGGCGCCGCTGAGGAGGGCGTAGAGGTCGATATGGCAGATCCACCAGAGGATAAAGGGGTGTGGTTCGTGGCCGTATTGGTTGCGGCGGAGGAAGGTTATGTGGAGGAGGCGGGAGATGTGATGGGACCAGAGGTTTGAGCCGTGGGGTTCGGCTGCTGCGACCTGGAATGAGTTAGATATATGTACAGAGGTAGGGGTATGGGAATAGGCCGGTGGTGAATTACCTCGTAGATCAGAAGGAGGAAATGGGTGAGGAATAGTCCGTCGGAGACGAGGTCGTCGTTGTTGCGGAGGCTGATTTGAAGAGATGGGAATGCTTGCTGGTAATACTGCAAAGCATCGAGACTCTGTCCAGTGCCGCTGTGTGAGAGACTCAAAGCTGATACAGCCATGATAGCGTGGGAAAGCTATACATGAGAACTAATATTAGAGCAAGAATCAATAGTCCACAAGGATCGATACTCACAGGAGGGAAACGAGCCGCCTCGCGCTCGAGAAATTCCACACTCAGAGTCATACCATGGGTTTCTAGACCGAATGAATCATCTCGACTGCGGTCATGAGGAAATAATTGTTTCCAGACGACATGTCGGAAATGCGCAAAGAGAGTTGTGTCCTGACTTGGTTGATGTTGATTTAAACTCTCAACAATGAACGACGGCTGATCATCCTCAAAGAGAACAGGAGAAGGGAGAGAATCAAGAATAGGAGAAAGAGAGAGAGAACAGAAAGGATCCGAGATCTCCGACGTAGGTGAAATCTGCGACATCCTCCCCGTCGATAAAGACCGGCGCGTTGTATCTTCAAAAGTCTTCAAGATGACCACATTGGGATCTTCACTGAGGATCCGAGTACCTTCTGACTTGACAATGCCAGTAATGGGACTCGTCGCCGCAGAGCTTACAGACTCCGACGCACCGTTGGATCGTGACCTATCGCCATCATCGGAATATTCAGGCAAGGCCGAGAAACTGTCTGGAGTCACGACAACGTGGAAAGTACCAGGACTGCTGCCCTCGGCCTTCTTTTCCCTGTCCTCATCCGAAGTGAGGAGGGCGAAGACGGGGAGAGCTTCCTTGCAGGAGAAATAATCGGCCTTCTCCTCACTGACAGGCGGGGAGGAAACTACAATACGAGTTAGAAGCGAACCTGACAAGACAGAGAAACGCGGACTAGCTTACGATCCCAGACGATGTTGCCATCGGTTTTTACGTCGGCCATGCGGCCCATGATGCGAGGGGTGTCATCGCGAAAGGCCAGTCGAGGGCGGTAGTCACAGCTGTGGCCGAGACGAGTGCATTGCTAAAGAAAGGTAGAATGGTGAGTAAAAGGCAAGAGTAAGGCGCAAGGGAGGTAAAAGTAGACCCGAGGAATGAAACGAAATGAATCCGTAGAGAAACATACATTACATTGAGGATGTCCTTCATCGCATTTAACTGTGGAATGCCGCGGGTCAAGTCAGCCACTGGAATTCAATTCCCTGCGGAGAGGCGCGGGAAAGGAATTTTGGTGTAAACATACCTTTTCGGCTCTATAATGAAGAGGAAAAAAAAGAAACAGGTCAATTGGAGTTCCATGAAGAAAATCTAGATCCCAGGGGGGGGAGGCTGGGAAGGGGAGTTGATGTGTATAGAGCTGAAGGGTTGACTCACTCGACATGTCCTAGGGGAAATTTAATTAGAAAAGGAAAATGAAAAAGCCATGGCTTGCCAAGGAAGCAGGGGAATAAGATAGACATACCAGCAGCCAGTTCTTGATCGCGGAGGTAGACGGATACGTGGAGGAGCAATCAGGCCACTCTCTAATTTACCGGGGGATTCTTCCTTGGGGGCGATGATGGGCAGTCGCAGCGGGCGCTTTCCCGAGGCATGGGCCCGGCGGTTCTGCATCACCGTACTCGTGACAGTCATAAGGCTGACAGGGTGCCTGGGTCACATAATTAGTAGATGGGATGGATGGCATGGCATGGCATGGCATGGCATGGCGATTGGAAGACGTACCAGGTATAAGGGTGTTGGTGCTATATACCAGTGGAGGGCGGGGGAGGAGAGGAACTAAGGAGGGGAGAGGAGGGGGGACAAGGTAATGAGTAAGACGTTTAGATGAGATCAGATGAGATCGGATGAGATCACGCAGTGGCAAGAGATGGGAGAAATAAAGTGGAGGTAGGTGGGGATTATAAGAAGTAGTATAGCCCGGAGTGATGGGTGTGGAGAGGATGGTCAAGTGAATCGAGAGGCAAAAAAAAAAGAGGGAAAGGAGGCAAGTTATGTAGAATCACATCACGAGCAGCAAGATGCAGCTGCAGGACAAGATGGTTCGAGATGGCTGCATGGTTCACGGGCGGAGCGCCTTGTTCCTGGCTTGACGAAGTGGCGGGAATTGAGAGGGATAGAGAATTGTGACAGAATTGGGAATAGAGTCAAATCGGGTGGGAAGGGGGGGGGAATCTCGGATGCGAGAAACAAGACTCAAGGGAGATGTGGAATGGAATGGGACCCATGAGGGTTGAGGCTTAGGAACAGGTCAGATGCCGGGAAAAAAGAGAGAGAAAAAAAAGAGAAAAAAAAAAAAAAGGGAAAAAAGGGAAAAAAAGAGGAGCTAGATCCAGTTCGTTTAGGGAGTGAAAAAAAAGTCAAAAGGGAGAATGGCATGCAGCTGCCAACCATGTGGGATTTGATGCTATTCTTGCACTTTTCCTTTTGCCCAATTGGGGGAGGCATCCGGGACTAGAGAGACGGGGAAGGACTAGTCTTGCGTATACGGGGGGGTAGACTAGAGGAGAGAAGAGGGCAGCAGACAACAGGGAACACATGAATCATGCACTAGCCACGCTAGGGCTGGCTGACAACGGAGGAACACGTCGAACAGGGTCACTAGTGCCAGTAGGAATTAGAGATAATTAGGCTTAGTGGGGGGGGGGATAAAACAACAGGGAATTGTACAGGGAACGGAGCAGCACTAGGTCCTGTGGATCGAGAGATTCGATAGGTTTCCAAGGGAAAGGAAAAGGATGAAAGGGATCGGCCGAAGAATGCGCGTCTGGGGAAGACCTGGATCGGCCCGGCTAGGCCGGTCTAGCCAGGTTGACAGCAGTGGATAGCAGTGGACAGCATGGCCAGTGCTGGTTGGATGCTGGATTGGTCCTGGCGAGACTGAGGATATCCGGACTTGGCCGAGGGTTAAGCGAGTGGCGCTCGCACTCGTTGGCTTAAGAGGGATGGAATGAAGAATAGAGAGCACAAAGAGAGAAATAAGAGCAAAGATTTGGAATCTGCAGTTCGTACTTTGTACTCCGGACTCCGTACACTTAATCAAATAATCAGAAAATAATAAATAAATAAATAAGAAAAAATAAAGTCGACATTGGGCAACCACGTGGGAACCATGGAACGATAGGGTACAAGACCATGGAGAGTATCCTCCGTACCAACTATAATTTAGGAGAAACCACTCCATCGGTAATCGATAGAGTCAGATAGAGTACAAAGTACCCTATCTACTCTATCTATTACTCTGTATCCATTCCCATGGGTATTCCGGATGCACGTATCCATATTTGCAGATACGAAATCATCTACCTGGCACTATCCATCAGCCCTAAACACTCATCCAGCACTCCCTGTACTCCCCCTGCCCGCTCTCCAGCCCTCCACCCTCGCAACGCCTCACCCAACCCATCGGGCACCCCTCGGACACCCTTCCGCAGCCCCAGGAACGCCAGCACAGCCTCCGCCCGACCCTTGCGGACACTCTCAACTGCATCCCCGTCACGCGTGAGCAATCTAGCGAGCCCGCCCATCGGTTCCACCATTTCCTCTTCACCGGGTCCGGACCACCGATCCACTCGTCCAAAAAACGCTTGGAGCTCTCGGTAGGCCGTGCTGACTACCTGTCGTCCACCCTGGCTCAGGGCCGCGTCCAACGGACCCGTCACCTGTCGCACATCATCTCCCAGCACTATGGTTAGGCTTAGCAGGCGAACGGACGCTAGGGGTTGAGGCGTTCGTAAAGAAACCCAAAACAAGGGCACCTCGTAGCACAGAGTAGGGTAGGGTAGGGAATGGACTGGAATGGACTGACCTTGACCCGACCCGGCGGTTTCGGGATTAAGACATTGTAGTAGACATTGCACACATGCTGCCAGTGTATCGACTGCATCTCGTTTGATGGTCCCTCCCTTATTATCAATCTCCATTTTATCCTCGTCCTCCCCGATTTCCTCCTCAATTACACCGGGGACGAATTTCAACGCATCGCGTAGGAAATCGTCCGGTCGGATGAGGGCGATTTCTCCAAGGGCTATCAGGCCGTGCGGCCGATAGACGGCATTAGTTCGCTTCGCTTCGCGGACGGCAATAGTCTAATGCGGGGTGGGAAGTGGTTAGTCGTCCCATCCTGAGTCGCGGAGCTAAACGAGCCCGGGATAAAAAAAGGGAAAGCATAAAAAAAGCTGGCGTGGATACAGCCCAGAAGGGAAGGCCCCCCAAAAAGGAGAGGGAAAAAAACAGGGAAAAAAGCAAGAAAAAAAAAAAGAGACTCACCTTCAGTAAAATCCCTAGCTCCGGGCGCGCCGTCCAAAGTGCTTGGGCAGCCCGCGCAAACTTGACTAGCGCCGTCAGCAGGACTTCTTTCCCATCCCATGTCTTACCCGCCAAAGCCTTTTCCAGCACAGGCCACACCAATCGTGCAGTAGGGAGATCGATTTCCGCATCTAATGCCAGCACCGCCTGCGCGATCGCACGTGCCGCAGTGTGCTTGATGGCCCACCGCGCCGAATCCAAATTGTCGGATACAAGGCTGACGATCTCCCGAATGTACAGAGCCACCGCCCGGCTGCCCCCCACATTATCCTGCCAGGTCTTTTCGAACGCTTCGCGGACGTGCTCGTCGCCGTCATGCTTGCAGACGAAGACAAAGGGCAGCGCGCTGGTCGCAAACGCCATGAACCGGTCATTCGACAGTTTGGAACTTGCCTGTAGAATTTCCGCCGCGATGGATCGGGTGGTGGCGTCGTCGGAGTTTAGATACAAGGTTTGCGCATACTCGATCGTTTTCAAAACCCGATCGTCCGATGCCAAGCGGAGGAGGTAGCCCATGGATGTGCAATAGGATGCGCTGACCGTCTCGTTGCGATCCACAACATACTTGCTCAGCAGCTGAATGAATCGGTCCGCGTAGGGTCGGAAAAGGAGCGTTTTCATGCTTAGCAGCACCAGGACGCGACTGCTGCCCACTTTGGAGGGTAGACCCACCGCTGAGCGGAGCACGTCTTCCAGTTTGGGCGTCAGCTCCTTGAGGTTCGTCTCGTCCAGGTGATCAATGAGATAACGCTCGATGACCTCCATCATAGGCGAAGTGCGGATACTAGACAGTCGCATCTTGTCAATGTCTTGACCCGTCAGTCCGTACTTGTCCGCATTGAGATGAACGTAGTTGACAGCCTGGGGCTCGAGCGAGCTTAGCGAGGTCAAGAATTTCTCCAGGATAGTGGGTACAAATGGGTGCAGGATTGTCCCCGAGCTCTTCTTGATGATCTGCACCAGAGCGCCAATGGCGTATCCCCGCACTTCCTCAACGCTTGAATCAAGCCCCTTATCACTGAGGAGGAACGGCACCGCACTCCCAAGTAAGATCCCAGCCCTCTTCTCCGACCCATTGGTCTCGAGCGTGCGAATGACGGAATTGGTGAGTGTCTGGCAGAGCTTCAACGCCGCCGTCCGAACAGACTCTTTAATGTCATCAAGTAGCTTGAACGCCTTTTCGAAAATCTCATCCAGGTACTGCGCGTACTTCTCTGGGCGTCGCCCCGAGACTAAATCCGCCACGGCGGCACAGCTTGCCTGGCGTGCGCGCCACTCGCGGCCCGAAAGCATGCTTTTCAGGAGATCTTCCATGATCGGCTCGAAGTGGGCATCAACCACCACGGTGGGATCTTTCACGAGAGCTTGCCAGATGGTATTCATCGAGCGCTGCACGTTCGGGTTTGGATCGAATCGGTAGCGGAAAAGCTTGGGGTAGATCTTTGGGTTCTGAGCTAGATAGCCATCGACGCTGGAATTGGAGAGGATACTGCTGATGCCGAATCGGCCGAACGCGGCGCGGTTGCTCCAAAGGGCGTTGTTGGAAGCCATAGACATGAATCGGTAGACTAGGGTGGGATCGCCGGCTTCGGCGGCCAGGTTCATGATGTCTTTATATGTGTTGACAGAGGTGTTGTCGCCTGTTGGAAGAGCGCCAGGCTCGAAGAGTTGGGTGTCTCCGCTGACATTTCCGCCGCCGAGATTTGCGCCGGTGTTTGTGAAGGAGTCTACGAGATCGCGGACCAGGTAGTCTTTTAGTTCCTGGTCGCCGATTTCGTAGACGAGGCTGAGGCCGTGTGCGCCGGTCTCCTGCACCACTTCGTCACGATTTCCAAGCAGACTGGAGAACGTAGCTTGGCATTTGCGTAGCCGTTCCTGCATCTCGGGGAGGTGGCCGCAGTTCTTTACGAGGGAGAGTAGCCATATAGCGGACGCTTTGCGGAGAGAAGGCTTTGGTGCAACGCAATCGGCGATGATCTTGTCGTAGACCTCCACAAAGACCTTTCGCGGAACACCCGACGAAGGGAATGGGGCATCGACATCGAAGTCTTGGATGAGGGCCCGAGAGTCCCATCCCACGGCAACGTTGCTCAATGCTTCACCGATGGTAAACTGGACTTCTGGGCTGCGGACTTCGTGTAGACTATAGAGCGAGCCCAAGAATTCACTGAATAAGGATGCAGCCGACTCCTCTCGAGAGAATGTCACTGTCAGGAGACCCAAAGACAGAATAGGGGTTTCGTGTTCGGACTTTTTGGCATCGCCGGCCAGCTTCTGTTGGACCTTCTTCCAGGCATCCTCCGGCAGAGTCTTCAACGAGAGAATGCCAGCAAGACTAAGTTGCCCGATCGCAATTTCCGCAGTCCTTTGAAGAAGTTGGTCACGAGAGGCATCGACGATATCCAGTACCGTCTCAATGTATTGCTTGGCCTGTGCTTCGGGAACTGTATCCAGCCGATTGCGGTACGCCAACCTGCTGAAGAGATATGAAAGTGCAAGAATTGACCCACGAACCCGAAGAGCAGCTTCTCCGATCGCAGTGTTCCATGTTTGAAGTGTGCTCGCCAACTCGCCAACGAATTTGTTCAAAACATCGCCAGAAGTGGCAGGATGAGACACCAAGATACCAAAGGCTCTTGCGGCAAGAGCTTGGATCTCTTCATTGTTACTCAGGATAGGTTTGTTGAGAGCTTGTGCGCGCGAGGTGAGGCCCTCGACAACATCGTCAGGAGATAGAGAGCAGATCTCCACGAAATGGACGCCACATTGACGAAGACCAGGAAGACCTTCCGTTTCCAGACCGTCTAGCAAGCCTGACAGATAGGCAAAGACGGACTCTTTTCCTGAGCTCCGAATATATTTCCTCACGGCCTCACGCGCCTCTGCACTCGTTGAAAGGTGCACTTCGAGCTTGAAGTCCCAGTCTTGCTCCATATCAGTGACAATACCCGCTGCCGAAAATGCCTCCCAGAGCAGCGTATTCCGTAGGAAAGCGACCGCAGGTGCAAAGGCATCTTTATAGGGGCCTGACAAGATTCGCGACTTGGGCAAAGAGTCGTCCATTGTAGAGTCCTCGTCCTCGGACCCAAGTAGAAAGCGAGTTGCCTCGACGAATTGGGGAAATTCGAACCAGCTTTCGTCTCGCTTTTTCTCCGCCTCCGAAGCGCTTTCCCATTTCTGATCTTTGGTCGGGTTGAGCAGTCGGAACCAGTATGGATGAAGACCCTTTTTGCCTTCCTCCACGATTTCCTGCTGCCTCCCGGGCCCTCTTGCGATGGCCATGAGATCGATCCAGCGAGCCACGATATCATTATACGGCAGGAATCGGTTGGCGAATCGCACTGCGGCATACTGGACCCCGCGAGCAACAGTGAATCCGGTCTCTGGGTCGATCTCTCCAGCTTGAAGAGCCATTTGGCGAACAAGGAATGGACGTAGTTGGTTTTGGAACTCTTTGTCGTGGCTGTCTAGTGATGAATTGAGGATACTTCCCAGTGCCTGGTCGATACTAACGAAAATCTGGGGGCTAGAATCATCTGCACTCAAGGAGGTGAATAGCCAACGAACTAGGTCGAATTCGAAATTCTCCACTTCTTCATCTCGCAGTTGAAAGTCAACTTTGGGGACCAAGATACCTATGCTTTCGTAGGCGAGACCTCGTAGACTGAGGTCTGTTGCAGGCAATTTCTGTCCACTGGCACCGGGACTGGGCCATCCCTGGGACTGAATGAAATCCCGTAATCCAGCAATCAACTTCGGGGCTATCTGCTTTAGGTCCGATGGGGAGCCCATTCGGACAACCCATGTCGTAAATGTGAATATTTGGGTTCTTAATTTGGCAGCTTGCAGCCCCTGGGCGGATCGGGCAGCATCTGACAGAAGGCCTTCCTCTATAAGCTTAAATATCCGATCGGTATTTCCCGTAGCTTTGATGGATTTTCCTAGGAAAACCAGAATCTTCACCTGGACCAGAGGACGAACGGAAGGAGCTCCATTCGCACCAAAATAAAGGTCATATAACTGTTCAACGGTTTGCGAGTCTTCAAGGTCCACGGCAAATCGCTTGAGTGTTTCATCGCCCAGATCGGCCAAACGGGAGTTCGCATCGGCAGAGGCTATCAATGAAGGCAGGAACTTTTGAGCATCGGCGAAGGCACCACTACCAAGGAACCGAAGGGCAATAACTTTGGTTTCGGTCAGATTCAACCCTCCTGGGGAAGCCGGATTCCACGTTTCGGTGGGTTTTTCGTCTTTGTTTAAGAATTTATACTCGTCTGGTGATAAACCGGGGCAGCTAGAGGCTTCCGCGGGGCCGGGAGATAAAAGCAGGAGCTTGCTCAGCCAAAAGGACAAAAAGCGAGCGTCTTCATCCGACAATTTCAACCGTTCTTTCAATTTCAGGTCTTCGTCACTACCCTTGACGGGTATTTTGAACAGTGGCAAAAGACGCAGAACCAAGTTGAAAACGATAGCGCCCTGGCTGGCAGAGGTTCCGATCTCCGAGATACCCTGAAGCAGGGGCAGGAGGATTTCCACACGAGCATCGGAGCCGAGACGATCTATCCCTTGCTGAGCGTAGATAAGATCAAAGTGCCTGACTAGCTGAGATTTTTGCTCTTTGAATTGCTTCAGCAATGCGGCGACTGGGAGCTGGATTGATGGAGCTTTGACCCGTGTGTTGACATGTTGGCAAACGGAGATGACCTTATTGCGTACGGCGACGCTCTCGGAGCTCAGCTTCAAAAGTAGAGGAGCCAGATATGTTCCAAGAAGTGATTGGAGCTTCTCATCAGAGTCTGCCATGGCAATTCTAAATTCCACCTTGCCTATCAAGGTCAGCTCGCGAGCCTCGGGGCTCTGCGAGTCGGACGCCATGTTGAGAAGATTGTTTTGGGAGATGGCGGTTTCAAGTCGGCATTGACTCGGAAGAATATGTCGATCGGTTGCAAAATAAAACTTCTTTAAAGTAGATAGGCAACCACACGCACGTCACCGTTGTGGTTGGCTGTTCGCACGTCGCTGTATGGCGTGGGGGAGCGGGGATTAGTCAGGGCGGGTGACTAATCTGATCCGCGGTTGACGCCAGGGGTTTCAGGCCAGAACAAAATTGGGTCAGGGACCAAAACTAAGAGCTACCTGTTAACTATCTCCTGTTAAGTAGGTAACTACAGTACTCTAATGTGAACCTCTAACAATTTCTGGGATTTGATTGGGAGACATACTAAGTCTTAGTAGTACTACTAGTACCATTTGAGGCCCTGGAGTTTGACTCTGTCAATGATTATCCGAATCTTCGCCGAGATTTATCACTCCAGGGCTGATAGGAGACTACTGAGATATTAGTAATATCTTTGCAATACTCTATTCCAACATGAAGATGACGGTTCAAGTTCGCAAATACTACCTAAGTAGTCGTAATACTAGTTTTTCCTATTTCAACATGACATTGACAATTCTTTGACATTCCACTCTGTTTCTCTCTGGAAATATTACCACTGCTTTTACACCTATCATTGATCTTGTATACATCTGTTTGTCTTGGCGCCAAGATATCGAAGCTATGGGCTGCGACTGGCCGGATTAAATATTTGCCTATCACCACGTGATCCTCGATTGCCCCAGCTGTCGCAATGCGCCACGCCTCGACCTCGACTTTCCCCCGAGGCATGGAGGTATGAGATGACACTCAGTTATCATCTCCAAAATGACCGTGGTCGCAGAGGATGTCAAATTACCAGGTATGTTACTCAAACCTTCCCAATGCCGACAATCCATCAAAAACTAACCTACTTGTGTACTACAGCTGCGGTACCCGCGTCACTGCTTTCCGTGCTTTCACAAAATAATAATCTCATTGCCGACGAGCGTCCCATCAAACGACGCAAGGTTGCTAAATCGGGCACCCACAGTCTCGCGCAGGAAAATGGGATTTCTTCAACAGGAATTCCATTGGGCTACATCCCACTAGCTCGGCTAGCTTTGCGCATGGTAAGTATAGATAGATCCTCCTTGGCCCCAGTCGAAGTCGCATGCTTACAATTTGCCACTCGTCCTATCAGAAGCTTGAGAGAACCCCCGAATCGAATGACCATAACCTACTTGCATTCGTTGAATCCTATAATAAAACCCCCGTTATTCTGGAAATTCAAAATTGTCTTATACTTGAAGATGACACGGCCGAACAAGAAGACGAAGAAGTTGCGCACAGCGAGCGCGGTCCCGAATCATACACAGTTTCGCTATACACCATCGATGACGAGCGTGAACTATTGTTTGAGCATGAATTTGGTGATTCGCGACTCTTCGGTTTCCTTGAGCAGCTTCACCAAGCCAGCCTTCTCACTCCCGCGGACCGTTACTCCAGGCGCACTCCAATAGCAAGCTACCAAGCCTCCGTCCAATACTCTTCGAGTGATCGAATTTTGAATCTGGAAGTGAATACCATTTGGAAAGATTCGCTTGATATTCCAGACTTCACCACCCTTCAAGATGAGGCATTGGAGGCATTTGCCAAATATGCCCTGAAGGAGTCATTTGATCGACCAGTCGGAGGTTATGATAGACGAAAACACCGAGAACAACTCCTCGGGTCCCCCCGGAATTGGGCTCCACGCGAATTCTACCAAAGTGTACACGTCCCACCTGACACAATAGATGCGTCGGCGAATGTCAAATGTCCCGATCTTGTGTGTGACCTTTTTCCTTTTCAGAGAAGAGCTGTCAGATGGCTCCTGGAACGCGAAGGAATGGGATTGGAGAAAGATGGGAAGCTTGTACCAATTGACAGATCGCTCAATGGCAATCTTCCAGCATCATTCACCCATATGAAGGATGCAGATGGGCAAGACTGTTACTTCAGTCATCTATTCATGATCATCACCCGCGATATATCTAATTGGCATGACGCTGCGGACACTTTGCGTGGCGGCATTCTTGCAGAAGAGATGGGGCTAGGGAAGACGGTTGAAATGATTGCTCTGATGAGCTTGAACAAGCGCCCGGAGCAAGTCAAACCAGACCCAGATGGGTTGAGAGTGTCAGGTGCTACTTTGATCATCACGCCACCTGCAATCCTGGAGCAATGGAAGCAAGAACTCGAACAGCATGCCCCAAAACTTCGCGTGCACCACTATACCGGAATCAAGCGCACTCAACAGCAGTCGGATGATTTGGTTGTAGAGGAAATCGCTGATTTTGATGTTGTACTGACAACCTACAACGTCATCTCCCGAGAGATTCATTATGCAGGCGCTACTCCAACCCGCAACCTGCGACACGAGAAGAGATTTGCGACTCGGAAAACCCCTCTAGTCCGTATTTCATGGTGGCGCGTTTGCCTCGACGAGGCTCAGATGATCGAAAGTGGAGTGAGCAACGCAGCGAAGGTGGCACGGCTGATTCCCCGCCAGAACGCATGGGCTGTGACCGGTACACCACTTCGCAGAGACATTGACGATCTCTCTGGCCTTCTTTTATTCCTACACTACCATCCATTTTCATACTCCAGTCATTTATGGAAACGTCTCTACTCTCGATTTGGACCTGTTCTGGTCAAAATAATCAACACTATTGCCCTTCGACATAGCAAGGACCGAGTTCGGGACGAGCTCCGTCTTCCGCCCCAGAAGCGTGTTGTGATCACCACTCCATTCACTGCCATCGAAGAACAACACTATGGCCAGTTATTTGAGGAGATGTGCGATTCCTGTGGACTGGATGCATTTGGCGCACCTCTTCGGGGTGACTGGAATCCGGACGATCCAACGATCATTGAAAAAATGCGAACCTGGTTAACCAGACTTCGACAAACCTGCCTACACCCCGAAGTTAGCGGAAGTAATCGCCGAGCCCTGGGTGCAGGAAACGGACCGTTACGCACTGTCGGCGAGGTCCTAGAAGTCATGATCGAAACCACCGACACTTCCATTCGTACAGAGGAGCGGTCGCTCCTTTTATCGCAGCTGCGGCGTGGCCAGCTCCTCGAGACGGCAAGACGTGGGAAAGAGGCTCTGGACTTGTGGCAGAAAACCCTTGACCATTCCACAGAGCTTGTTAAGGATAGTCGCGAGCAACTGCGCCTGCAGCGGCTCAAAAACAAAGAGAATAAAACCAATGGAGATGCCGCGACCTTCTCAGAAACCCCGGACATTAGTGATGACGAGGCAGAAGAAGCGGATAAAAACAGTCGCATCGGCCAGTGTCGACTCAAATTACGCGCCGCTCTCGAGGTTCAACATATCGCCGTATTCTTCACTGCGAATGCATACTACCAGATCAAAACCGACACGAATCTTACTCAGCCCGAATCTGATGAGTTCCAGGCCCTCGAGAAGAAAGAAGTTGAAGGATACGAAGCTGCCAAAGTGATCCGCAAAGAGATGTTGATCGATATCTCGAAGAAGGTGGAACGATACATGCGAATTATTAAGGAAAAGACTCGGAAAAACGGATTTGTGAACATCCCCAAAATGAAACCGTTCCTCTACAGCAGAGGACTGGAATCCTACCGCATACTGAACAAGTTTGAAGACTTGTGCGCTGCCCTGAACGAGCATGCAAAGCAATACGAAGTTTGGCGTGACGTGATGACGAAATTGGTCTCACAATCGCTAATCGATCAAGAAGAAGACGCCGAGCTCGAGGGCGACGAGTACGAGCGATCGACCAAGCATCAGGATGAAATGTATGTCTACATGGAGGCTTTGCGGTCGATGTACGCCGATCGCCATGATGCTCTCACCGGCCAAAAGAACATTCTGATCTCTCACGAAGTCAAAGCAGGCATCATCCAAGCGCAGAAGAACGAGGGTCCATCGCCAAAGCTGTTTCTGTCGATCATGAATACTCGCAGTGAACTTATGCCCGATCCCGAGTTCGGCTCTCTCCGTGGCATCGTCAGTGAACTTCGCAGCTTGGTGACTTCGCTGGAGTGGCAGGCTAGTGGAGGAAGTTCGCGCGCGAGCGCTGAGTTGGAAATGGTCGGCATGGTTTTGAAAAATGCTGGCCAGATGATTTCCGAACAGCTTAAGGTGTCATCGAGCTTGGAACGAGAAGTGGAAATGTTCCGTGATACTATGAATAACAGGTTGGAGTACTACCGTCACCTGCAGCAGATTTCAGATACGGTTGCGCCTTACGATGAAGAAAATGCCGGAAAACCCATGGACGAAGCTCTCTTCGCATCGAAGCTGAAGCAAGAAGAGACCCTGGAAAGCAAAATCTCAACTCTGAAGTCCAAACGCCGGTATCTGTTCCATCTGCGGGATGAGTCAGGATCAGAGGATAGCTCGAGAATCTGTATTATTTGCCAGTCAAGTTTTGAAGTCGGTAAGTATCATGCTGTTCGGTGCACCGCAGAACCCCGATGCTAACATGGAACACTAGGCGTTTTGACTGTCTGTGGCCACAAGTACTGCACAGACTGCCTGCGACTATGGTGGCGCCAGCATCGCACTTGTCCCATGTGCAAGAAGCCCCTGAAACTCAATGACTTCCACCAAATCACCTACAAGCCGCAGGACCTTGTTGTTCAAGAAGAGGAAGCACCTGTCAAATTTGACCACGAGCGACACTCGAAGAATGCAATCTACAGCGATATCAGCTCAGGCCTCCTGAAAGAAATCAAAAACATCGATCTCGATGGATCTTTCGGAACGAAGATCGACACGCTTGCGAGACATGTTCTGTGGCTGCGCGAACATGACCCCGGCGCCAAGTCGATCATCTTTTCCCAGTACAGGAATTTCCTGACTGTGCTACAAGCGGCGTTCTCTCGATTTGGCATCCTTTACAGTAGTGTTGATGCGCCGAAGGGCATTGAGAAATTTAAAAAAGACCCCGCGGTAAGTAATCTGGAGATTCTTCAACGCTCTCTCGTGAATGATTCGTCTAACAAACCTCTCCAGGTTGAATGTTTCTTACTTCACGGCAAAGCCCAATCCTCAGGACTGACCTTAATCAACGCAACCCACGTGTTTCTCTGCGAACCACTAATAAACACCGCCATCGAGCTCCAGGCCATTGCCCGAGTCCACCGAATCGGCCAGCACCGTCCAACAACCGTGTGGATGTATCTCGTTTCGGGAACCGTGGAAGAATCAATCTACGAGCTCTCAGTCACCCGTCGACTAGCCCACATCCTGGAGAAAGAAAAGCAAGAGAACAATGCCAGAGCTTTGACCAGCAACGGTGAAGAAGCACTCATTCACGATTTGACCGAGACGGCGATTGATTCCGCGAACTCTATGGAATTAGAAGACGCCACTCTGACGAATCTGATGACTAGCGGTGCTTCGGGTGGAGAGATGGTGAAGAAGGATGATCTTTGGCAGTGCCTTTTCGGCAATTTGGAGCAGAAGGATGGGAATGATCGCTCGATGGATGCTGAGAGGGAGGTTGGTCGGTTTTTACGGGGGGAGGCTGCTGAACACAGGAGGGATGAATGAATTTACGACCTGATATGACTTGTAGATCGAATACGTAATAAGATAGGAAATCAGAACTATTTGCTGAGGAATACTGAGAGACCTTTTGTGGGGATTTACCTAGGCGGTATCTAATATTACTATACTCTATCGCCTAGGGTACCGATATAGATTGCCCGGGTGTGTCAAATCTTGGGGATTTTATATCTCGTAAAGCACTCGTATCACAAGGAAAAGACTTATAGTTAACAGAACGAACATAAGGGCGCTCATAAAGCAAAGAAAGTGTCCTAAAAAGCAAATACCCAAGACATCATCAAAAGAGCCCCGGAAGAGAAATGATTTACAAAGCAGGTAGCAGAAACGAATATGATAATGCGATTCTATCTCTAAGCTCTCCACCCTTTGTACCATCCCATCTCCGATTAGGACTAAGTGACAAACTCGCAGCATCTAAAGATATTTATATCAATGGCTCTACCAAACTCAATCCCGGATCTTCCCCGGCCCTCGACCAAGCATACTCCTGACACTATCCCTTCCAAGCCCCGACCCCACACTCTGGAACGAAGCCGAAGAAGCCTTATTAACCGGGCGAGTATCGTAAACGACTTTGCCATTCACAGCGCGCACGGAACGCGAGTATGAGACTCCATTAGCGGTACTTTCGTATTCATCGGCTGTATTTCCTCGGGACGAGGATCCGCCGCCGCTGGATTCGTATCGTGCTTTTCCGGACTGGGAGGTGCGGAGGTGATAGGGGCCCGGCCCGGAGGCGAGGGTGTATGTTGACAATCCTGAACTTCCGGACGAGTCGATCTCGAGGCCTCGTTTCATCCATGCGTCTATTGTTAGGGAGTCATCTGTTATTCCGTAGGTGGCGTTAACTAGGAGCGGATAGCGGAAGGTTGTTTCATTTGATTGGTGATTGTTAAGGTCGGTGATTGTGGATTTTCCGGACGTGAGTTGTTTGTTGACTTGGCTGTATCCTTCTTGGTTTAGGAGGCCGTGGTTAGAGAAACTGAGCTTTTGAGACCAGTTGTGTTTGGAAGAAGTCGTGGTAAATGTTCTCTCTGCGATGACGGAGTATTCCAGTGTGTCGTTGGCGCCGGTTTCGTTCTTTGTTAATCTTCGTGCAATTGTGAAGGTCGGATTTGGTGCTGTGATTTGCACTGCCTCCGAGTCTAGATCAATTTTCTCAGAACCTTCATCTGCTATATCTGTGTAGAGAAATATATTCCCCGTAACAACCCAGTACGAGCCCACAGTATCTGCTAAAACAGCAGTCCCATTCGGCAGAATATTTAGACCAGACACTCTAATCTCGAACGAATGCTCCTCACCATCTCGGAATAACGGTAAAAAGGGCGAGATGTCAATCTCACTCTGTCTCAAATCAAACGCGTCGGTGCCCACTATTGGTCTCCAGAATCCCGGCGCCACACCCCCAGTGAAAATAACAGGGAAGGGCCAAACCACACCAGCGAGTACTCCATCGATATAGAGTTGGACCTCTCGGAAGGGTGAGTATCCATAAAGCTCGCCGACGGTGTTTGTGAAGCTCGTGATGTCCTCGGAGAAAACATTCGACCACCAGAATTCTTCCTCAGATTGGCCACAGGCGGATATGGACACGACGGCTCGCGATGCGCTGGATGGGATCCTGTAACTGACTGTGGTATTATCCGTCGGAAGCGAAAACGCACTCGCAGAGTTCGATGCGGATTTCCTGGCTGAGATTGGGAGAATAAGGTCGGCTGTTCTTGCTGTGCTTTTGTTTTGCAAAGAAAAGTGTGCCGTTAGGGTGGCATTGAATGAGCCCGTGTACACATCATTTATGATGTTTCCCAGATCAAAAATCAGCGATTGCGGTTGCTTCCAGAGGGAGTTGTAATGCGACATTTCTTTGATATACGTCCACACTATTCCGGCGGTTGTTGGTTCTGCAGTTGAGGTCCGGAACACTTCCACGTCGCCGAGGTACATGAGAGCGAGGCGGTCATACTGCTTTCCTCGAGAGGTAACTGTGAAATTGATGTGGACGGTGTCAAAAGCACAGACTGGTGGCGTGTAGTTGCCTAGGAAGCTATGCGATCAGAGATAGGCCCAGGAGTGGTCAATGGTAGCGAACAGTGAGCATCTATCTACCCACCGACGAAAGGCTGCCCGTAACTGTATCCGAATACATGGTCCATAAGTGAAACTTCTAGGTCACAAGCACTTGAATCTCCATCGGCGTCTTTTGGGACAGGCGGAGATACTGGCTGGTAAACTTGGAATACCTCCTGCAGGCCTGTCGAGTCCTTTGTCTGCAGCAGAGGATGCTCGAGAGACCGATAGTGGTCGGCAATGGCTGTTACCAGCTGGAAATGAATCAAGACCAGCAAGGTGCATGGTAAAAGTAAGAAGACTCCCATGGCGAGCCTCGAGTACGGCTTAGAGTCTGGCTCAACCGGTTTGCGTTGTCTTTGATCGGTTGCTCCAATAGTCTGCTTGCTAGACACGGTAGGACTCTCTCTAGATAAGGGGGAACCCTTTTGAAGATCCGAGGGACTCGTCGTAACAGGGGTTGTGGTCAGAGACTTGCTGGTTCTTGGTTGTCTTCTTGTCCTAAACACTAGGAGGATGCTGGCCACGGTACAGATGAGGACAATAGCGCAGAGCCATGAGATCCGATCGTCCGCCATGGGGGCGAAAGCCTTTAGCCAAGCGAGATTGAAGTGGAGGGGCGGCGACGCTAACGGAGTCCGATGCATTGTGAAGGTGTTGGGACGGGCTAGCCCGGAGACTAAAGTGTGATGTGCCGTTGCTGCAGGTGCGAAGGTGCGAAGGTGCGGAGATGCGGAGACACCTGTAGATAGCAAGTCAGTGACTGGCACATCGGATACTACCTTAGTATTCGGACATTCATCTTATCAAGATATCTTGGATCTATTATTTGTTCCATATCGCCCTTGAGCAAAATGAGCTGCGATTTATTTGTACAAAAGAAATAAGAAAGAAAGAGATCTCTCATGTATAGACAACCCAATAAGCCACTCCAACCTATGCGCCGAATTCAAGCACCCTTCTTCTTTTACATAAACAGGCGCCAGGCACCAAGCATGACAGCAGCGGTACCAGTGCAAACACCCCTATAAAAAGTCACATTAGCATCAGTCCGACTGTAAAGGGCAAACGGGAAACACGCAGGGGGAGAGATCCATACATCAGCCATTGCAGAGTCGAAAACTTGACAGCCTCAACCCGCTCTCTGAGCCCAGCAACCTCTTGCTCAATTCGGGTCTCAGTCTCCTTAATCCGCATCTCCTGTCCATTCGCCTCCTCGCGAATCCGACCCTTTTCCAAATTCAAGTCCAACCGAACCGAAGCCTGCGTTCGACCGATCTCATCCCGCAGCCGGGAATTCAACTTGGCCAGGTCGGCGGCGATTTTCTCGTGCGATGCGCGGGTGAGCTGGGCTTCGGTTGAATCGGCATTCAGGAGTTCGGAGCGCAGTTTCGCGAAGTCTACTTTTTGGGTATAGGTTGATCTTTCGGAGTCTGGAGAGCGACGGGGTCAGCATGAGAGGAAAGGGGAGAAAATGATTTGCACAGATAGCAGAGTAGGGCTTGACTGACCTTCCCGGAGAACCATGGTGCGGGTCAAGTTTTGGATAGATTCTTGGATGATGTCGTTCAGCACGCGCATCATTGCGACGGCTTGTTCCTCGCTGAATCCCTCAGCTTGTAGCCTCTGGACAAATCTCAAGGTATCGAAGTGGTGATCGCGTTGCCTGGCAGGGGTCGCATGGAAAGCGCGCTGAGCGGGTTGGTACGTTGCGACATAGACGCCATTGTGACGGATGGGATTGCCGAGGGGCTTTGCGGGCGAGGACGAGCGCTTTGTAAGGAGTTGGGAGGTATATCGGGAAACGGTGGAGGAAGTGTGAGGATTGTGAATAGAAGTGGAAATGGCCCGAGCGGACCGGTAGGATGTGTTAAAAGATTGTATTTGACGGTTGAGAGGGCTCCAGCCTTGGAGATATTGTTGCCGTTGCCTTGTTGCTAGGACGGCATGGTGGGAGGAGGTAACTGAGGGTCTGGATGATGAACTATTCCAGGTAAGACGAGGGAGAATGCTCCGTGGCACCTCCGCGACGTGTTTTTGATGCGCCATGTGTGTGTATTGGATGATGAAATGGGTAGGATATGGATCATTGAAGATTGAAGGAAGAGAAATCGGATGACTAAAGGGGAAGATCGACGTTCCCCGAGGCGGCCCCGCAAACTTCCGGGAAACTCTCTACATTCGAGTATACATTCATCTACAGAGTGTACATTAATGAATACCTGGATATTTTGGTTTGGATCATGTAGAATTAGATTCGTGTTAAGTATTCGCCATTAAAATCAGAGATATCCTCATGGATCGGGCCATCACAATGCATACGCTATCGCAACTGTACACTTTTTGTGTATCAATAGTTCTCCGCGTCTAAAGATCAAAGATCTCCTTAAGCTGCTTCATAGTATCATCGGGATCCACAACAGAGTGGCCGATTGTGCGGGAATCCTCATAAATCTCGTAGTCGTTACCTCCGACGAAACACTTGTCGCCGAAGAAGTGGATGTTCTTGTAATCGGCGCCGGAGAGCTCCTTCTCAGCCGCGACGTGCTGCAGGGAATAGGTCTTGTCCCAGCCCTTGGGGAAGACATCGAACGAAATTTGGCCACCAATAGAGAAACTGATATAAGCAGGGTATGTTAGACTTGTGTGTCCATGTTCACTTCGCCGGGCACTTGGACTTACGTGAGACCATAGTCGGGGAACTCCTTCTTGAGAGCCGCGACAAAGTCCTTGCGAATGTTGTGTTGTAAGTCATAGCTGATTCGAATCATAAGTCAGTAACTTGCTTTCCATCAATCGGTTAGGGCCCTGGGATCAACATACGTCTCGTACTCGTTTCGCTCCTCCACGCTGGCGTTACGGCCAATGGGGCTGACGTTGATCATGCCGTTACGGAACTCAACAAAGGTACCGCGCTTCTTGGGAAGCTTCAGGTTGGAGATATACCGGAGACAGAAGTCTGCCAGCTCCTGGTACTTCTCCTCTCCGAGCCATTGGATGAAGCTGTTGCTGGCGAGTGGCTTGCCCAAGCGGTAGGCAACCAGGCCGTTCTCGGGGAAACAAAAGTCGAACAGAGTGGTGACATCGGTTGTAGAAGAGCCCAATTGCTCCTGTTGCTTCACAAAGTTGGAGCCACCGACCTGTTTGGGTGTTAGAAGAGGTGAGGGGATGAGGGGAAAGTGGAGGCGGAGGTGGAGGCAAAGGTGGAATGACGAACATAACCAATGGCGCACTTGTGACGAAGACGGGAAAGGAGCTCAAGCATCTCAGGCTTGACGGTCTGTATGCAAGGGAGAAATTAGTGACACTGCGCTTGAATGGGGAGCTTGAAGACACATACGCGCCGAGCCTTGGTGAGTGTCTCGTCAACATCGAACAAGACGATGGTGTCCTTGAGGGGACGGCTCTCCAATGGAGGGTAAACACCGGCGGCGGTAGTCATTTTGGATAGTAGAACGGTAGAGGAAGTCAATTCAGGTCAAAGAAGGAAAAAAAAGGCAAGAGAAACAGCGGGGGATAAATATAGACTTGGGCGAGGGGCAGCATTTTGGCCGCAAGCGGTGAAGGAGTGGGGGCATTCACAGGTACGTCCAGACTCCAGACAATGCCACCTGGTCGGATGACTTGGCCCGTGGATTAGAATGATTGATTACATTTGTGGATCCCTTTGTGAATTGAAATCTGTACAGATTTGACATGGAATTTGAAATGCTGCCCCAGGTTGGTACGAGCATGTCGTTGATTGAGTCTCCCCACACCTCGCGGACTGATAATATTTACTACAATATGTAGCACAGAAGAGCCCCAACTCTAAAATCACCCAGCCAGCCGATATCACCGACAGGAAGAGACTCGGAATATTGATCACAACTAGAATAAGGGGGGGCTTGGAAATCAACGCCGAAAATGACAACTTTTTAAGTTTGAGGCCATAGACGGCTGCCCTTCCCCGTACTAGTAACAATTAGCGGCTCCCGCTTGTCCACCCACCACTTGATACATCTAGCATAGGAGGTACATACCAGCATACCTCCAAGTCTAATCATGTCATGATTTTAGTATCCTCGACGGAGAAAACCGGGTCGAAGATCGAATCAAATTACCACTAGTAATACATATGATCTATTCAAACAGGCAAGGCAACGTTTAAGTTGGTTAACTCAACATTAAAATAAAATTGTATGTACATCGGGTCCTTAATAGACAACGATACACAGCAGCCACCGTTTAATTGATGACACTAACTTAAGATAGCTTTCCAGCTTCCAAATTGAGACTACTGTGGCTAGCTCAGGTACGACAGAGATCAAGATACACAAATACCAGACAATGCGCAGAAGCAGATTACGAGAATGAGCTTGAAAAGAGAAGAAGAGGAAGAGACAGACGAAACGAGATACAGTTGGTAGCCAGAAAGACAAGACAATCGATTCACGACACCTCAGTCTCCCTTCGCTAATATCTCAGCGACATGATCTACCACATTGTATTCCACCACCGATCGTAACCTCGTCGTCATCAGACTGGGAAAGAACCCTATGAAAAAGTCAGCCTTCAATCAAATGAATCTGTCGAAAAGAAATCACATACCCACGAGTTTCAAAAACCCATACATCATGTATTCCTGGAAAACGCCCATCTCCCGTTTCTTATTTTGATTTTCTTGCGCAGCCTGCAGGATTTTGCTCACATGCGGCTGACGAATTTCCATATACTGGCCTGCCGCAGCTTTAAACACCGTCTTGTACGACCCTGACGAGGTCTCGACTTCGTTGCGCAGGTGATGCGCCAGGATAAGCGCGAGAGCCTCCACATCTTCAAGAGCCTGTGACGAGCCCTGTCCCGAGCTCGGAGGCAAAGCGTGAGCTGCATCGCCAACTAGAATGACGCCGTCTCGTTCCCAGGTCGGGATGGGAGCACTGGTCCACGTGGGATACATTCTCTCGACCTCGAGAGAGCCCAGGATTTTCTGGATCGCTGGATCCTTCCACCCCTCGTGCCGCTTTTGGAGCTGCGTTGTTACGTCTGCCTTGTCGATATTCTTGTGGTCGGGGCATTCTTCGATTTCATAGGTCGACCACCATGCGAGCGAGTCTCCGGGATCACAGATGTGGTATGGCGAGTCGCGATTTGGGGCATCGTCCGCGCTGTTGGAGAAGAAGTAGCCGAAAAATCCATTCCCGCCGAAAATGAAGTTCACGGATCCCTTTTCCACGACGTCTTTTACTTCGGAGGCGGGGATGAATCCTCCAACGCCGACGAGGCCCCTTGTTCAGACAGTTAGTGATGCTGAATAGTTATTTTGGAGGCGGAAAGAAGGGGTCTCGTCACTTACTCATAGTGAGGTGGATAAGGATCTTCAGTGGCATCGGGGAAGAGCGCGCGTTTTGCGGTACTTCGGACACCATCTGCGCCGATGACAAGATCTGCTTCGACGGGGGGGACTAGAGTCCGCGAAGAATATCTGATTTCTCCCATCCGGTCGGGCAACCACTTTTTCGATGCGTTTGTTGATGATATGATCGTCAGAGACCCGAGCACGCAGACATCTCCAGAACGAATCCCGACTCGACATCACCATATTCATTGGTGGAGAATCAGCGGTGGGAGAGACACTAGGCTTGAGGCTCATGAGAAGCGACCCATTTTTGCTCTTCATGTTAGATGAAGAAACGGCGTATCCTCCGCGCACGACGTCCTGGAGAAGACTATCATCCAGTCGTTGGAGGATGCGCAGGCCATTCGCCGCAATGCCCAAGCCGCCTCCCACTAGGAGGGTGGCTGAATGTGTGGGTCCCTCTGGGCGTTGATCTGCTGTTGTATCTGCTTCTGTGTTGTATGCTTCGTAGATCACGATTTCATGGCTTTCTGCTCCCGAGGGCTTGGGGAGGTGTTTCTGCAGTTCCAGATACATTGCGCATCCGGAGATGCCCGCGCCGATAATGACGATCTTCATGGTCACAGGTCCGATTGGGGGTTGTTGATTATTATCAAAATTGTCGATTGAAAATAGACGTGAGGCGAAGAACGGAGGTTCAAGTTGGAGGGCACAATCTAGAGATATATGTGTTTCAGAGGGGCGTACCCATCACTCAGGTGCTGCATACCTCAACCCTGTGGATGCTGGTGGATTGAAGTGGTGGATTACAGCCAATGATAGACCGTTATGTTCATCTTCCCGCAAAGCTAGCCCGATATAGATTAGCGCATGGCTTCTTTATTCATCGGGCTAATATTATCCCGACCATCTAGACGTAATATGATAAAACATCGAATCATATTGTGAGTGTGGCAAGGCATCCAAGAAGTTCTCATTTCTGGCGACCATGAATATAGGCAGCAACATGTGCGAAAAACTCTGCGGGAGCTGCAGAAGATGTGGCATCCTGGGCCCACTTGTCCGCTAGCGGCCTTGCGGTATCATCTCCTAGCTCTATGCCGCTGCACGGGGCCCATATTTGTATGATTCGCAAAGGGAGGGCTACCATGATAAATCCACGCTGAGAGACAGGGCGTGGCATATTGGTGACGAATTCCAAGGCTGACACTATCGATTGGATGTGCTGTTGGATACGATATCCGTATATGTGGGCTGACGATGAGACCAGGGAGAGAAGTCGGAAGACTATAACGTTCGCCGCGTCGAAAAGAGCACTCAAAGCAGCACTTGGCATGTTCATATGAGGCAACAGTGGGATGTCATAAGGATCGCTGGGCGTGTCGATATGTCTTTTTTTGCAGACGGGAGTGTTTGGCTCTGGGTTTGCTTGGTTGAGATCCGTCCGGAAAGCACATTGAGACCACCACGTGTGTAGGTGTGTTATAATTTGATGCACCATAGTGCTTAATTCAGCTCTGAAAGAATAGAATTCCTCACCCGTGGCGGCGATCATTTCGTCCGCAATTGCCAGGCAGGGCAGGAGGGAGAAGTAAACATCTACAAGTTCGTCGAAGGGGCCCTTTGGAAGTTTCTCGAAAGGCACAGTCATCCATTGAGTCGTTGAAAATGGATGTTGTTCGTTTCTGAAAAGGGATGAAACTGCCTGTGATTATACACAAAAGTAAGTGAAACGTGCCTGCAAATGGCGGATTTCTCCCAAGAGGCTGGTGGTCAACGCACCGTCAGTAGTCTCAAGTGACGGAAGATATTGTGCAGAAACCCCTGACGACAACTCTCAGGGCCTCCCCTCGCAACCATCAACGATGCACCTCGGACATGCTGAAACCAAGCCCCCGGAGCCGTGTCAGCCAGGCTCTCAAAGTGAGTGAGCATTACGGCAGCACAAATCACGTCCCCGCTAAAAGACGATGAAAGCTGCTGTGAGAGATGATACTGAAGGCCCTGCAGAGCTTTCAAATACCACCTCGAAGCCTCTGTTTGTATTGCAACGTCTTGCGCCAGGGAACCGTAGAAAAGAGCCGAAGACGCGCGAATAGAGTGTTTGACTACTTCATAAGTAGGCGAGACGATGAGCTCAGCTAAGCTATCGAGCCAGGTAGGAGGTTGCCTCCCTGAGGGTTCTTTGAAGGCAAATGACTCGATGAAATGGGATACGAAAAGTTGGTCGAACATTTCGGCACGGCTGGGCTGGTAACTTGATGGTAGCAACGAGTGCACAAGTCTGTCATCGACTCTTTGGTAGGGTGTAGTCATAGCTTTCTGACAAGAAGTGTTTCCTGGTATGCCCTTTATCGAGCAGACTGCTTGCGATTGGCTCGGTAAAGCGTGAATGAAAATAGCCCCGGTACGGGGACCAGGACACTGAAGTCCCTTTTTCACACATTGGAGGCATTCTGGCGTAGACTCATCACACTGTCAAATATATCAGTTTGGAAGAGAGTAATATCGGCTTAGTATCTCACTTTGAGCTTGCGTTGGCGGCAGGTTGAGCATCCCTTGCTACGGCCCGGAACGTTGACCATGGCTCTATTCCGGGCGTTCAAGAATGTCAGATAATCCAGAAACCTTTATTTTGAAAATCATTGCCTCGTCATATCTACTAGGGGATGTAAAGTGACAAGTGATAAGAGTTATCGGATTCCCTTGATCTCGGACACCGCCACATGACATAATCGGTCTGAAAGGGGCTCCGCTTGACATCTGCCTGGAATACGAGTATCGAAATTGAACTCGCGCCAAAAAGGTATTTTTCCAATGCAAAAAATGTTGTATCAAGTCTGGTTACTGATGAGGCTCAGACTCCAGAGAGAGACGAATACCACAAGACCCAAAATAGGTGTATTGTGGAAACGGAAGTAGCTATGCAAACTACTACTGTCGATTTCGAAAGCACATTACCCCACGGGCACCTTTATTTTCAAAGATTTCATCGATCAACTTCTTCGGCATTGCGGAAGATGGCTGGAGCCAAAATCAGTCCTAGTCATGGACAATGCATCATCTCACCATACTGAGCGTGTAGCACAAATGTGTGCAGATGCTGGAGTCAAGTTGGTTTATCTGCCTCCTTATCTCCCGGACTTTAATCCAATCGAAGAATTTTTCGCTGAGCTTAAAGGATTCATAAGACGCAACTGGAACTATTTCGACGAAGCCCCCGACTAAGGATTCGATCGCTTTTTGGAATGGTGTATTGATCCAGTGGGCGCCAGAAAATTAAGCGCTCGTTGGCCATTTCGGACACGCAGGCATAAAGATTGAAGTTTAAGGCACATACTGTTAGATTTCGGATAGCAGAGCTGGATCCGAAGGAAAGACGAAATTATAAACTCTAAGCAGGCCCAGATAAAGTTTTGCTTGAAAGGCAACGTTCAAATATAAATTCAGCTAGTATACATCCCCCACCATTACCGCCCCACGGCTCCGTACCAGCACAGACCTAGTACTGCGCCAACAATGATCGACCCAGCAGGAGGCAACCGAAACCATGCATTACTTGCGTATGACACAGTCGTTACGACTAACCACCAGGGCTCGTTCGCAAGGCTTTGTCCGGCGCTATTAGCCGCGGTCAAGTAGCCAATCTCCCAAAGCCGGTACACAGCAGTGAACACTAGGCCAATCGCTGTGGCGTTGACGCCTCGCAAGAAACGAATCATAGACCTCCTCTTCCGCAACGCACTCCAGAAACTCTGGATTGCGACGGCAAGCGTAATCCCAGGGACAAAAATGCCTAGCCCCCCCTAGAAATCCGCCAAATATAGTTGGGAATTGCGAATGCTGGAGGGCTAATGCACCCAAAAAGACAGCGAAATTGAAGTTAGGCCCCGGAAAGGCTTGGATAATGGCTAAGCCGATCAGGAAGTCCCGGCTTGAAACCCAGCCAGGACCAACAACATAAGAGCGAAGCAGCGGAATGACAACCGGACCTCCACCAAAAATCACTGTTCCCGCGAGGTACATGCTAGCAAATAGATCAAGAGGGAGCGGCGGGGGCGTCAATTTAGCTCTAGCAACAAGGATTGCGATAAAAGAGGCTATTCATCGTCAGATGCAGTGTTATGGTAACAGCTGGGTAGGGTAAATACCAAAGAAAATGATTGTGATAGCAACTCCAGTGCGAACGCGAATATTGTATTTCGCTGGTTGACTTACTACAGTCTCCATTGGCTGAGTTGAGCTCGACAAGGGCCCCGAGGATTGCGGCAAAGTTCCACTGGGATTGATCTTCCTTGACCGTAGCATTTCATTCCGCTCCGATTGTCCAAGTGAGATAGATTCCATCGGTATAGAATCTGTATTCGCCTCCTCCGCATCAGCTGGTTGTGTATGCCTGTTCTTCCACGCAAGTCTTTTCTTCTGTATTAGAGAAAATAGCCATCCATCCCAGATAGCGATAGCAAGGCCGCCAATAACTATCAACAGCGGAAAGTACCACAGGGCGTTATAACAAAGGCCCGCGCATGCACCAAAAATAACAAGGATGCGAGAAATTTTGTCTTGGATCGCTTTTTCCGCGAGCTGCACACCAGAAACCGCGACAATACCGACAGTCGCAGCATTGAGTCCAGAGAGGAGAGCGTATACCGGCCCAGGAAGACTCTCGCCAAGATTTTGGACGCCAACCGAAAGAGCATACATGCCGATAGCCCCGGGAAGACTGGTACTGGTTCAGCATGGTCAACAAAAGGTATTGCAGATTCCTCACCTCCAGAGAAAAAACGCCATGATAGCTGGGATTATTCCCGCATGAAGCAGAACAAGACAAAAGAGCATCTTCGTACTAGCTGGCCCAGGAAGGCCCTGGCAGATAGCAAAGAGCTCTTGATACTGTACGAATTGTTAGAGAAGGCTCTAAAGGAATTTATCAACATAGGCTTTAGTACAGTCTGCTCATCCACCCACTTCTGTTTCCCTCCTTTCCCTTCCACAAATCGGGCGTGGAAAATTTGAAAGTGGACAGGAGGGCCCCCAAAAGCAATGAAACCTAGGTCCCATGTACGGAGAAAGACGTCGAGCATGCGGCGAGCGAGGGGATCTTCGTCGTGGCTATTCCGTCTGGTTTCGGCATAGCTGCGCCACTTCTGCTGCAGCGAGCGAATGGATCCGCCATATCGCGAGAAAGGGGCGGGGAGCAACATATTAGAATTCTTATATTTAAGTGGTTAGATTGACAACTGAGTGACTAGCGAGTCTTATCGCCTAATATATAGCGTACTGAATGAACATTGGCGTATAACTTTATGTCACTTGCGACGAGTGATTGGCCACAATACCTCTTGGCACCTCTCCCACTTCCTAAACTCCGTGGCAAACCCCTGGCTAGTGATTGGCGAGAGCATCTCATAGGCTAGCACCAATGCGGTCTCCGACCGCTCCACGCTAGTCAACCAGCCAAACTCTCCGCCCAGTTGGGCCTTGGTTCCAGTCGAGCTGGTTTGAGCGAGTGTCGCCGTTTTTCGAGTCCCTCTACGAGGGGCATAATTCTATTCCATATTCAACTTATGTATCTAGAAGCGTGAATAAAGCCACGTTCGCCATTATTATCCACAGCAAACTCCTTCCACCCAGCTTTTGGTAGATCAATTTGCCAATCCTCTGTTAAGAATTTCATAAAAGTACCATGTGTGACGACCAGTATGTCTTTCCGTTCACCCTCTTGTTGGGAGCTTAAATCCGCTAGTCTTCCCCTCACTCTTTTTGCTCGTTCCTTTACTGCCTCATCAGTTTCAGAATATATGCCTTCCTTCACATGCCAATTTTGTTTCAACCGTTGGAAATTCAATCCTGGAAAAGATTCTTCTAGCACTGCACGATCTGACCCAGTGTCACAGGGAAGAGCACTCCTCTCCTGTAGATCTGCATCGACGACAAGCTTTGCACCATTCTCAACCCCTTTTTTTGAACCCGGTTCAAAGTATTGTCTATCAAGAATGTGTGGAAAGGCCGATAAAGTAGTCTGAATAGCGCGTCGAAGGGGGGAAGTGAGAATTGTGGCCACTTGCGACGAGTAGGGAAAAATTTCACCCAATTCGGCAGCCTGTTGGAGGCCAAGAGGAGTCAAGGCGGGGTCCAGTTGGGAAAAGTCTTTGGAGACATTATGCTCAGATTCAGCATGGCGGACAAGATAGATTTTGGAGGCCATAGTTGGTTGGGGCTTAGGGTGGAACAGACTCCATATCTGTTCAGGAGCTGGAAGAATTTATATGTGTCGAAGATTGGGAAGACGTCAGGCCTAGAGCATTCTGATTTGGAATGGGTGGTGCTTAGAGTGGTGTCTACTGTACTGTCACTAATTAGTCTGTCATGATGCATGGCGCGATCAAACCCATTGGATGGCGTCAGAAAATGGCACTCCTTATACTATACAGCAAAGATTCAGTATCTGATGTTTACTAGATGCTCTGCCTCATTCAAGTCATCCTGCTCAAAGCTTTCCTTGAAATCTAGACATTCGAAAGAAAAAAAAATATTCATGCTTGTGTCGAATCTAAACCCACGATTCATTGGACACATACTTTCTCATGAATTGTTAGATCTCCTTACCCTACTCACTAAGCCGTATTCTACCATTTATTTCACCCAGTCTAACCTTCTGCCCATACGCAATCTCGTCCCCCTTCCCATCCTCATCCCGATCATTCTCATATATAGACAAAAGGGGAAGCACATCATTCTTCCAAACAGGCAACCCAGCCCTACAACTCTTCCAAATCGTCCCAACAAGCGTCACAACCCCCAACCCCCAAATAACCACCGGAAGCGCCATCCACTGCCAATAAATTCTAACATGCGTCTGGCTCGCCATCGCCTTACCAGTCGTATTCGCACCCACCTGCGTCGACGCCGCAGTATCGCGAAACGACTTCGACATCGCACTAGCAATATTCTCAACAGCGCAGCGGAGTTTCTCCGCCGATTTCACCGCACACCCTGTGATATTTGAGCGCGATATGGCTTCTAGCACGTCCATCGTCGCATACTGCGAGGTGGGGCTGGGCTTGAAGACGTAGCCGCTGGCGTCGATCTTAGCGTGGCCGGCAAAGAGGCTGGAAATGAAATTGTCTATTGCTGCCGTGGGCATTGCGTCTATCCAGAATGTAGTGTTGTGCTCCATGCCCATTTCCGGTCCCCAGGGTGGTTGTAAGGTGTAGTAGTGGCCTGCTCGGGTGGTTTGAGCGAATGAGCCGTTTCGCCAGATGCCGAGGGTTTCTTCGTGGTATGTGCCTCTTGTTACTGTGGCGCGGAAGCTGCGCACGATTGGTTCGAGCGTGCATTCGAATGCTTGCCATTTGTCTGTTGTGGATAGTCTGCTTGAGTATAGGCCGTTTGTCAATAGGCTGTCTGGGGCGATGATTTGGACGGGCGATATGTAGCCGTTGCTGGGGAGGAGGGCCTTGCTGAGTCCTAGTGCGACTGGTATTCCCATTATGGAGTTGTTGAGGAAGCTGACGGTCAGATTCCCGTTGACGGATGTCTTGGACTTTGCTGGGAGGTAATATGTGCAGTTTGTTGCGCCCTCGGCACCCTGGAATGCGGTGTCGTTCGTGTTGGCAGCGCAGAAAGATATGAGTTTATCGGTTATATTGCCGCAGGTTGCGCTCATTGCTAGTGTGGCGACTGGATCCCAGGTACAATTACCCGAGCTGCATGTGAACTGGGGGGTGGACCAAGGCTGTGATGGATCGCTGTTGAATAATGCGTTGTAAACGTTGGCTTTCATCTCTGGTTCGACAAAATTTACTGCCAGATGATGGGACTTGTTAGTTGCATGGAGACAGTATCCTCACGAATCTGTGCACTTACCAGAATGCGAGGGTAGACCTAGGCTGTCGTAGAAGGAACAATTTGATAGCATTGCGGTTTGCGAGCTATCTATGTCCAGATGGGAGTAGTATTGGATCAAATTTTGGGTAAATGGGTCGAATGCGAGCGCAAGAATGAGCGCCAGGCTGCCCAGAACAGCGAAATGTCTAGTATAAAGTAAGCAAATGACGATAACGCCGTCAATAAGAGATGATATACCTTGCTCTGAGATGCCAGATCAACTCTGCACTTCCATAAATCCCTCGGCTGGCTGAATCGAAGACACGAAGGTTTGATAACGGGCGCTTCTTTTGTGAGAGCCAGACCCATTTCTGTTGACCGAGGCCCTCGCTGATACAGAAAAGGATACAGCCTTTGGAGACGGTGCTGAGCCAGGAGATCAATGAGTTCAGCGTCACATATTTCCAGGCCGGTTGACGCTGGTTATTATATTTCGCAAGAACCACAACGATCGCGATTAAAAGAATTGTAGCCAGCAACATCGCCAGTATCTCCCATGAAAACGTGACGAAAAGCAAGTGGCATATTGACGGTACATCCCGCCTCTTCTGTCTGCATTTTTGGTCCGTTAGGTCAGATGCAACGAATGGTTCTTTTGCGGGCTCGTGATGCGGCTCAACTGAGGATATGCCGTCAGGGTGTGATCGACTAAAAGTATCCTCAGTTGAGTCTACATTTTGAAGATCCTTGTCGTTTGAGAATGGACCTTGGAGCCGAGAGAACGTATACAATGATTTTCCCTTTTCTAGGGTCCCTTGTGATGGATTCATCGTAAGGCCTCTTGCCTATTCGATGAGGTGGTTCTGAATATGTACTGACCAGAAAATGAGCGGGGTTTCTATTTTAAATACTAACGGATAACTCCCTCAGCCTCCATACGTGCCGTGCCAGGTGCATAAGCGCCTGCTCTAGCTTAGCCAGCGCTAGTTTTTGGGGGCTAGAAACCCCTCCCTTACGCAAAGGTAACTAACCTATAGGGTGAAAGCCAGGGGAGACTTGAAGGAAGCCCTTTATTTCCGGCGCTAAATGTTGCTCAAGTTCAAGTTATTTCCGCCGTTTCCACCTTCAGATTCAAAAAGAGTAAACTTGCATTTCATATCAATACTAATATCACATATCTACATACCACTAGTAGTATTCGCTACTAGTACCCCCACTCTAACCACTCCAATAACCACCATATATCCAATATAAATCTCTGACAATCACCCCAGCACATCTCATTCAATTCCACCTACCTAGGTACTAACCAAATAGTAGGCACCCTACCCCCCCCCATGGTAGTCTGAAAAACCTTGGCCGCAAGCTCACTCAACAACCTAGACCGATCACCCTGCGGCAACTCCAAAAAAACCTCATAAACACTCTTCCCCTTCGCATCCCGCACAGCACCAAGTCTGTTACCCGCCACAGCCCCCGCCAGCGCACCGGGGAAATTCCCCACGATAAATCCCAGCGCTCCGCCACTAACACCACCCACGATGGCCCAGAATTTACTCGTTGGCTGAGTCCGACCGTTGTCTTCTTCGCCGAGACCTTCCTCGCGCATCATTTCTTCGAAAACGCTGCTGAATTGGGCGTCGGTTTGAGATTGGCGTTCGCCGAATCCGAAACTTGACCAGGGAAATCCGCCGGGTGTGCTGTGCGGAGGTTCGTCGTTGACTTCTTCATCGGCTTCCTCATAGGCGCGCGCTGTGTCGTAGTCCCGGCGGCGGGACGGGTCTGAGAGGGTGTAGTATGCCTCGTTTATTTCTTGGAATTTCTTCGTGCGTTGGGGGCGTTCGGGGGAGTCGGTTGGGACGCGGTCCGGGTGGTTTTTTAGAGATTCTCTGTGAGAGTGGTTAGATTGAGGTGAGGTGCTGTTTCTCTCCTGACGGACCTCTTATACGCGGTGCGGATCTGTTGCTGGGTCGCATCTTGGGCTATGCCCAGTATTTTGTCTGGGAGAGTTAGCGCTCGGCGTCTGGGGCTGGGTGGGGTGGTGGGATGGCAAGCGTACAGTAGTCAGGTTGATCTGGAGGAGGTTAGTCTTGTTGTTCTATAGATGTATGAGTTTTTTGGACTTACAAGACATGGTGATTAGAGCGTGGAGGAGAAAGGAGAGTTGAAATTCAGCGAGATAGTCTGGGCCCGGTATAAACCCAAGCCAGTGACGTCGATGGGGTATGCGAAACAGGACGATAAGGTAGATAAGGCCGTAAGGCTGCAAGGCTTCAAGGCAACGAGGCAGGAAGCTGCTCTTATTCCTGCCTCGATATTCAGGCAGAAAGGCCGTAAGGCGCCACGCCGGGCTCAGTAGGGCATTGCTGAGTTGAGGGACCCTCAGCTATAAACACCTAACACCTATGGACCAGGATTCATATACATCCTGACAGATATTACCCAGAACTATAGTACAACCGGGATGATGATTCTGAATTAGCCACTGTCAGCAGAATAACCGAACTGACTAGAACTCGACTCGCATTTTGTACATCGTATCATGTCACCGGTGGTTTTTTTTGATGAAAAATCCGCCTTGTTTACCGCTGGTCACTGAATTATTTCATACTGCTTTTTTATGACAGATAGTCGGTCATATTCATGAGGACCCTCCCACTAAGGGGCCCCTTTGGACCCCTAGAGGCTCCATCAACCCATCTTTGCTGCCTAGTTGACGCATTTTCTTTCCTTCGCATCTAAAAACCTCCTCTGCTCAACATAATTTCCATTTAGGACCAGTCTCCTTCATCTTCAACGAGTTCACCACTTTCCGAAGCGTTCAGAAGCTCCTTAACAGTCCATGGCTTGTACGTATAGCCAGGTACAGAATTCGTGTTCTTAAATGGCGTACTCTTGAGGAGGTGCTCCGCACACTTGGCGTAATTCTCATATGCATACTGCTCCGAGTCATGGTGTACCAGCCAATCTCCAACCATTTTGCCCATTATTTTAGGGTTCTTGGCGACGGCATCCCAGTCGGTGTTGTGGAATATCTCGCGATTCTTGAATCCCATTTTCTGTGCGCAAGAGACTCGCTCAAACCTGTTATTGACGTATGAAAATTATCAGCCCTTGTGATTTCTATTATTCTTCCCCCGCCTGTTTAAAATTTGTTAGGGAGCTATGGCTGTTTGATGGTCACATACCTCAGGTGGTTATGCACTTTCGTTGCCAGAGACACGTGCTTCTTCCCAGCAATATGCAAACACGCTGCCAGAGAATAAGCATCCTCCATGGCCATAGTCCCGCCACTCGCCGAGGTCGGCAGAAATGGATGTGCGGCGTCACCGATCTGGACGACGCGGCCGCCAGGTGAAGCCCATCGCGGTTGAGGGTTACGCCACATAAGCTTCCAGTCAAGAACGGTATGATTGGGTGTTGCCTTGATAAGCTCGGTCACGAACGGCTCCCAGCCATCGACAGCCTTGATGGCCTTGTCGATCGATGTAGTCTTCGCCCAGTCTTCTTCGGTATTATCGTCATCCTCCTATGTGAAATCAGTATACAAGTGCAAAGCACAGGCTTTGGCACATGAAATACATACCTTGCGCGTGAGCATCCAACAAATATCTTTCGCAGATTTGCAAGTAACGATGTGTGCCCCCGGACCGGCGTGTAGGAATGCACGGTCTTTGAATCCTTCAAGCTCTGCTGCAAGGATTGGATTTTCGAGGGCCGGTGCCACAGGAAATGTGACTCGATAAAGCACGAATCCGGAGCTGATGGGGGGGGCTCTTTGCTGCCAACGACCAATGCCCATGATTTGGTGCCAACTCCATCGGCCGCCACCACTATGTCTGCCGTGAGACGGCGCCCATCAGACAGAACCACACCCCCATGGTCGTCTGTTTCGAAGAATTCTGAAGCTGTCGCAGAGAACTCGATTGGGATACCGAGCTGTTCAGCGTACTCGTAGAGCACATTATGCAGCTTCGATCGGTAGATGGCTAGAGATGGGTCGTCTGGATTACCGATGGGGAAGGTTCCGATCAGCGTACCGTCGAACTTTTTCATAGTGAGCACCGGAGCAACTGCTTCTTGCCTCGCACGTTCCATAAAGCCCGGCCATTTCTTCGGGGTCTGGAGGGCAGGGCTTGTAATAATAATCATTTCGCCTACATCAAGCTTTAGTGCGCCACTCAATAAGCTGGTGCGGTTGTCCATCTCCAGGGGATTTGTATTAAGGTGCGAGCGAGTTGAAGACGGTGCTTACCCGCAGTCTCTCCACGGAGTCGTCGTTCGATAACCTGAACATTGTGACCCTTCCGGTGAGCCTCAATAGCGAAGGTTAAACCCGCAATGCCCCCCCCGACAACAAGAATATAGATTCCGGTATCTTGTTCTCGTTCCATGGTTGAATTTACCAGGGCTGAAATTTGACTCGTCGAGGGAAAAGTGGCGTTTAACTAAGATCCTTGCTAGGATTTAAAATTTTTATGTTGTTCGGGTGTTGGATTTTATCTGAACAGTCCATATAGAGATGCATTAAGAAGTCGGCCTTTATAGTAGCGGATACCAGGCGCGAGCCAACGACCCGGTCCGAATTCGGGATCGAAGGTTGTGCCGTATCCGCTGACTCAACTATATTGTTTCATCTAACTAAATACTAGTGAAATGTGGGATTTGCTTGCTAGCTATCGGCGTGAGCAGATGGGTCGATCACCGAGGAAGAAAGCTACCATATCTGTAGGGTACTTGCAATAAACAAGATATAGTGTAGGACAAACGAATGACATGAGGATATACAAAACTAAGGTATAGTAGCTATTAGGATACGTGTTACAGGTACCGGGAGCGCAGACTAAGCAGACAGCAGATTTATGACTCTGAGTTGGACACCTCGTTATGAAGGCTCCCAGTCACCTAATTCTGCTGTTGAGAGCGGAATTCCCCACTACACTAGTTAGTTAACTGGTTACCTGTGCCCTCCGTGCCCTCCTCCCGCGCCAGAACTGACTTAAACTAGCTGAAGTAGTTATCTAATATCAGCCATTTGCTATATTTGAGGTAAGTCCGTGCTAGTATGTTTGGGGAATAGAACTTTTCTTTCAGATCTGCGGAAAAAGGGAAATAATTCCACAAAATTTGGGATCCATTAGTATATTGCAACAAGTACTAGTTATGTCCATGTACGACCGAGAAGTTGGACGAGAATCTAAATATGCCCGCTGTGACCCGGAGATTGCCTACATAAGAGACCACTGTGGGGAATCCAAGCCGCCATACCAGCTGGAAAAGAGATGGGGGCAACATCAGCAAACGAAGGTCCATACGTTGTAACTAGCCTTCAGATCTTAATAAGCGGGATTTCGGAACTTGCGCACTCTATAGATCCACAAATTTGGTTGTACAGGGGATGGGAACAAAGATCTACACTGAACATACACCGAACTAGGACTCAGTCACCATATATAGGGGTTTGAAAAACCCAAGTAAATTAATAATATTGGCAAACGGCTGATAAATCAGGTACCAGAATCTGTTCACTGCCATCCAGACCATTAATTACTTGTTTGTCTGCAGAAACTTCACTGCTCCGTACCACAACTTTTGTTTCTCTTCTATTTATATGTGACTAAGTGATGCAATATCATATCCAAACGATCGGCTTTTCTACCTGGGCTAGAATTCATCGGTGGGCAAGTTCTGAAACTTCTTGCCGGGTGCAAGAAATAGGACATCACAACATATATCCACCGAGATTCTACTATAGCGGCGTTCCACCGACGAGGTATTAAGACCGTTGTGGGAACCTTAGAGGATGAATCTATCATATGGCAACATGTATCTGGCAGTGATATTATTATTTACAGCTCTAATACCGATTATCTACTATCCACGGAGCTATCCTTGACGGTATTCAGCAACGCGCTGAATATAATCAATCCACCATTTACATCCATAGGAGCGGCGCAGGCATCCAGATTACTGCGACGGGGCTCTCAAAGGAGTTATTCTCCTTCATTTGGCGGTGCTTTGCTGCCAAAAATCCGTATATTGGAAGAGATCCTCAAGAAAGATGATGTTCCTGTGGCAGCCAGCTGCCCGTGCTGTCTCGGGAATAGATAACTCGCCGCTGTGGATCATATAGTATCATAGATGTGTGGAAGCGGCTAGGTTTGTGGCCATCGTTGGGCGGACCACTCGTGCTTAATCTTAAGTGTACCTCCTGAGAAAGGCTGTTTTAGTGGAGGGAGACGGAGGTGTCGGTTGTATTGAAATGACAAGCAAATACCAGCCTTCAATTACTATATTATATATAAACGAAGTAATATATACCCAACTTATCAGGGTCGCGCCAGTTTCGGGACGTACTGTATCGAAGCTATCTCCATCTCAAAATGTACAAGCCGGCCATTAAGCAAGCCCCACAGCAAAACCATCTAGTATGAATATAAAATAGAAACACCAGAAATGAAGAAAAACACACAGGTATCAAGAGAAGCGTAGAAGTGAACACATCAAAACAATATCATCAATATCGCATCCATCATGACAGAGCAAAACGACCATCAAAATGCCACCCCACCATTACTCAAACCCTCTGCCCCCGATAAAAATGCGTATTAGGTCCAACAGAGTCTGTCGTCAAAGGTTCCTCAATTGAGGCCGTCGAAACGGGCTCCTCATTCCCAGACTCACTCCCACCCCGATATTTCTCTCCCTGCGGGAGATGTCTCCTCGTCCGCACGGACGGCAACAAATCAATCACGAAAGAAAGCACATATCCCGTAAAGACAAACGCAATAACCCACTCCAGGATAGCGCCGATATTCTTCTTCTCGCTCGATTTGGCATTCATGCAGACGCCGAAGCCGATTGCGAGGCCGACTTCGATTATTATGAAGGCGAGTTTGATGATGAAACTTGCGAGCAGGATTCGGTGTTGGCTGCGGTAGAATATTCCGATCCAGAGGTATTCGGCGCAGATTAGAATTGCGCTTATTATGTAGCCGACGCTGGGAGATGGTTAGTAAACTAAACTGAATTGAGGTAGGGTAGGGTAGGGTAGGGCCTGGTTTGGGGGAGTGTGCTCACAGGAAAAGTGCCAAAAACCCATCATGAAGCTTGGGATGTCTCAGCGTATCAAAAATCGACAACAGGATAAGTCCCGCAGCGCCCGCGACGGCGAAGAATAGCGAGGAGATGGCGCACGCTTTGTCGAATTTGCCCTTGTTTGGCGCGAGTTGGCCTGCGTGGCGGAGCCAGCGCTCTGAGAGAAAGGCTAGATCTAGGAAGACGACTGTGACGACGCTTCCTGCGATGAAGAGGGGTTTTAGACCTTGGGCACCGACGTCTGAGATGTATCTATGTTGTGCGACTTGGTTAGAGTTGGGGTTCAAGGCAAGTATAGCGGTGCGACATACGCGATTGTTTGGCCGTTTTCCATGCTGGCGTAGACTGGTTTGCCTTGGACGACCCAGGTGACTAACATCGCGATTAACATTGCTGCTGGTGGTTAGCTGTTTGTTCAGGTTGGAGTTGGAGGTGCGTCGCATCGCGTCGCATCGTTTCGGGAACGGGGGAGTGCATCACTTACCAACCCACATGCAGGCCGAGACCAACGGAAACACCCAAAATGAAACGATCCACATGTTGCTGGAGTGTCGCGAAGACGAAGTCTTGGGTTTGCGCGAGATAATAATAAATGGGGTGAAGGGGTTGGAAATCGGCGTCGATCTCTTCCTATGTATATGGTACGGAAGTCTCGGCTCGGGGTGGCTATGTGTACAAACTCAACTATTACTGATTAGCAATCTACGTGCAAGGGCCTTTGCAGGAGGAAGATTCGATCCAATCGAGGCAGAAGTGGTGGGCGGATACCACAGCCGACGAAAAGAGCGGGCGCGAACTCACCAGGAGTAGATCGAGGAGATGTTTATACACTATTGACAAACAGGTCGAAATGGCATTCCTCGATCGACGAGATGAGGGCGTGCAAAATTTGTGTTTGCAATATGCTTTTGTGGCGCTTGAGGAATCCGGCAAGGGCGGCGCCGCAGATCACTCTGTTTGATTTGATGAGGTCAGGTACGCGGGAGGTGTCGGAATGGAGACTGGATGGGTAGAGGGTGTATTGAGTTGGAGGGAAGGGTTGAGGAGGAAGTTTTCGAGAGAATCCGACTCTCGGATGGTGATTGCTGTGACAAGAGGGAGATGCAAGGGCAGAGAAAGGAGTGGGAGTATAAATGAAGAAAGGAGGGATTGGACCGACGTCATTCTCTGCCAAGGTATTCAAGTTGGCATCCACGAAGTACTCGCATCACAGTGGGTCCCATTACGACTCGAGTGCGGAAATGCTGCTGTCTATGAGGGGCCATTTACCATCTAGAGTATAATGTAGCGATACTCTAGTCATACTGTGGCTATGTTGGGGCTGATCGCAGAGATTATCATATATGCCTGATCTGATCTGATCTCATCTCATCTGATGTATTCACAAAAGGAAAGTCTACCGAACGCCATTTCGCATAAAATAAGAGCCCTTCAAATCCAAAGAACACAGGCACCTTAAGAGAGACACAGACACAAACTTTTCTTCTTCCTACCATCACATCACATCACCGACTTTTCCGAGACGAAGGCCGACTTTGTCCAGCCCGGCTGCTGCCTCCAGAGACTTTGCGTCGCTGGAGACCAGCCGGGTTAGGGCGCTCGACAACTTTCACGAATTGAACTTCATCATCATCTTCCTCCTCACTACTACTGCTACTACTTTCGGTCGCTTCCTCACTTGATATCTCCGATTCCGAACCCAGTTCCTGCTGGCTGCCCCGTGGGTGCGGCATGGATTGACGCGCGTTATCTGGGGACTGGCGGTACTGCGCTTGGATCGGCGACATCCCGGCTGGGTAGCTCATCCGACTCTGGGGCCCGACTCGAAGATCGCTAGGTAACTGCGGTTGGTAGGGTGGTTCCGCTGCGTAGGGATTCATCTGCGGGTGATAGTATGGAGGAGGTGCCCAGGAAGGATCATCAGGAAGAGGCCGCGAGTAAGCCGGCTGTGGCGTGGGCGGCTGCTGATGCACCGGCATCGACAGCGGACGACCGTTTGGTGGAAATCGTTCCGTGAAAGCGGGATACCCAGGCCGAAGAGGGGAATTCGAGCTCGAATTCGACTGCGGGCGCAAGGACTGGGTCGTTGGTGTTCGAGGACGATGGACAGAGGACGAGCTCGTGGGTCGAGCAGCAGCTGGACCGAAACCCTGACCCCATCCCGGTTCGATCGGCGTGGATGGATAAGGCGCCATCGCTTGCTCCGGCGCCCTGGATTTCTTTTTGCGCGAAGGCGGCTTGATCGTCATTGACGCACCGGCTTGTCGGACACGCCGGGCACCGCTCGGGTCCTCTGTTTGTTGACGCTTGCGCTCTAGGGCATCGAGCTCAGGCTGGGATAAGCGGACGTTCTTCTTGCCCAGCATTTGCGCGCGACGAATGCGCTCCAGTGCAGTTTCCACCAGTTGATCCTCCTTGTCCCGCATGGCAAGCTGAACCGCGTATGCCACCGTGCTGTCTTGATGCCCGTATAAATCGTAATCACCCCCGTCGACCGATGCGGCCTCGTGCCCTTCGATTGACTCTTCGTAGTTGTTGATGGTTCGCCTGCGTGGTCCTCTTTCTCCGTACTCTATTTGTCGCATGTGTGCTCGGCCATTGCGGAGCTGCCGTCCGTAATAATCCTTCTCGTAGTAATCCTCCTCTTCACTGTCGATTTCCTCCACTCGTGTATCCTCGCCCCAAAAACCTGCTCCTCCTCCTCCTCCTCCACCTCCTCTGTTGTGTCTCCCTGTTCGTGCCGCCGGTGGTCTTCCCCATCGGGGCATGTTGTTAGGAGCTCGCGGCCGACCACCCTAGACCGCCTCCTCGGAAAAAGCATTCTCGATTGGTTTATCCATAAAAGCGGCGTGGCCGAAGACGGTCACGCCAGTGGCGCCGATCAGCCAGAGGACTGTGGCGATGGGGGAGGCCCAGAGACCCAGAGGGACACCGATGCAGAGCAGCGCGGTGTAGAGTTGCGAGGTGTTGAAGCGACGGAAACCGACGTCCAGGTCGCGGCCGTCCAGCTTTCCGATTCCGTACAGACTGGCGGTGACAAAAATGATGACAAACAGAAGGAGCGGGTTGGTCAACAGGCTGTAGATGCTGAGCATGACGAAGACGACGGCATAGTTGCTGGAGAAGTAGGAGAGGTTGTAGTTGACGCGACTTTGAACCTCACCGAAGTTGGCGGGCTTGGAAATGCGCTTGATGTCGAGGAATTCGGAGACGGGGCGTAGGTTGGCGAATCGCGTGCTCAGGGATTGGGCGCGGATGTTGTTGAAACGATCGCCGAAACGCGAGGTGATGGCGTCGATGGGGATAGAAATGGCCATGATGGAATTGATGTGGTGGGAGGGAGTGGGAGTGGGAGAGTGGAAGTGGGAGGGAAGTTGATGAAGGGAGAACTTAAGAAGGCAAGAAAGTGAGAAAGTGAGAAAGTAGGCAGAAGTGAAGTTGGCTAATCACAAAGGGAGGTCAACTCTTTTTTTGGAACTTCAATCTTTCCCCCTTTTTGACTAGTCAACAGGCATCCATCAGCACAAACATGGATTGAAACAGATAATTGATGCCAGATCGCCTGAGAGTTATGACAGCACCCTAAGAATGGCCCATTTTGTTTGCGGCCTCACCGGAATGGGCCATAGTATATCGTGTCCTCGTATGTTAATAGTGGTAGTGATGATGAAGAAGTGTACAGAGTAAAAAGAGGAACAAGTCAATTATAACAGATTCGATCTGATTGTCCAGAACAATCCTGATTTAAATAGACAAGTCCATGAATTCCCATTAATTCCCCCCCCTCACTTGGCCACGTCGAGATGCGTTGGTGGAGGATCCGACCGCTTTTTGCTCCATCCGCAAACACCAAAGCCTCCTCCCCCATTCGTTCCCACCTTTTTCGGTGCTTGCATGGTTGACCGCTTCAACTCTTCATCATGAAGCCCATTCTTTCGTTTTTACTTCTCGTTTTCGTCGGCCTTGCTGCTGCTTGGTCTAAAGATGGTTCGTTTCGTGACAGCAGTCAACAGTGCTCTTGCAGTTATGTTACTGTTACTGTTTACTGTGTCCCCCTGTCCACCGTGACACCCATACTGACTTGATCCTCAGACTACGAGATCTTCTCACTTCGAGACGATGTCGCTACCTCCGAAGGAACCAACGTGACATTCTACGGTATGTCCAACCCATTGCGTTGATATTGCGTTGCCTTGCCATTGGCATCAGCATCAGCATCAGCATCAGCATCAGCTACCTCCTATCCTATCCCACCCAACCCATCCGTCCACCCAACTAACCACTTCACCAACAGACTTCCTCGAAATCCCCGCAAACGCAAACCAAGACAAAATAATCAAGGCCCACCGCAAGAAATCCCGAACCCTGCACCCAGACAAGGTAACCCGAACCTTCATCGCAACCTACAAAACAACCCACGAAGGCAGCAGCCCCAGCAAGCGTCAAATCGAGACAGCCGTAAAAGAAGCAAACACGCGCTCCGCCCGCCTAAACCTCGTCGCCAACGTCCTCAAGGGCCCCGGCCGCGACCGCTACGACCATTTCCTGAAACACGGCTTTCCGCTGTGGAAGGGCACGGGGTACTACTACAGTCGATTCCGGCCGGGTCTGGGCTCTGTGCTTATTGGGTTGTTCCTTGTCTTTGGTGGTGCTGCGCACTACGGTGCGCTTATTTTGGGCTGGAAACGGCAGCGCGAGTTTGTGGGGAGGTATGTTAGGCAGGCGAGGCGTGCGGCTTGGGGTGATGAGATTGGCGTGCGTGGGTTGGAAGCCATTGGCGGTCCTACTGCACCTGCACCGGCCCCGACCCCCGCTGCGGATTCGGGCAGTGAGCAGCAGGGTGCCGTGGCTATGAATCGGCGTCAGAAGAGGATGATGGATAAGGAGAATCGTACTAAGGAGAAGAAGGCCCCCCCGCGTGCGAGCGACTGCGTCTGCGTCTGCGTCGGGGACTTCGACGCCGACGGAGGGTGTGTCTACTGGGGAGCGGAAGAGGGTTGTTGCGGAGAATGGGAAGGTTCTTATTGTTGATTCTGTTGGCAATGTGTTCCTTGAGGAGGAGGATGAGGAGGGTGTGCGGAAGGAGTTTCTGCTTGATGTTGATGAGATTCAGAAGCCCGGGATTACGGAGACGATGGTCTTCCAGTTGCCCATTTGGTGCTTTAATAAGACTGTTGGGAGGGTTTTTGGGTCTGCGGATGCCGACGTGGAAGAAGAGGTTGTTGATGAGGATGAGGTTGAGGCTGAGGCTGAGGCTGTGACTTCTGCTACGTCGAATACTCGGTCGAGGAGACGGGGAAAGCGATCGCAGCGATAGGTTGCTGGTGACTGGATGGCTGGCAGCTTTGCTTCTGGCCTTACCTTCTTGAATCGGGATCTAGATGGTCACCGGTTTTGTCTGTATTAGATTATTATTTTTTGTTGAAAAGAAAAGTCGATAGAATTGAAACTCTGTGATATTATCTACCTAGGTATTCTTCTTCTCAGAACTGCTGTGTCTACATAAGAGAGCCACGTACATATGTACATATCCAACAGCCTGAGCCTGGGTCCATTGTTTACGGACTCGGAGGCACTGGCATACATAGACTATTGTAACCACCAGCCACCCTGACATCTCCTAGCGGATCCACCAGTGAGAGACGAACACAACAGCACTCTACTCCATATCCCGTACTAATATAGTAGCTCCGACGTAGGGGGTCGAAAACGGGGCACATATCCACCGCGTTGGGTACCGACACATCAACACTCACCGACTCGAGGATCAGTTATTTAAGGAGGCCTAACCCCGCGAGTTCACTTTTGCGTACTTTTTCTTTACTCTCGGTCTCTTTCCGACACAAGTGCTGCACGAGAATGGTGGCTTTTCTGATTGAGGAAGGTGCTCGTGCAGTACAGTGCAGCAAAGCAAAGCAGTGATCTAATCTAAGCTAAATCCAAGCAGGCCGCCCAGAAGGAACAGGATATGGAGAATCGAAAGGGGCAGAGGGGACGAAACAGGACAGGAAAAGCAGAAAGACAAGGACGAATCACAGAACATGACAGGAAAGAGAAACAAACATAAGGATAAAGCATGCGGAGTCGGAGAGCGGTTCATCAGTCGTGAGGTATCATTCGTCCCCATCATTTAGAAGAAAAAAAGAGCAAAGGCAAAGGGAGGGTGTCGAGCTATGCCCAACAGGCAGCATGAACAAATCCACCACCACGCCCCCCCCTAAGCAAACATCTTCGCAATATTCATCAAACTAGTCAGATTCTCCGACATCCCCGACCCACCACCGCCACCACCACCATTAAATCCCCTCGCACCACTGGCACCCGCACCACCAAGAGCACTCATAACACCATGCGGCAACCGCAGCCCAACCATAGCAAGCAACTTGGGCAAAACCCCACTCGTCAACAGCGGAACGATAACAAGCATCAACACCTTGAACGGATTCTTCTTCGCATAGCGGATGATATCACGGAATAACCGCTTCACGTCCCGAATCATGCGCTGCACAAAGCCCTCTCGAGGTCTGGCGCGTCGGGACGACGAACTAAAGGCCGAGAAGACGGAGTGCGTGGGGCTGGACCGTCCGCTTGAGCGGCTGGTTGTGCGGCCCAGGTTGAAGAAGGAGGGTGCTGAGTTGCGGGTGTGGTGTGTTGATGTGTAGCCTGATTTGCTGCGGGTTGGTGAGCCGCCGCGGCGGCGGACGTAGTAGCCTTCGCCTTTGGAGTTGGTAGTGTGGTGCGAGTGCGAGGTGGAGGATGAGCGTCCGTCGAACCAACCCATTGTTGCGATTGAGATGGGGTTTGTTCTGGTTTGGTCTGGTCTGGTCTAGTGGATTGATTTGTGTGGTGCGCAGAAGAGCGGTGGGGAAGATAGATGATCGCTGATATGGGGCGAGCTTGTAGTGTAGAGTAGATTGGAAATTGATGAAGATAGATTGATGAGAACAGTGGATGTTCTTATCGACAGCTCTCGATTCAGAGATTTTCCGAATCGCCCCTGTGTGGCGGGCGAAAAGAGACAGATGCAGGTCAGCCGCTTGGAGGTGCAGATGGCATGCGCAATGTGTGGTCTAGGCCGGTGTACTGTACGTGTTTACTCCACCGATTTGCTTTGCAGAGCGGGGGGATGGGTGAATGCAGCTGCGAGATTGACAGCAGTGTAGGAGATGGAACAAGCTTGCGACGAAGCTACGAAACAGTACGGAGTACGGAGTTGGGGCCTGTACCTAGGTAAGCGGGAGATAATGTTGGTGGCTGGGGAATTGCTCAGGGTTGTCTTGCGGTTGTGAGACGCCGCTTGTCTCAGGGGTGGGTTCGACACCTCATTCTTGAGGCAGAATAGGGTACCTCGATTTGCCACGATCTACAGCATGTCCATGGATAATTTATCCATTAGATTGTACTCGAAGTTAATGCTGTGTATCTGATTCGTCTATTTGGGTTTCCCGTTTTGGTACACTACCAAAGTCAAAAACTAGGTATCCTTCGAGAACCTCGGAATGAACATCTAGACTTGTACCTCCCATGTACCTGGCTTGCGAATTTTGAACCCAATAAAGCCTGTACCTTTGGAATTGCAGAAGAACAAGAAAGCGGAATTTCTGGATAAGGAATTGGAACAGCTTTCCAGTCATACACAAATGGGCTTACGCTTTCCAGGGGAAGGAAACCGAGTCGCTGAAATGCAAGAGTCAACAGCTTATTCGAAACTGAAACCGCATCCAAATTTGAAAACAGTAAGGCGATGCCTCCACTATTGTCGGAACGTCTTTGGCGGCTGGGCATAGCATGGGAGAGGACTGGCGGCTTCGGAGACTGATATCGCATCGCCATCTGTATTTCCGCACTCGCATTCATAGATCACCCCATCATTAATCATCGAAGCGAAATTGATGTCTCTCTTATCTATATGTGCATATGCCCTAAAATTGCCGAAGCTCTCATGGTAGCCTTTTTAGTCGATTGTATTCTGCTTCTACCTTAGGACTCTAGATATTGGTCCTTTGTCGGTCGTGGCTTATACTAGCTAACCAGTAATGGAGGTATATGGTTACATTTATTGGGTTCCTATTTCTAGTCGAACAATTTATCTGTCGTCAGTTCACGGGTCTCGATTTTGGTGCTCGTTGGTTTTTCCGCGACATACTCGTTCAACATTATGTGCCGCCAGTTTAATGTACTGGTGCTAGTAGGTATTCGATTACTACTAGTTGTAGTTCTATAGCTCATTCACTGCCTAAATTGAAGGACACCTGATGCTGAGAAGAGCGGAATCCCTATAGTTCCACTGGAGGTTGCTTCAACTTGAAGCTAGAACATATATCGCCCGCAGATTTTAATCAAGCACATAGTATTCCTTGTTCTTCTACATCGTCGTAACTACAGCTACTAGTAGTTGTTTCTCGGATTAATTTGGAACATATTCGAATGCTCATACTCCTTGAATTAGTACTAGTAGTACTTATGTGAACTAGTAACTTCTGTCTCGATCTGTAGCATAAAGATGCCGGACAAAGTGTATGAAGCGGGGCGACCTGGGCACCCCGGAGTTTATAACTGGGGTTATTGGAATTTAGGCATACTGGACTTCTGCGACACAAGTAACTTATACGGTCGCCACCTATCTGCTTGAAGGAAAGGAAGAAAGCATATGAGTATGGATATCAGCTATGAAAGAGAAGAAGAGGGAGGTGAGGCAGGAAGCCAGAGATGGCTGCCTAGCACTATCATAAAAAGTAACTATCAAATAATGCTACAACAATAATCTCTCTTGGAGTAATCAAACTTGGACCTCCGGGTTATACCTCCTGTAATGTAAAACCTCCCCACAAAGATTTTCTTATGCTTCAGTTTTGCCCTTTTCGGCTTCGGTCGGTTCTAGGGAGTTACTGATCAGAAATCCGGTCGGTACCTCACTGCAAATTATGGGCAGGGGTTGCAGGGACGGCCAAGGACGGCCAGGGGCGGCTAGGAAAACTCGGAAATGTGCACAGGCTGAAAGGGGCGCACTGAGGCTGTATGGCAGTGTTAAAGCTACCCTGTCCGATAATGGTGATCTCATCGTAAAGTCAGAAGGGTTGGGAATCGATCAACACAGAATACGCATCGTTGCCCCTCTATCCAGATCCAGCGCGTGGGGAAAACAAATTTCTCACTTGGCAAGTTCTTATGTTCATGGTGGATTGAAAGACCTGCTCAAGTACCATTTCCTCGGCGGCTCTGGGCACTACAAGCCCCCCCCGCTAGCCAGGTTCAGCGGATGGAAAAAACAAATTTCTCACTTGGCAAGTTCTTATGTTCATGGTGGATTGAAAGACCTGCTCAATTCCCATTTCCTCGGCGGCTCTGGGCATAACCAGCCCCCCTCTACCCTGTCAGATTTAGTCCACGAGAAAGGCAAATTCATCACTTGGCCAATAGGCATTCCCTCGGCGGTTCTGGGCATGACAAGCCCCCCCCGCTAGCCAGGTTCAGCGGATGGAAAAAACATATTCCTCACTTGGCATCTGCTTAATTTTATAATGGATTGAAAGACTATGAGTCGGACTCGGATGGCCCGGATACTGCTGGCCTCATCATCAAACCCATGATCTGTATGTGAGAGGCCTGCTAGACAACCCTATGCAGCACACAGCCAGGTGGTCGGTCCTTCGTCTTTCCTCTTTCGCTTTCCGTTCATTTCAATTTTATTTTTGGAGGCTCTGGATTCCATTTTTGGCAATTTCTTGTGAATATAATTTCAATTTTGTCCTCTTTTGTAAATTCGAATTTCATATCCACAAACTATAAGGGGCCCTCTTCCTCCCTCCCTTCTGGCCTATTCCACCTGGGGAGTGACTACTGAATAAACAATCTGGAACTCCAAATACAAAATCCCCATTCAAAAACAACCATAAGTGTCCTTGGTGAAAATCTTGGATAATCCTCTGATTACATTGCGTTGCTCGTTCCACCCGACTCCCCGACATCTATGATCCTCAATCGATCCCACCCGCCAAACACACGACCATATTCCACCAAACTCAATTCCTCATTCAACTGTGTAGGATGTCTTTTGGTCTCTCGGTTGGAGAAATAGCCCTTTGCGCCCATATAACCTATCATTTGTTTTCATCTATTACCACCGGACGCAGACGGGCGCCGCAGGACCTAAAAGAACTACAAGATGCATTATTCGGACTGTACTGTGCTCTTGGAATCTTAAGAAGGGAATATGAGACAGTTTTAGCAAGGATTCCATTTGAGCACGGCGCCGCTTTGGCGTACATCATTCAATCGTGCCAAGATACACTTCACGAGCTCGATAATGCGACGGCCCAATACCGTGAAGTAATCGAAAACCGACACGCAGTAATCTCACCAATTAGAACCCAATTTAAGATACAGTGGAAACGAATCATGTGGAGTTTCCGTGGAGAAATTCTTACAAAATACCGCCAAAAGCTCCAAACACATACTGATTCGTTGAACCTCCTCCTGAATACTTTTCTATGGTTAGCCTCCTGTCCCGTCATGTCTCTGAAACGAAACTAAAAGTGATCTTCTTTCTTTTGCAGGACTGCTACAAGTCGCATTGAGGAAAGCGGCCGATCCCACGAACAGAGGCTAAATGAGCTTTTGCAACAAGCATCTCGATTCAACGATGAATTTCAACAATCTATGCGGACTCTTCAGGTGACCATGCAGTCTACACAACGGCACCATATTCTCGGCTCGCGAGTTTCCATGTGTCTGACTGGCTAAGAACTGAAGAGACCATTGGCATTCGCAAGCAAGAAAGTCCTCACCACCTGCCCCAGGTGGGCAGCACACCTACTCTTAGTAGTAGGTACCATGGTTTGGATCTAATACATTGGCACTGGCGAGCCTAGTAGTAAGCTTGATGTATGTTGCGAGCTTCATCGGACAACTTCAAGTTCAAGTTGAGCGTGGCGGGGCGTTTAGACTCGGAGGATAAGCCCCCCAGGGCCGGAGGTTTCTTGTTTATATTGTTGCCATTTCTTTCCAAATATTTGGGTATAATCTCACCGGGGGCATAGATCGTAGTATGTATAGATACAAAGTGAAAATTCTACATCGATGGATTCAAGTAGTGGGTTCCAAGATCGGGGCGATATCTCCACTCTTACTTTAATTTAAGTTCAGTTGGTCCTGATTATTACCTGGACCAGAGAGCACAAAATAAAAAGTAAAAGAAAATTTGAGTGGCGAATAATTTCTTGATTTCTGATGGGGGGGTGACTCTTCTAATAAAACTGAACTCGCCAGTTGATCGATCATATCTGATTGTTTATTAACCTGTCAGCAACAACTGATCTGTTACCCCGCAATGATGCCCAACCCCGCCCTGGACATCTTTGTTGATGATTTACCAAAACGAGTTCTGCTATCCGTACCATGGTGACATTTTGGTTACCATTTGAGGCTCTGTGATCGCAAAGTTTTCCGTATTCCCACCAATTTGCAAGAGATCTCGAGCTCGTAATAGGGCCGGTGTTTGGCGCTGGAATCACCTGACTGTGGCCTAGCGCCTTCCTTAGGTTGGACTTTCAGCTTTGCTTCTCAAAACACCGTGATGTGCACCGCTCACTAAGCACGATGTCAACAACTTTCGGCGATGGAAATGCGGGATTACAGATCGCGACCAACAACGGTCCGGTCTATTTCTCTTCTGGTATGTGTGGCGAAACCTTTTCTAAGCTTGTTACACTTGACTAATAGGATCCAGGCCAACCGAAGACCCCGCAGGACATAGACGATGGTTTGTATTTCCCAAAATGAGGTGAGTTTTCACTAACTGTAGACACAGACGTTCTGAATTCACTGGCATTCCCGAATATGCTAGACCGGAGAGACAATATTGAGCCCTGGCACACCAATACCTGTGAATGGATTTTGGAATTGGACGAATATCAGACATGGAAGGGCCAGCCCCGCGGCCTATTGTGGATCAAAGGCAAACCGGGTGCAGGTAAATCAACTTTGATGGCATTCCTTTTCAATCATTTTGAACAAGAGGGTAGCCAGGGCTTACGGCTCGATTTCTTCTTTACCGCGCGGGGCACAGAGCTGCAACGCACACCATTGGGCATGTTTAGATCCTTGCTGCGCCAGATCTACTACTGCGACTCCACTGTGCGCTCTCAACTGCGTCAGATTTACGAACAAAGATCTAAGCAGTTCGGAGGACAAAAATGGGAATGGCCACGAGTTGTGCTAGAAAAGCTACTAGCAGATCTCATTCTGGAATCTGCGAGTCGGCAGCATGTGATTGTCTTCATCGACGCACTGGATGAGGCTGGAGCTGAGTCTGCTCAACAGCTAGCAGCGTATTTTCACCGGCTTATCGATCGTGCTGGCAAGGTGGCCCTTCATGTGTGTATTTCATGTCGACACTATCCCATTGTGAAAAGTGCCCGAGCTATTGAGGTACACATGGAAGACCATAACCAGCACGATATTGCCGCATACATCAAGGATGCCTTTCCTGAGACGGATCTTGGAGAAATTCCTAGTGATGACTCAGGGATGGAGCAATTACTGGCTAAACAACTCATCCAACAATCAAATGGGTCATTTCAATGGGCCCATTTAATCATACCTCTCGCTCAACGGAAGGTTTTCGAAGGCGAATCGCTTCAAGATATTCAGTGCTGGCTTAAAGAGGTTCCAGATGACCTGGATGAGACCTATACATATGTCCTGTGCAACGTGATAGAGACAAGCAACCGGGAGCAGTCGTTCTTATTGTTCCTGTGGGTTTGCCTCGCGGAGAGACCACTCACAGTCACCGAAATGCGATACGCCTTGGCTGTCAGTAATGCGCAGGTGATGCCTCCTAGCAAGCCAAAGCCATGGGAGATGGTAAATGGTTATATCGAGAGCAATGGAAGGATGGAACGAAGAATTAAGGCGCTCTCCGGGGGGCTCGCTGAAGTTCTTCACGGTGGAGATGATCAAAGCGGAAACGATACTGAGACCATACAGGTAGTACACCAGTCGGTCAATGATTTTCTGCACAAAAAAGGACTAGGACTTTTGTTTTCCATGATTGATACTAGAGAGTGGAATCTGGACGGTGACTCGGAGAATATTATTCTTCGGTCTCAGAGAATTCTCTACGGATCATGTCTGGTTTATCTAGCTGGGGTACCCGCACCTCAAGGGGAGCCTTTCCGATTCTGGGCAAAGAAAAGAGGATTTTTCGAGAAACAGAGATTCGCCGAGAAACAGAGATTAGTCGAGAACGACCCATTTATTGCTTATGCCACTGTCAATACTTTTGTTCATGCAAGGAAGGCAGCTGTGTCTCGATTGGGCGTGTTGCTGAATGAAGAATTGATCGGCCGATGGGTCGATTTTTATCATGTGATAGATCGATGGAACGCAGAATGTCCGGCATTGGGCACCAAACTCCTGCACATGGCTGCAGCTGCAGGTCTTCCTGATCTCGTCAAATCTTTGAGTGACGAAGATATCGCCACGATGGATGTTAACGGATATACCGCGTTCCATCTAGCAGCACGATCGGGTGACATTGTGACAGGGCAGATTCTCATGGAAAAGGAGCAGACCATGAGGCAAAAGAGGAATTTGGAAAAGAAGCAGACCATGAGGCAAAAGAGGAATTTGGAACAACACCACCGCAAGAGGCAGCTCGCAGTGGACAAGAGGAATTTCTTGAATGGCTCTTAGAAATGGGAGCCAGTATTCAGACATTGGATGGAGGCAAAAGTGCACTCCAAATGGCCGTGTTGGGTGATCATCATGCTATTGTCGAGATACTACTTGCAGCTGGCGCTGACGTGAATGGCCATTCTGGTGATCATGGGAGTGCCCTGCAAGCTGCTGCACACGAAGGCCACACTGAGATAGTGAAATTATTGCTCAATGCCGGCGCTGACGTGAATGACCATTCCGGTGATCATGGGAGTGCCATACAAGCTGCAGCAGATCAAGGACATATCGAGGAAGTGAAATTACTGTTCCAAGCTGGCGCTGACGTGAATGCCCATTCTGGTGATTACGGCAGTGCCCTACAAGCTGCTGCATATCAAGGATACACTGATATAGTGAGATTCCTGCTTAATGCTGGCGCAGATCCTAACTGTGAGCGTGGTGGTATATATGGAAATCCTTTCCAAGCCGCTGCAGCTTATGGAAATATTGAGATATTTAAACTACTGCTCAACGCCGGCGCGGATGTCAATTCTCAGGGTGGTAGACATGGGACTGCCCTACAAGCTGCTGCACTTTATGGAAATACTACTGAGAAAGTGAGATTACTGCTCAGCGCCGGCGCGGAAGTGAACTTTCAGGGTGGTGCATTTGGGAATGCTCTCCAGGCCGCCGCATTTCAAAGAAAAACCGAGATAATACAGCTACTACTCGATTCTGGTGCCAGCATCAATGCGGAAGGAGGAAAATATGGCAATGCCCTTCAAGCCGCCGTATTTATAGGAGATGTGGAGTTGGTACAGATGCTAGTCGATTCAGGTGCCGACATCAATGCTCAAGGAGGGGAATATGGCAGTGCCCTTCAGGCCGCTACAGAGAATGGACACACGGAGATTGTACAGATGCTACAGAGCTTATCCTGATTTCAATATCCAGGCTGGTCATTCGTTTTCATTTCCGGACTTACATTTCTTTATCGTTTTGCATATGACCTAAAGGAGCGGAGGATATAAGCCTTTGAGAGAACTTGTTTATAATGCATATTCTGAGGCCGATATAACAATTTCCCCCACTCTTCAAGTCCCTCATCGTACCTGACTGGATCGGATGAACGGTGGATACGAACTCCCTGCACTAACCGGTATTGGTCGTACGCGGCGCTCCAGTACAACTACATCACTTCTCAAGCTTTAAGTTAATAATGCAAGGAATAATATATAAATACAATTATTCTATTCAATCCCCATAATCCCAATGGAATCAAATAAACCACTTGGGCAACTTCCAAGACTGCCCCACAACGAAAAATGACCACAATCATGACTCCTACCACCAATACCTCACCACCAACCCCCATCAAAGACAGATCCAAAATCCCCATAAACCTAACCGGCGTCGCAAAAACCCTCCTAATCCCCCTCCTTGCTCGATCCTACGATAATACCCAGCCCAACCCAATCCTCGCCGACCCGCACGCACAAGAAGTCCTATCAAAACTCGACTTCGATACCAATGAAATGCCCACAACGACATTTCAGAATGCCGGTATATCTCTTCGAACAAAGCATTTCGATGATTGGACGTCGTCGTTTTTGGAATCGAATCCTAGCTCTACGGTGCTGCATTTAGCGTGTGGATTTGATAGTCGGATGCGAAGGGTTAATTGGGGTGAAGGGACGAGGTGGATTGATGTTGATTTGCCGGAGGTTATTAAGATTAGGAAGGAGGTTTTACCCTCTTCTATACCGGGGAAGAAGTATTCTTTATTAGGCGTTGATGTCCTTGATGAGAACTGGATGCGTGATCTTGATATCAGCGCTGGGCCGGTACTTGTTATAATGGAAGGCTTACTTTCCTATCTTCCCGAGAAAGAAGTGCAGGCTCTTTTAACGCGGATTTGTCAGACTTTCTCCTCTGGGGAAATTGTGTTTGAGTGTGTTAGTTCTGCCGTGGTCGATTGGCTTAATCGGGCGGAATCAATGAGAGCTGTCAGCAATACTGGTGCCGTGTTCAAGTCGTCTCTCGATGATCCGACTATATTGGAGGGTCTTCATCCAGGCCTTGAACTAGTCGAGAATGTTTCGTTATTAATGGCGCCGGGTACGGAGAAGTTCCCTTTCCTTGGTCGGGTGCGAATGTATGTTATTTCTTGGTTTCAAAGCGGGCGGGATTCAGCTCGATTTTTGCGGTTTCGATTTAGTCGGAGACTTGAAGATGGGAATGAGTGATAAGTAAAGCGAGTCTGTTCCAATTCATATCTCTGTCTGTTCTGTTCTGCTCTGCTCAACCAGGCCATTAATCATTAAGGATCCTGGTACTGTAAGATCCCGGGCATCCCATCATTATCTCATCTCATATATACAAGTCAAAATATCAAAATACAGAATAGCCACCGTCAGGCCCACTCCAACCAACCGGAACGCACAGTATCTTTCAAGCCAAAATCATCTGTCGAATAAGTTCCTGCATATCATCATTAATCCCCACACTCCCCAAATACCCCCTCACACCCCCAAACCTCTCCTTCAAAAACGCCATCGTATCGTCGACAAACCCTGGCGGACACCGCGTGTAATCCTCGCCCAGGCCCAGCGCCCGAATCTCCTTCATCCGCTCTTCGAATTCGGGGACGAGTTCTAGTTCCGAGCGGACGTAGTCGTCCGTTAGTGCGGGGAGGGGGATAGACGAGTCGCTGGCGAGGAGGAGGGCGAGGAGAATTATTAGACCCGTTCGGTCCTTGCCTTGTGTGCAGTGGATTAGGACGGGGTAGGTGGTTGATGAGGAGAGGAGGTCGAAGACGGCGCGGATCTCGGCGGTGCTGGATGTGAGGGTGTCTTGGGCTAGGCCTGTTAGGCCGCGGGGTTGCATTACTTGTTCGCCGATTAGGCGGACTGCGTCGGGGCGGTAGCCTGATATGGCGAGGCTGAGAACTTTTCTGTGGGGTGGGTTGGTTAGTATGTTGTGTCTGGGTAATTGTGTGTATTGAGATGGCATAATCGAGGAGATGTAGGTGAGTGGGTTGGTGGAATGCCGTGCAGTGCATTGCAGTGCGGGGAAGATTGGACGTACAGGTAGGTCATCCAGTCCAATTTGGATAATAAGGCGCGCTCAAAGCCCTTGCCTGTTAGACTGATGAGGGCGCGGTGTGAGTCTGGGATTTGAAGGAGGTGTTCTTCTGTGTCGAGGGGCACGGATGAAGGTGTGAAGTCGTTGTTGTTAGGGCCGTCTTGTGTGTCTTCGGAGGTGGCGTTCTCGGCGCGTCGTTTGCGGGTTGCCATTTGGTGTTCTGTTCTGCGGAAGACGAGGAGGATTAGTTCGGTGAAGCTGTGGAGAAGAATCAGAGGCAGAGTACGTACTGGGATCGTAAATCAATCACTGTTTTGATGTGTAGTTCCTCGGCCAGTCGGCGCTTATCTCGTTCGGAGGCATCGTCGAGCTATGACGATCAGCTGTCAGTCCAGCTTTGGCAGATCAGAGTAGAGCTATGTAGGGACTGGACTCACTCTTGCACTTCGGAATAAGACGCCTTCTTTTAAGATTCTGTGGTTCTGGGTTAGTTCTGAGCTCTGAGGTTCAGGGGGAGATAGGCGTACGAAGAACCGCAGAACTGGTTAATCGTTCTCCCGACGTCACGGAAGTTGATGATATTGTCAAAGGGCCGATCGGGCGAGTCGAGGTCGACACTGGACTGGCGAGCCATGGTTGGTATGTGATTATAATGTTGAACAAAGAACAAAACAAAACAAAAGAGAAAGACGCGATTGAATAGCGCGTGCAAATGGCGGTGGGGGGAAGTGGTAACGGTCACGTTGGGCAGCACAGACTCTCCCGTCACGACCCGCCTTGATTCTGGAGCTTTCAACTTCCAAGGTTTTCCCCAGATCCACCAGGGAGCTATGACCTAAATCGCCGTCATTGCATTGCATTCATCCATTGCATTGATCTACTCTGCGCACTCTCTACACATACTCCCCCCCGATTATTCTTCCACTTGGGCTGCAAATACCCCCAATCCACATCAAAATCAAACCCACTCCGATACTTCTCATACGCCACAAGTTCAACCCGATCCAACTGCGCCCCACCATCCGTCAATGCCCAAAGACTAACCGCCAACCGATTCTCCCCACGATTATTGATGATCCCCGGCGGGAAAGGGAATAGCGTCTGCGGCCCAATATGCGGCAGATAATGTCCAAACTGATACCCATTCATAAAGATCTGCACCACAGCCGATGTATTCGCCGCCGCCCCAAGCTGCAACCCAATCGGCACGTCCTAGATCTTTCTCCAGATCCAGCTTGAAAGTCGTCGTGTAGAAACGGCCCGCAGCATTAGACACGCCGTCCAGGGGTGATTCTTTGCCCGCGCTCTTGGGCACATTGTACCCCGGTAAATGCCAACCGAGACGCTCGCCGTAGAGACCACCTTCGTTCTGCGAGCCGCGGACAGGATCGATATTCGACTCGCCGCCGGCATTTCCTTGAATACGCCAGGATGTGAAGTTGCCGCCGACGAGTACTGCGCCTAGGATCCCGCGCGGGTTCTGCGTTCCGGCTGGCTTGACGTTATTCTCGTCGTGGCCGGTGTAATCCGTTACGATGGTGAGGACATTGTCCTTATCAACGAGGGTCGAGGTGTTGAATTCTAGCTCGGCAAATGTTGTTGCCAGACTCGGCGATCCTAGTGCGCCGCCCACATATTTTCCGTTTAACCAAGCGGCCCAGCCGGCGGCTACGCCGTTCTGCACGGTGATGTTTGCGCCAGTTGCGGTGCGTCCGTCGAAGCGGCCGCGGTAGAGCTTTGTGCCGGAGTGGTAGCCGTAGTCGCCGGAGTAGAGGACTGGGAGGGAGAGGGGTGCGACGGCGTTGACGGTCGTGGTCTTGTTGCAGATTGTCCAGCGGGAGTCGTCGTAGTTGCGCTGGATCTCGGGCAGAGTGTCCTGTGAGCGCCATGATTTGAGGGCTGGTAGGGAGACCTTCGCGTTCTCGGCGCCTGGTGCTGAGGCGATTAAGCTGCCGTAGGATGTCTTTCTGGTTGAGACGGACTTGCCGTTCCATTTGATTTTTGTGACTTTGGAAGATCCGGGGTAGACTCTGTTTTTTGTTAGCATTTTGCTGCAAATGCTACTTTGACGTGGAGAGAAGATAGATACTCACTCTATTGATGTCGTGTTCGCATTATCACCGATCAAGCTGACAGTATCCTTCTCGACAGATGCAGATCGAACCAAGTACGGTCCCAAGGCCAGAATCTGCTTACTTGGCGAAACATTCGGGTTGGAAGATGTTGGAATAGCAAAGAAGTTCCACGCCGTTTCTTTGTCAAGGAGGTAGACCAGGTTTCCATTAGAGAATTTGAGGACTGTCGATCCGTCACCTTGTGTGTAGGTATACTTGGTACCATACTCGGATGAAGAGGAGGTCACATTCGAGTTTCCATATGTCCGGAAGGTAAGTCCTTTAGCAGCGTTTTTGAATACGAATGTTCCTTGCTGGCCGATATTCAAGTAGAACACAATCACATCGACGTCAAGAGTTGCGTAGGTTAGGACCTCGGCAGATGAGTAGAGCAGGCTGGATGTCTTGCCGATTGTGTAGTCAGTCACTATGATCTTGCTTTGTCGACCAGCCAGCTCGATATCCGGGATCGTGATAGCACCTATTCAATCCAGTCAGTAGATATCCACAACACCTCCCCTCTCTCGCAATCACAGCACATACCCGCAGTAGTATTAACATTCAACGACGTAGTAGTAACATCACGAGACGAACTCTTCGAATGAGCAAGAACATAGAACCCAGCCTCCGTCTCCGGATTCCTCAACGCCCAAGTAAAAACACTCGCATCACTCGTATACCCAGTCCCATTCCCCTCCATCTCCGTCATCAACAAATCCCCCGAAACCCGCGTAAACAGCCCCAAAAGCTTCGTCTGCTTAAGTTTGTCCCTAACCTCCCTCGTCTCCCTCAACGGCGCCGCATAATCATACGAAGTATACACAACCGGCGTCGCCGAATGGCCCCAATTCGTCCCGCCGAAAACCATATACAGATTCTGCAGCGTAACGCGAGACCCGATGTTATTCTTATAATACACGTCCGCGAACTCGGGAGACTGTTCCGCCGCACAGGTATCATAGAAATACCCACCCCAGGGCTGGAACCAACCGCCTTCAAATTCGGGCAGATATTCCGGCTGCGTGTAGGAGTAGTTCTGGAACCATTGGTAATAAGTGCGGACGAGGTTAAAGCCTGAGTCCGGGTTTGTGCAGGATAGACCACCCGGGTAACTATCCAGTCCGTAGACATTGACCGCGCCGCCGACATCCTGGTAATCGGTTGACCAGCTCATGGACCGCATACCCTTCTCATTATGCGAGCTTGGGACCACGATTCCAGCCTCGCTGAATGCGTCGGCGATTTGCTCCATGTATTTGACCAGCGTGTTGTCTGCGCTGTGCGTCGTCTCTTGCAGTTCGTTCTCGTGCTGGTTCAGAATGACGGGCCCGCCATTCGTGATCTGGTTCTTCGCGATTATTTCGCCGATCTTGATTATCCAGGGGTACCATTTTGAGTAGTATGATTCGGCGCTTGTTCGTTCACTGCCCATTTGTCCGTTTGCTGCCCAGAGCGCGAAGCCACCGGCCGAGGTCTCTGCGTTCACGTAGGGTCCTGCGCGGGCTATGACGTATAGACCGGCTTGTTTTGCGTAGTCGAAGACGCGCTGGATATCGTGGGCGCCGTTTTCAAAGTCAAAGACATCTTCCGAGGCGGAGTGGAAGCTCCAGAAGAAATAGACTGGGGGTTCAGGTTAGCAATGTCTTGACTTGAGTGAGGTGTGTTAGTTAGGGTTGACATACTCGAAACAGCATTGAACCCATTCGAGCGAAGTTTTTGAAAAACGTCCAGCCATAGTTCCGGCACCGGGAGACGCTGGTAGTGGAATTCGCCGGAGTATATGAAGACTCGTTCGCCTTTTACTGAGAGACTGTATTTGTCCCAGGTGACGTCTGTTGTTTTTCCGTTGTCGGTTGCTGAGACTTGGATGAGGTTGCTCAGGCCAAGAAGGAGGACTGAGAAGAGTCCGGATAGACGCATGCTGGGCTCGAGCTGGGACCTACGAAGAGGTCGGATGGTCACTTCAGCGAATTTCCTCGGGTGCTTCTCCCATTGCTATTATATTAGTCGCATATAGCGTGTCCATGGTGTATAGGGTTCGGTCTTCGCGGTAGTTATACCCCGGACATCGTCCGGATTGGTGGATGTTTTCGAGCGGCCGATCGCGCTTTGGGCAATTTTCCAGGGGAATGCGGGGGTTGGCAGGTGGGGTTGTGAGCACGAGTACGAATTGTTAGTTCAAGTTGCTAGTAAAGTGCTATTAGTTGGGGTAAAGGAAATTACATGCAGGTACTATGGTGTAGTACCTGATCCAGTGGCGCCATCTGCAAGCGAGGGAACGAGCGGAAGCTATACTTCGATCGTCACGGCGAAGAACAGAGCAGTGTCTCGCCTACTAGTTCAATCGGGGAATTGAGGTAAATGAATAATTTTGGAAATCATGAAATAAAAATACATAATTGAATTCGCGCAAACTTCTGATAAGTAAAATTTCAAATTGGTCAACGAATCACGTATTTTCAGCAGAGCATGAGCATGAACATAAGCATAAGCATAAGCATAACAGTCGTGTATGTGGTAGTTGTAGTTAGTTTAATCCAGTCCAACGCCTTTGCGTAAAGTAAATTCCGTCGAATCGAATTGTTGTCCCTGTCCCTGTCCCTGTCCCACCATAGTGCACTGCACTGAAACACCGGCGTAATTCCGTATTAATAAAATCAAGTGAAAAAAAAAGGTATTGAGCGGGAAGAAACGAATGGAGGATCCCGTACATGGGAAGAAAAACAAACAAACATAGATTACAAGAAGACCCGGATGGAAGATTCCATTCAGATCAAATCACAGATCTTCAGAAAATCGAGATTCCCGACCTGTACTGGCTGTTTGGCCCAGGATAGGCGGGGCAGGAAGACCCTGCTCAGTAGCGCTGTGTCGCAGAGTATGAAGACCCTCCCCCGTTCCGGAAACTTTCGTCTCGGAGTTTTGGCGGGAGTGCCCGCCGCCATTGGTGAATCCGTTTGTCTTGGAGTCTGACGAGTTGCGGGAGAGTTTCATGAAGCTTTTGCGAAGACGCTGTCTCTTTGAACTACCGTTGGCGTTGGCGTTGCCATTGTGCTGAGGCGAGCTGGAAATCGAATCACCACCCGTACCACCGGTAGTAGATTTCGTCATTTCGAGAAATGTGCCTCCGTTGTGACTAGGCGGACTTTGGTCCAGCTCATTCCCATCCCCGCTATGAGGAAGAATGGGATGGGAGCTCAAAGCCGCCCCACGACTTTCACTCCGTTGACCGGTCAGTGCTGCACCCCCAGTAAAGCCAATTTCGCTGGTGCTTTTGAAGTCCGGGCCTGGCTGGTGCGGGTAGACGGGGACCGGGCCGCTGCTTCGACGGACAAGTCGGTCTCTGAACCAGTTCTTGAGTTTGGAATCGGCCCGTGGGCTTGTGATAGGTCGCACGGTGTGCATGTCGCTTATTCCTGCGGTAGCGGCTGCGTCGCGTTGGGGGATGCCTGCGTATGCCTCAGATGTCTCAGAGGGTCCGGTGGTTACTAGTCGGACTGGTGCTGCGACTGGGGCGGCTGGACCGGCGGCAAAAACGGTTGAAGGGCCGTGGTCTTCGACGGTGGATATCCTGGATGCTGCGGCGTTGTCTGAAGCAATGGATACGTCTGCAGATTGATCCTCGGACATGGCCTCGCGCTCGTCATGGGTAGCTGGCTCGGCGACTGCTGCAACAGCCGGGGCCTCTGCAACAGCCGGTGCTTCCTCGACTGCTGGTTGTGCCTCGACGGCTGGTGTTTCCTCGACAGCTGGCACTTCAACGGTAGGAATGGGTTCCTGTACAACCTCGTCCGCCTGCTCTTCAGACTTCTCGCCACGAGTCCGCTTGCTCTTCTTTCTGAACAGCAACAAGCTCAAGCCCTTGAGCTGGCGCTTCTCGGAACGCGTCTTGTCGTCTCCTGAATGATGAATTAGCATACGTCGAGGTTCAAGGGAGGACAAACACTAACCCATTTCTCCGCCAAGAGCACGCAAAGAAGCTTCACGCTCCTTCTCAATCGCAGCCTGTCTCTGGTTCTCCTCCGCGTCAAGACGGGCCTCAAGCTCCTGCGCCCGGCGCTGTTCAGCCTGCTCAGTAATCTCATCCAAAGCCGGCTGAACACGGGATCGAGCAACAGCTTCGATATCAGCCATATCCATATACTGATGACCGCCAATATTGACTTGGCCGTCTCGGGTCCGACTCGCCTCAGCGACCTCAGCCTCCTGACGAGCTCGTTCGCGCGCCGCCTCCTCCCACTGCTTCTGAACAGACGGCGGCGCACGACCGGTATTGTTGTACAACTTCATTTCCATGTCCAGGATAGTCGCATCCACATTCCGCCGCGCAGCTTCCATGAGCAGATCACGATCCTTCTGCCTTTGCACATCAACACGATCAACCTTTGACCGCAGACTGGTCATCTGATTACGTATCTGCCTCGACTGCTCCGCATCCACCTGGGACGGATCCGCATCACTAGACGTCCTCTTCCGCCTGGTCGTCAACCGCGACCGCTGAGGCTGAGGCGCAGTCCCATAATACTGCTGCATCTCCGCATTCTCATCCCTCATCCGAGCCAGTTTCTCTGCCGCCCGCTTCTGAGCCGCTTCCTGCAGGGTTAGGGCCCTGTGAGCTGTACTATCCATAGCCCCGCTAACAGTCTTGCGATACTGCAGGCGATTCTGACCTTCCTGCGCGGCGTAGATTGCCGGGTCGACGGTTGCACTTCCGGATTCGCCCTTCGGCCCCGAGGCATCGTACATGTTCTTTGCCATGACGAGCGCAGCGGCGTGCAGCGAGTTCCGGCGATTCCGCGCTTCGACTTCGCTCGCGACAGGCGGGGAGGACGTGTACATTCGAGCATTGGTGTGCGCGTGCTGAATCCGACTCGCCTCCATCGCAGGGTCGATGTGGTCTAGTGGTCCATCGGGGTCGCCCTTTGTGCGATGCGATGCGCCCGCGGCACGGAGCGCATAGGGTGTATCGGCAGACTGGACTGGTTCGCTTGGGGCTGAGTCCGCCCGTTTCCGGTTGTAGGCTCCAGTCGCTGCGTGGCGCGCCTTATCCTGGGCGTGGCCGCCGACGGCAGCGCGGGTGGTGTCCAGGGTGGAAATGTCGGGTTTATAGCTCTGGGTTGGGGAGAGGGTTGATGAGGCGCGCTGTTCGCGGACGGCGATGATCGCGGCGCCTAGGCCTGCTGCGCTGTAGCCGGTGCTGGGTTGGGGGAATTCGGGCGGAACGAAGTCCCGGACGGACCAGGCGGCTTTTTCGGCATCTGTGAAGCGGTCCGGGGGTGTCCATACTTGAATTGGTTTTTGGTTTGCGTGGGCTAGGGCTGCACCGGCGGATGCTGCGCTTAGATTTGCGGCGCCAGTTGTTGTGTTTGGATCTGGTGTGGGCATTGTTAGCTTCGTTGATCTTATTCCGGTGATGCGCGGGGCAAGGGGAGGGGAGGGGAGAGTGTATGCTTACTTAGATATTGGGGTGCCGGGGTGGGGACGGTAAGGGAGGCCTTGCGTCGAGGATGTGTCGCATAGAGAGCTGCTGTGGCGGCTGTTTCAGGCACGGGGTTAGCGAACAGTGCATCGTATTTCTGATCTCACATGTGCGATGATCAGAGGGATCTTACCATCATCAGCCAACCTGGCGGACCTTGGACCCGGCATTTGTGCAGTAGCCATGCCGGGAACTGCAAAGGGATGGAGTCGAGGATGGACCAGCAGAAGAGAGTGGCAGTAGAAGAGAATGAAAAGAGGGGGGGGGGGAATCAAGGTTTAATTAACTTGACTTCAGTCAAGTCCGAGTCAAGGCCAAGTTCAAGTCAAAGTCAAGTTCGAAGTCCCCCCATAAAATGAAGTTGGAATGGAAGCCCGGAAGCTTCTTGGACCCCGTGACGTCGTCGGCTGAAGAAAAGATCCGCTCATTGCATCATCCCCTACAATTCTCAATCGATGAATCAATGAGCGGCCTCAAAGCGGAGCTCTTGTGGGTCGTGGGCTGCGCTGATCTGGGTTTAGCTGCTTTTAACCTTCAATCCCATCCGCATTCGATCGGTTCCTCGTGGTGTGGGGATGGCCTTGGAAGAGACACGGGGATTGACATCGGCGAACCTGGTGACTTGGCGGCGTTGACGATCTCGCGAGAACTTTATCTGGGGTATAACAGCTGGGTAAATCTGGGGTCAGATCGATTTTAACAGCAGACATCCCACTGTCCATCACCCTGGAATTTCCCATGTGTCCGCTTGAACTGTCCTGTCGCTGCGACTGATGACGCTCGACACCCCGAATCGGGTAGGGTTACAACCGGGATGCGAGCTCCTCCGACATTTCTTTTTCGTTGACTAGCTCACTCATAAACTAGTCAAACTAGGTGATGGGGAGGATCCACTAGCTCCACTTGAGCTGGTTCCAAAAATCGGGTCCTGTAGGGTCGGTGAACGGTGGGGATCATTCTGGGTGGAGCGTTCAATATGATCAGACCTGTCCTCCGTCACTCCCGTCCATAGAATTTAGATGTACAGCGCTTCACGGAGTATACGAGTATTTCCTGCTCCTGAGTACTCGTTGCGGAATTAGGGACTGCTTTCTTTATAGTGAGATACCAGTGTACACCAGAGTATTTCACTTTAGTAGGAAACATTTTGATTATGTAAACCAAGCTTCAACTAGACTACAGTACTCATGTTTCCGTAGCTCTTGGCTAGTACTAGTACTCTTCTATGCCGTCTACATTGACAATACTCTAGGGGAACTCTCTCTCTCTCCTATTCATCCCCCGTGAGCCACTTCCTATGGTTCGTTAGAACTTCTCTTTCCGCCCAAAATGTCAGAGCCAGGTGATTTTGACCACCTATGTGGGACCGTCGTCGAATTTAAAGACCCTGACCCTCACCAATCTCACCGATGGCAACTTCTCGGAATTCTAACTTGGAGCTACGAGAGATTCACCAGGGAAGGACTTCGCAAAATTCAAGGGGCCTCCTACTCTGTCTTGAAGTTTTCCTGTCAAACTGCCGACGCCACTGCGGAAAAAGCGATAATGAGAATTTACGTCCAAATTCCGCTCATTGGAACAGGCAACGCTCCTGCTACTACTTGACGGCTCCAGGCTATCCCCTTACATACACACAGGGAAGAAACCACACTCGAATTTTTCGACAGAAAGCAATACAGACTCGTCCCGTAACTACTCAGCCACATGCAAACCAACCAAGATAATGGGGGACCCGGTGGTTACATCAATTATCTGGTTTGGGAACGTGGGCCGGGGAAGCCTCTTACTCCAGAGTAGTATTGGAGATTCAACAAGACTCAGTGGGATTTCATTCGAAAAAGATTTAAGATTTTGTGGGGGTATGTTCTTATTGCATGTCTAATCTATCTTTCCTGAAGATTTGCTAATCCGGCCATTCAATCTATCTAGATCAGTTCGCACCTATGGTTGGTTGCCGGCATTTCCGGAAATGCACAAGATGATCTTCGATGAAGAAACACAAACTCTGTATGAGATCTGTCTGAAACCCGAGTCAATCAGTACTAATCTATCGATACCCGTATGTGTGGCTTTCAAGATGACCAGCCAACCCCTCACCCAGCAACCTTTCTCGACAAGAACCTTTGCACTTGGGGGTTTGTTAAGTGCTAAGAAGATGACACCGGTGAAAATATTTCTGGCGGGGGTGTCTGGTGATGGGCGGAATATCATCAATCTGCTTCCAGTTTGCCAAGTGGGTTTATACCAGTACTTCTTTATTTAACAAAGACTATATAAAATGGGAGGTGATCAAGCGCGCTGATAATCTATGAACCTTGACTGACACCACCGCGCAGGTGGGTCCTAGAGACCTTTTGTGGAGTGTCCGAGTCCAATATGATTGGACTATCCTCAGCTGTCGCTCCAGTCCATTGAATCTACATCATGTATACTTCTACTGAGTTCTGGGAGATGGTTTTCAGCAATTTTGTATTTGGATACATTCCTATAGAAATTTAGTTGTAACAGTCACCCTATTAGAGGGATGACGAGATAATCACAGTAACAGTCAAGTGTAATTCCAAAACGGGAAGGAGGTCCTCCATTCACTACAAACGCTCCCAACCACAAGAATACCACAAACGCAAGCAAAATTAAAAGAAAACAGCCCTGAGCTTGCTTCGATCCCTCACCCTGAAGCCAAAAAAAAAAAGTAAAAAAAAAAAAAGCTGTCATTAGAAAGATAGAGGCGGTGGGCGTGCCAAGCCTCTCACCGTCTGCCTACCTTCCCCCCGGCTGGGAGCGGCGGCCGTTGCACTTGACCATCCGGGGGCTACGCAGACGGATAGACTTAGATTTTGGTTTTAGCGTGGCTCTGAGAGATCTCTGTTATTATCAATGGTCCTCAAGACGTCACGATCGTCTAAGCTTTTGGCATACGGGATAGATCAGATATTGGTCGCCCAGATATATCTTTGTGCCCTGAGTTTCCGGTAAATTTTGCAAAAGCTCTGATGCTAGTATCGTCCAAACCTTGGAAGTGGTGATTCTTTGGGGGGGTTTTGAGAACTTCGAATACGTGCTCAGGTGCTTGTTACTGAGATGAAAGACCGAAATTGATGCTAGCTAATTAGCGGGTTATTAGCAATACCCGAGGTAGAGCACTAGGGCACATGCAGAGGACTCGACTGGTGTGAGGAGCTTAAGCCTCACAAATCAAGTTACGAAGATCAAGTAAGGTGTGGTAGCAGACAACGAAAGTTGAAGTAATTAGATTAAGGTGAAGAAGAAGACGGGATGGAACTAAGTACGGATAGTGCCGGAGTGAATGCCATCTGGCTAGGGCACCAAGCCATAGTTAGTTAACAGAAGTAACAACCATCCAGTTCGTTACAAGTGGTTCTTTCTTAGTTTGAAGATTAACACTAACTCAGTGCTGGTATCCTTCGCATTTGTATCATCTCCCATGTAAGTTTTTATTGGCCAAAAAAAGAGACTCACAAATTGAGTCGTCGCGGGATATTTTAGCTTTGTGGTAAGCAAGATGACAGAATTTTACCTTTATCAAGACTTCAATTTCAATCTGATGTCTATGCAGACGTTTCTATCTCTAGGCCAATAGTTATGCGGGGCATATCAGAGTTCAGGCATGTCTATCGAGGCATACAAGATGACAAAAGGTACATCGCATATCAGGCGAACTTGGCGGAAACCTGAAATACGTCACAAATAACCCATCGGACCCAAGCGTATGTATTTGCCTAAAGGAGCAGCTGGTTTCGCAACCTGGGGCTAAAAACCTGCTGGCATCGGCAGCCGTTGACTGCGGTGACTGGTGGAGCATCTCACATACCATAATAGGACTAGCACAGACTGAAACGAGCCGCTCGCTAAGACACTCTAACAGGAAACGTTGTGCAGATTTTCGGCATTTATTGACGACGTGTGACTGAATTTCGCTTTTTTTTGCCAAGTCTTTGGTCACCGGCTTACCGATACGAGGGGTATCAAGGGTTGTGGGGTGCGATACGCAGCTGCTCACTTCAAGAAAGGTATAAAGAGGGGCTTAGATTCTACTTAGACTCCAGGAATATCCATGTTTTTCAGGTTTGAATATTTGCGGGTGATCATTTCGTGGGCTACGAAACCTCCGAGTCTATCTTGGCGATTTCTCTATGCTTTATCTCCATAGAACACCACCAATTCTATCCCTTTGCCTCTGCCCATGATCTCGTGTGAGTTGAAAATTTGAGATAGGCAAGCATTTCACACAGGGCCATGCCTGGTACCCCTCGCTGATGCAATGGCTTTCCTTTGAAATCACTTGCCATTTACCTCTAAATTGGTCAGATCCTGAGCAAGCTCCAACGCCATGTCAATACCTGCACTCTCACTTATACCCTTCAGTCGCTCGATGACCCATTTACGATCACCATTACTTATGACAGGCGATTTTCCAACCGTGTAAAGGTGCCAGACTAGCATGTACCCACCAGAGACATTTGCTTGCGGGGGCTCTTCGAAATATTGATGCTGTCCTGGTGCAAACACCAGGCCCAGACCTTGTGGAATGCTGGACAAAATATCTTCTCCTCGTTGCGATATGACGTGAGCCGCATAGTGCAACTTTGATTTCAGCGTCGCGCTGTCCTGCCCAGAAAGAGGACCAGAGCCATCAAGGTCCGAGGTGATAATCTTGTTTATAAGCCAGCATATAATCTCGCAAACAATAATCTCGACCATGCGTGAGTTGTTCCAAAGTCTGATTGAAAAAGCTGTCTGATATAGATCATATCGACCCCTAAAAGAGATAAACGCCGAGCCAGCCTTAGGCTCTTGAATTGATGTGTATGGCTGTTGAACAGCCAAAATATCAACGGCTGTCTTGAAATTTGCCTGAAGCGCAATCGACTGTTCTAGAAAATCGGACCAAGATATGGGCAAAGCGACGCCCTTATTCTTCGCCACGACGCCCGCGAAGAGCGTTGCACATCGCGAGCTGAGAATCCCAAGTATCCAGAACGCATCGGTCGGTTCGGTATATTTGTTTGCCTCTTCCTGCAGCTCGCGCAGATCATCCGGGAATGGCTGTATACTTTGAATACAAGCAGCACACATATCCGCACGCACCTGGTTGAACATAAAGATCGACACCCTACTAGAAAATTGTGATTTACCCCGTGCAATAACCAACGAGGCAGCACCCTTGACATGTCGAACCCACGATTCAAAATTCGACACGTGCTCAAAGACGCCGAGCGAGATGACCGACATCAATGTGCTATCCTTGACGGACTCGGTCGGCGAGGCGATGGCATTGTTCACGAGGCGGATTGCTTCGGAGTATTTGGCGCGCGCGTGGTGGGTGAGCTCAGGCTGTCGAGATGACAGTGCGACGAGACCTACAGCTGCCATACTGGTGATGAGAGTTGGATGCTCGGAATCAGGACTGTAGACTGTCGGGATATAGTTGAGATAACCGCGTGTCGGGACCCGGCCGCCCGCCACGAAGTCTTGGAGGAAATAGTTCACGCCTATCTCGTCTAGACTGGGGTCCGGGCCCCGGGCAGGTGGAGATGAATGAGGTGAGTGGGCAACCGTAGGAGTAAGCTTGCTCAAACTGGTACCATTTTCTCTCGGACTCTTCTTGGACCGCTTGATGGTATGGCTTGTTTGGTCTCGGAAGACTAGGTCCCACTCATCACGGTAGCCCTGGCATGTTTCCCGAGTGCGGATGCACTGGCCACATTGCGGGGACTTTTTATCGCACTTATTGTCATAATAGAGCAAGGTCAGTGTCTGTCGTCCATATTAAAATGTCGCTGAAATAGGAATGATCTACCTACACGTCTTTTGACGGCTCGACAGTTACCGCAGCTCCTGGATGCTCGAGCTCGAGGCGGTGATGACATATTGAGGCGGGCGGGTATTCATGCAAGCAAGGTAGTTCAATTTGTGACCAGGTCAGGATTGGGTTGGGCTTGAAAAATAACTTGAGGCGTGGAATACAAAAGGGGGCTTCTATATTTCAAGATTGCTGTACTTCAGCCCGGCTGAAAGTAGCTGAAACGAAGGACTAAATTAGCCTTGGGGGCAAGCTACTATCGTCAGCCTCTGAGAATGCTTAATCGACTTCAACGAATGTTGGCAAATCTCCAAGCGAACGTGGGGTCGGAGTGAAGATGTTCGCAAGAGGCCCAAAGTTCCAAATGGCCCCCACCCGGCCCCGCCGAGCTGACAAAGGGAACAAGTGCGAGGCATTTTTGGTGGGAACAAGCCTCCTGCTCACGGATCTGCAGCTGTTTACCAAGACGGGTATGCGAAACGATCTGTTTGGTCACAGCCACGCCTTAAGGCTGAAGGTTCAACGTGATTATTGGCTGAGATATTTCTTTTTGCGGGGCTTATTTTCTCTACGCTAATCCTATTCGGGTATACTGAACGCTCTACCAATCAGCGTAGAGAATTCTCGGGATTAGAGATTGATGGCCGCCAACAAGCCTCGTAAAGGCTTGAGCGAGATGCAGATTAGCGTCATGGCGCAGTGTACTCAAAATAGAAGATTTCCCTTCTCATGAACATAAAAGGTCCTTGATTTTCCGCGTGCTGAAGAGAGCATACGCCAAGCAGTTCTCTTCATTCATCAATTTACCTGAATCCATTCACTTCCGACCACTTCTATACCTCCGTTCATCCACCTTGGTTCCAACACTTCCTTGCAGCACTTTTCCCTATCGGCAGCATAATGGGCAAAATCAACTACGCTACCGGAATTGCTATTCTCCAATTTATCATTTATCCATTTGTCTTCGCCGCGTCCTTATTCGTCTGGAAACGAACAGGATGGAGAGTTGGCAGCAAGATCTGGCGTTATCCCGCCGTTCTCTCTTTACTGAGAATCGCCGGTAGCATCTCTACTTTTATTGCAATCGATCATAACTCTACGCAAGTTCAAATTGCTATTGCAGTGTGCCAGCTGATCGGAATTGCACCTTTGGTACTTACTTACGTGGGAATATTGCGTCAAATGTGAGTTGAAAGATTGCGGAACTCTGCGACTCGTGGTAACCTGAAACTAACAATCATCAACATTAGTGATTTTGAACAGAAGATGCCCCCAAGGCGCCTCACAATCGTAACTCTGGTCGCCCTCATCGGCTTGATTCTCGCTATCGCTGGAGTCTCCACTGCCAAAACCTCCCCAGGCGAAACTTACAAGCCCGGGACACTCGTCAAGGTAGCGATGGCTATCTTCCTCGTTATATTCGCCGCCACGATGCTTTTGAGCGTTTGGCTCTTCTATTCGCTCTCCTTTTCTCTGTTACGATTCCAGAAGAAGTTGTTCCTCGCCATCGCCCTATCTGCTCCTTTCTTGGTGGTCCGAATGGTCTACTCTGCGCTCTCAGACTTCACTACCATCAAGGAATTTGCACTTGGCCAAAACGAGACTGTCTACCTCTGCATGTCTGTATTAGAAGAAATCGTTGCCAACATCATTGTCCTGAGCTTTGGTATCTCGGCTGTCCTCCAGCCAGACTTTGTGAAGCTTAATGCGGAGCAAATGAAGGAGAGAGATCAACAGCACCCGGACGAGGGAAAGCCTCTTAGTGGGCAAGACTACAACACCGCTTACAATGGAGCCAATGCAGCTTACAACTCGGCCATCCACGGAGCTCAGAACACTGCCTACAATCCTGCCTACCCTGGAGCTCAGCATAACACTGCTTATGACCCAGTTTATAACGGAGCTCCAGCTCCTGCTTATCATGGAGCTCAGAACGTTTAGCCGGTTCGTGAGACACGGCAAGGTCTTTTGCTGCTTGCCTATGTTAATATTAAAACTATTCGGACCCGGTGAGGTCTTTGGGTTTCTATTCAGACATCTTCATGTGAAGCGTTTTGTTCGGTGTATTGAGGTATTTTGTGATTTATATTATATTCGAGTTTTGAAGGGCATGAAAATGATGTTCCACTTCCAAAGTTGACGTTCAAGTTTTTATACCTACCTAGTAGTAACTAAATGTGGCAACTTGAATCAGTAGTAGTAGTAGTAGTAGTAGTAGTAGTAGTAGTAGTAGGGCTGGGGCTGGAATTCATGTGATAAAGGCTAAACGATTACGAAATTAATAGAGCAAGGTGAGGATATGTCACCAAATCTCCAACATGTAGTTGGTCGATTAGCACAAGGATAAGTTCAGATGGCAGAAGAAATCCGATTCCTACAACAAACAATCAATGGTCAACTTCCAAAAATACCTTCTACTGCCTGACACTTTCTAAAACAAGTCAGAAAATCCGGTTCGTCAACAACAAAAGATGCAGATCGAAAGATTTCAAAGTAAAAATCTGAGGAGCATAAGAAACAAGTAAAAAAAGGAGTGGGATCAGTCACTTTACATAGGAAAAAATCCCTGAGCTGGAGCCAGCAAGCGATAAGCCGGTTTGGTCTCAATGGCCAATTATTACTAGTATAACAACTGATATAGTCTTATTAATTCTTATCATCGGGATTTATAACTTCTTCCTGCCCAGATGGGGTGCCTCGAGGGGCCTTTCCCCATCTTCCTTGGTGTCGAAACCCCCCATTTTTGATTTTATTTCTTCCATATCTGAGTCTATCACTTTTTTCCTTCCCTCTTGACACTTGTCTCTCGCATCATGGTATAGAGAATGTCGGACAAGATAAATGTTGAACCTTTTCTCGCACAATCGCAAAAGGGCACCGTTCAGTACAACTTAAAAGATCAGTTTTACAAATTACACTAACAGACCTCGGGAATAAGTGCATTCAACCAAGACAAGCGATCAGATGATGGTGCTCAGATCGGGCTCATTGCCCAGGGGTGTGAACACTTAAGATTATATATTAGTGAGCAGTACTAGTACTAGTAGAACGGAAGGGAAATGCCAACTTGAAGTGTTGGAAACATGATCTAGTATATATCCAATCTATAGGAATTTCGAAACCATGATTTCTTTACCAATCATCTCTAATTCGCTGTATTAATTTGTCTATCCGAGCCACGTACTGCTCCTGTTTGTGCTGATATCATGATGTCCGTGCGGCCCCGCAAAACGGATCTCTCCGAAGCTTGGCCTCTTCCACTTTTCCACTCGACCAACAATGGGTCGGAATTCACAATTTCGACCGGATCGCGAGCCATTACAGGATCATCCAGCCCTAGAGCTTCGTCGAAGTCATGTCTCTGGTCCATTCTCATTCCTGAATCCCACCTGGGCCTGGTACGCGCCCACTACCGACAGCCAGGGGGGGTAAGACGTCAGAACCCAGACCCAGCCCCTCTCCTCCAGCACACGTTCAGCATCTCTGGCGTTCTCGCGATAATCGCAAGGGGCGCCATGCATTACGTGTCGACTATCGCATATCTCCACGTGAATCGGAGTTTGTGTCCCCACCGCCAACCTCCACTTGGCAGGCGGTTGCAAGGGGTATTCTCCGCATGGCAACCCACGCGCCTTATTGGGATGTATCTTACCTGGTCGCGGTAACATTCACTCTCGGGTCGGTAATCTGGATCATCAATGCATTTTTCGTGTGGTTGCCTCTCGCAGACCCGACAACTGAGTTTCCCGGAGAGTCTCTAAAGGGTGGGGGTATCAGTGCGTTGATTGGTGCAACTGTCTTCGAGATCGGGAGCGTGCTTCTGCTACTGGAGGCAGTCAATGCAAACCAAACAGGCTGTTTCGGCTGGGCGCTTGAAACGGAGTTGAAGAAGGCTGAGAGTAATGCATCGCAATCTGTTACAGCCACTGAAATCAAGCCCACCCCGCTTGAATGTCGTCACCACCATGCGAACAAGAAAAATCTCGTCGGAGCAGGAAGACATTTAGATCGACATATTTCTCACGATGCTGACGCTGGATATACGACCTCATCCCCGACTACTGGTCAATCATTCCGCTGGATACCATCGTGGTCGGAACTCAAGTCGCATTACATACATGAGCTGGGATTCCTTGCATCTCTTGTGCAATTTATTGCGGCTACAATCTTCTGGATCGCCGGATTCACTGGAATGCCTGGTATCAACAACCATTTGAGTCAAGGGCTTGCAGATGGAGTGTACTGGGTCCCTCAAATAGTTGGTGGGATAGGGTTCATCACAAGTGGCCTACTGTTCACTTTGGAAACCCAGGAAAAGTGGTACAAACCAGCATTCCATGTGTTAGGATGGCATATTGGTGCTTGGAACTTTATCGGGGGTATTGGATTTACTCTTTGCGGTGCGCTGGGCCCAGCGATTGGTCATCATGGTATTGAATACCAGGCGACGCTGGCTACATTCTGGGGATCGTGGGCCTTCATGATTGGGTCTACAATTCAATGGTTTGAAAGCTTACAGAAACATCCGATTGAGAAGAAAGGGAATCCCAAGATAGCACCTTCTGATGAGAATGGTCAATAGGATCGTGAATACCTCTTCGAGATCATTTCTAGTTCATGATTCAAAGAACTTTCAACTTGTACTCAGTTCCTCCGTTTCAGGGCAAACGAAACCACCCAACCAACTTGAAGAAATCACTTGTACATGCAAATCAATTGGTCACTTGCTCAATGTCACAACACTCCACGATTAGTCGCCCCCCCCTAAAGGCTTTCTCGCAAAATTGGACACCGCGAAGCGATACCTTAACCACCCCAGGCCTGTATTATCCATAGTGAAAAGAGAACCTATTCGAGTGATGGCGATATCGTCGCAGATAGAGTGAAATGACGCCTGTCTCGGCTGCTTTTCTCTCCCGACAGCGCATGTGGCATCGACATTCGCATGAATTCGCAACCACACCCTTTCATGAGCCAGTGTAGTCTCAGCCTTGACGGAGCCCTTCGACTGGACAGACTAGTCCTGCGAAACGGGATGCCCTTCCTTCCAGCCAATAACATCTCCAACGGGAGCAATGTTCAAATCATCAACATAAACGAGCTTCGTCTGGCACGTATTCTTGTGGATGCCAACATATGCGCTCTGGCTGCAGAAAAGAGAAGCTCCTGCCCTGTCTCCATCATTCATACGAGACAAATTAACGCACAAGGTAGCAGTACATTTCGGTCCAATGGTACGATGGGTAAGGGTGTTTCCCTCCAGGAAGAGGCAGTCCGTTATGGTGGCTGTCTTGAGCAAGAGCTGGCCTTATCGAGTACTCCACTTCGAATTATCTGGGCTCTGGTTCCATTGCCAGCGGTGATCCAACTGGTCTTCACCAAATGAGTATTTCAGATGAAAATATGGGTGATATTACTATGTACAGAATCCTCGGGTCTAGACGCAGCAAAATTCTGTATTTCAAGACCGGTGATTCACTATCGGGGCAGAGTTGATAAGAAATAATTAGATTTTTGAAAAATCAATGCAACTCCACATAAAATGAATCAACACAGTCAAAATAATACTAGCTCAGAGGTGTTTAGTACCTCAAGTACCTCGCACTTCACCTTGCCTGCTACATAAAAGAGGCCCCCCTAAGACCGGGTTATGAGTCTCAAAGAAAGCTCATGAGTATCAAAAAACTCAAAGAAAATAGCATTTGCGACTGAACCCGACTAAATCCACCATTTGACTCCACATTGGCATCAAAATTGACAGTGATATGTATCTTCCAATCTGAATAGAAAAATTTCGCCTAGTCCGATTGATGAACTTTCTTTTCAGCGGCAGCAAGACTAGCAGCCAAATCCTCATCAGGGTTCTCCTTGTATTCTGGTGGAGCACACTCTTTCTCATAATTTGTGATCAAGTCGTCTTTGCTGTCGTCAAGACATTTTTCTTCGTCGTTTTTCATCAAGTAGTCTTTGTTACTGCCCAGCTCGTCTCCTTGACGTCCGGAATTCCGGGTACGGCAACAACAACTGATACCCAGGATGAAGGTGAAAAGCCATAACAACATGTTGATCAGGTCAATCCAGACAGCAGAGCGCATTCGAGGAATGGACGAACTGGCATGCTTGTAGTTCTCGTCTAGCGTGCCGGAGATGTAGATATTTCCGAAAACACCCGTTTGGGCGAGCCAGAAGACAAATAAAATCCCATCCCAAGTTGACCACGCAGCGTGGATGACAGGAATAAAGAAATACACAACGCAGGTGATGGCAGATAAGGCGACAACTAATTCAGCATACACCCACTCCGCTGGGGCGGTGTTGTTTGTGTTTGTCGCATGGGCTAGATCGATGCCGTACAGGACGGCAACGATCATAGCGAAGAGAAATTGCACAGGGCGGAGAACAAGGGATATGCGGCCACGGACTCCACTTTTGAGCCAGTACCGGCCAAGTATGATATCGACTTGCTTGGGCATTTTGGGATAGGGGGGTAGGATAGTGAGAAGCGGGATGGAGAAATGCTGAGCGGAGGATTGAACAGAAATGGTTTTATTGCGAGCTTATATTAGTTAGCTTTGTGCATGCAAATCTTGCCGCCTATCTTTTCAATTTGACCTTCCTAGCAAGGTTCTCGCAACCATGGAATAAATCTAAATTTCTATAAATATGTGTCAACGATACATATTTACTCTTCGCCCTTTCAACCAGGTGTGACGCGTGGATGGCAAATTCCGTTTTAGGTGATTTCTGCGTATCCGTATACCTGAAAAGCCTGAAAATCAAAGATAATCGGCCCGCCTATGTGGAGATTGCCCCACTGGTATCTACGCACAATACCGGTCGAAGCGGGTTGAATTCGGTATCAATACGCTAGTGGCCGCCAGGTTCATCGGAAACTTCTGTCCGCTTTACAGTATGGAGTACCTGCAAACCCGAATTGCGAGACTAATGCATTCGGCAAGCCGGTCATCATTTCTGATTTGGGTTTAAATCAGTCACAGCGATTATTTCTCAACTCAATCCTGAGAATTGTGACCAAATCTACGTAGCTGCTGTCATAATCAGTTTTGTTTACTTCGGGTGAGTCCCACGGCCCGAGGACGACCTCATTGTCAGTGAGCATGGCCCGGCAAAAACGGGTCATCCTTATGAGCGAAGTGAAGCTTATTTTAAAGTCCTCTATTGAGAAAATATCCAGTTTAATTTTCGAGTCAAACGGTAAGGTAGGTTCATGTGAACACACCTGTGATAAGCACTGAGCCTCACGAACGTAAAGTTCACATGGAAGCAGTGCAGCGACTTTATCCAAAATTTCATTGAGCTTTTGCATGAAATTGTATCAGCTGGAAAATCAGGCGTGTTCTTGATGGGCCTGTCAATCGCACGGAAATACTGCCACGCTGAAGAATTTGTGCATCTTTTGAAATGAAAAGATTTATGAGAGTTAGTGATATTCACACAATGGGCGGCTCCCCCAAATCCCAGGTGATGTCATGATTTATGGAATGCTGGATTAAACATTCATCCATGGCAATACCGGGCTATCTGCACATACTTTATCAGTCTTGGATTGAATGACCTTTTAATGAAAACTCAATCAGGCTTACATGAGAGCTCAAGCAACATGAAAATAAGATGTATTAAGCTCACAATTTATTGATTCTATACCATCTCATATCTTAGTTTTTACAAATACAATACTAGCATTCTGCAACACTACCGACTAAATGCATTCAAGTTGGTCCACACCTGGGCACCGAGTAAAACCTAATATAGACATAAGGTGAATAATACTAGTAGAACTCTTCAGAACTTTTTTCTCTCTAGGATGTCTCACTGTTAATAGTACGTAAGGCGATATATCCTGATCAACTTAAGCGCCGAGATTATAGTCTAACTAGTTAGCATCGTTGCCTTATACAAAAACTGTTCAACTAGTCAAGAATCCCGTACTCGTGTCCCGAAAACACCAATTCTGGAATCCGGCTTCCTAATCTTAGATCTTGTTGAAACAATAAATGACCATACAGACTAAGAATGCCGCCCATGTAGCATGTATTGTCTAGCGGTAAAATGCCCTATAATTCTGCCGCAGATAGTAGGCGGTGCTGTGATCAGTGGATCCGTGACTAAGAGGGTTATGGATTATAACTAGACGTTACACACTGGTCGGTGTAAATACCGTCTGAGCAGTCTCGTTGGCCGCAGGAATATTCAAGCTTCCAAATTGTATTGAAGTCCTCTTTTAGCCCTAGTACATCTTCACTTATATAAAAGGGACCTTTCCTCATAATCCCCATACTCCTGGTGAACACCTGGGCATTGGAAACCGATCCTTGAGAGCATTTCTGCTTTGGTTTCCTGAGGTCATTCCAAGGTTCCAAATGAATAGCCATGGCATCACCGCCCGTGCCGGTCTGGCCCCTTTCGATCTTTACCCCTATAATCCGTCAAAATCAGCTGGATGGGCCTTTGTTGTCATTTTCGGTATCTGTGCAGCCTTTCATTTCGTCTATATGTTCCCATTACGGGCGTGGTTCTTTGTCCCGTTTATTCTTGGCTGTGTTGGTAACGTTTCGCCTGTTCATTTCTCCCATTGCATGTTAGGCTGTGGCTAACAGGAAAACTAGGTGAGGCATTTGGCTATTACGGCAGAGCATGGTCGCACAATAATATACGACTGGGCAGTCCATACCTCCTCCAGCTCATGCTTATCTTAGGGTCCGCGCCACTCCTTGCTGCGACTGTTTATATGACACTTGGTCGCTTTGTGCGATCGCTCAGGGCGGAGAAGCACACAATCATGAGGTCGACCTGGGTCACCAAGATATACGTCCTGATCGATGTTGCAAGCTTCATCTGCCAAATGATGGGTTCTGCTATGCAAGGTAGTGGAGATCTAAAGGGCGTTGAGCTTGGCCAGCACATAGTCATCGGGGGTCTGATTGTCCAGCTTGTCGCACTTGCTTGGTTTCTGATAGAGTGCACAGTTCTCCATCGTCGGCTTCACAAACGTCCAACCTTTGTTTCAAGAAACCCCTCGGTCCAATGGCAGAGAACCCTTTGGACATTGCACTTTGTGACCTTGTTGATCTTTGGTCGCAGTCTTTATCGGCTAATTGAGTTTCTCGATGGCTCTGAAGGCTATTTGGCCACACACGAAGCATACCTATATGCCTTCGATGCGTCCCTACTTTCTATAGCCGCCCTGCTGCTTGCTCTCGTTCACCCAGGAAGGCTTTTCACGCTAGTTCGAAAGCTAGACTTATGCGAGTTTGAAGATGGCGCCGTTTTGTTGGATTGATACTGTAAATAATCATGGACAAAATCCATATGAGAAAGCCAAGATGTGATAGAATTGGCAGCTCCTGTGAAGGTTTTAAGGCCTTTAAGTATACTCTATAATTGGTACCGTGGTGGTTGTTACTTTTGCCCCTAGGAATAAATTTAATATAGAGTTCATTTCAAGCCCTAGCCCTCGGGAGGAATTAGTGCCGCCTTCCGCCTTCAAATTTACCTAGCAGGTAGGCTACCCTATCAGCAGTGCTATCACCTCGGCACTCCGCTCTGTATATCTAAGGAAACTCCGAGTTGGAGCTTGCGGTGAAAGAAAGCTGAAAAGACTTCATTGCATACCTAGGTACCCGAAGAACGAAAGCTTCACGGAAGATAGGCACAATCTGGCATTTTCACGCTATACTTGATCACCTAGCGGGTGCTGATGTTCATGATAGCTAGCAAGGCCACTGCCATGGAGCACATGATCAGTGTGAGCTTCCAGTACATAACAAAGCCGATGACGAAGGCACTGGTAAAGGTGGCTATCGCTGAAAGTTTCAGCGCGAGCTTCTCCGAGATTCCTTCTTGGACAGGATTCGTGTCTGCAGTAATCCGAGTAGTGATCTCTCCGACGCTGTTGGTATCGTAGAAGCCAATGTTCTGCCACAAATAACTCTCAAGGAAGCGCTCGCTTATTTGACAGCTTAGGCGCTCTCTGACCTTGATGAGGCTCAGCGTGGATAGTGTAACCTTGACAAGCTCTGTGACCGACAAATCAATAAAGTACAAAACGATTTGTCTTGTTTGACGTGACGCTCGTCAGATGTCAGTTCACCCCCGTACGCGTTTTGGAAAATACCCGCCAGTTTGCCAAATATGACAGAAATTAATGGCAAGGCCGCACCTCCCAAAATTGCACAAATGGTTCCCCCAAAGAGAAAAGCATAGTCAAGGATAGTAGCATAGCGGTATAAGGTCCAGATCTTGACATTGGTTGAGACAAGAGCTATTTGCTCCTGTAACACGTTCGAGTCGTCGCCGTCCGGTGTCTTCTTTATCATCTGATCGCAAAAAAGTTATTTGTGGCACTTCATTGAAAAGCCTAGGGATAAATAAAAATAATATGTGCAAGACCTACTGGTGGTACATACTAGTGCTGATGATTTCAAAGTGGATGATGCACAAGGTACACCGGCAACTTGGAGCAGTCAGATCGAGGCACAGCCAAAGGGTCAACTACCAAAGACCATTCCTATAAGGGTTTAGTAGTGGCCGATGGTGACTGGAAGCGCCTGATAAACGGGCGCGAAGCCGACTCGGAGGACACAGCTATATAGTAGGAACACGAAACAGAAAGATATGTGAAGTTTTCTAGTATCCCTGTCCCACCGTTGGAGGAACGCTAAGTATCTGGGAAATTAAAAGCGGCCCAACAGGCTAGGCCTCTGAATATTCATCAATAACTGGCACATCGACGCTGCATTAGGCAGTATGCTCACAAATCGTAGCTAGTGAGTACCAGTACTAGTACTAGTTATTACTGGTGAAATACATAGATCATGCTGATATGACACCCCATTTGATCCAAGTTTCAAGAGTCGTCTTCTTCAATTCCAGCTGTTCTTTTCTAGACGGGGAAGCCGGCCCTAAGCTTCGTCTTTCCCTGGATTGCAAGGTCTCGCATAGAGCCGGCTTCTTGTTCTCGTAATGTTCAAAGTGATATGATCGAACTTCAGCATTGGTCCAGTCCGTTGCTTGGGATTGCTGATTAGCATAGCAAATAGCGTGGGAAAATTCAGCAACCTACCGTGTGAATTAATTGCATTCACCCAATCATCTGTCAGAAGATGCAAGAAACAGCCATGCGAAACCACAACTATTTCCTTCTCGGGTCGTTGCATTAGCCATTCTCGTGCTAATTGAGCTCTCTCGAGGAGTCTCTCTGCGATGGGGGCCCATTTTCCTTGCTAGGGCACGATAATTACTTAGTGTCATGTGAGCGAGAGAAATGGGGCGTCAGAAGCGTACCTTAATATGCCAGCCAGGAGTAACTAAAGAGAAATCAACGGGTGATTGGTTGAATTTCTGCTCAATATCTCGCAGATCACTGCCAGTGTCGCAAACAAGATCACTTGCTTCCTGTACTTCTGGCCAGGCAACTACCTGCAGGCCGCCGTCTCTCACCTGCGAGGCAAACGCGAGAAGCGCGGTCTGAATGGTGCGTTGCAATGGTGATGACACAATCAACTCGATATTTTCCAATGAGTGAAATTTGGCACCCAACTCCCGAGCTTGCTCTTCGCCCAGAGGTGTAAGTTCGGGATCAGGCAAATTGTGGTTTGCATGACTGAGATTATGAACGCCTTGCGCGTGGCGCACGCAGTGAACAATTGGTGGCATAATATCTTGCAGATTCCCCGACTTTCCTTTCACTCACACTCTTATGAAAAGGTGGCTGGTCTGCATTTGAGGATTTTTTGAAGGCAGAATCGAACAAAGAAACAGAGCTGAAGTTCAGCCCCCAAAGCGGGGTTTCGTTGATGGCAACCAACGAAGCCCCACATTGAGCGAGCTATCAACTCATCTGCCACGATAGATGAAGACAAGAAGAACTAAGAATAGTCAGAAGGTAATAAGTTGGAAATTCTAGAGAAGGTGAATATGTGGAAAGTAGATGCAGCAATCGCACTTGATGTCTGCACCTTCCAATAGTTAGAATGGCTACTAAAATTTCAACCTTAGAAGTTATACCATTTTCCTAGCATGATACCTAGTTAGCCTCGGCACGATGACATTAACTTGAATCACACCTTTGCTCAAGTAATTCTATGAACATCCCACATTCTAGTGTTTCACGCGAACTCGAGTCCCTGTTTATACTCAGTGTTATCGGCTATATGACATGACTTTCTAAAACTTCATATGTGCTACTAGTATTTCGGTCTTCTGTTTCCTTTCATTCTGGTGTCACATTCAGGGTTTCATTTTCATTTCATATTTCTTAACTTGCTTTGCTATTTCCTGGGCAGGATTTACCATTTGCCCATCTATTTCATTCTAGAACGGAAGGCAGTTTTTATTCGTCTTAAGACCTAACCTACATATAATGGCACGTCAAGCATCATTTAATGAGCAAACATCTGCCATAGAGGTCGCGGAGTTTTACCGTAGCGAAATTCGCGGTAAAACCAGTAAGCATCCTTCCCATATACATAAAAATTGTAACATCAATGACCAATGAGTTCGATACTAGTACAGTCGTCGTAACTGGCGTGAGCCTCAATGGTTTGGGTTCTGCATTTTGCAAAGCTATCTCCCAATATGGTCCCCGTCTTCTCATAATCACGGGTCGTGATATACAGCGACCGCGGGCGGTTGCTCAATTCTTCAATGCTCAGTACGCAGGGGTTGAAATCGCCACTGTGCAGATAGACCTGTCACAATCTGATTCGGTGAAGAAAGCTGCGAGCGAAATCAAGAATCTCTGTACCCGGGTCGATATTCTTGTAAACAATGCCGGCGTGATGTGCTTCCCTCGACATTGTTTGACCGATGAAGATGTTGAAATTCACCTGCAGTCAACTATATTAGACACCTTCTGCTCTCTAAACTACTAGCTGAGCAGCTGACAGACCTAACTACTTCGCCGATAAATGGTCGGGTCATCAACGTGCCGAGCAGTGCTCATAGTATCTCCCCGTTTCGCTTCTCCAATCCCGAATTTATTTAATCTACAGATTTGGCTCGAGATGAAGTACCTTCTCATAGCGCGTGCGATGCTTTTAGAATTCCCTGGGTGACTGACTACGCAACCCTAGTGGCATATGCACAGTCCAAAACGGCAGTGATTTTACATGCGCAGGCGCTCGCGACAGGGGTTCTCGGGGATCGAGTTTCGGCATTTTCGGTGTATAAAGGCAAATGCGGCAAGATACTTCCAAAATATCAATATATTGGCTTATGATTGGTTTACATAATCATAATATGGTGGTGATAATGATGATGCTGTTATGATAGTGAGATAACTCGGGTGCTACGTTCATACATGAGGAATCAAGTTGGCGCTAGTATGGGAGTAATCTAGATCGTCATTATTCAGACTAAGAGTATTCTACTAATGTAATTTCTACTAAGTTGTCCTCTGAATCTTTTGAATCTTTGGGACCAAGTTATCAGCACCCGCGGGCGGAAACAATTAGTCGATTGCCAGTGTAACTATGGAGTGTCTTGGTTGATGAGCAGAACGGGACTACCAAAATCTACTGGAATGGAAATTGAAAAGCTCTGTTCACACAAGGCTGCTTCAGCTAAAGTCGATTCGATTGTATCGGAGCTCAAATTGAAAATGCATTGGCCGTGACCTACAAGGTTAGGATCACTTTCCGAGCCTGGTGTTTCTCGAAAATTTGATAAGCGATCGGTGCATCTGCCAACGGCATGCGGTGGGTGATAAAATCTGAAAATTTATCTTGGTTCTCAGAAAATACTTTCAACGCTTCGCCAAAGACTGGCCTGGCTGCTGCGCGCCCCATATTGATACTAAATGAATCAAAGTAAGTACTGTGCTAAAATATCTCGAAGCAGAGAACTCACTCCAGATTCTTAGAATACGCTTCGAAGGCCGTGAAAGGTAGCTCTCCCTGGTGGAAGCCGATAGAGGAAACAACACCACAAGCTCGAACCAAATCAATGGCGAGTCGCATTGCTGATTTATTGCCCACGCTCTCAACCACAGCATCTGCTCCTCGGCCATCTGTGGCAGCTTTGACAATTTCTGGAATATCATTTGTTCCAAGTTTCAGCGGTTGCGCGCCCATCTTCCGAGCCTCCTCTAGACGATCGTCAACAGAGTCGACAGCATACAGGGTGCCTGCCCCGAGTACTTTGGCTGTGAGGATTGCACATAATCCGACGGGACCGCACCCTGAGACATACAACAACCGCCTTATCAAGTGTGATCTTCTGAAATTCTGGACGAAGAGCAGACGGGGCGTGTAGCGTCCCTCCGACGATCGACTCAGCTGTGTCATTGTTGCGCATCAGCTTTGTGATGGCCTTCATGGCTCCGTAGTAACCCGTCGGGAAAATATCACACATAATTATCATCATTTCATCGCTAACTTCCTCGGGTATGAACTCGAGAGTACTGTCGGCAAAAGGAACGCGGACGTATTCGGATTGTCCGCCATCCAAGGACATGCTTCCGAAAGAAGGCCCGTTGACGCATCGATTTGTGTGCCCATGTTGACAGAACCAGCATTGCATACTAGGATATTGGGGATTAGCTTTCGAAATCGGGCTCGCAATCTGGATACATTCCGAGGTTCTTTCCAAGCTCACCACATAGGAGAGAAAATAGACATCACTTTCTGGCCAGCCTTGAACCTGGAAACGGCAGACCCAACGCTCTCAACAGTACCGATGAACTCGTGTCCCTAGCCGAAAGGTCAGTCGAAACCTTGGAACTATCCATCTTCATATGGTGCCTTTTTATTACCATAGTATGTCCTGTGGTCGTCTTTTGGTGTCCTCGATACATGTGCAAATCACTCCCACATACACCTGCGATGTGCACTTTAAGGACAGCATCCGTTTCATCAATCACTACAGGCTTAGGCTTCTCTTTGACAACAATATTGAAGGGGCCTTCATAGACCACTGCTTGCATGGTTTCCGTGCTCATGATGTAGGTTCTGGTTCCATTCGCATGTATGGGGGCGAAAAGGCAAAGAAGATGTGTTCTGAAACCTGGACAACTCTCGAACAGCCGGAGATTAGGAAGATTATAATCAATCAGCCAATATCCCATGACGCGCCACAAAGTCCGATGCATCGTCACTCAAACTGCGGGGAATTGGCCCAAACCCCCCCGTTTGCTGAAGGGGGGTATGACCGACATAGCCAAGGCTGAAAGGTGAGGGGAAGCTACATCAAGCTGGCTTCCCATCTGATCTTGCATCTACTTTTTTCAGCTTCCAAGTGAATTCAATCCAGCCTCGGACAAGCCCCAGCCATCCACAATGTCTTCAACCAACTACAATATCCCATCAGCATCGGAGATAACGAAGCTATACATCAACGGCGAATACGTCGAGCCCAAGGCGGGGAAAACATACACTCTCTACAACCCAGCCGACGACTCAGCTATATCCGACAGAATTCCCATCGCGGAAGTAGCCGATGTCGATGCTGCCGTCGATGCCGCCGAAAGCGCGTTCAATGGACCCTGGGGCCAATTCACGGGTGCCCAGCGATCGGCGTGTTTGCGAAAACTAGCAGATCTTCTCGAAGATGATGACCGATTGATCAAATTACTGACACTTGATGCGCAAAGTACCGGGAATCCTGTTTCAATCATTCCGACACGCGAAAAGACCTATATATTGGGGCATCTATTATACTATGGTACTTACCAGATGAACTTGGATAATGAAAGAATCAAAAGCTGATCAAGGATAGCTGGATGGACTGATAAGCTTCGCGGCGACTACTATCCCGCCGATGATGGTTTCGTCAAGCTTGTTCGTCAGGAACCTCTGGGGTATGCCTACTTCGAGGAAGAGTTGCAGGGTTGAGCTGACCGAGGCTAATAGTGTTTGCGTCGGCATCAACCCATTCAACGCCCCGATCGCGACTCTTTTCATGAAAGCCGCGCCTTGCCTAGCAACAGGAAATGTGTTGATTCTTAAACCATCGGAACAAAGTCCACTAGGATCACTGGCCATCGCACCACTATTCGAGGCCGCGGGTATTCCGAAGGGCGTGTTCCAGGTACTTACTGGGGCTGGTGATACGGGCGCATTGCTGGCCAAGCATATGAGAGTTCGCAAGGTAGGGGTTCACTTCAATCTGTCAGTGTTTTAGAGACACGCTGATGGTGAAATTAACTTTTTCCAGATAAGCTTCACCGGAAGTATACCCACCGGAAAGAAGATTCAAATTGCAGCCGCGCAGAGTAATCTCAAACGCGTCACTCTGGAGCTGGGTGGTAAAAGCCCAGCATTGGTATTTGAGGATGCAGATCTGGAAAATGCCCTCACTTGGTGAGTAACGATTGGAACCTAAATTACGATTGAAACGAACTAAGCCTTTCCAGGACTGTCAACGCCATCCTCGCTCGCTCCGGGCAAGTCTGCGTCGCAGCATCTCGAGTCTACGTCCAACAATCTATCGCGAAGGAGTTTATCGAAAAGTACACAGAGCGTATGCGAGCAGCTGTTGATAAGATCGGCGATCCCCTAGACAAAGCGACCGTGATGGGACCCCTGGTGAACAAGACCGCACTCGAGAGAGTCAGCAAAATGATTGAAAGGGGGAAGAATGAAGCAGAGCTTGTTGTTGGAGGCATACGACATGGAGAACAAGGCTGTTTCGTCGAACCCACTGTCTTTCTGAATCCACAAAAAGGAGCCCAGATATACAGCGACGAGATATTCGGTCCCGTCGCTGTTGTTAAGACGTTTGAGACGGAAGAAGAAGTGTTGAAGATGGCGAATGATACTGAGTACGGATTGATGTCGGGGGTTTTCACCAAGGATATTAATCGTGCTATGAGGGTTTCTGCGAAGCTGGAATCTGGAGTTGTGGGGGTAAATTGCGTTAGTTACGTGAGTAACTTGGAGATTCTTGTCTCGTTGGTGTTGGGCTGTGCTAATATCAATCTTATAAAGATGAATGTTCAGGTTCCTTTCGGTGGGAAGAAGCAATCTGGGCTGGGAAGGGAATATGGAGAATACGTATGGCCTAGGACTCGGATTTTATTACCCCAGCTAACCTCCATATTAGGCACTGCGTGCATTCACAGAGCCGAAGACTGTACTTATCAAGTAAGTTTACTTTTCGTCTTGAGTGAATACGAAGGCTAACGATTTGTGAAGTATGAATTAAGAAGGACACTCAAGACTGTTTTTTCGAGGCTTGTGGATTCGGAAGAGAAATTAGCTTACTTAGGTAGGAGATAGCTTGAGTATATTGATGAATGAACCTTGTGTTCAAGTTCAATTGAACTTTATGCCTTGATACACTACTAGTAGAGAGTCTTTCATTGAGTAGCCGGTAGAAGCTTTGCGCTAAGTCGTAAGGACTATCAGGGTTGTAAAATCCTTCCATTTAAGGCTCAAATAATTTCAAGCGAAGCTGCCTTAGGCAGCCAAGAACCCTGCCTTCCCTTGCTGCCTCGCGACCAAGATCCTTGTTCATTCCCAGAGATTCACCATTTCCAGGTCTTTGGGCATTTGTAAGACAATACTCTCAACCCTTGGAATTCTTCGGCCCCTTTCACCGCAAGACGGGCGTAGGCCCCGATGCCCTAGAGGAGTGAAAATTCAACGTGGCTGACATCGTGCAGATCGTGGACTAATCATGACTTAGGTTGGCATGAACGAGCTTGCCCCGCAGATTAACCCCAGCTTTGATTGCCGAATATTTGAATTTTCGGATTTATTGCTATCTCATCAGGCTCTCACCCCTGCTGCTTAGCCTTACAGTAATCTCCAACATCATTTCCTGATTCATATCCCAGATTTTCCAAAAACTTTGCTTGTATCTCGAGTCGACCGACCCCCAGTCTGCTACTCATGGCGTTGAGCAAAGAAGACAGGCACGTCAGTGCGTTGAATCTGGCGGTAAGAAACCTCCCTTCTACACCTAAATTTATGAGCAAGCTGAGAAGTTAGATCGTTTTCGCTCTCTGCCTCGGTAGTTTGACTTACGGTTATTGCTTCAGCATTGTGTCAACAACGCTTGGTCAGCCATCCTTCTTCGAATATTTTGACTTGACCCAGAATACCACGGCTCCACATTATGCCTACACAAATCGCATTATTGGGGGACTGAATGGATGCTTCTCGGGTGGTGGCTTTCTAGGGTCCATATTTGGTGGATGGGCCTGTGATTATTTAGGCCGCCGGAAGACACTTCTAGTAGCGACACCGATTGCCATCGTTGGAGGTGCCTTGCAAGGTGGTGCAGCCCACCTTGCCATGCTTCTGCTGGGTCGAGTTCTCGGCGGCTTCGCAGTTGGTAAGCCCTACCCGACTCGGCTATTCTTTATGAAGTCCTGTTAACTATTTTTAGGTATCTTGATGGTGCTTATTCCTTTGTTTCAGTGCGAAATATCGCCTCCTGCCACTCGTGGATTCTTAGTTTCCCAGCATGGTGAGGCTAAGGCGATCATATCTTTCATGCTACGCCATATTAATGAATTTATCAGGTGTTGTGCTTGTCTTCGGGTACTCTGCAGCCGCTTGGGTTGGATTTGGTTCTTTCTACTCCACCAATCCGGCTTTTCAATGGCGCTTTCCGCTTTGTCTTCAATGCTTATGGCCATTGGCTATGCTCTGTCTCACACCTTGGATACCTGAATCTCCACGCTGGTGTAGGTCATTACAACCAAGAACGATAAATATTATAACTGACGGAGTACAACAGTGCTGATGCAAAACCGACCCCAGGATGCTTGGAAAGTGATACAGAAGCTCCATGAGAGTGGCAAAGATTCTTCTCGGGATTCATTTGCCAAAGAAGAGTTTTATCAAATGACCCAACAGGTAAATGCCGATCAAGAAATGGCTCGCGGTGAGAGTGTTAAGACACTATTCACGAAGCGGTCTTATCGTAAGCGGATGTTCTGCGCATTCATGACGATGTTCGCATCGGAGTCGACTGGAATTTTGGTAGTTTACAACTATAGCGTACTACTCTATGAAGGACTTGGATTTAACAACGAGATATCTCTGCTCCTGGCTGCAGCATATGTAACGGTCGCTTGTATCGGAAATTTCATCAACTCCATTCTCATTGATAGAGTTGGAAGAGTGAAGCTATTAGGTAAGTTAAACATACCCCATTCCCCAACAGGTTCAAGAAATCAGAACTAATAGTTAGTCTTCGGAATAACTGGCTGTCTCATTAGCTTGATATTCGAGGCCACGCTGTCAGCTGTTTACATAGGAACCTCCAAGTCCTCTGGTCTCAGAGCTGGTGTCTTTTTTCTCTTTCTTTACATTACTTTGTAAGTGAAGGATTCACTCCATATATACCACTCCTGCCACTATATTAATACTTCCAAAGCTATGGGTGCTGCATCGATGCAAGTACATATGTCTATTGCACAGAAATCTTCCCAACTCATATTCGTTCTCGGGGAATGGCATGGTCGCTAGCAATTCTCTTCGCATCGACCATTGCTTATTTGATTCCCGCGCCAACTGCCTTCGCTGAAGTGGGATGGAAGTACTATCTTTTATTCATCCTTCTATCCGTGATCAATATACCGCTGATGTGGTTCTACTTCCCTGAAACCAAGGGCCTTGCACTCGAGGAAATAGGTGAGAAATTTGGCGACAAAGTAGTTATTCACCTTGCTAGTCTTACCGTTGAGCGAAAGGAGGGTATACATATTCAAGACGAAAGTAGGAGAAATTACTGAGATTCTTGTCTCAGTTCGAACTTACCCTTCCAGGCGATACCTATTATGAATGGTTTAAACATGAGGCTGAAACATACACTCTGAGTGGCCCCTCGCCGCAATCATTTCGACCAATCAGAAATAGTAGGAATGAAAGAGCCCTTGCGCCGTATTTAGTAGTCTTTTACAAGTCTTCCTCTTCATCAAAGTTGTTTCTCACTGTTCCGAGGTTTTACATCAAGTAGGGTGTCCACATATCCTTTTTGTCCGGTCACAGCCCCGCTTTCTTCGTCACAAAAAGCCATATATTGTCGTCCTGATGCTGCCATCCCTCGTTTCTGCAAGTTCTGATCTACAGTACAAAATACCGCTAGTTTTTGATCTATTATCTCATTTTTCCAGTTCTTCTTGCTGAAATACCATCGGTATTTCAAGCAATTTGCGTATCCGAAATTCTTCTCGAGGAGCCACCCGAAAAAAGATACTCAAATGCAAATCCATTATTCCACTCAAGGTACAAGTCAGAAGGGTTCCATGAAAGGTCCCATATATAAAATCATGCTAACAAGGTCTTAGAAAATGGCATAAAAAGGAGGTTATTCAGCCAACGGATACTTGCAAGCTTCTCACCGGGTTTAATACAGGCGGATTGATCTATTGGTACAAGGATTACGACTGTGGAAGCTGGTACTGTGTGGAATCGGACTGCTGGGGTCAACAAACTCTCTGGGGGTGTTAGGGGCACGACTATACATACCCACATAGGTTCACCTTCCATATTGGAGACAGAAGGACTCGTTCAAACCCTACTCGTATGATACTGGAATAGAAAAGGGTTTTTTACTTGCCCAGAATAATATCAATTTCTCATCATAGCTTGTATGAGTGATATAAATACCTATGATTAGAGGCCTATGACCTCTCGAAGGTTCCACTAGACACAACAAACAGCTGACCTGTTCTCGCTTTCACGACGAGAGTCTACGCAGTACGATTGTACCATCAAACACCGGCGCCCTATCGCCAGTTACATATTATATTTCTAGCAAGTGAGTCATGCTAGTATCCCCACCCCCTTTAACAGGTGTACAGTGGATTTCGAAAAAATACTGCAGTATTACTGTCTGGAACAGACGCTTTCTTTCCCAGCGCCCCACTCTGCAGGCGCTAAGCTTGATTTGGTCCCCTATCGACAAAGTGAGATATGATTGGTGGCAGGAGAAACTTGGAACTGTAGGGGGCCTCGCAATTGCAAATACCTCCAAAACAACGCTCCAATTCGTAGTGATATAAGATCACCGACGTGTTTCTTCTTTTTCCGCGTCTCCTTCTGCAGACTGTTCTTCCTCTCCTTCCTAGGACACACTTTTGCCGTGCACCCCCTGTTGTACATTTCTTAGAACACTCATTCTCTAAGCTCCGGTTTATATTCCATTACCGCCCTACCTCATCCTCTACTGCCCTCATGGAAAGCACTCCAGGTCCACGCGAGACTACTCCAGAAACCCACCCAACTCAGGGGGTATACCTCTCGAACGAAACCATTATTAGCATAATTGATGACCTGATTCCCGGATGCAACATCCTGGCTATTGATCCTCTGGAGCATGGCAAATCATTCAACAATCGCATCTACTTTCTGAAGATAGATGTTCCCGACGACCTAGTATTACATGGTCTGAAAAACGGAGCTGTTAATGACTTGGTTTTGAAACTCAACGGAAAGTTCTTTGATCGGACGAAAAGCGAAAACGAGGTGTCCTGCTTGTCTCTTCTTGAGTACTTTGCGCCCGAAATTCCATCACCAAGGGCGCTTGCCTGGTCTGACAGCAATGGTTCCGTCGTTCACAAGTTGACCGTCGGGGGAAATTTGGCAACAAAGGAATTACATATTAATTCCGAAGCCGACGGAAAAGTCCAGGGCTGGATTTTAATGACAAGACTTCCCGGGGTTCCTTTATCGACGTTGAATCTGGATACAGACGAGCTCAAGATCGCTGGTGAACAGTTAGCGGACATGGTCTACTGCTGGAGACAGTCGCTCCCCGGTTGGGCAAGTGCTGGAAATTTAGAATGTGGACCTCCTCATGGGAAAGAACAAGATCCAAATTCATTATTAGTTGCCGGCTTGCGCATAACGTCGTCATCAAACATGCCTGGGTTTGATGTCAAAACATCTGAGCCTATCATAAGCCAGCTCCATTACTACCAACTGAGGCTTGAGACGCGGCTCCAGAAGCTCCAAGAACTCGACGTTTTTGCTGGAAACAGGCATTTGATTCCTCAAATCAAGGAGTTTATTGCTCTTCAATTACCGCAGCTTGGGATAAGCAATGAGAAAAGTCGGTTTTTATTCACGCACTACGATCTTTCTCCACGCAATGTCTTGATCTCTGCGAATCACACGAAGATCAGTGGTATCATTGACTTTGAATTTTCCGGATTTTTCCCTGAATTGGATGAATTTGTCAATGATTCGGTGGCAAATGAAGGCGACTGGCCTGATGCTTTTTACGAACCGTACTTGAGTAGACTGGAGGCCCGCGGAATGAATACTCCAAGGAACGGCATCAAGGATCAACATTGGAGAGAGGCAACTTCACTTTCTCGATTGGAAGACAACATAGCGCCCTGGTGGCTTGAGAATGTAGCACCAGAAAATAAGAACCAGCACTCAGAAGACCTCCAGAAGGCGAAAGAAATCGTCTTGGATACAATTCAGCTCCTGGATGCCGGCCTTTGAAGCCTCTTTTATCAGAAACCCCATCCCATTGGTGTGACTGATATCCAGCAATACAAGCCATTCTGTACTACTCAAGATTGCCCAAGTTCTCCATCTGCAGACTCCAATAAAGGTTGCCACTGAAAAAGTAGGATTTTCCTTGAAAGTTGACAGGGGTGATTTGATTCTTTTTTTTCTCTTATATTGTTGAATAGATATAAAAGAGAGCCCACACCCCCGTAATTAACACTTTCCTCGAAATGTTTCTCAAGATCCGACGGGAACTCAACTTGCTACAAATCAACAATCATGACTTCGCCTGTATCGCAGAGAATGAAGTTATCCAGTCGCTGGTCCAAATTTCCCGCGCCTTGCGAATGTAGTAGCTTCATGGGTTTCTCAGGCTGACGTCAAAGATTCTCCAAAGATATAGGAAGCTCGCTATGGGCAAGAGCATGAGTGTTTTCCCAACCACCTCAGAAAGGATGAGAACAGGACTGTCGTTATATGTCCCTTGCCCGAAGACAGTGGGAATAGTTGATCCTTGTAACATTTTCAATCTCTCGTAGACTTCTATTCCTTGTAGAAATTCATCATGCCAATCTTCTTTCCTTCCTTTGATGATAACAACAGTCGGGAGGCCGTGTGATTCCTGGCATGTTTCTAACTTCAGGATAGACTTGGCGACGTGGATGCAGCCTTTGGTCGGCCTCCGCACGGATAGGGATCGTGTTAAAGTAAAACACCTTTCATTCAATGAGAGATAATACAAAATGTGAAGAGTGCTTGATCACGTACCTGGGGTTGAATTTCCCCCAAAATGGGCCTGGAGTCCATGGTAGAAGTCGCATCAAAGTTGTGGAAATCAGAAAATGGAGGGCTCAAGTCAACTTATCTAAGGAGTTGGCACCCATTACCGTATAAGTTACAGCTAGCTATTCTATTCATAACGCCTTGCTTAATCCTAATTATCATTCTCTATCTCCCCTTACAACGGAAACTCCCATATCTTCGACAGACTAAAGTAATCATTCTCCCGCATCGCGTAGACCGTACCCTCCACTTACCAATCAAATGTACCACCCTTTAAACCCAATCTGTCACCTTCTCGCTTACAAGAATCGAAATTGATGACCACAGGCCTATTCCCATCCATCATAATATTCGACGGGTTGAGATCATTGTGCACAAGGCCCAAAGAGTGCATGTGTCGCACGCCATCCTCAATCCCCCGCAAACAAAGAGACTTATCAAAGGTCGCCGCCTCTCTCATCCTCTGCGATAGAGTCATAAAATACCTATCAAAAAGAGGCCCTTTCACCCTCACGTTCTCAGTAATACAGCCAAGATACGGGCCACGTTGGGGTGTGGGCTTTTGCGAAGGACTTCGCAAGCTTCTATCTCGGTCAATATATGGCGGCCAAGGTCCAGGGATGCATGGGTATCGCTATAGTGTAGGATGCTGGGCTTCTTGATGTAAGTATTTGGAGGTAAAGGGTCAGGAGCCAAAGTGAAAGACGGTTCCATTGCAGGCCAGATATCTTCGGTTGGAATTTTTGTCGTTTGAAGCTGACTGATTTCATCTAGACCATATTAGGAATATTGTCGGAAGGACAATATTCCTGTGCCAGTTTTGATACTGTGATTTACTTTCATCAAAATACGGTTCCTAGGATTTTCCATAGAAATGCAAACAGGTCAAACACTAGGAGCTTGGGAGTTTCTCGAGAATCTGGCGATCTGTCACTCCACTTCTAATTTATTACTTAAGCATATTAGTCTACATTAGGAACTATCCCGGATCATTGATCTTCCTGTACCGTTCAAGAGTAAAACATCATACATTTCGTTCCCCGATTATAATGCGGCCTTTTCGTTCTGTTAGTATAATAGCGACCCATCAGCGACTGGGAGCTCCCATGTGTTGCAAACAAATCAAACCCTGCACCATAAATGGCTTTGAGAGCCTGACAAGCTGAATCTGAGCATCCTCACAGTAGTACGCGACCCAAGTATGAACGTGCCATTTCCAGCTTCAGCGCTACTATAGATACAACGTCGGGCTGACTGGCCCTGATAGGGCTGATCAAAACAGGACATAATATTTATCCGAAGAATTCCCGCTTATCCTGCGTTGTTAGGGTCCGAGGATACTAGCGATGCAGGAACATAGGGGCCGGCGCTTAGAGACTAAATTCTGCCTTGTTAAATGATCGCCTCACGGAAATCATCGAGAGACTATAGGATCTAGAAATAGCGAAAGAATCCTTCTAGCTTCAATAAGCCCCTGAAACAAGCACAGGCGGCGCCACATTCTATTTGGGCCTCTTTCCGGCAGTCTGAACTCCCATCGATCTTCATCTCTCTTGTAACTGGAGGATGAACCGCTGGCCCCCTCCAAGACAGACTCAAGTTGAACCCTTTCGCCAACACATACAGCCTTGGCAACCCGGCCTATGACTAGTACTAACTATATATCCAATAGTAGAAGATGAATTGAGCCTCATCTGTATGTAGCTTGCTTGGCGGAATTAATGAAACGCGGTCCTACTTCAGGGCGCGTAGTTGTCATATCATGCGAAGAGCAGACATACTTCGGTCTTATTAGCTGCTTACTAGCAGGAGATATTCTGGTGAATCAAAATAAACATAGGGTCAGATGGTCGGAATGCGGCTCAAAACCTTTAAATAGGTCATATGAGGCCGGGCATCTGCATATTAAGGCATCTTGGCAAGAAGGATGAAACGGCATCATTGTTGACATTGCATACGCGCTTTATCCTGAGGATTCAGCTAATATAATTTGAATCAGCTGAATATGATAGAGGCAGCTTACCACAGCATAGATACTCAGCGTCTTCTCGTCAAGGCCCTGAAATGTATATAAAGTACTCCATTTCCGATTTCTTTACTTGAATCAGCGACCTTTTCAATCATTCCTTTGAATATACTAAGATCCGGTATACTACCAAAAAAGTCCATTTATATTTCTTGATTCCTGCACAACGGTAAATTACATTCATTCCGATGCACTCTGAGTATGACTGAAAACTTTTTTATTACCCATAGATTTAGAATTTGACTGTTGTTTTATACGATCTTTCACCCACTTGATTCTTTAGTCTTGCATGACACGCTAGGCTATACCATCAGATCAATATGTGGTCTATCGGAAATGTTGTTGAGCTCCTCTGCCTACTACTGGCACTCTCAGAGATCGGCTTCTGCCGACCCACGGTTTTGAACATCACTTCGGAAGAATTCGCACAAATGAGGGAGCACCATATGACTCCAGGTTACAACCGAAGAGGCTTTTTTGACGGGGTCGGGGACTGGGTCAAGGACAAGGGATGCGATTTCATATCGAGAGTGGACTTGTGCCATACCTCAAAGAAGTATGAAAAAATTGGCGATGGCGACCCGCACCAGAACTTCGTCATCGTCCAAAGGGCTGGTTCAAAAGTACATTGCACCTCCGATGGTGATAGCACAGGTAATAAATTAAGTCGCCTGATAGTTTCTGATAGTTTCACCAAGGAAAGTTACACAGATACTTATACAACTTTTCCATAGGGACTACCTTCTCGAGTACGGTCGGCTGGAGTATAGATGGGAGCTTCGATTCAATTCCCTTCGCATCAGCAGGATTCAGTATTTCGGAGTCCTCGACTTATGCATTTACGGCAACAATGACCTGCGATAGTATCGCAGACAAGCATGGTGACATTTGTCTCCTCTTCTACCACGCTATGACAGCATTTACTGTGAAGGTGACAGAATACAAAGACTGCGGTTGTGGTGTGGTAGATGGATCAGAAAAGGATCTTGGACAGACTATTGTCTATGCACCAAATGAAGGAGAAGCGGGCAGTATTGCTTCGAAGGGAATTTCTGTGGACGATGATGATATTCATCAATGCTCTGGAAATGATGACAGAATTGTCGACTATCACTGTGGACCTCCCGGGGACTCTAGTTGGTGGGATGACAAAAGCTCGGGACCATGGATCGAGGAATATGTGAAAGAACGTGTGCCTGCTGGCTGCAATATACCAATTGAGGCCAATCAGTACTATAAGTAGGGCTGGTAAGGGTACGGATTGGTGGTGATAGACGTGAAGATTGGTATGGTTAGTGGGTCGAGTTTTAAATGCTGGAAATATTCTTGTACTTGACTTTTGTTATGGTCCTTTTTGAAACAATACGATGCCGTTTATTGGGATATCTGACTGAAGGTATGGTTTGGTGACTGGTCTCTGCGCAGCACTTAACACAACATCCTTAATTTAAGCCCATATGTCTATCTCGGAAGAAAAGACAACCAACATAAGAATCCTCCCTAAAAACCCATCTGAAGTCTAAGGGTTGGGTATCTTGGATTGTAAAGACGCCGTCTTAAGAAGTCACACAAGATAGCACATCATTGTCAAATTTGGATCTCCCAAGTTGGCATAACAACTTTCGATGTTATTAAAAGGACATCAGATATTCGAAGAAAAAGACTGGTCGGGGTTCAAGTTCTCTGCGCAGATCAAGCTAGTGATGTCAAGTGCCATGCCGCAGAGCACAATCAAGTCCCAAATCGGCGCCATCTACAATTTACATAGGCCAACTTTCATCATTATTATTTTCGTCTCACCTTTAACCACTGACAAAGACACAGATGAAGAATTTCGAAGATTTGAGGCTCTGCTGGTTACTGTCTGCGTGGGGAACCCACATGGAAAATAAAGGAAACATGAGACTTTCTGTATGCGAAGAAGCTGCATGATGAAGCCATGTTTGCTTTGAAAATCTATCTTGAATACTAAAGATGTACGGACTCTCGGCGATGGTTTGGTTACAGATCTACGGGGATGGTGTAGCTTCTTGTCGACCGATGGGATGCCTCAATTTATCGCCTACTCTTGAAAAAGTGTACTATATATTTCCTTTTTCAACTTTACATGGTACATACAGCCATAGGGTACCTAGGTATGGAGAACAGGGCTACCCATCCGCTCAACCGTACTTAAGCCACAGAATCAACGAGGCCAACTGTAGTATTTACCTTTAACATTAGAGCAGCACTGAGGCTCCTCTAAGGTAAGTGTAGGTGTAGGTGATTAGGGTGAGAAGAAGAGATACAAGAAGGACTGGCCACATCAGAAGAAAACAGAGCCCTTTTTCAATAACAGAAATCAGGAGACTAAGAACAGAAGCCAAAAAGGGTCAACAAAATCTTCAGATAAAGAGAAGGAACATATAAGAAAGCTTGAAAAGAAAAATTACATACTCGACAAAGCAATAGCCTCATCATCCTGAATATCGTAGTTTACTCTACAACGGCCGCCGCTCCCAGCCCGGGGGGAAGGTAGGCAGAGGGTGAGAGGCTTGGCCCGCCCACCGCGCTTATCTTTCTAATGACTTTTCTTTTTTTTTTTTTTTTTTTTTGGCTTCGGAGTGGGGGATCGAAGCAAACTCAGGGTTGTTTTCTTTTTCTTTTACTGCCGTTATTGTGAGCATTTGTGGTGAATGGAGGACCTCCCTCCCGTTTTAGAACTGAGCCTGAGGCTGTGATTATATCATGCCCCAGATCCATGGATGTACTAGTGGCTTTTTTTCAGCACAGATGAATGTGTAGCAGACGTTTACAGTTTGATGGAGTATTACTATCCAGTTTGCGAAGTTGTTTTCTTTCGCTGAAAGATATGACGTACTATAGAGTCCCGAACTATCTCAGACATCGCGCATGAAGTCTAAATTTACACACACCTAAGCATGACTTATCTCCATTATTTTTCTATATCGTGTGTTGGTTCTAACGAGCTAGGATTCCACTCCGCACCGTGACCTCATTGTTTATTCGTAACAGATAATGATATCATATTTGCATTTGAATCCCACGATAGATAAACTACAACAACTATCCTATCTCATAAAGTCACATATCAGGGATGCCTCGGAATATCCCATAACTTAACTGAATCCCATAGAAAAGGCCCCGTCATTAATAAGCTAACAAAAGGAGAGAGCCAGATCAACGCAGATGCAGAATCTCAAGAATATCGTAGCGCGCGCAGAATGCTCGATTCCATTTTCCGAAGACATCTACATCAAACAAAGGTTAGGACATACTACCCAAGGGAAGGAAAAGACGGAAAGCTGGGGCAAGGGTAACTCGTACACATTGGAATGGACAAGCAGCAAATTCCGGCTTGGATGCTGCCGATGACGATCATGGTGTGTTTGATACCGCCGTGAGAGAGCCATGGAAAGGCGTAGAATGTGAGGACGAAGCCAAACATATTTTTGAATAGTAGCATGCAAGTAAATGCCTCAACGGCAATTTCGCCTGCCGAAAGGGAGTCAGCCAAGTCACTTATCGGGCCTGGAGGGGGTTGCAGTTGAGGGTGAGTTAGTACTTACGGTGCGCATCGACGATGTAAAGTGAAGCAGCAACAGCGCCCATGACCATCCCAATGATCATGAACGAAAAGAATACGTCTGGCAAGAGCCACTTGTACCTCATGATATCGCTGGCCGTCCATCCAAAGCCGTAGATACCCATACAAGCAAAGATGAGCTGGAAGAAGACGAGCACGAGCCGGAACTCGGGCTCGTATTTGCCGCCATTTAGTCGGATCATGATCTTGTTCATTGAGTCTGTGAGGAGTCCTGCTAGAATGAGGCCCAGGATTGATCCAATGAATGGTCCGGTGTAGAGGTATCCTGTTTTATCTTCTGCGAAAAAGAGAGGAGGGCCGAGGAATACAATCGCTAGAATAGCCCCCATGAATACGCCCCAGCCGATAACGACGCCTTGGATGAGACACGCCTGTGGTTGTTAGCCATTGCCCAAGGGAAGAAGAGGGAAACCATAGCCGGTGAACAACTCACGTAAAGGACTCCCGGATGAAGGAACAGGGGAAAGGGACGTAAGAGCAGTTTGAAAAAGCTCTCATCTGTCTTTCGCCCGTTGAATAATCTCATTGATTTCAGAACCGAGTCTTTCTCCCGGTTAGGCTGCGCGAATATTTCTGTCCTGGAGGTTCCACGTCTTACAGACTCCCCCCGGTACAAACACTTTAGGTTCATTTCTAGTATTATCGAGTGGCAAGTGAGACTCCGTCGACTGGTTCCGATCAACTTTGTGTTTGAAGTCGGTGTTAAGGTGGTCCGGGCGCCGATACGCGGTCTCTGGGACAAAGACGATCATGAACGGGAGGGCTGCAGCAAGGAAGATGGCCACAAAATAAAAGCACCATTGCCAGCCCATGGCTTTCGTAATTCTTCCAGCGAAAACTGGAGTCAAAAAGGCCGCGCCGAAGAGGGAGACGTTGGACACGGCCATTCGTTTTCCTCGTTCCTAGATGCTGTCAGCTGAAAGCCCGTGTCTTGGAATGGAAATAGCTCAACAACTCACATGCATAAAGTAAAGATCACCCACACAGGCATTCAGCAGGGCCTCAAACGGGGCCAGCGCAACGCCTTGAAAGATGCGTGCCCATAGAAGACTTTTGGGATTCTTTCCACTCCCACCGGCCCAGGCGCAACTCGCAATCATCAAGACGTGGCCGAGCAAGAAGAGATGTCGCTTGCCCCAGACGCGTGCGGTAGGAACGATAAGGATGCCAGCTACCCCAGTGCCACAAAGAAGGTATCCTGTGAGGAGGGCAGCTTCCACAAAGTTGATTCCCTCGGATATAGCGATTGTGACGGTGTTGGCGGCTAGTATGGAGCTCGTCGTTGTGCAGAGTACGGTGACGAAAGATAGAATGCCGAGGATGACATCGCGACGCCAGAGTGGCCAGTTCTAAAGTGTATAAGAGTATCGTTAGTGTTTGACTTGACTTAATGTCGTAGAGAAGCTTGTGCATCACCGGGAGAAGCGTACCAATGGGTCGTTGGGGTCATCACTGGGCTGCGGTACAAGAACGGTGGGTTCTTTGGTCGTCCAGTCGTGTTTCAGGTCGGTGTCAGAGGAACCATCGGTCGCAATTCGGGCGTGATCATAGATATCGGAGGTGCCTGGGGTTCACACGGGGCATTAGTCTCTACCGCTGTGGTGTGGAGGGGGGGGAGGGGGAGGAGGTTATATTTTCCAGCTCACCGGGGACCTCAACATGTTGGGCCACGTCCAAGACCCCCAAGCCCATGATGGGATAAATAAGGCGAAACGTTCTGTCGGGTGTTGGTGAGGAGGAAGAGTTCAAGTTCGAGTGGGAGGGGTTTGGAGTTCCCAAGTGGAATCCAATATTAGCAAGACTGGTCAGAACGACCGTCGCTCTTTCTCCTGGCACAAAAGCATCAACTAAGTACTGACCATCTGTTCAAATAATGTATAAGACCAGTACAGAGAGAACCTGTATTAATTTAAATGGACGATACGCAAATTTGGGAAATTTATTTCGGGTTTCAGCAGGCTACATGTTTAAAAAGCATCCAGAGGGCAAGAGAGTCGAAGGCTATTGGAGTTAACGAGGAAGACTAAGTAGTGGTGGCCTGCAATTCGCCTAATCAGAGGCAGATCTACCCTCTGAGGATATTTGACTGGATGAAATCGAGATAGTGGAAAGTTAAAAAAGAAAAAAGGGGTAGAATGGGCCGACGCATCAAGGACGAAGCATATCAAAGTCAAGGGAGAAGTATACTATACGAGGATCCGGGGAAGTCTCCACTTTTGTGGAGTGGAAGGTTTGGCTGGTAACATTCATATTATGCATATTGTACTAGTATTACCAGGTCGAGACCGGTGGGACGTGGAAATAGTACTACTCATACATTCATAGATAATCATAGTCATCATAGCCATTAACCTCTACGGTCCTTCGTGGGCGATCTGGTGAGTCCACCAGTCTGCTGCACTTGCATTTCGCCAGTGGGCCATCGTCGCCTCCCATTCTTCCTTCGGCCATGGAGAAGGGGTATACGTCAGGTAGATTCCGCATTCGGCCAGCTCATCAGCCAAATCACTCATTCGATCCCATGGGTATCCGTCATCTTGTGGGTAGTTGCCGTATTTGTGCGGGTACGCACACCACGGTTCGAACAGGATGTCAATCGTCTCTAGTGAGGATTGTCGACTCGCTGCGGCCTGGCCGAGCTGCCGAAGCCAGTTGACCTCCTTGTCGCCGAAATTATTGATCAGACAGCATCCCAGGATTCCAAACGACATGCCAAATGTCTTGATCTTTGGTGGTAATAAGCGGTCGGGATGGGAAGCTTCCCAGCGTAGATCGTTTGGTACACCATCGTCAACGTCGTCGTTGAGTTGGGTGCGGGAAAGGGTGAGACTTTCCAGCCGGGGAAAGACTGAGGCGTCGAAGTCTTGGATTCCTTGATTGTGGCCGAGTACATCGATGTAGACATATTTCAGAGTCTCTTTGTAGTTTAATAGCCAGCCTTGTGCGTCCATTAGACTCAGATGGGTGACCTCTTCATTCCTTGAGGTGTTGATGGTGAAATCGATAAGATTCTGGGGCCAGGAGACAAATTTCTCGATTGCCTCGACGCTGTCTTGGCAATAAGTCATTGTCAAGGAGGTGAATGGTGCTGTGTGAGGTTTCTACCATTCATCAGTCATGCATCCCATGTTCCGGTTCCTCTTGAGGGTCCTTCGCACGTACCTTTGAGTTGAGCATTTGAGGGGCGGGCCAATTTTTGGAATGCCCATTACCGATCATGGTTAGGATCTCCAGTGAAGGAAAGTTGATGTATGCCATCGCTTCTGCAAGAGACAAGCCCTCGGTGGTATCATTTTCCATATAAAGCAAAAGTTCCTTTAGGTTGGTCATACTCCGGTTCGCAATGGAGATCAATTTCAGGGTATCTGCCCGGCGCCCGGTGTACCCTCCCTCGGCGGGGAATCCACCATAGAGCCGGAGAGATCGAGTTTGTCCCAGCCATGATATTAAGTCATTGGCGACTCGATAGTCTTCATCTGTTGTTTCCGCATCATCATCGAAGATTATTTCTAGCGAAAGGCATCGAGAGCGGAGTGGAGGATTGTCTTGCAGTACCTTGTGCAAAGCTAGCGCCCGGCGGCATGGGGGGTACAATGCTGTACCTCTTCCTGGATCCATACGGATTGCCATCGTGCAAGGCGATTCCTTCGAACAAGTAAGGCGTTATCAATCGGTGAAAACGCCGAGATACAAGAGACAATGACCTGAGGTCACCGTAGTCACGTCTGACCCGATATCTGTCATTACGAGCGACATATTCGTACTCTTCCAGGGTACTGTGATCGAGTATTTGAGCAAGAAGCTCTTCTGGGAGATTTTCAAGGGAAGAGCTCGAGATTGTCTGCGAAGGAGTTCAGTCCAATGTTGCTCAGACAGATAAAGAGATGTCTTACCATTGCTCCTGTATGTTTCAGGGGTGAGGTCGGTGGATCCAAAGGTAGGTTTAGTGTAGCAGGGAAGAGTGCAATGTGCAAAAAGTAAAGTGTAGAGGGATTAAAAGAAGTTCACTGGAGGAGAGATGTAGTAGGGGAGATACGATGAGGACCTTCAGAGTGAAGTGACGTTCCGAGGTAGTTGCGCGAGTACCTTTCGGGAAGGCAACTGCATCAAACCGTTTACTCGCAATTTGAGACTACAGTTCTATACTTAATCTAGACTTACTAGTATTGAATACACGGTATGTACTCAGTAGTTTAAACTTCTAGAATTAAGCAATTTGTATAGGCAGTAGCATAGCTTTCCTGGGAGGCAGCGCACTGGGCCGCCGCTGTGGAGCGTCATACTTTTGGTCCAAGTCGGCCAGGTAGGAAGATACGCCGTCATTGAATTCAAAAAAGTACTTGTAAATAAAGAGGCGCTTATTTGATTGGAGCTTAACAGAGAGGACAGTACAAAAATCAACTATAGGCTGATACCTAGGTATGCGGGAGGAGAGGAGAAGCTATGTTGATTAGGGTGAGGTCAAAACATCGGCTAACTTTGTGGAGGCTACAGGAAAGAAATGACAGGGCTGAACTATTTTCCAGGACTAAGCATTGGTTTCTTTCAATTTGTTTGGATGAGTCTCGAACTCCTCTGCTATGCTGTTTGCTCCATATCTTCGTCTACCCCGGCAACCCCGACCCGATGTAGGATGGGAGTTGACTCGGCTTATGATTTGCTGTGAAATTATAGTCGAGTTGAAATCAAACCTTTCGGATGCAACAAATCTATTTCGATTGAGTCAAGAGCCCAAATTTCTAGAATTGTCCGACAGAATCGAATCCAAAAGAGACCTTTGAACACCTTCACCTTGCCAGCGACCGTACCATTCGCGACTCCATCATACCATGAGCCTCACAGATTGCGTTGTGATAGATGAGCGGTAAGTGTTGAAGTATCCGTCCTTTTCCTTATCTTCTCTGGCGAAGGAAGATTGTCTCGTTGTAATTCGCGAAGATTGCCAATCTGACTTTCCGGTTCATCATATATTGTGCAGCTTGACCTAAAATAGTATCAGCAAATTTTTCCAATTTTTAATTCGATACTATCAGTATTGCTTACCGATCATCACTCAGAAAGCGAGATAATCACCCGCTGGATCATAAATCGCTAGCGACAATCGGTGTACCTTCACCCACGGTGTCTTCATCTCGCTGACGGCTGTGGTGGCATAGCCCGAATGTGTCTGCGGTTATGAATAAGCGCAGAATGATGCTGAGCATTCGCCAGATGATTGAAGTCCATATTGCCTCGTTCTGTTCCTGCAACTTCACATCTGCGGCAGTTGCGGTAAGCTGTTGGCCCTCGAAACCCACTGCCTTGAGGCTGTTGCTTCATATCACCAAGAACGGCCAAGACAAAGCCGAATACCTTCATTGGGAGGTCATGGCTCCCGAGAGACAGGACGGCAGAATCTGGGATATCGCTTTTAGGGGAAATATCCGAAAAGCCATTGGTCTCTGCAATTCGTCAGCTATACATTCCGTGAACATCCCGAAGCCTCTTTGCACATATCGTTGAGTTGACATGCAATAACAGTCAAGAGTGCACGACGCATTGCGAAGCGAGTCTTGGGTGTGGTTCATGGCTCGAACCTCCCAGCTTGCGAGAGCAGATATGTAGAACATGGCTTGTTTCATACTTAACGTACCGTCCTGGCGATAAATATCGTCTGCTCTGATTACCTCCTGAGGTCGGAGAATTGCACTCCCCAATTCGCGGTGTTCGCATCCTGGATTCGTCAAAAGGGGATTGTTGCATTGTACGCGCTGATGAAGCCATGGTGATAGAAGAGGTCATTCATATATTGTAGAGGCTGTCCAGATATCCGTCCAAGACATCGATCGTCATCCATCAATTTGTTGATCATACGATCGATCGCAGATTCACTGGCAAGATCATGATCATGAACCCATGGAGTTTCGAGTTCTCCGACAAGATGCCCAGGATCTGGTCTAGTCGCGGGCGTGAATCGGACACGTCTGAACCAATCACGTCTGGTGTTCCTTTATATTGAATATTCGAGCACTTGAAGTCAACGAAATACATTAGGACTTGCAGGTACTCCAATGTTGGAACTGGAACCTCTCCAACCGCTTCCTGGAATCGTCCTTGCACGTCAGGTTCGTCTCCGACATGCACAGTGAATCTCTGAACTTGAAGTTTGGGCCTCGCTCTCCCGGCTATGCTCCATGTTTTGGAATTTGCCTCGACATGCTCTTCAAAATCCAACCACAGAGTCAAAGATCCCACGGAACTTATCCGGTGTTTCATACTGGCTGTCTCTGGGTCTTCTAGCCAAAACTTCATATCCGGTTTCAAGTTTGAGCAAGGTTTTGACCAAGCAACCTCGGGAACAGAACTTCGTCATTTGTGCGATCGACCACTCAGTACCTCCGCTGGTTTCCACGAGATATCGGCTCTCTTGGTACTGGTCACACCACGGACTGTGAAGGTCCTTCGTTGAACCGGCAGCGCGGAGCAGATAGCATCCCTAGCCCACGAAGCTGCCGTGGCCATATCCAGGTAGGAGAAGAACTCGAATTCATGTATTCTGGTTCAATCTAAAATTGCTGAGGCATGAGAAGAGATTGGGAGTGGAGATTTGATGCATTGAGAGAGTGTGAAGAAATTAAGATGCGCTTTAATTGGAAGGAGTAAACAAACAAGAAATCTCCAGCGAATCGCACCTGTCCAAGTAGCTACCCGCGAAGCTGCCAAAATACCAATCTACGTGCAATTGTATAGTACTAGTATCGTCCAGTATTTTCCAGTATTTTCCAGTGCTATATAGTATTCCAAGGTTGTAGAATATCGTTAGGGATATTAATCCAACGGTAATCTTGCATCTGCATACTGGAAGTATACCACTCAAAGTATACTCGCCCAATCAATTCCCAAATGCCACACGAATCTGCAGCCAAACCCCACAGCCCCGTATTGCTGGTATTGGCTCCATGCAGCTGCAGGGTCGAAGTATAGATCGATAAAATACGTAGTTTACTTTTGAGAATAAGCAATTTAAATTGGAAGGGCCCAATTGCCGAAGCCAAACCGCACAAAGTAAATAAGAATGGCGATGCAAACAGTGAAGCCCTGGGCATGAAAAGGGTGGCTGCCTTTCCTCTTCCTCCCACGCAGCTTTCACTTCTCTTCTCCTCTCCTCTCTTCTCTTCTCTTACGCATTCCCACTCCTTTCCACACATCCACTCAATTCCACTGTACTTGAGTCGCCATGAAGCTCTCTCAGCTCACTGTCGCTTTCGCAGCTCTGCTGTCCACCGCTGTGGCCCAGATAGACGACCTGCCCAACTGTGCCGTATGTTTCTATCCATTACTCAGGGCGTGTCTGCAAAGCACTGACAAAGTCACAGAAAGACTGTCTCACGGGCGCCTTTCCCGCCAACTGTGGAGCTGACATCAAGTGCGTCTGCACTACCGCGTCCTTCCTCAACGACATTGCCTGCTGCATGGTTGGCAAGTGCAACGAGGAAGAGCAGCAGAGTAAGTACATCACAAGCCCAGCGACGCCTACTCCTACCCACTTCCCAGTATGAGAACTGACGTCAATCTGCAGAGACTCTGGGCATCGCCAACACGGTTTGTGCCAAAGGTGGCGTGACTGATCTTCCAGCCTCCATTGCCTGCTCGTCCGGTGCCTCAACTTCGGTCTCGACTTCTGCCTCGACTGAATCAAAGACCTCGACTGCCACTGAAACTGTTCTCACTGCCGCTACCAGCAAAGACACTACTACCAAGGAGTCCACTGCGACCGACAGCAAGACCTCCGCCCCTAGCACCAATCATTCAGAGAGTGCTTCCTCCACTGCGAGTAGCAGCGAAACCAAGTCCACTGCTTCCTCAACCGCCTCGTCATCCTCTGCCGCTCAAACCTTAAATGCTGCTGTCCTCGGCCAAGTCAAGGATACCTCGCTGGTGGCTGCAGCCGGTGCCGCCGCCGCTCTGGCTTTCTTCGCTTAGAAAGTAGCATGTGCCGGGGCCGGATATCGATCTCTGACAGGATAATGTTATCATCCTATGTGATGCCCGCCTTACGACTGACGATCGATGGATAACTGACAAAAGTCATGTTCATGGCATGACCCTGCTTTGTTTTCATGGATAACTCTCTGTTCTCCATACTTGTTGTAATATTTCTTTTCATTTCAATTTATTTTCTTATCAACCCTTCCAAAGCGAGGGCTTTATCTTTATCATCTTGTTTTCGGAGTCGAGCGTACCCTATGAAATGTCGTAGTCCCATATAGGATGAATGAGATTAATCACTTAACCGAACAAACTCTATTCTTCATACCGTACACTATCGCCTATCGGATCGCCTACTCAGCCTGCTCACGAGCGTCTTCAAGCAACTTGGTCAATCTCTCCTGTCGCTCCTGTCTCAATGTCGCAAAGATCTATCAAAGTCAGCATCCATCCCAGAAGTCAGCACCCAGGAAGGGGAACATACCCAAAACCAAGCCATCATCTCCATAAAGCAAAACGTAAAAACAACCCTAGTCCGAATCCTCCCCAAACCCTCCACCCCCTCAAGCAACCCAGCATCCCGCCCCTGATAAATAAAAAACGCAATCCCACCATAAAGACTGAACCGACTAGCCGCAACGCTCACCCACACATTCCAATACATCGTCAGCGACTTGGTGATGTATTCCGGCAGACTGGCGAGAATCTGGAGATCTTCGGCGGGGAGGTTGCTGTTTCGCAATGGGCGGACGTAGCGGAGGGCTTCGTCTAGGGCGTTTTTGTACGGCAGGGTTGAGAGGAGGATTAGGTCGAAGGTTGCGATTGCGATTAGCGGGATTGAGGTGAAGACGTAGGGGTTTTCGGGGGCGGAGCTTGCGATTGGGAAGTCCTTCGAGGTCATACTCGTTAGTATGGTTGGATTAGATTGGATGGGATGGGAGTACGAACAATGTTTAGTGCTTCGCCCATCATGAAGACTAGGTCGCAGTTTGTTATTAGGGCGGGGTTTTTGATTAGATAGCCCGCTATGACGATTAGGGAGCACAGCGTGTGCCTGGATGATTGTTTTGGATGAGAAGAGGACCATTTTGGCGGTGGTGTTTGTGTATAGGTGCAAGGAGAATGAAGAAAAAGTGGCCTTGTTGGAGCTGGCGGAGCTGGCGGAGCGGAGTTGGAAGGCAGTTGAGTTGGGGTGGTCCGAGTGTCTCGCCGACGCGTGGGGAAACGAGCAATTCCACCCCACGTCAATATCGCCGCATTGCTCGAAAGAAAGGCTGGAAGAGCACTGATTCTGATTCGATTCGATCGACTTGCTTGCTGGAATAGCTTCGCATTCTCCACCCGCCATAATGGCTCAAAACCAGGCCGAACACGAACCCGTTCTTAATACGGAGCGCCATATCAAATACTACCTCCGATGCCTGAAGACCTTCCTCCCATCGGCTTATACATCCAATGACTCCAATCGCATGCTCCTCGCTTTCCTCACATTGACGGGTCTGGATGTGTTGGACTCGCTGAACAGCAAAACCACGCCTGAAGAGCGCCAGACTTACATCGACTGGGTGTATCACTGCCAAGTACCCTCTGGGGGATTCCGCGGATTCTCGGGCACAGAGTTTGGCGCTGGGAAGCGCAGACCGGAGAATGAGGCCTGGGATCCGGCAAATGTGCCGGCGACTTTCTTTGCCTTGGTTAACTTGCTTGTTCTTGGTGATGATCTGGCTCGCGTGAAGCGGGAGGAGTGTTTACGGTGGCTTCCGAGGTTACAGCGTGGGGATGGGAGTTTTGGAGAGGTTCTTGGTCCAGGCGGGGTAATTGAGGGAAATAGTGATTTGAGGTATTGTTGTTGTGCGGCGGGTATTCGGTATATACTGCGTGGTAGGAGGGGGATGGGGGTGGACGGGGTTGAGGATATTGATGTCCCCCGGTTTATCTCTTTTATTCAAGCTTGTCAGGTGGGTTGATTCTTGCTACTGCTGCTTTCAGGCCCGTCCTGGAGGTTTGGTTTGAGTTGAGGTCGGTCTACTAACGATCGCTTGTATAGAGTTACGATGGTGGCATGGCTGAGTCTCCATACCGTGAAGCACACAGTACGTACTATCGACATCTCCCCCGGCCGGCCTTTTTAACGAGACGATATAGGTGGTCATACATATTGCGCAGTTGGATCTCTAGAGTTTCTGCGTCGGGCATCAGTTGACACCCGATCGGTGCAGCTGTTGTCGCCTGGGTCTCTTCAGTTTGAGACTCTGGTTGCATGGTTGGCATCGCGGCAGACGAGCGAACTGGGGGACGAGAATGACGATGATGAGGATGACAGTGAAGACGAGGATGATGCGGAAAATAATAACGATACTACCACTCACTCGCAGACGATAGACACAGATATTGAGTCCCTCCGTCTATTAGATGACAAGATCCTTTCACTTCCCAAGATCGCATCGATACCCGGCGACACAATACCCTGTGCCGGTTTCAACGGCCGATGCAACAAAGTGGCGGACACTTGTTATTCGTTCTGGAATGGGGCAACACTGGCGGTAAGTGATTCGGGGAAACAGTTTTTATCCTCATATATCTCCTAGATTTCCACTCACAATATATCACAGATGCTCAACCGGTCTGCGGTAATCGATGACGTTCGCAATCGGCGATATCTTTTAGACAGGACGCAACATCTCGTGGGTGGCTTTGGAAAAGTCCCGGGCGATGCCCCCGGTAAGGCAAAATAAGATCCTCCGGAGGCAAATTGACCATGCTAACCCAAGCCACAGATCTCCTCCACTCATGTTTTGGCCTCGTTTCGCTCGCCTTTCAAGGTGAGGCTGGCCTCGCTCGCGTCGATCCTGCGCTGGTCACTACTGAACGCGTCGTGCGACATCTGGAATCATTGCCGTGGCATATGTAGATAGAATATTTCCCCAAAAAGCAAATGCCGAATCAACCCTGGTCCATTGTATGATCGGTGGTCATGGATGATCAACCCTGCAGGTTTCGCCTCCGTAAACCATTGGTCCAACGCACCGCCGTGGGCACCAATGAGTAGAGGCGCATAAATTGAGACGCATCATGTACTCCGTATTAATAGTAGTTCGGGGAGGGGGAACTGGGGAACCCTGGCGAGTTATAGAGAGAAGAGAAGAGACCAGAAGAGACCAGACGGAGTACCGAGTCAAGTGGCGAGCCATTCTCATCACATCCCATCGCTAAAATTAATTAGAGTAATGAAACAAGGTAATTTCCACTTCCCGTCAGGGGCTCGAGCCGCGTATGATATAATCGAAGACGGAGTACGGTACACAAGGAAAAAATAGGTACACAACTCGATAGTGCGTCTCCACTTGGTCCACGTTCCCGTTGACGTCTTTGCTTTTGCTCGGAGTTAGGCATTCCCCGTTCTCCCTTGTCACCTCCCCTACAGAACTTGGGAATATACCTACAATTCTACCACCAGTTCCACGTTGACTCAGACTTCGACTTCGACTTCGTTCTCGACTTCGACCTCTCCTGCCTTCACCGATTCTGCCGATCTTCATTTCCCCGTCCTTTCCTCTCTTGAATGGCAATACCGAACAGCCCACTTCTCTACGCCTCCCTATTCGACACGCGCAGATTCCTCCGCGGCCGACAGCAAACCCGGAGATCGATCATAACACATGCCGCCCAGGACGAGAGCGGGGGTGCAAAGCCAGAAACAAAAGGAAAAGGTTCGTGTGGCGGGTGTGCGCTCGGCCTGGCCGATATCGCTTTGCGCAGGGACAGAACTCCTTAGGACTGCTGGCTAACTTGCGTGCGGTCACAGCTTGCCAACTCCTACAATGAATTACTTGAGTGAGGAATCCCGGTTCCACGAAATTGAGTGTGTTTTGGGCTAATGCGCTAGCCTACAGGGAATTTTCATCCAAGGACCTTCGCAGCGTGGGGAATTACTCTCTAGGAAGATTAATTGGAAAGGGCTCTTTTGGAAAGGTCTATCTCGCGTCACATAAGCTCACCAATGGCTCCAAGGTACGCATACGCATATACTGGGTGGAAGGGGGTGGATTGAGGTGATGTCAAAGCGAGAGATAACTGACACCATATGCTCTTACTAGGTCGTCCTCAAGTCCTCTAGCAAGGAGGATACCAACCTCGCGCGTGAAATCCACCACCACCGCCAATTCCTTCACCCTCATATTGCGCGTTTGTATGAGGTCGTCGTCACAGAGGAATTAGTCTGGCTTGTGTTGGAATTCTGTCCTGGTATGTTCAATTCGGTGGTTGCGACACGGCAAGACACAGGCAGGGCTAACTGCGGTTTTCTTACCCCCTTGAATAGGCGACGAACTTTATAATTATCTCCTCCGCCATGGCCCGCTGCCCGTCGAGAAAGTGAAACGGATATTTACCCAGTTGGTCGGCGCGGTGGCGTATGTTCACAGCAAGTCGTGTGTTCACCGGGATCTCAAATTGGAGAACATCTTGCTGGATAAACATGAAAATGTCAAACTGTGTGATTTTGGATTCACACGTGAGTATGAAGGGAAGGCCAGCTACCTACAGACTTTCTGCGGGACCATCTGCTATAGTGCTCCGGAGATGCTAAAAGGCGAGAAATATGCTGGTGAGAAGGTCGACGTATGGAGCTTGGGCATCATCCTCTATGCGCTATTGGCCGGGAACTACCATACGACGACGATGATGATCAAATCACCAAAAAGCGCATTCTCACCGAAGACCCCATCTACAACGACAAGTTCACAGATGAGGCAAAGGCGTTAATCAATCTTCTCCTCTCTAAGCGGCCGTTGATTCGGCCGAGTCTGGAGGACATCCTCTCACATCCATTCCTTTCTGAACACGCACCTGAACAACTCGCCATCCTCAAAATCCCCCAGCCTTCTCCATTCACCACACCTTTGGAAAAAACGACCTTACAGCGGATGAAGAGTGCCGGTGTCAACATTGATGAGGTTATTGAGAACGTTCTGGCGCAACGATGTGACCCTCTGGCTGGATGGTGGGCCCTGTTGATTGAGAAGGAGCAGCGGAAAGAAAAGAAGCGAGAGAAGAAACGACAGCAGCGAGAGGTGGAAGCGAAGAACATGCGCCGTCTTAGCGCCGCGAGCAGTCGCTTGGAAAAACTCTCGGCCGCTTTAGTTGAAGTCGATGAAGAAGGGCATGCCAACTCGGATAGCCAGCTGCACGAGCGCGGACGCCGAGATAGGCGAAGCCTTCCTTCTCAACTTGCAGTCCCAGAGCTACCCTCGCTACCCGAACCTCTCCCTGTACGCACGCCAGAAGTGACAACTCCGTGCTCAGTCGACAAGGAATCCATACGTTCCAACTCGACAATGCGACGTCGTCCTATTCCCCCGCCGAAGGACAAGAGACGGTCCTCCCGGCCCAGCATGCTACATGTCAGTGCCTCGCAGCCAGAATTGACACAACACCATGGTATCTTCCGACGCCGTACCAATAGACGCCATCATCCGATAATCAGCCAGCTCGCACAGTTGAAACATTGGTTTGCGGAAACTGCCAAACGCGCTCGCTCCCCCGGTTCCAAATCGTCCGGGTCCCGCAAATTCCTCTCCGAGAAATTCAGCCCTGCGAAAAGCCAAGATACTGGAAAGAAAGCTTCGTCCCCTTTGTCCGCGACTAATATACAACCCGAAGAAATTGTAACACCTACGCAAAATAAACGGATCTCGGCGGCGAGTAGCTTGGCTCCCAGCAGTGCGTCATATCGTCAGAATCGACACTCGTATCCTCGCCAGCCACGTCCTTTAAATACTGGCCACTCCAGTATTCGCAGCAATCGAAGCAATCGCAACTCGCTGTCACCGTCGCCAATTACGCCCCGTGGCTCATACCGGCGATCCTCGGCTGGACTGCGTGGACGGAAGTCGACATCTTCGTCTGTGTCCTCGATACGCAGCATACATCATACTCGAGCCCATTCCAAAGCGTCCTCGATTTCATCGAACAGCATGGACACTGTCGCGACACCGACTGCCAGAATTTCGAAGTCTCCGCACAATTCCATCAAGGTTCTTCCCACCACACCCGGCTCATCGGCCCGCTTCCCTAGCAATATCCGACTTGTCCGTGGGCCTGGAGGTGCTCCTGAGAGAAGTTGTCAATACTGGCGAAATGCCGTCGGCTTTTAATGAAGCTGCGCCTACTCCGCTGCTGTACTCGCCTTCTTCGAGCTTGGTCTTCGCCCGACGCAAACGATCTGCCTTCAAGGGACCCATGATTCACACAACCAATCTGACGGTGTCCAGCGGAATGGTTCATTCGCCTGTTCCTGGTCAGCCGGTCGAAGCCAGCCAATCCCTCCCTCCTGTTGGACGACCGGCAGCGCGAAAGAGTCAAATTATTGAAGAAGAGGAAGATGATGGCTTTGAGGACGAAATTGAAGAGGTCGATGAGTTTGACGGTCCAGGGGAAGAAGTTGAAGAAAACGATGGTCAGACTGGACATGATGAGACTCAGACTCTCAGGGAGAGCAACCGCTCTATGAGAGAGGCTGAGACTGCCGAAGCCACAGAACCTAGTACCCCTGCGTCAACCCACAAGAGCGCCCTCGAGCCCGCGGCCGAACTAGAATCTAGTCCGCTCCGACCTCCACGCTCCTCATCACTGAATTCCCCTCCGCCCGAGACAGCGGCAGCAGTCGCAGCAGTCCTTGCCAACAAAACCGCCAACGACGAAGCTGAAGCTCCTACTAGCCAAAGTGCCGAGGCAAATGCAACTATTGACGCAGCTCCTGCTAAGCCTGTCACCACTGATTAACCGTCCAGTTTGCCTTTGCATTTTCGTTCATGGATTGCCGGCGTTATATCCCTCCCCACCTCATTTCCACCCTTGGTTAGATCGATAGAGCTGTTTCTGCGCTTGTCTTTGGTTTATGCTTACTTTATACCCCCTCGATGCTTGCAAGTTTTATACACAGCTTTTGACTTAATTTCCCGCATTTTGCGATTTGCTTTTCCCTCCCCCCCCCCCCCCCCCCGACCCGGCCTCCACGCTTATACGTGCGGCAACTCTCCCTCGCTGCAATTACCCTCTCTTACATTTCCTTATTGTGTCCGTGCTTCTTTCTCACTGACGAAGCGAAGCCCATCTGTACTCATTCGAGCCTTTTTCCTTTTCTTTTTTGCTTATATCTACATCTACCTCTACTACCCCGGATCTCATATACCACACAGGTCGCCCACATTGCTTTGCTTTGCTTGGCTTGCATTTTTTTTTACAGCCCTATATAGACTTGCTTTGAATTTGGCGATACGCCTGCATAATGATACCAGTGCATTTTCTACAGTTCGGTGCCATTTCATAACTTACACATTGACTGGGCTGGGTTTAGCTAGAATCTGGCCCGGTACATGATATAGCACAATAACTGAACCCATAAGTATTCATCGAGAGAGAGCTGCTAGTACTAAGTAAGTACTACTTCTGATACGCGAAGAAGTAATTGGGCAATGGCTACCTAAGTATTTCATAATTCCGTCCCCCTTGGCCGCTACAGGATGCTATGGGCAGCTTGAACGCTGTAGCATGTCCTCAGCTTGAAGTTTAACGTTTAACGGGCCCTTATTCCGAGTCCTCTCTCTCTCTCTTCATGTCCAACTATGACCCCAAACAACCCCCACAGAATAATCCGGGGTGGCACGTCGATCCCTACCCCATCTGCTGCACGAAACTGATCTTGGCCAGTCAGCGTTCAGCACCGGAGTTACCCCGAGATGCGATCTAACGCTGTTTGTCGTGAGTTGGGCGCTTGGGGTCTTGCAGCGGTGTTTAGAGGACACGGGCTGGGAGTGGAGATGTGGCCGTGCGGTTGGAATACCTGGAGACCGGGGGGGGGGGGAGTTAGGTTTGTTTAGCTTGTTCAAGATTATAATATATCCATGGATGCCCAGGTGTTGTTGCATCGGGGATGCTTGCTTTGTTTGGCCCGTGGGTGTTTCCAGGTTTGTTCTACTGTGGAAGGTAGCAAGCAGAAGGTCAAGGATTTATTCTCAAATTCCAGAATTCAGGATCTAGCTTCGCCTGGGGGTATTCAGGACTCGGACCATAGGTAAGGACAGGACTTCCGAGGTTTAAGTGGTAAGAGTAACTTGAAATCAGAGTAAAATTCATTTCTATTCAATGGCATGATATATTCCCCGCCTCTGGTATGGAGGATAGACGGCACAGCTTGACAGGTCTATTTCTAGTTCAAAATCGAGTCTTCCTCTGTCCTGTATGCCGATTCATCGGATCATCGCATCTTTCTTTAAGCCCGCTTGGGCTTGCCAGCGGCGCCGTTCTGGGCCGGGGCAATAGTAGCAACCTTGGAGTCGTACAGTTGGCGCTCCATGAACTTGAGGACCTCGTCAATCAGACTGTGCGGTTGTTAGTATATGTATTCACAAATGGAAGGATCTAGTTGATACGTCTTTGGGGAAAGGAAACTCACATCACAGGGGCACTAATCACCAACACGGCCTGCCACTCATTCCAGTCCAAGGGCAGGATAGAGAACAAGGTCTGCAGGAAGGGGATGTAGAGGATAGCAAAGTGCAGACCCATCGAGAGGGTGATGGCATAGATCAGCATGGGGTTGTTGTGGAGGAAGAAGGTGAACAGGGATTCGCTGGAGGACAGCGCATTCATAGCGTTCAGCATCTCAATGACCACGAGGATGGAAAGAGACACGGTCGAGGCGGACTTGGCCATGTCGTTGCTGAACATCTCGCAGCCGATTTCCGGGAACTTGGAAGAGCAGTGGTGCCAGTGGGACTAGAGTATATGGTTAGAAATAGCTAAAATCAAAATAAAGGTAGAGATAAGCTTACCAGATGCCAGAAGGTGATTTGGGGACCTTCAGGGTTATACATGAACCACCAGACGTAACCAAAGACGGTGGCAGCACCGACGTAGATACCAATGACCATGTAGCGGAACAACAACCAGCCACCGACCAGGGCCTCGTCACGACGGCGAGGGGGGCGCTTCATCACATCATGGTCAGGGGGGGTTGAAAGACAGCGCAGTAGCAGGGAGACCGTCGGTGACAAGGTTCACCCACAACAGCTGAACAGGGATCAGAGCCTCAGGCATGCCCAGGGCGGCAGTCAGGAAAATGGAGACGACCTCACCGATGTTGGAAGAGATGAGGTAACGGATGAACTGTTGGGTGTTGCTGTAAATGGAGCGACCCTCCTCAACAGCGACGGTGATGGTAGCAAAGTTGTCATCGGCCAGAACCATATCGGCCGCCAGCTTGGCGACGTCAGTACCAGTACCCATGGCAACACCAATATCGGACTTCTTCAGAGCGGGGGCATCGTTGACACCGTCACCGGTCATGGCAACGACGTGGTTCAGAGACTGGAGCAGATCGACCAGCTTGGACTTGTGGCTAGGCTCGGTACGGGAGAACAGGGAAGCAGTCTGGACAGCCTCAAGCTTCTGAGCATCGGTGAGCTCGTCAAATTGACGTCCAGTGAAACTCTTGCCAGTAAGATCCTCATTGGCTCCAAATACGCCAATGGAGCGACAGATTGACTCGGCAGTGTTCTGGTTGTCACCGGTGATAACAATAACGCGAATACCAGCATCGTGGCACTTCTTGATGGAGCCGGCAACCTCAGGGCGAGGAGGGTCCAGCATAGCAACAAGTCCGATAAGAGTGAGCTTCTGCTCCAGTTTGAGATAGTCGTCGGTAGAGGTAGCATTGTGCAGGTTGTCCTTGCTAGAGAGGTCACTACGGCTGGCAATGGCCATCACACGGAGACCGCGGTTACCACACTCGATGACTTCGTTGGAAAGGAGCTTCTTGTGGGCAGCGGTCATGGAAACCTTCGATGCGCTGGGGCCTTGCAGGACGTGGGTGCAGCGATCCAGGATAGTCTCGGGAGCACCCTTGACCAGCAGCTTCTGTTCGTTACCCTCGCGGACCAGGACAGACATGCTCTTGCGATCGCGAGAGAATTCGTAGGTGGCCTCCAGAGCAAGGCGGTTTTCGTAGTGTTCGCTAACCTTGTGCAGTCTCTCGTGAGCAGCCAGGGAGTAGATCTTCTTGTTGACGGAAGCGTCCTCGGTACCAATCTTCTCGACCAGGGCGCGCAGAGCTCCCTCGGTGGGTTCTCCGATGTTAGCGAATTGGCCGGTCTTGGGGTCGTGGGCGAGTTTGGCGGCGTTGCAGCGAGCAGTGACCTCGGCGAGTTGTTTCACAGTAGAGGAGGTGGTAGCCAAACCATCGACGGCCTTACCGTCGCGAGAGAGCTGACCAACGGGTGCGAAAGTAGTACCCTCAACTTCAATCTCCTCAATGGAGCCGGTGCTGGTCACAGTAAGGATCTTTGCGACACTCATCTGGTTGGTGGTAAGGGTTCCAGTCTTATCGGAGCAAATCACGCTGCAGCTGCCCAGTGTTTCAACCGAAGGCAGAGAGCGAACAACAGCATTCTTCTGAGCCATCTTGCGAGTTCCCAAAGCAAGACAAGTAGTGATAACGACGGCAAGACCCTCGGGAATAGCGGCCACACCAAGAGAGACCGCAATCTTCAGGTAATAGATAGCACCCTTGGTCCAGCCACCAAAGGAAGGATCGTTGAAGTGCTCGATGTTGATCAGCCAGACGAGAATACAGATAAGAGAGATGACCTTGGCCAGCATATCACCAAATTCATTGATCTTTTGCTTCAGCGGGGTCGGCTCGGAGATTTGGGAAGTAATGCTGTCGTGGATATCACCGATGGCAGTCGAGCCACCGGTCAGAACAACAAGGGCAGTGGCGTGTCCGTTGACGACAGTGGTTCCGGAGAAGAGCATATTGACTTGGTCCTGCTTGACAGCCTGACGGTCCTTGATGGCCTTGGTCTCCTTGCCAACACTCTCGCTCTCACCGGTCAAAATGGCCTGGTCGACGCGGAAGCTGTTGCTGTGGACCGAGAGAAGTCGGCAGTCGGCGGGAATGCGATCTCCAACAGCGATGTCAATAACATCACCGGGGACCAGATCCTCAGCCTTGACCTTGACCGTCTTTCCATCACGCACAACCTTGGCCTCGTTGGCCGAGTATTCCTGGAGGGCCGCAATTGCCTTCTCCGCGCTGCTTTCTTGGGTGACGCCCACCACCGCGTTGAGGATCAGAATGGTCAAAATCTGTAAACAGTGGGAACGATTAGTTGCCATTCGGACGTAATCTTGTGAGAGCGCTATCGAAACGTACCACGGCAGGGTCCACGAATGCAGTCCAGTCGTCGCCACCTTCGAATAAGGCCAGTACAAAGGACACGGCAGCCGAACCGAGCAAGATAAGAACCAGCTGGTCCTTGAATTGCTCCAGAATCAGCTCCCACATGGGAGTTGGGGGTTCCTCAGCGAGAGCTAGAAGGCGATTAGCATGGATTCTTGCATTCTCCAACCACGCAAAGGCGATTAATCTGAAGGGTTTACTGACCATTGGGACCATACTGCTTGCGAGCCTGGAGGACCGCATTGGTGGACAGTCCGTCGCGCTCCGAGACATCGAAGTGCTTCAGCACCTCCGATGGAGAGTGCAGGAAGGAATTCTCCATGACGTATCGTACTCACACTCTCTAGTCACTCTGCGATAAAAAGAGGACAATTGAGGGAGGGAGGTTGGGGAGGGGAAGAGAAAGAGTGGAGATGGAAGAGCTGGGGAAGAAACAGAAGGAAACGGGAAGGAAGTGAGTGATAGTTATGATTAGAAATGATACATGTCCCAAAGCCAAACAGTTGGAAATTAGGGCCAAAAGAGGGACGAGCGCGATGAT